TTTTTTTTTTTTTTTTAACTGAATGCACATACCCTTATAATCACTATTAGTCTTCTAACTTTCATAGAATTCATAAGTTTTTAAATGTCGGGAATATTTAAAATCAAATTCTTGGAAAACGTAACAGAACTTTTATCAACGAAAAACAGTAAACTTGAATAAAATATCGATTACCATGCTATCAGCCATGATAACTAACGAATAATTGTTAATGTCTTCTGTTTTTAATGAATTAAATCATATGTTGTCTATAGAATAAAATTCATTTAGAAAATTTATACATCGATTAATTTTCAGTTTTCTAATTTTTCAATATTTTTTTTTTTTTCGTTGTATAGTGCCGAAAAACGGTAATTGGAAAGACATTGAAAAATAAACAACTTTAATCAAAATATATCTCTCAAGTGAATAGTTGATCGAAAGGTTAATTTTGTAAGAATTTCAACTTCTAAATTTAATCCAAACGAGCTCTTTAACCCATACATAGATCTATTATATGATTTTTCAATGAGCGACCCCGGAGATGAACCTTCTGAGAGTAGTAATGATAGGACATTGAATATTTTAGATGATGATTCCAATAATGAATCACGCGTTGCTAAACCTTTAACTCAAGAGGATAAACAAATCGTTGAATCAGCTAATGAAATCCTTAATTCATTGGAACATGTCCATAGGACCGACCTTACATTACATCTCTATTCTTCGTTCTTATTGAAGAAATTACTCTATAAAGCCAATGAAAAGAAACACTTCTATGCTGTAAATAATTTTATTAAGACACAACTTAAAGATAGTTGGGTTAGTTGGCCTAACCCAAATACAATTATAGATCCCCAGACGGATAAAATATACGAAGATATGGAACTTATGAACAATAAAATATCTACTCAAGAACCAATTAATATTGCTCCAAATGAAGTATCTGCGAAAGCCTTACGTCATGCGATAAATATGCTAGACCTTGAATTATCTGGTCAATGGCAACACCTACTTGCACAATCTTCAAAAATATCAGGGTTACAATTGGATGTGGATAAGACAATAATCCCTAACGATATATCTAGTGCGATTTTCGATAAATTGGATCATTTTTTTTTAGGTTTACATCATAAAGTTGCTAAACAGAACAAAATAACAGTATCTAGAAGCAAACAAGTAACGCCAGAAATGGATGAAAATCAGACAGTGGTTCAAATTCAAAACAAAACCACTAATGTTAATAAACATATTAAATTAACTTATCACGATATAATCGAACGTGGTTGCCAAATGGGAGAAAACATGGAAGAAATATATATGAAGTCCTTAGAACTTTTCAATGACGTTCCTAATACGTTTAAGAAACATGAATTTAAATTACCTAAAAAAATATTGAAAACATATAGATATAAAAGGAAAATTGGGAAGAAACCTTTACCTAAATTTCTCTTCTCAAAGTCCGAAGATGATTATTTCTCCTTAGAAGCAGTTGCTTCAAATGCTGCAATTCCATGGGAGGATAGGGAATACTTACGGGACATAAATAGGAAGGAAACAGAAATGGGTCTCAATAAAAAGAACTTTTTTCAGGTGAAAGGTTACAAGGCTACGAATGATGGACTCATAGAAAACCTAAATTCTAATAACAGTAGTATACTACCGAACTATCCAAAAAGGAAAAAATCTTTGGTGAATAAAGCCTGGCAGCCAGATGTTGACGACTCTGACGTATATGATATGGATGACTACACAGTCGATCTCAATAATTTACCATAACTTGCATTTCTATGTACTATAAATATATGATATGTATGTATCAGTTGTATTATAATATTCCTTGCACAAAATTCAAGATATTTAGATATATGAGGTGGTTGTATATGCACTGCGATAAGTCGTTTAGGTTTCAATTATCTTTTTGTTGTTGGTTATTCTACTCTTTTTTGCCCTTGGTCTCCTTATCCTTAGACTTCCTATGTTTATGTTTTTTATCCTTAGACTTTTTATCCTTAGACTTTTTATCTTTGGTTTTCTTATCCTTTGACTTCTTATCTTTGGTTTTCTTATCCTTTGACTTCTTATCTTTAGATTTTTTGTTAATTTTTAGTTTCTTATGTTTATGCTTTTCCTTGTTATCATCATCTGATCTAGATCTCTTCTTTGATTTAGATATACTTGACACAACAATCTGTTTAGTACTTATAGTTGTTTCTTTTTCTTTTATCGTCCCTTTCAAACCCTCACCTTTAACAAACCATTGATATAAAGGCGAACTTTGCTTCGATACAGCTGTCGCTACTACTTCATTTTGTTTAAAGACAATGCCACCTTTTTTTGATCCTGACGTCACCTCCAGATTTTTAAGATGTCCATCAAATAATCTCTCCCACCAGGCTTCACTATCATCCCCCCCAGGTGCTGATCCTAAACCTTTTTTATCTCTTTTATGCTTTACCAGAATTGGCTTCTTTAGACCACCTTTCTTTAGGGCCTCCCCTTCTTGCCATCCATAAGATTTTAGGTATTCACTACTATTCATGCTAGTTAAACTCATTGTTGCTAGTATCTGCCTTATTCTATGCTTTATATCTCTTACCAATCTTCTTTGTTGTAACGATTAAATAAGTTTACCAGTTTTAATATTTGAAGCTCATCGCAAAATTTTTTTTTTCATTCATTTTGATGAAGCGATATGTGATACAACTATGTGAAAAAGGGTATTTCATGAAATAATATGTTTTGAGACATGTGCCAAGCTTCAAGAAACTAGGATGAACATGTCCGAGAGATATCACTGTACTATATTATAAATAAAAAGATAAGGTCTTTGAACAATGGTGAATGGGCATGAAAAAAGATCGCTAGAGGATCCCAATTCGGAGTACAATGAAAGGATTAAAAAACCTAGAGACGCTGATATGGTAGATCGATCGTTTAAAGCTGTAGTTGTCAAAAATTTACCTCGAAGTTATAATAATGGGAAAATCAAAAAGATATTTCAAGATTGCGGAACAATCAAAGAGATTGAAACTTGTGATTCTATTGATCGTACATCAAGATTTGCAAGATTGGAGTTTACTAACCACAACGAAGCATTAGCAGCCTTGACGAAAACTTTTAAAATAGTTGGTTCTAACGAAATTGAGGTAGAATTATTACAAAATAGAACATTATGGATGACAAATTTTCCACCAAATTATTCAAATAAAAATATACGAAATTTATTGCTAGAAATTGGGGTCGTCCCGATCAGTATACGATTGCCGTCTCATAGATATAATTCAAACAGACGCTTTTGCTATATTGATGTTTATTCAAAGGAAGAATGTGAGATTGCCGTGGATAATTTGAATGGAACTGAACTTGGTCGCTACAAGTTAATTGTCAAATTATCAAATCCTGCAGAAAAGGAAAAACGATCTGATGCAGGTCTGTTAGAAAGAAGGGAACTTTTTGTTAGAAATCTCAACCCCAAATCTCTTGAGCATGATAATCTTGAGAAAATATTTGGTGAATTCGGTACAATAGAACATATAACAATTCCAAAGTCCACCTCTGAAATTAACAATGGATGTGCATTTATTACATTCTTTAATAAGGATGAGGCAGATAATGCACTGTCTCTTGATAAGACAGAGATAGATGGCAGAATAATATCCGTTCATTTAGCTGATAATAAGGCTTATTTGGAAAGAAGGGAATTACTTCAAATATTAAATTCAAGAAATAATAAGAAGAAGGAATTCTTTGCCTCGTTATATCCGATATCAGATAAAATATCGAAGGAGCAAATCTTATCTTTCATTTTAGAAAGCGTTAAAATACCTTCCGAAGAGGTAATGAAAATATTTTTAGTAAATGATCTTAATGGTGCGCTAATTCAGTTTCGTGATAAACATTTAGCAGCAAGATGTTGTGTGGTATTAGATAAAACTAAATTTATGAATAAAACGATAAATGTTGGAACGGTTTCCGATCTTAAGTTTTATAAACCTGAAGCTTCTCAAAAAGACAATAATAGTGTGATATCGACTGGGAAAAAACTAAATAATAAAATGAAACAAAATGAGGCAAATGAAATCACAACTGAAGAAACCTCACCATCAACATCCAAACCAGCAATGACTAATGATGATTTTAGAAAAATGTTCATAGGTCATTAATCTATATAAAATTATATATATTTAGAATATTCATAAATGTAAGCTCATTATTATGTGAAGTTTGACATTCAGTTGTATGACATAATTTGATTATTTACAAGTAATGCGTCAACGCTTGAAATTATTTTATTTTATTATTTTAAACGTAGTGCCAAATTTTTGTTTCTGAAGGGAGTGGTGAATCAATCTCACTCGTCGTGCTTATCCGAATATTTTTTGATGATCTCTGTGTCGTAGGTAACGAGTCAAATGTTTTTAGATCTTTTCCAGATAGTAGCTTCTCCCAGGATTTGTTACATTTTTGGATTACAGAGAGAGTTTTTGCTACATCTAAATACTCCTCGTTGAAAGCAAATTCGTTTCTAGGTTTACCTTGAGGGACTTTATAATTTCTAAACCACTCTCTTGTATGGTGTAATAGTGTAGGCATATGCTTTTCTACATCTGTAAGGTTCTGTAGCTCACCCGCCAAGGGATCATTTATATCGATGGCGATAACTTTCCAGTCTAACTCTCCATCATCTATTAAACCCAGTGAGCCTAAGATTTTTACTCTCTTAATTTCACCTATGTTTAAAACGGCCGAACCTATCTCACAACAATCTAGAGGATCGTTATCCCCTTTGAGTCCAGTACCTTGAAATTCTTCTGTTGTTGGGTCCTCCCAAGTTTGTGGAATTGCACCATAATTATGCATGTAACCCTTGAATGGAAAAATATTATTCACAAATCTTAGTTTACCCTTTTTTGTATCCTGAGTAATAGGATTGAGTTTTAGTTCCTTGGATATCTCGAACTTCGCATTCGACCATCTAGGAATCTCAACAACCATATTCACAGTAGCATCCTCAGGAGTCAGGCCAAGTGGAACATCATGGAAAAAGGAACCTGCATCGCCGTTAGGCATACAGAGGTATTGCTTAAAGTTTTGAGAATATTTTGATCCTTGATTAATGGTCTTAAAACCCGATATTGATGATTGCGAGGCAAATGTCTTGTTGAAATTCAATCTTGTTACACATCGTGGAGTAATACGCAACATCTTATAATTATTATTGTACTCTTGGTTATAGTCGGCCAGTTTATATGGTTGGTGGTTTTGGTGATGTGATTGTCCTTTTTAAGGGAATATCCCTTTCACTCATAATTTTTTTATATTTTTTTGTTTGTTTATAACTTTCACCAAAAAGAAAGTTATTGAAGCGAATATTACAAATATCACTTGGATAGATGTCATCAGTTCAATTAATTATTAAGCAAATGAATTTTATTAAGTATAAAGAGTTCAGACATATATATTTTATATATATATAGTATTATTATTATTATTACAGTATATCAAAGTACACGTTTTTTTTAAAATTTTTCTATTAGTTATTAATTTAGAAGTCCTAAGCCATAGATTCGTCAGACTCCTCTTTAATATTATTCATGAAGATATCATTTTCTTCTTCTTCTTCCCCTTCCTTTTTTGGAGGAACACCTGTGAATGTTATCTTACCTTTAGTATCTATCTTGGCATTACGATCTGAGATATCTACAACACTTTCCAATTCTCTAATGATTTGTTTTGAGAAACCATATTCATCCTCAGGAATCCATAGCGATGGACATTCAGCACCTACAGCAGGGAAATCATAAGCATGTAACAATTCGGATTCATCCAAGACCTCATTAGGATCGATTAATCCATAAATCTCAGGTAATCTACTCTTGACAGCCTTATAGGAGCAATATATATGTGGTTTGAAAAATCTTGTGTAGAATGAAGCTGGTGGGATTGCCACGGTGTCCCCATCTGCTAATAATGGAACCCCAATAACATTATTTTCGGGAGTCTCCAATGCTTCATCATACATATAAGGATATGTAGTATCACTGATCCCGGATTTAGAATCACTAGGATTATTAAATGGATTCTTTGCTTGATATTTGGGTATTGGGAATTGTGGTAATTCTTTAATACCATCTTTTCCATCATTCTTTTCAACATTGTAAATGTTCTTAAATGATGGTGTATCTGTCTTACCATCTAATGGCTTCATTGTATCCACTGGTAATAGTGTCATTAAATCATCAAATGCATGATTTAATTGTAAATGTAAAATGACAGAGACACAAATACAGATGACTTGAAGGACAATTGGACCCCAACCTTTACCAACAACAAATAAACCTAATAAACAAATTTCACCAATGTACATCCCTGTTAAAGTTTGGAATAAAGCTCTTGGATAATTGATACCTCTAGCGTCTGGTGCTTCACTAAACACGTAAGTTAAATTGTATAAATATGCGACATATAATAAGAAATAACCACATGCACAGAATAATAGGATAATTGGAGAAATGATGGAATAAGAGAAGACGATGACAGCCAAGTTAGTATAGACTGGATATGTAGTCCCCCATTGCATTGAACTTAGATTTATAAATCTATTGTACTTCTTTCTTGGAGTACCATCTAATATAGTTCCTAAAGCATAGAATATTAATAAAGGAACAATTTGTAAAAGAGCACCGGATGAAATAGACATACCTTGAAGAATAATATATGAGATATAGAAATTGGAAGCCTTTGGTAAATTTGTAGCTAACAATTCCATTGCTTTTGTTGGTTCAGATACAATTTGTGTGACGACAGAAGTAGCAGCGGAAGTAATTGTAGTGACAAGGAAAACTTGAACCACTTGGAATGCAAAATATGCATTTTGTGTAAAATGTTCAACTTTTTGAGTTGATGGAGATCCTTGAAGAACAGCCATACCTCTAATAATTTTTGGTAAGAAACTCATCAATACAGCCAAAGCTACTGTTGGTGCTAAAGATGTCAATAAACCTAACAATTGATTTGGTAATTTATAAATAAAACGTAACCAATGAACTTTATCAGTCAAATAAGTAATATTAGAGATCAGACCAACAAATGCAACAGGGAAAGCCCATAGAATAACCAAAGCACAAATAACTGCAATTGTACCTACTTCTCTACTTAATCTTTCCCACCAAAACATTCTTAGATTAAACCAAACAACATCCTTTGGTTCAAGACCGATATAAGCTGGAGTCATAAATAAAGGAGCATGAAAAGTTGTCACTTGAGCAGCCACTTGAGCTTGATATTGAGATTCAAATTCCACAAAGACAGAATTGAATGGTTCTCCATTAATATGATCATCTTGTAACTCTTTAATTTCTTTATTTATTTTTGGTAATTCTTCTTTTAATTCAGAGATTGTATCGATAGTCTTTCTAAATATAATTTTATTCCAAAAATTTTTAGCATGATGAGGTCTATTCTTTTCGGGTACATAAGTTGAAATTTCATCTTCAATAATTGTACTTGGATTTTTTTTCCTCATTTTACTAACTTTTGTAACTGCATTTTTCAGATAAGAAATCGAGGCAGATTCTAATTGCATTGCCATTTTTTCTCTTTCATTAACTAAATCCTCAATATTATTTGCACCTCTAGCAATCCAAACTCTTTTCACACCATCGAATAATTTTGAAAATTCTGTTTCACTTAAATATTGAGCTGGTACAGTTTGAAATAATACAGTTCTTGAAGATAATTTTTTAGCATATCTTGGTGATGCCAAAACAGCTTGTCTCATTGAAGTATAAAAAAACAATTCACGATAAACAATATATAAGAATGACCAATAAAACGCCCAAGAGATGAACACATGAGCATAATATCTTTTAGGATCCTTAACATTAGTATACGCCAATTGATTTAAACCTGTTTCATGTTCACCATTTGTTGCATTAACAGCAAATAAAATTGGGAAGATATATAATAAAGAAAATGCACAAAATGCACAAATAATGAAAAGATATCTTAAAAAAAAATAACCATCTAAACCTGCTTGTTGAATAACAAAATTATCAGATTTACGTAATAATGGCACTACCCATTGCCATAAACCTTTTGGTAATGGTTCAGGTCTTTTCTCTTCATTAATTAATTGGAAAGAAGATTTTGGTTCGTAAATACGCTTTAATTTAATTCTAAATAGAAGAAATAATGATATAAATACACCAAAGATTACACCATTTGAGACTAATGCCGTAACGACTTGTTGAGTCGAGGTACTAGTCGTATTAGTAGTATCTGTCATAAATGAGAGTTTTAGTGTATATTAAATCTATGCTCCTTTCTTTTTATCAATTTTTTAAATAGTAAAGCAAAACAAAACAAAGCAAATTAATTTAATGTCAAGATATAACAAGGGCTCATCACCTTGTTCTTCTTATATAATATTATGTAAGATAAGTTTTTCAATTCCCAAAAGGAAAGAAATATGCAAAAAAAAAAAGAAGAAGAAGAAGGAAAGAGCTTTCAATTAACAAGACGGATAAAATAAACAAGGAGGGACCACTAAAGAATGCTTCCTCTTCTTCTGCTTTAGAATGCACGATGAGCAATCAATACAGGGAATGCTATAACAATAACGGAGAATTCACGCTTCACATAGCAATGGCATGGCTTGCCCTTCCAAGTTCTCTAATGTTGTCATTGTCATTGTTGTTGTTGTTGTTGCTGTTGTTGTTCCGTCTTTGCTCTCGAGCACACCGCCACAACAAAAATGCCGACAGCTGGACAAATTTTTTTTCGTTGCTCTGTTTTCTGCGGGGGTTGCCGTGTCTGTTTCAGGCCAACCACCCAGCACAGACACACAGACACACACACAGAGAACAACGCGAGGGCCGCGGGCACCGCTAGTTTTTTCGTTCTTTTGTTTTCTCTGTGTGTTGGTTACAGCGATAAAATGTCGATGATGGGAGTGAACGAGTGAGTGACGTAAGGCTAACGATGATGCAAAATGTGTTAGCTTAATGCTTATTTCGTGTTTGGATACGTGTAGTTGATATCCAATTGAGGTGTGGGTGTGGATGTGGGTGAAGTAACATACAATGTAACTGTTATGGTGTTCAAGACCCTGCTGAAACATACGAATCTCTCAGTAACAGCACATTTACACTGCTATTACACATATAGCACTATTAATCCTGTTGGGCAGCGCGCGTTGCTATCATAAATTGAAAAAAAATAAATAGATAGATAGATTATGTAAAGCGGTACACTACTATTAATTTTTAATTAAGAAAAAAAAAACAAGCTTGCAAAGAGATAGTATGCTATATTAATATATCTGTATAATCGATGACATTGGAAAGGATAAAAGGGGAAGGCCCAGAAAAAAACACAGAGACACTAATACAGGGATCAAAATGAATCATGCTACGATTTTTAAATGGAGTAGTTGTCCTGGAGAATTAAATATACCTGAGACACCTGTATCACAAATTAAACGACTTCATATTTATGATTTTGATAATACCTTGTATAAAACTCCAGGTCCAAGCAGGATTCTTTATACTAATAGAACAGTAGGACGCTTAATGAGTAATGAAACTTTGACGAATGGAAGTTGGTGGGATCAACCTTGTTTCTTAGAGGAATCATTTAAGATGTGTGTAGCATCAACTAAAGAAAGATTTTGGAATGAAAAAATGATTTCTTTAGCAAGTTTATCATATAAAGATCCAGAGACAATTTCTTTAGTATTGACAGGAAGAAAACAAGCATTATTTGCAGATTTAATTGAGAAAATGTTAGATGTAACGAGAAAATTAGCTAAAACTAAAAAATTGAATAAAAATAATAATCTTGATGATGTTAATGAGGATGAAAATTATTCTTTATATGAAGAATGGGAAACTGATCCAAATTTTTTAAAATTTAATGCAATTTGTTTAAAGAAAAAATTAGGTAGAATACCATCGATACTACCAACATTTCAATATAAATCTGATTTAATTGCAGATTTTATTAGAAATTATCCAAATTTAGAAGAAATTACAATTTATGATGATAGATTACGACATATTAAACAATTTAAATTATTTTTCCAGGATATGAGACCAAGGCCAAAATTTCAATGGTTTGTTATACCTGTACCGCAAGTAGCAATAAATTTAGATCCAGTAGCAGAATATTCTTTAGTACATAAAGTTATTAAAGAATATAATGAATTGAAAACCATCAATGAACAATTTTTAGAAATTAAATGGACTCCGAAATGTACAGGGTTTTTCTTAACAATGGAATCGCAAAGAAGAATATTAAAACATGCTTTCCTCGTATCAAGAAAGAGTAATTTGAAAAGAATTTTAAATCTTTCGGAATATCCAATGTATATACCAATTTGTGAACCAGGTCAATCAATTTCATTAAATACAATTGCAGAAATGTATGTCAATGATGAAAATGCAGCTACATCATTAGAATTTTTACAAAAATTTTATAATCAAAGAAAATCTGAAAATAGGAAAAATGTAGAATTTATCGTGACTCATTTTTCTTTTAAACCAATACCATCTCCAAGAGAAAGAGAAGGCTTAGTATATTTTAAAGTAAGACCTAAAATTAGATCAACAAAAATTTCAACATCCTTTGAAAAAGGTACACCATTAATTATAGCGGGTCATTTAACAGAAGAACCATCAGATAAATATATTCGCTATGAATTTACTGATAATTATATGAGAGAAAATAAAATGATTTGGACACCATTAATAAAAACAATCACAATAGATACAACATTTGGGAATTATTCTAAAATGAGATTTTAACATGCATGCATACAAGACACACACATATATATATGTATATATTTTCATAATAATGTATACTATCTATATCTTGCAATTTAAATATTTACTTATTTTTACATAGGTGATTTATTTAATAATGATTTCAATTCTGGATCTGTAGCTAAACGAGCTTCCATCTTTCTTCTTGCATCCCATACCATATATCTTCTTCGTTGATCCATATCTAAATCTGAAAATTCTACAGATTCAAATTCATTATCGCAATTCGGATCATTAATATCAATCTTAAATTTTGTCAATAAATTATCGCTCTTAATATTACTTCTCTTTCTTGGATCGCTACTTGTTTCATCTCTTGAAGAACGACTTCCATTAGGAATAACGGGTGGTGTATAATCTGGTGGGAATGGGAAAGCTTCACCTCTAAGGTATCTCTCCACAGTTATTTCTACTGATCCCGATTGTTGCAAAGCGTATCTGATTTGTTCAATGTCCATGGCAGGCGCAACATTTTGTACTGATTGTATCATATCTGGAGTCACTGTATGTCCACCACGTCTACCACCAGAAGTTCTAGCCCTTTGACCAGTTGACCCTCTTCCTCTAACTTGAGATGTATTCATTCTATCCGTTGAAGGATGTGCATCTGTTTGAAGGAACCATTTCAATATGAAAACACCTAGTAGTAATGTGATAATAATTGATAATATAGAGGAATCCATGCTTGTATATTGCAGATATTATGTCTTGTTAAAAGATATCAACTAGAGTTTCAAAATATATACCTTAGTATTTACGAATGATCCATTCTCTTTATTACTATCGTTTACCAGTTTTAAAGATATTATTACATATTTATCTGTCAAGAACGAAATTCTCCCCCCACCATAAAGAAACGTCCTATTAATGGGGCCTCTCTTTCATTTTCCCTTACCTTTTGGGGGGGGGGAATCCTTTCTTGTCGGGTTTTTCCCTTCACCCAACAACAACCTGACTAACAAAAAACAAGCAGACGTACGTAAACGAGCTATATAACAGATTGAAACTCAACTTCGATAGAAGTATAGATATATTACAATATTATTAATGCTATGTAGTGATATAATTGTTGCTTGGTGGCATGGTTATATAAATGGGTAACGTTTGAGTAAAAACACAAGGATATGGGAAGGTGAGGATCCGAGTTAATAAGTAGAGCGAAATAATGAATCCTATATAAATATATATTTTTTCTATGTTCTCATTGGTGATTCCCACTTTTAAATTCCATTCTAAATTTCTTCTTTTGACTCTTTACTTTGTAGATAAATTGTGGAATACATTCCATCTCCTTTATCGTTACTGATTCAAAATGTTTTTTCACTTCATTCGATAATTCTTTCTTATGTATTCTTGCATCAGGTTTCCCTATCTTATTTCTTTCAAATGAATATGTCTTTGAACCTAATTTCGAACCTAAAAGATATCCTCTAAATGTCATATTGTCTGGGGTATTCAAATTAAAATGATCCTTATAGTTACGTAAGAAATCATCAGAATAATTTTCAAAATCAGATGGATTTGTACGAGGATTCACTATGCTAGGATGGTTATCTGTAATATGTGTAGTAACTAAATTCTTTAAATATTGTTGTTGTGCAGTTGTAAGTCTTTGTTTACTTTGGTTATTACCTGTAGTTGAACCTGATCCACTAGCATTAGTCTTAGAAGTTCCGGAATTGGTCTTACCTGATCTACCGGACTTCGAGTCAGATTCACTGTTTGAGTTTGTGTTTCTTGCCATTTGGTCTTTTGTATCTAGTTTTTTCTTTTGAAGAATATAGTTAAATTTAAATGATATTAAGTTTGTTATACTATCAATTGTTGATTACAATGTTCTTTTGTGGTAGTTTCTTTCCGCCCACAAGAGTTCAATTTCAACTAGTTGTATGAATTATGTATATAGGTATACAAATATTTATTATATTTTTTAAAAACGGAAAATTAATTTATTTTCTTTTAATTCCTCTTTACGTAAAATATTGAAAAATAAAAAAAATAATCGAAGTAGAAAAAACACAGAATATTAAAGGATACATTAAAATCATCTTTCATTGCTTACTACTGGACTGTAACATTTTTTTGAATCTATCTTGTGTTTATAAATCATTATGCATAAATCTACAGAAATTATCAAAAACAAGTCTACGAGTCTCATGCGATGAACCTAAGGGTAACACTTTTGCCAATTTTTCTAATGTATCCTCTAACGAATCTTGTAAAGATATTTCAGTTACTCCATTATCCACAATATAATCTGTCTCAGTTAGAATGCATTTATGAGGTACTTGTGAATAATCTAAATTTCCTTCATCTTTCTTAAAACTAATATATTGAGACACACTAATAAATATTCTTTGCTCGGTGAATTTTTTAATCCATTGACTTAATAAGAATTCGATTGAACCTGTATATGAATGAAGACAAATCTTAATGGGTATTACATTTAATAAATATTGTTGACAAATGTCAAATAATTTCATATGGCAATTTACATCATGTAACGAAACATTCAATGATTTATCACAAGCTAATTGTAACATTCTCTTAAAGACTTTCACTTGATGATCCATTGAAACTTTAATTTTTGTCTTTGTAATTATAACTTCAGCATCATTCGAATGACCTTGATAAAACCCATTCGATGGTATATAAAATGATTTATCTAAACCAATTTCTCCAATTAAATTTACATTTGAAAAATCTATATTTGAAATATATTCTTCAATATATACAGGATCAGGTAATACATCTTGGATTAATTTAGTCAAGATAATACTATCAGATTCTTTATAATTCAATATCTGTCTGTAATGTTGTTCTTTTGTTAATGTTTTTTCATTTTTAAATGTAAATAAATGTGAATACCAAGGATGAATACCAAAACCTTTATATTGAGGTGAACTATTATTACCCTTTTTAAATTGGATTAATTGCAATCTAGCCCAATCATAAGGATTATTAGACATCAATGCTCTGCTTATCTTATCATTAGATAATTCATGTACAGGTTGTTGAATTTCATGAGGAGTAGTACCTACATGACAATGAGCATCAACTAATGGCACAATATCGATACTTTTTTCATTCATTTGATCTTACCAAAAAACAAGAACCAAAACAATAGCTCTCCCTTAAAATATGTAAAAAGGTAATTTTAAACCAACCAAAAGCACGACAGAAAAACGATAAAAAGGTCACTTCTAACCACTTAACGTAGTCAATATTATAATAAAGACAGACTTGTAGTTGCTGTTCATCTTGTATTACTGTTCTATTCTCACAATTTCTAAAAAGTAAAACTTTAAGATAGTTTTTCAATATCCTACCTAATAGGGCTAACGCTGAACGCTCCCAAATATATTGGGATTTGGAATAAAAAACAGTACGAGGTAATTTACAACTGTGGGGAGTATCCGCTCTCTTCAGTTCCTCCCCCCAAAATAATCAGAGTTAAACCCTAAGGAGAGCCGCGAGAGGAGAGCCGTGAGGGGTGAAGGGGTCTTAACGAGACAGACAGACAGCCCAGAGAATCAATCAACCAATAGCGAATGCAGCGCAGGACCCACCAGCACTTCCAAAATCAAAAAATGGAAATAGTTAGCGAGGGATGACCGAGAAAAAAATAGGGGAGAGAGAAAGGCAATAGCCAACGTTGTAGCGTTATAGTGGTACGTAGCACGTCTTTAATGTACTATAATTAGCCATTTGAGGAGTCAAATGCAAAGAAACAAACAGAAAAAACTTAGAGCAACTTCGGTTAGTGACACAAACAGTCTAGAGATGGTTGCCATCCTTCTTTCCCTTGCTTGAAACATGCATATTCCAATTTTTATTAGTATATTGGTGGCATGCTTTTGAAGAAATTTAAAAATGTATAAATATAAGTTAGATGTTGGGAAGATAAGTTTTTATTACACTTTTATTCTTCTTTCCTTTCTTTGGTGATTTCAATAGTTACGGGTGAAGAAGGAATGACATATTCTTAAAAGTAAAATTTAAAAAATACAAAAAAGTGTCTTAATACTTAACCTACAGAACTAACACCCCCCACAGAGTATAATAAAAATATTATTTATGACTTTACTAATTGCATCACTTTATTTACCTTATAAGCCTCAATTTGATGTGGAAAATGTTGAAAATATTACAAAAGATCTTTTAAAGGATAAACATCGAGAAGGCCTGACTACAATTGACAGTAATCGTTCAATTAACAGAGTAATTTCTCCTATTGGAACCCCTTATAGAGAAAATGCTTTAAATGCAGATAATATATCTCAGGAATCATTAATTTTAAATACTGAACATTTTAGAAAAAATAAATCATCAACTGCAGTAGATAGACAAGTTTCTTCAGAGCAAGTAATGGAAAGTTTAACATCAAATGCTCAGACTAATGTTGGATCACCTCCACATCTCTATCCAAGTAATTCTTCAGTTGAGAATTTTTTTGGTAGTAGTACAAATATCACAATTAATAGATCAGCTTCTCCATCTAGATCTTTACCACCACAACCTTTAAAATCAACTATGTATGATGATCCAACTGAAAGTTTATTAAAAAGTGTTAATAAATCATTATTAAAGCATAGTATCCAAAATAGATCAGCTAATAGACAAAAGACTGGTCAACCACCTTCATTGAAAAGATTAAATTCAAATTTAAAATATTCAACAAAAGTTTTACCTGTATCGATACCTTCTCATTTACAACAAATTGATTCTGATTTAGATGATAATAAAAGTATTATCAATGAAACAACTTATAATGTTCCACCTTTTGGTGGGATTTCTAATCAAGATCCAACTTTAAAAGCTAAAATCTTAGATAATTCTCATACATTATTTGGAGATTTACCTTGTAATTTGGTCCCCAATGATTTGAAAGGGAATGGTTCTTTAAAAAATGCAATTAATAGTTTTATTACACAAAATGCAATGACTGAATTTCCAGACGATCCTTTGATTAATCATGCCTCTTGGGTTGGTACAATGGGTATAGCAACAGATGAATTATCAGAAGAAACAATTGATGATATTGTTTCAACTTATAATAACGATTTCAATTGTTTCCCAGTAGTAGCAGATGATACAACATTTAGTGGTTGTTATAAAAATTATTGTAAACAAATATTATGGCCAACTTTACACTATCAAATTCCAGATAATCCTTTATCAAAGGCATTTGAGGATCATTCGTGGAAATTTTATCAAAGGGTAAATCAATTATTTGCGGATAAACTTATTGAACAATATAAACCTGGCGATACAATTTGGATTCATGATTATCATCTAATGCTAGTACCACGAATGGTTAGAGACAAATTACCTACTGCCAAAATTGGGTTTTTCCTTCATATTTCATTCCCAAGTAGTGAAGTCTTTAGATGTTTAGCTCATAGAGAACAAATCCTTGATGGTATCTTGGGTGCTAGTTTTATTGGATTTCAAATTAAAGAATATTTAAAACATTTTATTCAGACATGTAGTAGATTAGTGATGGCAGATACTATAGACAATGACACAGTTATTGAATACCAAGGAAATTTTATTAAGATTGGGAACATCCCTATAGGTATAGATGCATTAGATTTACAACTACAATTATTTGAAGATGATTCCGTCAGAGAATGGAAAAAAGCCATAAGGGAAAGATGGAATGATACTAAATTAATTGTCTCTAGAGATCAATTTGATAGAGTAAGAGGATTGATACAAAAATTAACAGCTTTTGAGAAATTTTTACTAGATAATCCAAAATATATTGGTGAAGTATCTTTGATTCAAATATGTATTAGTTCTTCTAACGATGAAAACTTAAAGAAACAAATTACAATTATCGCTGATCGTATCAATGAACTTACTGTGTCAATTGGTGATACCCCACCTGTTGTTTTCTTATACCAAGATCTTGAATATGAACAATATTTAGCATTGATTTCTGAAGCCGATTTATTTTGGGTTAATTCACAAAGAGAAGGTATGAATTTATCATGCCATGAATTTATTGCGTCATCTTTAGTGAAAAATGCTCCTTTATTACTTTCAGAATTTACAGGAAGTGCTTCTGAGTTAGCAGAAGGATCGTTGATAATTAATCCATGGGATATTAAAAGTGTTTCTGAGGCAATAAAAAGAGGAATTCAATTATCTAATATTGAAAAACGCTCCAATTGGAAAAATTTATTGAAAAGAATTATTGTTTACGATTCAGATAATTGGATTAAAAAAAATTTAACATCAATTAATATGTCCTGGAAGTCCAATCAAGAAAGATCTACATTATTTAAGATGGATATGAATTCTTTACAGACACAATATATGAAATCCGAAAAGAGGTTTTTCATTTTAAAGATTTCTAAACCACCATTAACAAGAACTTTAGATATATTAAATGAATTAGCGACAGAAAAGAATAACATTGTATTCGTTATAAATTCATTTTCAAAATCAGTATTAGAAATTCTTTACAATAGAGCCCCAAATGTTGGATTATTAGCTGAAAATGGTGCATATATTAAATTGGATGATAATTGGTACAATATGGTAGATCAAATTGATTGGAAAACTGATGTAGTTAAGATATTTGATGACAAAATGGAAAGGCTACCAGGTTCTTATTATAAAGTATCTGATTCGTTAATAAAGTTTCATACTGAGAATGCGATTGATAAAGAACGTGTCAAAGGAACAATTGGTGATATTATCACACATATTAATTCTACGTTCCAAGATAAAAACATTCATGCTTATGTTCTTAATGACATCATTTATGTGCAACAAAATGGATTATCAATACAAGCATTACAGTTCCTATTAAATTATTATAACAGTGCTACTATGAATGACGATGATAATATTAATAGTAATAATACAAATAATGCCAATAGTGTTGCGGCAAATATCAAGAAACTACTGTCGCACACTGCGAAGATTTCTCAATCAAAAGCTGATTCTGAAACGAAAAAGACCGACTCAAATAAGAAATCAATGATACCAATAGATTTTATGTTAGTAGCAGGTTCATCGTCTCCAATATTAGATCCTATATTCAATGAAGTAAACAAATGTAGTAAAAACGGTGATTTCAAATTTGGGCACACAATCACTTATGATAGAGGTGCCTCCTCAACATTTGCCAAAGAACATATTACAGGGCTTAATGAATTGTTAAGTTCTTTGAATATGATATCGAAGTCCTAAACAAAAACAACAACAATATATGTATATATATATATATATGTATATATCCATTTACAAAGGATCTTAAGTACAATTAACATTTGTGACATTCTATTTGAAATTTTTATCAGCTTAGACTTATAAATCGCCTAAACCAGATGGAGGGATAATACGGCATGAGTTGCTAAAGTGGTTAGTAAATAAACCATGCATAAACTACACATATAAATAAGTAATTGCTTCTACATCTCCCCCAAATATGTTTTCATACCCTACATGCGAAGGTAATTTTGAGCGGGAATCCTCCCTCCTCCGTCCCCCGAGCGGATTTCTGAGAAGAAAGTTATTTCGGGTGGATTAACATGAAGAGACTTCAATATCACTACAGACGAACAAGACATTTTGGCGAGAAAAGAAAGAAAGAAAATTTTGCGTCCCTCAGATTTGCAGACAAATGCCGCAGAGACTCAGCTAAAAAAGAAAAAGAAAGCACATGTAATTTTCGCTTTTGCGTGCATCGCGCTCTTAAATGACAATTAACAGTGTCATTTAGCACACAATATATAAGCAACGAAAAAGTGATGAAATTTTTCAGTCTTTGTTATTAAAATATTTAAAATTTATTAACTTCTATACTTATAAGTGTTTCCATATTGTATTTAATATACATATAGTTTAGTAAATAAACCAAAAAATATCCAAAAAACTAATTCATCATGGGTAAAAAAAACACCAAAGGTGGTAAGAAAGGTAGAAGAGGAAAGAACGAATCCGATGGTCCAAAGCGTGAGCTTTACTACAAGGAAGATGGCCAAGAATACGCTCAAATCACCAAGATGCTTGGTAATGGTAGAGTTGAAGCCAGTTGTTTTGATGGTGTTAAGAGAATGGCTCACATTAGAGGTAAATTAAGAAAGAAGGTTTGGATGGGCCAAGGTGATATCATTTTGGTCTCTCTAAGAGATTTCCAAGATGATCAATGTGATGTTGTTCACAAATATAACTTAGATGAAGCTAGAACTTTGAAGAACCAAGGTGAACTTCCAGAAAATGCTAAGATTAATGAAGGTGAAAACTTCGGTTTCGACTCTGATGAAGATGTTAACTTCGAGTTCGGTAACGCTGATGACTCTGATGAAGATGAAGATGATGAAGATTTGGATATCGATGATATCTAATTGAAGAACTGTGAAATTGAATATTTTCCTTTTCTTTTTTTTTTTGTTCAGGGTTTTACAGTTTGTTGCTCTATTATAAATAGTCCGATTAACTTTCTACTAGAAACAATCTTTTATTCTAATTAATCCAATTAATATATTGTGCGATACCTTTGCAATTTGATCCATCTATTGAAACTGAAAAAAATAAATTATAGATATGCATCTTATTACTAAAAAGTGATTAAACAAATTATTTCATATTGTTTGATGATTTTTTTTTTTCATTTTCTAATTGTTTCTAATGATGGTTATTTTTGAGAAGTACTACTGCATGAATTCATAGTCATTGTTGTTGCATTGTTTTGTATCATTATGAAAAGAAAACAAACTAATTTAAAAACACACACACAACCGGTAAGGTTTTATGTACCTTAATAATACTATATACTACATAAAATATCTAATTCGTATTCTATTGATCTACTTTTTATTTCACTTTGCAATTTTCAGATAGTGTTTTGCAACAGTTAACATATATAGGCTATTTTTTTTTTTTGGTCAGTGAAAATTTTTGTGCGATGAGCTCTTCGAAAGATGGCCAAACATAGAGAGTTTGAAAATTTCAATATTATAATAAGAAGAGAGTTTAAATACATAGAAGATTATTATTGAAAATATAATTGAACTTCATTTATTGCAAGAAACGTGTATAACATTCCAATGCGATGGATCAACTTATAAAGGAAGCAAAAGCGTATCTTTTACAGAGAGATATCGTAAATAGAATAAAAGAAGATAATAGTGATGGAACGATCGATACACTCAGCACTATTTTTGAAACACTATCAAAACCAATCATCGATAACTCAATCGTTTTAGATGATCCTGGCAGATTGATTTTAATTGATACTTTTTCGATATGGATGGTTAGGTCCACTAAAATTATTCAAAATAAGAAAATTAATAGTGTATCTTTTTCTAGAACTATTGAAAATAAATTATTATCATCACAAAACTGTAACATAATCCTTCAATATATCATTGATTTTTGGTCCGACAGTACTCCTGCTCTAAGTAATGCACTGAGAGATTTGTTAAACAAATTCCTAACTCTATTAAAGATTGTTCTCCCAAATGAACAATTCAATGAATTTTTATCGTATTGGCTTGACTTAATTTTGACAATTCCATCTATGTTACGTATTCACTATAACCTAATTGAAATATTTGCAGTTGATTTGGATATGTATAATCTATTGGAGAAGAGGCCACATTTTATTGAAAGTTCTCTACATGAAATTGCGAAGGAATCTCTAGCTAACGCCATTGGGAAATGTCTAGTCAACGTGCTAGTCAACATCTATAAATTGCATTTCAAGAATGATATTAAGAATATTATCCCATGGATATCATTGTGGAATGAACACACACTTTCAGGCCTTCAGCAGCAAAAATATACAAAACCCATATCGTTGTATTTTTTGACCCCATTATTTAAGAACATGCCATCTGAGGCGTTTGTCCAATTTCTTCAAAATAAAGATTTACAAAATGAACCAGCTTTGCTGTTGTCCTTATTGAAAATTGGTCAAAATATATGTATTGAAGAACCTTTTCATGATAACAAATTAATATCTTTAGAACAATTGGAAATTTTTCTACAAACTGACGAATATAAACTTGCTACTTTTGAAATTTTGACTTATGCCAGTAAAAAATCAAAAATTGTACAACCTTATATCTTTGAAATTATTAAACGCAATTTAAGAATATATTTTGCAGATGTAGAGTTAGAAAACAGAAATTATTTTATTAGTTCTTTCAAACATTTCATTATAAGAATACGAGATTCTGCATACGCTATGAATAGACAACTATTTAAACTTCGAAAAGCTGAAAAATTTCCAAAAGAACAATCTGATTTGGAAAACCGTTTGGATCAGTATTTATTATTTTTGCAGTGGGTGGTTCGATTTTTGAAATGTGAAATGGTGCCAGGTTCTCAATACCATAGAAATTTAATGTCATTAAATATTCTGAACATATTAATCTGTTCTGGTCTTGACAAAGAAATACCAGAAAAATATTTATACAAACAAGAACCGAGAGAATACCCATTTGAGGTGTCATTGAGTAAAGATCAAACAATATTTAGACTTTTGGTCGATAACCTTTCCGATAATGTTCCTGATATTCGTAAGATATCAAAGGAAATCTTGTTGATATTTAACAAGACCGAGAATTCATCTACACTGTTTGGAAAAATAGATATAGCACATTTTAACGATATAGTTTATAAGAATATGGAAATTTATCAAAATGTTGATATTGGTGCCACATTAGAATCGTTTTTGTTTAATGTAACTCAAGATCAATCAAAATATTTACTGTCACTCCTCGAAAAATTAGACCTGGAAGTTGCAAAAGTGCAAAGTGATTACATATCTAACGCTAATAATAAAATCAGCAGTTATTTATCATCATTGAGTCTTATATTAAATGAATTAGATTCAAAGTCCGAAATTCTAGATATTGAAATTATTATTCAACACGTATGGGATGACATATTAGAAATTTGGGAACTAGTAAGGGATATATTATGTTATGATGCTTCTGATAGTTTACTCCCAGAACAATTCTTGAATAGTGGGCTATCAGACCAACTGCTGTCAAGTTATGCATATAGGTCCGTAAAGGAAATGTCTGCCGTGTTGATTGTATTATTAGATAAATATGCTCTTTCAGAACATATGCTGATGTCAATCGGTGATCTTCTAATTAATCAATTATTTTCAATCCGCCACAGTGGTGCATTCCAAGCTGTTCTTCCAACTTTTAGAGAATGTTGTGTAAGATGTGAGAAAAACCTTCCTGCTCAATTAGATATGTGGTTAACTCTAATATTGGAGGAACTTCAAACCAAAACCCAGCATATTACAAGAAGATCAGGTGGTCTACCCTTCTTATTAACAAATATTTTACGTGCAGAAACTCATAAACAAAGGCCGAAATTAAAGTCTGTTTTCAATAAATTATTCGAGCTGGCCAATTTAGAGATCCCAGAACATCAAGATAAATTAGACATTCCTCAAATAAATGCAATTAATTGTATCAAAGCGATATTCATTGAGTCCGGTTTGTCTGATTCTTGTCAACCATATATCCCAGCCGCCCTACAGTTATCATTCAAATATTTTAACTCCGATATTTGGGCTCTCAGAAACTGTTCTTTAATGCTTTTTACTTCCATCCAGAATAGAATTTTTGGGAAATCTGGTAAAGTCTTAAGTGCTAGACTATTTTTTACGAAGTATGTAGGCATTAAGGAATCGATGTACAAGATTTTAGCAATGGCAAATTCCTTCGATACAACCAGTGTAGAAGATGAGAGAAAATATGAATCCATTTTTTTGGTCCTAAACATTCTATTATCAATAAAATCTTCATCAGGTTCTAACGAATTAGATGAAATTCTTGACGAAGTTGAAAAATTTCTGGGTGACAAAAATTGGAAGGTCCGTGATGTTGCCGCTAGGGTCATAGCTTCACTACATCAGGATCCTTACGGGAAAGCATTATCAATAATAAATAGACTAAAGCTATCAAACCAAAATTTATTACATGGTTCATTGTTTACTGTGTATTATGTCGTACACAATAGATCAACTTATGATGACACATGTGATAACCAAAGTTATACGAACCTTGTAGATAACTTAATTAAAAAAGCTAGTCTATTTACAAAAGAAAATACATGTTTCGAGACAAGTATGGCTTATCTAAAGATAGTTAAGTTGATACTAAATAGGATACCTAATACTACATCAAGTGTTTTGTCTCACTTTTTTGACGACTTAAAAATTTACTTTTTATACCATCTCTCCATAACTGAGAGCTATGGAAGCAAGCAGCTATGTCTATCGATTGCTCTTGAGATTTTATTATCTTATGGACCAATAGAAATATTTTTTATGCTATGTGACAATAGTATCCATTCAAAGCTCTATGAAATTCAAAGGACAGCAATTTGGTTTATAACCGAATATGATTTATTGGGAACTGTGGGCGACATTGAGAAGGATAAAATAGTTAAAAGACTTCTAGAATTGCTGCAAACAGAGAGTACTCTTCCAAGTGTGAAAACTGGAGCAGTGAAAGCTTTAAGGGGAATTAAAAATGGTATTGACAAAACCCTGGCTCTATCTCTAATTACTTCACAAAATTCAGAAACCACAAAATTAGCAGTTCTTGAAATATTAGGTACCACCATTTCCTCAGATAATTTTGATACGTATTGGAACATTATATCAAGATATGCAAAGGATTCTTCCAGCGAAAATACTAGACTATCAGTTTTGCATTCAATTCAAAATTTTTCCAAAAATACACAAAAGATTGAAGTATTGGTACTTCTTCATAAAACATTAAGTGATGATGATATTGATATTAGAGATGAGGCTTCTCATTTTATGAACCAGGAATTATTAAGTAACGAGGAGTTTCAGTTGGAAGTCAGTGCAGTCGTTACATCTACAAGATTATATGATTTGTTGAGTAAATATTGTACCGAAGCGGAAATTAAAATGTATTTGAGTAAAGCGGTAATGAACTACTTTTCGAGCAATAATGTATTTTCTCAGTTAAATGAACAGACCAATATTCTATTCAATGCCGAAGAAGATAATCAATATAGAAACAATATTGAATTAATAACCCAATATATCGCAATCTTGAGAAGATACACAGTCTCAAAAGAACTTTCTACTTTCTGCGAACATTTCATAACCCAATTGGACTCTACCATTAATACAAAAGGAATAGTAGATGGTCCTCAAGGATGGCTTTCAACACATTTCCCGCTTTCAGTTATTATTTTATTAAAGGAACTGGTAGAATTGTGCCACCCAAACAAATCTAAAGAATTTGCTCTGATGTTAAAGGCTTGTCACGCGCATCCGATAGTGTCAGAATATTTATATATCGATAATTGAATACTTTATAGAATTAAGAATGGAATTATGTGTTAATAGAATTTCAATAATTTTTCAATATTTACAGATGGCATCTTTGTAAAGGCACGGCGTTGCATTTACAGTAGTCGGAAATTTGTTGAGTTTTATCGCCCATCAAAAATTATCACCCAAAGATGATGCAGGATATAAATAGTTTATACATTAAACAAAGAAAATTTTAGACAAATGAGGAACGTATTTTATCAACTTGGTTCTATTAGTTATCTCACTGGACGGTATCCAAATGTCAGCAGTCGATAGGAATGAGTTCGACACATTCCTAACTGTTTGGTCAAAAGTGAGCTACTTTTTAAATCAAAATGAGCTAGTAACTTTAGGACTAGTTTCCAAAAAACTCCGTAATGAAATCGCGCTACCAAGACTGTTTAATAGGATTCATATAACCAAAAATCCAATATTAAGAGTCACTGGTTGTTATCTAGATTGTAGTGCTACATACATCAGTGGGTTCCGATCGGTTCAGAAAACCAATGATCAGAATGACATTTTTATTTATGACAGAATAGAACAGTTTTTATGTATTCTCGAGGGCCGCAAACATTTAATTAAGGAATTTATTCTCGATGACTCTGTTTTCGCAGATATTTATGGATCACGAGTATTACTAAACCAATTGATATCTACTATTACCGGTATATCAACAATTGAAAAAGTTTTAATTAGGGATCCCATACTCTTAAATGACGCTTTTGAGAAAATTCAAGTGATAGAATCCTTGAAATATTTAGAGGTATACAATTTCATCTTATCTGCTTATAATATCGGTATGTCAAATGTTACCAGCATGAAAATAATGATTAATTCTGAATTTGACTCTGATTTTGTTATTGACGAAATATTGATGGATATATTCGTCAATCAAATTAACACATTAGAGATTTCAATTCAGGATGAACATATTGATTTTGTCGAAATTTTGAATTTACTTAATAAGAACAAGATTATATTTAAAAAAGTAATTGAGTTAAAATTGAATTTCACTCATACACAAATCGAACATGCAGGTATAATGGCACAATCTAAAGGTGTTTGCAATTATTTTTCCCAAGCATTTAGTATACAGAATATTGAAAAATTAGAAGTTGGTTTTTGTTGTCATTTTAATCATTGTGATTGTGTTGATGAATTCTTGAATTACTTGGCACCTCAAATGGGAAAATTAAAAAGTGTTTCCTTAGAAGATACGTTGCATGAAAATAAAGGTGATAATGCTCTTCAAGAACGGTTCGATACTTCAGTTGGAAAGTTTTTATTACAACTGCCGAACTATGAAACTCAACTTAAAGAATTATGTATAAAACATGATCCCCCATTGAACGGGTTAGGTACTGATACTGTTGAAGGTAACTATTACAGAAGAAGAAATTATTATGGAGGACTATTACCCAATTTTAAATCTTTGGAAAAATTAATTATACCAGGAATGCTTCAGTCGATTAGTTTATATGAAATAATAGTCTGTGATTTACTTTGGAACGGATGTACTTGTCCACATTGTAAGAAATACTTACCTTATTTTGACGAATACCTAATGAACCATCAATATTATTCTAGAATGACAGGTTCATATGAAGACATCATTCCTCCGGTTATGTTTGGATACGTAGGTGATATATTAGATCAACGGAATCGTAATGAAATCGATTGGGTTTTAAATTGTTTCCGGTACAACCCTGTAAATATAACCTGGAATTTCCATGGATACGAACAAATTCATCATTTTGGCAATTATCATTGCCATTTTGATGAAAATCTATTCCAAGCTTTGTTAATATGTGTCTCTCATTTTTTCAATGGTTATATGGATCATTTAGTGGAATTTCTTCCAAACTTGAGAGTTGCAATGCTATCAGGTTTCTACTATTCGATTGCAGATACAAATATTTATTCATATAATGGTAAGCAATGTCGTTACAAATGTATCTACGACTGATAGTATCCGAATCATAAACTGCATTTAATATGTCTATAAAATCATTCTCTGTAGTTCTAAATATGCAATAACGCCCGTGCGTAGTGTGTGTACCGGGGATTCTCGTGCACTTCGAGCACCGAAAAATATTGATGTTAAAAATCCATCTTTAAACAAAATAACAGTGACTTTTCAAATATAAGTAACAGGGGACTGTATTTCTCACTTGATAAACATCAAAAGAAACCACTGTCTAAAAGATCATCAAGGATCCTGTAAATATTTATTTGTGCTTTGGAGCACATTATCAAGGTCTTTTACTTTTTTGTTCAAACTGTTTATCTATTTTGCTTCGAGATAATAAGTGCGACTTATACTGGCAATTATCCCAAACTTCTCGACTATAGGAAAGGTTAAACCTAAAAATATCATACATCCTATCCTTATTTTGTTCATATTCTCAAGAAATCTTTAGGGTTATCGCAAAGTTGTATATATAAACCCTCAACTGTAATAGGTACACCATAATTGTTACCAATATTCAATCATTTATTTTCTGTTATTTCATATTATTACACATTTATTAATAATTTCATGAGCACTGCATTTAAATCCCTTCTAGTTTTATTATACATCTAAAATATACATACATTTAATATGATACGAAGGCGGCTTTTAGTGTGTCGTCGAATATTAAATCAACAGACCCGAATAGCAGTATTACTGAATATAAAACCATTAAACAATACATGTCTTTATCATACAACCCCAATGAACAGAGAAAACACAAAAGTAGAAGATTTGAATGCAATAAATTATAATGACTCAATTACGAATAATATATCACCAACTTTAAATAGTAATTCCAACCTCAATAAAATAAAGATGGATGAAAAAAATGAAGAATTAGCCAAATGGATTAGAAATAGTTATATAGAAACTCCATTAACCATTTCAGCAGATATTAATGTACCTCTAACCTCATATGATGATGGTTATAATTTAGACTCCAGTGGAGGAGGTTTTATTGGTGGAATTCCAGCTGTCGATGAGGACACTTTCAATATCATTTGGAAATATAAATTTTGCATAGGAGACCCACAGACCGTCGAAGTGGTTATTAAAAGAATTAGTAATAGAAGGACGATATTTAATGTGAAACAATTAACATTATTACTGTCATCATTAAAAGAATTGAAAAGGTATACACAGATTCACCGAATATATGCTGGTTACAGTGTATATCTAAAGTACTTTTTAGAAGATAATGTAAATGGCATTACAGACGAAGATAAGGACTTATTTTTGGAATTATTTATGGAATGTGAGAAAGAGTTATCAAACTATACAAATTGTGAAAAATTGTTCTCTCATTATATAAAATATTCTAGAATAAAATCTGAAGTTACATTATTAGGTCTTCGATCATTTATTGAAAACAATAACCTTCAAGTTGCGAAGGAATTTTTCATACAGATAATGACTAATAAAGAGACTTTTCCACTATCATCAAAGGACTTTTATAAACTGTTAAAATTTTTGAATACAGTTAGAAATTACAAAACTATGGATTATTTCTATCAGTTATGGCTACACTATAGAAATGAAGAGATAAATTTAACAGAAGATAACATAAATATTACCTCTTTGATGTATCGAACATACCTGTTATCAGATAATGAAGAAAAGGTTAATACATTTTTGAATAATGAAAATATTAAAAATAGTAAATTTAAAACTACAATCAGATATGAATTAACTAAATTTTACTACAAGATATTCTCACTAGCAAAGGTTAATAACAATGCTTTATTAATGGTTGATATTCCAACTGAGCTTAAAGAAGAAATTAAACTATATTCTGAAAAATTGAAGGATAACTTTAAGGAACGCCGGTTGTTCTACTTAACGCTACTTCAAGCATACACAAAATTGAACAATATCACAGAGATAAAGAAACTTTTGGAGATTGTTGATGAAGATCCGAATATTGAATTAGATAGTGACTTCCATGCAGGAATAATAACATATTTTATTAAAAATGGTAAATTAATCGATTTAATCGATTACTACAAAGAATTAAAAAAAATGCATACCAAGATAAGTGACAAGAAAATGTTCATATCTCTTTATAGATGTTTTCAGAATGCTAATAGCATAATATCACAAGAATATAGAAATGAAATGTTACTGATATTAAAGAGTACACCTGTTTATGAACATGCTTTCCCTTGGATTACAAAACATAAACTATTTTGGAGAGATAAGCATAATTTATCATACCTTGATAGTATTACTTACTCTAAATTTAGGTCGGCATTAAAGGTCGACGATTTAATTGAAGCGAAAATGTTGTTAATTAGTCGTTGTCGGGATGGAATCATGCCTAATGTGAATATGTTCTATATCTTACTTAATATGTGTTTGGAGGGTGGGTATATTAATTTAGCAACAATGATAGATCAGATGATAAAGGATATGTATCACCCTAATTCTCACATGACTATGAAGATTCAATTATTATGGTTGAAAAAACATTTACTATTATCTAAGAGAACTCAGGTTGCTAAAAGAGAAGAAATTATTAGGATTGAGGCAAGATTCAAGAATAGTATTCCTTCATTTCAAAATTTAATACAATTGGCAGATATATATTCTGGGATATACGATTTTGAAAATTGTCAAAGAATTTTAAAATCTGCATTTTCAAAGATGAACCAGGACGATAGAAGGGAGTGGTTGATGTATTATTGTACTTTGTTGAAAGCACATTGCAAAGCCCTTGATTGGGAGCAATTTATTTTAGTATTAAAAGATTGGAATTCTAATAAGAAAGCCTATTATCTTAATGTGAATACAGTCAAACAACTGAAACAATTTATGAAATTTATGACAAAACGTCAACAAGAAGAAGACAATGTAGAAAATGAGTCACTAGGTGAAATATCACTAATCGATAGATACGAGAAAGAGATACTAGCAGAGTTATTAAAATTGGGTCAAACCTATGGTGTGAATAAAATCAATACGCTAAACGATATGGATACGGTAAGCAAGTTTCTACAGGGTGTTCTTAAGAGAAGGTTGAACGAAATAACGAAGGAATATTTAGCTAAACGTCAAGAACTAATATCCCGATACAAGCATCTAGATTAAGTGTTGAGTACGCTGGTCAATAATGAATGTGTTTTTTATTTTGTTTTTAATTAACTTAAACGACTCTCCCAAGAAATTAACAACTTGTAAATACAAAAAGTACTACTTGGTCGGTAAGAAAATAATATTACATTTGATACACTTTCACGTGTGTTATATATAAACCTTTACAATTACAAATCTTTATTCAATATAATTATTCTTATAATTCTTTCCTTATATGCCTCGAGACGTCTGCCAGTAAAATTGGCAACCCTATCTACCAACTACCTCACTATTGACGGGCAAGCCCTAATTAACATACAATTTTTTTTAAAAGCAGGGAACTTTAATTTGATTGGCTGGGGACGTTTCATATTTGCAAACGCCGAATTCGCCGAGGTCCCTAACAAAGCATCGTAGAAACAGTTTTATCATGAATATTTTTTGGTTTACTCCGTGCTGTTCGCAGACTAAAGAAAATTGATCGAAAGGGGAAAGAGCAGAATTCAAGAACTTCTAAGGTTTACATGTACACATACGTGTATACATTTATATATATATAAAGAGAGAGAGAAGAAAACAGTGCTAATCGAGGAACTTTCAGACGTTCTCATAATATATAAGCAACATTTAATAATATTTTTTTTTTTTAAAACTTCAATCTGCTTTTATATTTTAGGAAAAATACAAAATTAAGTTCTCAATCGATAAAATAATAAACAAGACACAATCCACATAAATATATTTAAAAATGGCTAACAAAGTGATACAATTACAAAAAATATTCCAAAACTCCACAAAGCCTCTATGGTGGAGACATCCAAGATCTGCCTTCTATCTATATCCATTCTACGGTTTATTGACTGTTGCTGTCGTTGCCCCATTACTATATATTCCTAACGCTGTTTTAGGTATTAAGGCTAAAAAGAATTAATAAGTAATTACTGTTACAGGTAGAGAGATTACTTTTCTTTTAAAAAATAACAGAAATTTATTCAACCATCTATTTGATTTCACGAATTTTTATTTTTTTACCTTATGTACTTTATGTTGTAAGTGGGTTTGAAACTCACTGAATTATCTATGCTTTTTTCTCTCTAATAATAAAATTATTTATATTCCCTTTATACTTTTTAAAAAAAGTTTACAATTTTGACGTTTCCTTTTATAAAATCTGAAATATTTAGGCAAACTCACTTCTAGTATGGTAAAATGCTAAGTGACTTTTCTATTTTGGATTTACTACGTTATACATGTATATATAGTTTATAAATGAATAGATTATTACATCTACTAAAAAACGGTGTTTGTTTATAATGATCACATTCTTGTCCTTTTAAGAATATACACATCCTCAGGTTATGCCAGTTGCTCTACATCTGTTTGCATAAATCACATATAGAGTCTTAAATGGGATAGTTTTATAAGTGATTATAATATGACTGCCTTACAAAAAAGTAGGTAATAACTCTTGAAATGTGTTCTCAGCTTGGTTTATTCATCTTCCCAATTGATTTCATCATCACCGTTTAAGAAGTCATCCAATAACTGTTTTTGTTGTTCTTTGTGCTTAGTAACTTTAAAAATGCTTTGTTGTTCTGCTATTCTTTTCTTGATAATATCAAGTTTCGAAGGAGTAGCAGGAGTAGATTTAGCTGTTGAAGTACTATTATGATGTGGCTCTAGATTTGGCTTACCTCTTGAAGAAGGAGGTGTATAGTATGCATTGTTTTCACGTTTTGAATGCGTCTCGGTGTTATCCAAGGACCTTGTGAAAGGTTTTTTTTTGTTATTATTGTTGTGTGAATCTTTATTATTAATCGGTTGATCACGGTATTGATCAAAATTAATGACTTCTCTTACTGGAGAATTACTTTTGTTGATTGGCTTATCACGGTAGTTATCAAAATTCACTGTCTGTCTGTCTGGAGACCTGCTTTTATTATAATTGTCGTCACTGTTATTATTATTATTGTACCTCTGGTTGCGGTTACCTCTCTTAGAGTTCGTACGTGATTTAGTGGGTGATTTTCTCACTACTTCAGGTTCATCTGGTGCATCTGCCCAACTAGATTCTAAGGCCATTGTTAATATGATTATGTTATATTATTTTTGGTTTATTTAAATGTCAATAAGTCTTGCTTTTATCTGTTTATAACACTTTCATCTCGTATCATATTTACTATGGCTCATTGTTTAAATATACGCTTAATCCGGATTAATTTTTGTTTCTTTTGTTATTATTTCGCTTTTGGTAGGAAAAAAATAAGTTCCAATCAACATTACCCGCACGGTTCAAAAAAATCTCAAAAGCTTGGTTTTAATACAAGGAAGGTTAAGAAAGTCATTGAAAATTGACAGTATCATCAATATTGGATGACTCATCAACTTGTTCTAAAATAATTCTATAGAACTCTTTCTTTGCTTCTTTTTCATCATCAATTTGGGCGAACGACCAATAGTTGGTTTTTTATTGTTATAATTGAAACTATCATCAGAACCGACTGTTAAAATGTTAAGAAAATAAGCCGTCTATAAGTAAGAGAAATTCCATATCTTTTAGTGATTATCTGAGACTTCCCTGGATCTCGAACAAAAAGTTAAGAGTTAAATTCCAGTTTAAAATACTGTTCTTGATTATGTAAAACCTCCATATATTTGACATACTAATCAAGTCCTCCCCAAAAATATGGAAAGGTTTATTCATTTTATCCGGAAAATAGTACTAACAAGGGAGAAAGAAAATGATATTTCCTTTACTATGTCATCGCACCACTTGGAGCTCTACTTTTCGTATGACAGTACTGCGGGGAGAAAGACTCATTGTTTAGCACCGGTCTTCTTCCCTAATAATTCGCGGGTCGTAAACATTTCTTTTCTATAAGATTTCGGCACGGAATAGAAAGTCCCTTGCGCTATTTTACTGGTTGGTGATGAGTAATTAAGTAATGTTCTTGTCTGGCAATCCTTTAGTATGTCCCAGGTGCGTAGATTAGATATCATCTCTATCCTATCTAAAGATTGTTATCCTTGTGATAGAAAAGTTCAAAGTTTTCTTTCGATGGAAGGTTAAAATTTCGTCACATTAAGTATTTCTTAAATGGTTTATTTCTTTTTTAATATTTTCACGGTGAAGATCGATATACTTATAATTAGGAATTACTGGAAACTTATCTTTAACTTTAGACCATTTTATTACTTATAGACATCATTATTTTTTTGCTTTGAACTAATCTCATATACTCTACCGACAAGGTCTTCCTAATTTATAATTCTTTACCACATAAAATATATCGATAATGACAAGGACTACTATGAGTAGTGAAACTCCAACACCCAAACCGTCTACTGTTAGTATCAAAGAAGAATATCATGTACAAACACGGAGCCTAAACTCTCCTTTTGAGAGCTCGAGCGATCCTGATTTCACGATAGACAATCATCCCTTAAGAATACAGGACAGCTTTATAGAAAAATATGTCAAACCAAACACGGGTATCATACTTCTTATAATAGCACAATTTTTCAACTCTCTGATGGTTGTATCGACAAAAATACTAGAAACTAACCCCGATGCAGAGACACATATAAAGCCTTTACAAATTCTGTTGGTCAGGATGCTGATAACATGGGTCGGCACATTAATATACATGCAATGTAATAAAGATACTGTGAAATATGCCCCCTTTGGTGATCCAGCGGTAAGAAAATATTTGGTACTAAGAGGGTCCTGTGGGTTTTTCGGTGTCTTTGGTATGTATTTTGCATTGATGTATTTATCTATAAGTGATGCTGTGTTAATTACATTTTTATCGCCTACATTGACTATATTATTGGCTTGGGTAGTTCTTAGGGAGAAGATTAACCGTTGGGAAGTATTAGGTTCTATCGTATCTTTCATAGGTGTTGTACTTATCATTAGACCCCCATTTTTATTTGGAACAAATATCAACGGTAGCTCCGATGGTAGCAGTGTAGTTGAAACAAGTAACCCAAAAGAACGTTTAATAGCTACTATGGTAGCGTTATGGGGTGCTCTTTGCGGAAGTGCCGTCTACATCATTATCAGATTTATTGGGAAGAGAGCTCACGCTATTATCAACGTTAGTTATTTCTCGTTAACAACCCTTATAATTTCTACTGTTGGTGTTGTTTTTATTCCATCTATGCATTTTCAAATTCCACATTCCAAATTGGAATGGTTACTGTTCACCAATTTAGGTATATGTGGGTTCATTTTTCAATTGATGCTAACGTTAGGTATTCAAAAGGAAAGAGCCGGCAGAGGTTCTCTTGTAGGGTATACACAACTAATATACTCTATATTTTGGGATGTCAGTTTGTATCACCACTGGCCACCTATTTGGTCTTGGGCGGGTATGGTAATTATTATTGGTAGTACCATTTTTGTGCTTAAATTTAAGTCCCCAAGTGATGACGATGGTGATTGTGATTTGAGCACTTCGGCGGCTAAGGATCCTGAGTCCCTGCAGAGTCCAGATGAGGGGCTAGAGATGGACGATTTCAATATCGATGATTCAACTGATGAAACCGGTAATTAATTAACTTTATGAACCTGATATATGTCTTATATATAAATATGCTTGAAACATAATGAACAATCTTTCAGAAGTATCTAAAATTTACTCTCTTACAATATGGCGAAATTAGACTCTCCTTTGGAGTTACCGATCGGGCTTATATTCCATTTCAATTTTTGCTCGCTTCGCATATAGAGGAGGTAACAGATTGAATTCTGGCATTAAGAATGCAAACATTATATAAAGAATGAAACACAGACAAAGAATGATCACTTCCTCATTTAAAGGACATTGCATACATAGAACTTCACAGTAATTACTTTAAGTGGAATAAAGTTCAATTTTAATTCCCTAAAATAAAATTGAAACAACATCAGAAATATATACTAAATATTATCACGGAAAGAAAACGTTATATTTAAGGGTTTCTTTCAAAAAATAGGAGGGATAAAACATTAAAACTATCACGCTAATCAAAATGAAAGCACCGGTTGGAGTACTCCTTAAAACAAATAGGCTGATCATGCCGCTTGGTACGAAAGTAAACCGTTTTAATAATATTTTCATCAGATATAACACTACTCAAAACAAATCTCATTTCAAGAGATGGTCAGAATTGGAATTACCGGAGAGACAACAGTTTATTAAAGAGTTTGTGAAAAATTACAAAAAACAATTTCCAAAATCAAGAACAAATTTATCTTTAAAAATGTTATCTCTTGATATGGATAAATTTGAGGATTCACCAGCAGTCTTTGGAATTTTTTACAACGATATATATAAGGAGCTGGCTAAAGAGGCTGGTCAAAGTGCCATTGTACAATCTATTGCAGCTCGAGAAGAAAATAGATTCACACATCATACATTTAAAAAATTATTAATTCGTAAGCCAACTAATATTCCATAAAATACCAAAATAATAAATGCATTTGCACTTTGGCCCTCCACTATTTTTATTTTGCAATCTGTATATTATACGCACAGACATACGTTGGGACCAATATAATAACTGATACATAATATGTCTCGAATATATTACATAAATATATCACATATAGAAAATATATTAAAACTTCAACAATCATAACTACTAAATAAAGTACAAAAAAAAAAGAATAATTAAATAATGGGCAAAAACAGAGAAAATGAAAAATAAGACACCTTTTAACAGGTACCTCTATAGTTTCTCTTTGCTCTTTGCTCTGTCTCTTTAGCTCTCTTATGACTAATCGTTGGTTGCTTAGAATCATCCACTGGTGAGGCCAATTCTAGAAGCATATTATAGACATAATCGCGTCTACTTTCTGTAGATTCGTACAATCTGGATTCAACCCTTTGTGTTAGGTTGTTATAAGAATGAATTAATCTCGAGATAACGTTCTGGATATCAGAGAGTAACAATTCAGCTAAATCAAGTTTCATCTCAGTTCTGAAAACAACCCTTAAAATTTCGTATTCATCAGAATTATCATTGGATTTTGGTAATGGATAATTAGGAATAATCCAACCACGTTGTCTCAGCATTGAAGAAATAAGGACTTGTGGAATTTCCGAATAAGTTTTACGGAACTTATCTGTTAATTTAAACGCAACTAATGGGACACCGGGTTTGTACATATCTTGATTTGCCCAATAGTCCTTAACATCATCTGGTGTAGAATCATCTAATATTCTTTCATGAATACCACTAACAACATCAAAATGTCCAGCTAAAGATGGTAAGTTCAATAAACCATAAGAGAATGTTCTTGCCACATAAAGTGATCTTCTAAATCTTTCACTGTAACCAACAGATCCTAAGGAGATGAAATTGAAATATTGATGAACCACTTGAAACCCAGGTCTTGAAAAATTCAATCCAAAGGTTTCTTCCACACCACCTAAATATTTTAATCTAAATCTTAATTCTGGTGATAGAAATGATTCATCCTTCCATAATACCCAGCCCAAACCAGGTGTCGTCAAACCAAATTTGTGACCACTAGTATTGATACTAACTACTCTTGAATTATTAAAAGCCCATTTCTGCATTCCATATTTCTTCATATGTTTACTTCCAAAGGAGAAAGGTGCAATAAAACCACCGGAAGCACCATCAACATGAATAGGGATGTTCTTATTTGCCCAGTCAGGATGCTTTGCTTCGATTTCGTCTAAAACATTGGCACTCTCTTCGACATTCTCAAAATGTCCAGTATATGTGGTACCCAAAATAATGAAACAACCAATGGTATTTTCATCCACATAATCTTTTAAGTCTTTTGGGTCCAACATATGGTGACTCTTGAAACTAACGGGAACAGTTCTACATTCTACTTCAAAATAACGAGTAAACTTCTCCAGAGCAACCTGGCATGCACAAGACATGATGATATTAGGTTTTGAAATATCTTTACCAGCTAAAGACATCTTGTGTTCCCATCTTTTCTTCATTGCTAACCCACCTAACATAATAGCTTCGGACGAACCAGTTGTAGAACAACCAATTGGATGGTCTTTAGGACTGCAATGCCATAATTGTGCCAGAATTGAAATACAACGTTGAGTCAACTCAATTAACTGTGGATACTCATCATTATCTGCCAGGTTTTTATTAATATTTTCCTTGATCAACCTGTCAGCTATTGGCGTAGTAAAAGTATTGACAAAACTTGCTAAGTTCAAATGAGGATTACCATCTAAAGTTAATTCGTTATGAATTAATTCGTAAGTAAGTTCTTCAGGTAAACCGTAGGCCGGGATAGCAAATTTGTCCTTAAGGGCAGATGTTCCTGCTGCCAGGGTGCTCTTAGATTCATCGGCTAACGTAAGTTCTTGCAAGTTTGTAGAAAGTAATGTAGTCTCGGGTATGGCAGACAACAATTCTTGTTCTGATAATTGTAGACTACCTCTACGCTTTTCGTGTGTATGCAACATTATTCGGTTTGTTTGTTTTGTATTGTAAGCAATGAATATAAATGTGCTTGTGCCCTTCAATTGTGTAGGAAAAAAGTATTTAACAGGTTCGACTTAAACACTTTTACAAAGTACAAGTTGAAAGTTGGAAAATTCAAGATAACATTTAAATCTAAATTGTTTCTTTCGTCATGGTTATTTATACCATTAAAATAGGGGAGGTGGGTTCCAATCACATCTCTTTTTGCAGATCATAGCCCCGAATTTTACCCGATTTATTAAGGAATTTAGCGGCGATGCATATAATCAGGGAGGTCCGAGAAGAAAGATAAATTTTAATGACATTTATAAAATTTATAAATGATGATAATGCTTATTTATTATATATTAGCAAAAATATTATATACATACGTTCTATATATATGAGTGATATGTGTTGTAAATTCAAATCTGTGGTTTAAACTGCGTTAGAATCGAATTTGTGACACAAATATATTCTTGTCTTGTTTAATCTTCCCATTAAATGAGGAGGGGCGATGGGTTATACTCTCTTTCCGATTTGAAATATTGTAAAGGAGTTAATTTTATGTAGTCATATCATGATATCATATGTTTTCAGTATTCTTCATTTCGAATCTAAGATATAACAATTGATAATCATCCAAATCATAAATGATTTTATCTATCTTTGTATATTTTGGGCCAATATCAATATCACTGATTAATCTTTGAAAAGATCTAGAATTTTGAATATTTTTACAGAAAAAGGTTAAACAGAATTCTGTTGGTTGAAATACTTTAAGCACCTTTTGTAAAACGTCGACATTATCCTGTTTATTATCAGAGACAGCATTAACAGGTACATTACTTTCAAAAGAGGCATATGACCAACCTTTCTCTGGTGTAACGTGTAAAGTATAATAATATTTATCATCAATGATCATGTTTGAGGAATAGCCACATGGAGAAAATGCAAAAGCATCATGGTGAAAGCAAGAATTCTTAGATTCATGATATATTTTATCCAAACCTGTCTTTTTTGTCATATTATAACCCAATAGATGGCCTTCATCATCTGCATCATTATCCTTTTCATCAATGGAAGATGTAGCGGATTTGACTTCTCTATTACAAACAAATTGATCAGCACATTTATGATTTAACCCAGTCATTAAAATCTCCACAGTTTCATCATTGTTATATTCATAGTTGTTAGTCTCATGGCATTCCGTGTCTCCATTTAATAAAGAATCTTCATTTGTATCAGTTACATAAAGATTCCAATGAGTTCCTTGATCACTTCTTCCAACTGTATAACTTTTCCCATTAGTAAAAAATTTATTTAAATAATCAACTTCATCATTCCAATTTCGGTGAATAGAGCGTTGTTTTGATGGGAACATAAAAGAACGTCTTGAATAAAAAACTTTATAAGGACTAAATTTACCATTATCTAAAGTACAGTTCCAATTTAATAATAAATTTACTTGTTTAAAGACTTCTTCTAAACAGAATAAAGTGGTGGTAGTACCACAAGTCTTCATAGTTATCTTATGGTCATAAACGAATAAAGAAGATTCACTTAATAGGAACGCATCCATACATTTAGTAGATTTAATAGATAAAACCTCACATTTAACTAATTTTAGTATATCTGTCCATATTTGTACAGGGATTGATCTTAAAGTCTTTGTTTTATCTGGAATAGCACAGGGATCAGGGTAAAACCAAATTTCTAATAATTTTTCTGGTCCTTCAAATGCTTCAGTAGAATCCAAAGTTGCACTCAACTCATGGTCGATATAGGAATGATTAGTTAATTCCTTAATGGTGATGGTCATGATGATGATGGTGGTGGTGATGATGTGATGAGATTCAAATAACTTGCACGATTATCCAAAAAAAAAAAAAAATGGTAACGAAAAAGAATCAAGAGGTAGTCTCTGTATATCTAAATGAGTGATTAGTTACAAAATAACAAACTGTATATATCCCTTTTCTATGATTCTTACGAATGTATGACTAGATGATTGCAACAAAGTAATGGTAATTCGAAGACTTCAATTAGGTTAACAATGTACACTAAATTTTCTCGAGACGGGGTTTATGAAATTTCTGCTTTGTATGAATTTTTTACTATTTTTTTTTGTAATTACAAAATAGATGATTTTTCGCCCTTTCTCTATGTTGAAATACGAAGGAGTATAAGAAATAAGAAACAAGTACGCAAGAGGTATATGTATATATATGTATAGGCGGGTATATATGTATGTGTCTTTATGAATATAATAATAAAACAAACCAACGAAACATTGAGTATGTCTTAAAATTGATCAAATAAATTTGCTCTCATCTCATTCATTAATTAATAAATTTCGCTGGAAATTTCAATTTTGGTTCTCTTTTAACATTTGCGCTCATCGCGTTTTGCCAATTTTATCATGGTTTCTGCGACGTTTTCTCTGTCGCATTTTGACGCATTTCAAATTGGTGGTGAAAAAAAACTGAAAAATTTTTCGATTTTTTGCTTTTGGCCAAAAAAACTTGATTTTAGTTTTTTGACATATTAATCTACTGCTGTGGATTTGGGATATTTGAGGGTGATGAGCTGATATTTGCAGTGGTTCAGAGATGGCCAAGTGATTGGTTGGCTGAGACACTAAGTTATATAGTCGTATACCCTCTGGTGATGTCTGTATTACTTGATAGTTCCATTGTAGACAAATTTGCATTCTTGTAGATATATTTAAAAGTAATTCATTCACATTGATATAACTACCTCATCATAGCCGTTTATTTGTGTGTTTGATCCTGTCGTCATACTCATATCTTGTATATAAAGTTTGCTTACCATTGAATAAATATGTGTACCTTTTCTCAGCAGTCGGCGCCGAGTCCCTCGGCCGAATTGCTACCGTAATGGTAACTTCGCACAAAAAAAAATTGTTTAAAATTTCTTGGGATCTCTTAGTAAAATGGCGTTCTTTTGAAGTAAATACTGAGAGCGTGAAAATTCATTATGGGATAAACTAAAAGAGTTAAGTTACTTAATACAAAAGGCAACTTCGGAATAAGTAACACTGGTTTTGGTTACATATTAAATTGTAATTTGAAAAAACGGTTTGCTGCTATCTCAATCTAGTTATTATTGTTTCTTAAAAGAACAAATATAAAAAATAACATTACTATCATTTCTCCTTTATTTTTAGGTTGTGTGTGCGTATTCGTTAATTCTTTTGTTTTTTAGCGTAATCATTAGGATATGTCTTTTGGTAATCTCAGTAACAGTTTCCAGGCTTATGATAATGATTTTGGCCTTGGTCATAATGGTGCTAGAATATCATTGAACTATTTTGATGGTATTCCAGAACAAAATCTTTTAAGCTCTCTAGTAAGTAATAATTTAAGATTAATTTTTAAATCTTTGTTAAAGAGAGATGATACCACTAAAGAAAAAGCTTTGAATGATTTGAACGGATTGATTGATGATGATCTATCGAAACAATTAGGTAAAGAATCTCAATTCAATGATGATATATTTTTAATTTGTTGGTCTCAAATTTTTGCTAAATTGATTACGAATGAATCAAAATCTATTAGAATTTCAAGTAATTCATTTACAATTAAATTAATATCACTATTAAATAAATCAATATCCAAATTTTTAAAGGATTTTATACCTTTTCTGTTATTAGGTACATGTGATACAGATTCAATGGTTAGTAAGACATGTAAAACAGAATTTGAAAAATGTTTCAATAATGATCAAATGAAATTGAATGCTCTTTGGAAAGTATTCCAAGAACAAATAATTTGTTTAATTAAAGAAATTTTAGTTAATGAATCTGTAGATACTATTTCTGACCAACGATACATTGATGCTGAAGAAGCTAGATTTAAATATAATAGATTAAGTACAAGTGCAATTAATTTATTAATCCTGACAATAAATGCAAATGATGAAACTTATGTAAAGGCAGATTTCAAGGATATTTATAAAGATATCTTATCAAGTGGATCCTTTTGGAAATCTTTTAATTTATTGACTACATTTAATTTGAAAAAATACCAATCCATTTTAAATTTAATTTATATCCTTTATTCGACTAAATTTTTCAAATATAATAAAGACATTTTTAAAACTGCAATAAGAAATATGTTTAAATCATTGACTCAAATAAACAAGAAGAATATTGCTAATTTGAATACTCTCATCCCAATGATATTGGATACATTAGTCAAATTGACAGAATACAAGGATGGTAGGATTTGGTCATATGATAAAGATTCTAATAAAAAATTACAAGAATTCTTATCCGTCACTTCTAAGAATGTCACCCCTCATTACTACGATAACTTGTTCCAACTTTATAATGCTACTAAACCTTTAAATTTATTGGAAGTTGAAAAGGAATGGTTACCAATTTGGGAAAACAGTCTGGGCGCATTAAACAATAAACCATTTATTGGAAGATATGGAGCTCAATTATTTAGTGAATTTTGGAAAAACTTTCACAAATTTTTGGAACAAAATCCTGAAATCAATGAAGAGCATTTACAAGGATGTATAATGAAAACATTGAAAAATGGAAATTCGATGGATGCATTACCAGATTTGAAGAATGTTTTTCAAGATATTGTGAGGGCAGATCATTTGGAGGAACTTTTTGAAAACACTATCTCTCAACTTGATGCAGAAAGTGCTCAACTACCGAAACATTATATTTATAACATTCTTACAATATTATTGGTGTGCCCTTCTAATGAGGATTCTTTAAAGAAATTATCCACGTTTGCCCTCGAAAAGTTGTCAAATGACCCGTCCCCAGTAGTTCAGCAAGAACTATTTACTCTTTGCAAGAAGTTAATTGACTCCAAATCTAACGCCATAGGGGAAGAACTTTCCAACGTAATATATGAATTACCTACATGGGTAGAAAAATCAAATTATAAATCCGCAATGGATATACTTATTAAATATTCAAATTCGGAATTCATAGAGACTAGTGATAACTGGCAATCTTCAATACAAGATTTTTTCACAGTTTGTTTGTCCCTAGATATTAAATCCTCTGAAATCATTACTCTGATGGCATCCATAAACAGAAATTGTTATGAACAGTTAGTGTTATCAGATGATACAGTCAAGAATTATGTTGAGAATTATATTGATAGTTTTTCATTTGAAAGCGTTGATGACTTAAAGACACTATTCCAATCACATCTTATTGATGATCACCTCTTATTACGTATATTTACTAAAGCAGAAGCGTCTAATAAAATCCCAGAATTTGTTCAATGTGCCTCATTACTATCAAACCAATTGAAAAAATACTTGTTTTTGGATTCCTCATTTCTTTTCAAGACAATGTTCGTAATTTCTGATGACACAACTAATAAAGTATATGATATGGTATCTACATCTATTGGTAAATCAACTTCTGATGATAATAATTCAATTTCTATCAAGTTATGTTCTATTGTGATAAATCATATTAGACATTCCCAAGTGATTATTACTGATACAAATGCTAAGGAATTACCATGTTTAAACATTGCAAAGGATATAATTAAGTTAAATCCGGAAACTATTCGTCATTTTATACCTATACAAATTGATGAATTCTTCTTAGAATATGTTCCTCATATTGATAGTAGAATTAGCATCACCAGCACCATGTCAATTAATTCATTTTTAATTCCATTGGATGATGAGATTCAAGATATTTCAAAGTGGTTGGAAGTTATTAAAGTAGGTCTATTCTTGGATTATTTAGTGTCTGAAAACGAACATCTTCTTTCTGACGAATTGATAGTTCTGTTTTCAATAATTGCTGAACTGGCAGACGACTATAACGCTATATCAGATACACCAGATCCATTGATATGTAATTTTACTCATACTTTGGTAAAATCGGAAATATCAAAGGATATTTGTCTTGAAAACACATTAGCTGCTATATCTGGTAATGATGGTGATACTGAGAATATTCTCTCTGTAATCTTATCAAATATTAATGATGTCACAACTTTCTACAAACTTAGAGTGCTCCACAGGGTCCTAGAGAATGAAAACGACCAGATGTCGAAACTTACTCTGATTTCTTTTATTCCAAAGATAGAAAAATATGTAATTGATGCAGTAAGAGGGAAGGATATAAATCCCTCAAGATATCTGTTATCTGCTGTCCTCCTGTCATTATTATCGGAAATTCCAGAAAATGAAACATGCTCTAAATTAAGAACTCTGCTTGCTGCTGATTGTATAGGTGTTAGAGAGTCTGAATTGTTACAGGAAAAGAACAAGACAAAGCAATCATTGATTTTATTATTAACCATGTTACGAGTAGATAGTGCTAGCGTTGGCATAAACGATTTTGTTCCTATCGCTCCCCAACGTCTAAATATGGTTCTTAAGACAATTGAAAAATGGTTAGATAGCGATATTATTTATGAACCAAGTTTCATTGGGATGCGCTTAATATTGCTAAACTTCTTTTATTTAATTATGAAATATCCAGCAGTTGTGGATATGAATGAACATTTGTTAGACATTGCCAGCAAATTATTAGTTGATTCGTTGTCAATGTGTCAATTAGATGATACACAATATTTATTTTCCTTGAGAAAATATTCATTACAGTTGTGTAATACCGTTGAACAATTTAATTCATCAGATGCATTTACAGATGAGTTTGCTGATGATATAAATGACAATATTCAGGAGTTATGTTTTATCGAGTTCAAGTCAGAATCAAATAACCAAATTTCAATGTCATTTTATAGACAGCTGTTCAACTTTATTTCTTCAAATATAAAATCAAAGGATCTTCTGTCTTACTATGACAGATTTTTTAAAGCGTTTTTATCCTTTGAACCAAATACATTTAAATCAGTGGGTCAAAAGCGTGTGATTACCTTAGTATTGGGAAAAATTATTAAAGAAAGACAACAGAACCAAGTTATTGAATTTGAACTAAAGCAACAACAACTTCATCCACATTCTCATGAAGATGAGGATATATTCTTCGATGCTCGTGAAGATTTAGATAACAATTCAGATGATAGTTCAGATGATGATAATGACTTTAAGATTCCACTTGAATTGATCAATAAACTAAATGACAATTTCCCTGTAGAATATCTAGAATACTGTGAAAAAACTGAATTCATCACATACTTATGGAATTGGCATTTGACCTTACAATTCTTTGAAAATATCTCGTATAAAATGCGTCAATTATATATAGAACAATTAAAGGAGCATGATTTGATTAATAAGATGTTTGATTTTATTAGTGACCAAATTGATCTGAATGAGATTAATTTCTTCGAAGAACAACTCGCAGGCTACAATATTGGCCATTACGCAAAAATGGAAAATGAGTTCATGACACATAATGAGGATTTATCGAATGAATCTAAGTATTTAATGGCACATTTGATGTATGAACTGTTCAATAATGTAGGGTCATTGACTAGTGCATGGTTCTTAAATATTAGGGACAGATCCTTGCAAAACAAAATTGATAAATTTGTGTCTCAGTTTATATCTCCATTATTGATATCTAGTGAAATAGATGCTGTTTCTAAGAAGGTTGAAGAATTAGAAAAGAAAGATGATGCACTTTCTATTAAGATTAATCAAGTTACAAATGAAATCAAGGCCAGTTATCTGATAGATGAGCAGAATTTGGTCATTTCTTTCAAACTACCAAGTAACTATCCTTTAAACAATGTTGATGTTATAGGTGTTTCAAGAGTTGGTATTACTGAACAAAAGTGGAAACAATGGATTATGTCTACTCAACATGTCATAACAGGTATGAACGGTTCTGTTCTTGATTCTCTGGAGCTATTCACTAAAAATGTTCATTTACAATTTTCTGGTTTTGAAGAATGTGCTATTTGTTATTCTATCTTACATGCAGTCGATAGAAAGCTACCAACAAAAATATGTCCAACATGTAATAACAGATTCCATGGTGCTTGTCTATACAAGTGGTTTAGATCATCTGGTAACAACACATGTCCATTATGTCGTGGTGAGATCCCATTTAGAAAATAGGCATCACAAACTATGGTGTATTAGTTTTACGTAGTTTATAGATATATCGGTTTTCAACTTTAATAACTTGTAGAATGATTAATATATGATTTTTAATTTAAACCCAGCACAGTTTAGCAACTCTTTTACCTTAAATAGTTGTTTATATTGGTTGTGACTCTTTGTTTTTACAACTTAACTTTCAGTTGTCACTCCATGCACTTCGCGTTTTCCTTCGTCTTAATAAAAATGAAAAATAAACAAGCATTATTGTTGCGATGAAGAAGTAAAAAGTGGAATGTTTCGATGAGTAGAACTGAGTTAATTATAAATAACTGAAATTAGTATACCTGTTATATGAAAATATTTGTTTTCGAGAATACGATAATCGATATTTACTTTTTAAATAAATAAATAGGTGAAACAAAATATTAGAGATATTAGATCGTAAAGATACTGATAATTACTCTTCCATCATGAGAGTCCTATCTAAAAGAAGACTTCGGTTCCTATTAACAGTGATCTTAGCCATATCAGCAGTTACTATATTCGTAAGATGTGTTGTACAATTTCAACTAAACAAAGAAATAAAATATTACAGAAGATATTTCAAAGATCGTAAGGATAAACTAGAAGGGATATATAATCCTCTTGAGATTAAACAGATACCTAGTGAAACGATTGATAACTTATATGCTAACAGTCTCTCTAGATTAGAAGAACAAGGTAAGACTGTAGACTGGACAAAATATGCGTACGTTAATTATGTGACAGACTCAGCTTATTTATGTAATAGTCTAATAATATTTGATGATTTGAAAAATAAGTATAAAACTAAAGCAAAATTGGTATTATTGATTTCAAGAGACTTATTAGATCCAGAGTCGTCTAGTGATATTGAAAATATTAAGTTCCTTTTACATAAAATTCAAATTCTAGATGAAAATCAAGTAGTTATCAAATATATTGAAAATATAGTTAAACCTAATGATTATACACCTTGGAATGAAAGTCTTACAAAATTATTAGTATTCAATGAAACTGATTTTGACCGTATCATCTATCTAGATAATGATGCTATATTAAAGGATAATTTAGATGAACTCTTTTTCCTTCCACATTATATTAAATTTGCTGCTCCACTTACATATTGGTTCTTATCAGAAAAGGATATGAAAGATGCTTATAAAGAAATAGAACATGATGATAAGAATTCTATTAATCTCAAAACATATACTAAAAAATTAGATTTGAGAATAAAAAATAACAAGATGATATATAACCATTTGCCAAGTTTACCAAACTCTCTTTTTATGAATTCTAAGAATGTTGCTCAAGAAATTATTCATTCAACCTCATCAGCATCTCCACTATTTAATTTCCATATCAATAAGAAGGCTGGTAAGACTAAGTTTGCATCTAATTTAATGGTAATCAGACCTTCTGCTGAACTTTTCAATTCGATAATTACCGAAGCATTACCAAAAGTCTTGGCTAAGAAAACTAAATATGATATGGATTTAATCAATGAAGAAATATACAATTTGAAAAAAATTATATATTATCAATTTGATATCTTCAGAAGAATGAAATCTAAATTTCAACCTGAAGTATTGGTTCTACCATTTGCAAGATATGGTCTATTAACAGGTTCTGTTAGAAATACCCAGCATCATGATTTGATAACAAATGATGTGTTAGGCTATAAAAGATTAGATGAATCTGGACAACAAATAGAAAAGGGTCTACATGCATCCATTGAAGACTCAAAATATATACATTTCTCAGACTATCCGATTGGAAAGCCTTGGAACTATGCTTCAATTTCTGAATTTGAATGTAAAGTTGATGAGAAACATTCCAAAAATATCGAACAAGATACAGAGGCTTGTGCCCAGTGGAACTCGATATATGATACGTATTTAGAAACTCGTAAAGTCTGTAGCATCTAAGTAAATATGCTTTTATAATGCATTTTTAAAAGTTTACATGTCAGTTAACATTTCTGTATCCATGAAAGAGATGACAGAATGCAAACCTAATTGAAAATTAAATTGCTTAAGAAAATAATTACCCGAAGAAATTTTGAAAAAAAAAGTTTTCAAGAGAAAAACTAAAATCTGCGCTTTATGCGATGAGCAAGTACTATATATATATATATATATATGGACGAGTATATGACGACTAATTTTTAAAGAACTCTTTGGTTGATTATTTGGTAATATCTTTTTTTTATTTTACATTTTAAAGAGGTCAACTAATTATTTATTGATGGAATTCTATAAATAGTTCATATCTCATATTTCGTACAAGGTTCTTCTTTTAGAATGTCTCCTTTTATTGTGTGACTATAATTTTAAATAAATTCAAGATTTTATTATTAGTGTTGTCTTTTGTTTTCTTTTAAAATATTTTTTGAGATACTTTTCCCATATTAAGTAAATATTGCAATTATTAACGTTTGTTTACCAACAAAAGTGAATCAATATATGTGTGAATTTTTATTATACTTATTTAATGTTTATTGAACATAGAGAGATTAATTTTTCTTCGATATCTGTTGAAAGTGATTTTTTTTGATGATCAGACAGAGTTTGCTTACGCTTCATTTTTATGAGTTTTTCATCTTAATGTTTGTAAGTTTGAGAATACTGTGACTTGTTAACATTGTTTCATTGTTTCCACTTCCATAACTTTGCAAAGTTAGACGTCAAATTTAAGGTATTTTTCTCTTAGAATTCTGGTTGCTTTTATTTATTGATTATCATATTTCCTGGATCTAATATTAATTAGAAAGATTAATCGTTTGTATCTAGATTCGATTTGTTGATGAAGTATAGTTCTTTCGAAGCATATGTATGAAATTTGCGTTGTTGGGGGACAACCTCCTGATGGTTGTGGTTTTTATGTGGGTTATGGTTATTTTAAAAGTTTTTATTTTATAAGGATATGATTGTTTCGATATCAATGTAGAATCTTTGGGTTTATTTATTTTAACAATTATGTCAATTTCGCTATAATTGTGAGTGGAAAGTATTTGAATTAACGATATGAATGGTCTATGGTCAATGAAGTCATAGAGTCAATATCCCATTTAATCGCTCATCTATTGAATTAATAATAGAATGTAGTTTCAAAATTGGGAGAAATGTTTACCTCTTAAGACTTGCGAAAGGTTTCAATACTTTTGATGTTTTGTTTTGTTTTTGATTAAATAATAAATTATATTAAACTTTTTTATGCTTGTGAAATATATATGTGTATATACATATGGTATAATAATAATAACTCTTTGTACTTTTCTTGAGTAATAAAGTGGATGCAGATTAAAAAAAAAAGAAAATGAAAGTGAAAAACGGTTACGACATGAAGTAAAGTAACGTTAACATAACTAATAGGAATAATAGAAGATTTGGTGAGCGGATTGGTCATAATGAATTAAAAGGAAACAGGTCATGCAGTTTGAAGAGAGAATGCAATAAAAAAAAAACAGGAGGGCAAGAGTTATAAGATCTCGTTCTATTTTGTTAAATAAACGTTATCAACTCTTTTTTGAACAGCATTTAAGATATCTTTTCTCTTTAGTTTTTGTGCAGAAGTGACATAACCATTTTCTGGAGTCCATTCATCATCGAATAAGACAACACCTTGTAATAGTTCAATTCCACTTAAACCTTGACTTTTACCAGTCTTTAGCATATCTGCTAGAACGGCACTTGCTAATTTTGGATTATCGACATATTGTTCAACATCTTCCCCTTGTTTCATTATTCCTAACGAAACAGCTAATTTAGCTAATTGTGGGAAAACTGGAACAACAATACCAACAGCTTTAATTTTAGTTTGGTCAGCGTAACAACAAATATTCATAACATATTTGTTAGATCTATAAATAGATTCTAATTTTTCTAAAGCAATGTATTCACCATTCATTGTCTTAACTAAATTTTTCTTTCTATCAATAATCTTTAAATGACCATTGGCTGTCCATTCAGCAATATCACCTGTCTTAAACCAACCATCGGCAGTTAAAGCTTTAGCTGTTTCTTCTGGGTTCTTATAATATTCTGGTAAGACACAAGCACCTTTTAGCCATAATTCACCTTGATTATTTTTAGCAAAATAATTTAATTCTTCAACATCGACTAATTTAGCTGTGATAGTACCTGCTAAATCACCAGCAACACCTAACTCAAAACGATCAGGTTGAGTAACAGTAGTATTAGCAACAGTTTCAGTTAAACCATAACCAATTAACATTGGACAAAGAATATTTGATAAAAATTCCTGAGCATCTAAACTAATTGGAGAACCACCATTACACATAAATTTTAAACGACCACCAGTAGCTTCTTTAACTTTTTTAAAAATCATTCTACCAATTGCATCACCACCTGGTAAATGTAATTTTTTTAAAGTTAATTTTGTATTATAAGCAGTCCAGAAGACTTTTTGAACTAAAGCAGGTTGTTGACTTAATTGAGCTAAAATACCTTTTCTAATAGTTTCCCAAACTGCTGCAACACCAACCATTAGAGTTGGTTTAAATTCTTGTAAATCACCTTGACAATTACGCATAGATTGAGCTGATAAAGTTTTAACAGTACCATAACCAATACATGAACCCCAATAGAAACATTCTAATTCAAATACTAATTCAAAAATATGAGCTAATGGTAAAAATGCAATAATACTATCTTCTGGACCCATATAACCATAAACTGTACTACCAACACCACCAATACCTGCATTAACAGTTGATTGTTTTAAAACAACACCCTTTGGATCACCTGTTGAACCTGAAGTGTACATAATACAACATAAATCATCAACAGTTGGTGGATGAGCATCAATTTCATGTTTTGAATCATGACCCATTTGAACAATTTCATCAAATGTAAAAATTTTAATATCAGGTCTAATTTCTTTAATTTTATTTAAAGCATCATTTGGAATTTTAAACATTTTACCATTTTGTCTTCTATCCTTTGGATCTAATTTTTCAGAATGAATAATATATTTAATTTCTGTTGCTTTTTGTAAAGGATTAATTAATTTTGGTAATAAAGCATTATCTGTAAAAATTGCGTTTGTACTTGTTTGAACCATCGAATGAGTTAAACCTGATTCACCTAATGTATCATAAGCTGTTACAATTGGTATAGATTGACTTTGTGAGCCTAAAAACATTTTCATCCATTTATGTGAAGTTGAAGCAAAAATATGTAATTTATCATCACTTTCAGGTTTTAAACCCATTTTAACTAAACCACGACCAATATCGTGCATTATAATCATTAATTCGTCATAAGTATTATATTTATATTTACTCATTTCATAATATTGCCATATCTTTTCTGTTGGTATATTTTTACCATCAATAACTTTATTGATAATTTTTTTCTCTTCATGAATATCGATAATTTCTCTCCAACCCATTGCTTTACCCTTACCATTTTTGTTAAAAATTTCAACTAAAAATTCATAAACTGTATTACATTTCATACCAATTGGTCTAGTTAAAGGAGCTTTCTTAAATCTACTATTTCTTCTTGGTGGAGTTTCATGATCATTTTCAGCTTTGCCGACAATAACACTATATTGTTCAACCATTTTTGTATATTTGTTTTATTATTACTATTACTATTTTAACTTGTATATTTGTTATGGTTTTATATATATATATCTAAGATACTAATAAAAAAAAGAGGGAATTAAATTTACAAGTTATTAAAAAATTATTTAAATGAACTGTCTATATATATATGTGTGTGTGTGTGTGTGTTTAAAATTGCCACCGTACGTTTTGATATGAATATATATCTTTTAACGGTTGTACCCAACCAATACTATTGAATCCCCTTTTTAGTTAATGGAATCAATCAATTTAATATGGTGATTCTCAATGGAAAAACAGACTTCTATAGCTAAGAGAGGAGAATAACTAGTGTTTAGATACCCTTTAAAAAAATAGCATTATGTTCATTGTATCTTCCAGAAAACACTCAACAGAAACCCGCGCAGCAGCCGGCAAAACAACACATGCACACACACGCAACCTGTGTGTATATTTCTCAGCGCTTAAAATCGATTGAATTTGTGACGGTGAGAGATGGCGGCATATTTCTGTATAACTGAACTGTTTGTACAACGTGGTAAGAAAGAAAGCGAAAAATGTTGAAAAATGCACTTTTTGTTGGGGAGAGACTCCATCGGAGAAGGCAAAACGACAAAATTTTTTTTTTTCTTGCAAACCCGATACTAAGGTTATAGGAAAAGATGAGTTTGCGGCTTTATACGAGGATATCGCGCAATATCGCAGAATATAAGGGACCTTTTTCACTATTTGACTTAAAACTCCTCTCTCTTTAATATCCTCTCTTGATTACTTCAAGAGGAGGATTACTATTTTGAAGAGGGAACGAGGAGATTCTGATATATATGATTTACGTTAAGGGTTATAAAGATTGAGGTACACCAGGAGGAGAGATCTCCTCGACTATTCATAACTAATTGTTCATTTTCTTGATGTTGGTTATATGGACCATTATTGAACTATGTAAAGTTGTTTATCTTAACTATGGATATCTAGCACTTTCTTCTTTTTCTAACTAAGTACCGGAAATAAGAACTGTGCTATATATTTGAACAATGGAGTTTGTATTTTTTTATCAGATTGATTGCGGATAATTGCTTTCGGCCGAAATTTGTTGGGCAGTAATAAAAATTCAACAAAAAAAATTGTTGGCAATACAAAAAAATTGAATTGTGCCTATTAAGATAAACAATTTTGAGATCAAATTAATTGGTGGTAAATAGTCTTTTGACATACAGGTACTGCCGCCAATGATAATTAGTATTGGATTGGAAATGTATATAAAAGAGACCAGAGATTCGTATATTTTACAACAAATTATGGGAATGCAAGGGTAACGCCCGGAGATGTAAACGTTTGAAGTGCATACATATTCTTCTTGTAATTAATTGTATCATCATAAGATAGCGAATGAGAGTTGTTCTCGCGAAGTGTGACTAAAGCATGATTGTAGATAGTTAGACAGTGTGGGTGTATATTTTTTTCTATGTTGTAATATCTGCCAAATAATTCTTAGTAGCTTGACTGGCGAAATTCTGCAAGGAATATATATATAGTGATGAGATGGAAATATGAACAACTCATTTTCAATGATCTTGGTCAAAGAAAATAATTTTTAAAATTTAATATATAATCAGGCCAATTGTTCTCGATCGATAAGGTTATACCCTCTATACATGCATGGGGGTACTTTTTATTATTATTATTATTATTAAATGAAAAAAAAAAAATAACTAATATTTCAACTCTTAATGTAGTGTCAGAAAATAGAAATTATTATCGTAAGAAATAAAGAAAAAAGGTAGCAATCCTTAGCAAGTTGAAGAAAGGAATTATTTCACTTTTCTCCTCGTTATATTACTGATTTGACCAACATATATACTATCTTAAATACGAAAAGGTCAAGTAATATGATATTAATTCATTAGTAAATTTCTAATATGGTATACATTATTTAAAAAATATGGCAAGGTCAAAAATACTCCTGTTAACTTTTCAAAGAATAAAAACAGACACATTTAACTAAAATAAAGATTAAATACATTTTATCACTTTTTAATGGGTTTCCAGTTGCACACTCAGTCTAAAAGTAATATTTTGATGTTTGGACATTACTATGTAATTTTGTACGAAGCGTATATACAACATATTATATTAAAAAATCAATAATTAAGGGAGAAAAGTTTCTATTGGAAATTATTTATCGGTGACAACGTTAATTGACTTAAAAGGAGCGACCAATATAAGAGAACAGAAAACAGAGACAGAAAACAAGTACACACGATACAAACACGCAAATACTTAAATATATCATATATAACTAATCATGGTGTGGATTCCTTTTATATCAAGTAATAAACCAGAATTTAAAAATAATAGAGAAGCAAGAAAACAATGTTGGGAATCAAGAGATATATATTTCAATTGTTTAAATAAAATTGATGTTATTAGTCCCTTAGATCCCAAAAATAAAGAAATAATTAAAAAAAATTGTCATAAACAAGAAATAGATTTTGAAGATAATTGTGCAAAGAGTTGGATAAGTTATTTTAAAGAGAAAAGGGTTACAGATTATAGAAATGATTTGATTCAAAAACAAATGCAACAAGATGAACAAAATCAAAATCTATTACAAGGGAAATGATTGTACATAGTTTATATGATTATGAAAATAAGTATCTCCCCCCCCCCCTTCTCCTCCTTTGAGTAACTCCTTTATTTTGTAAATACATATAACTCATTTGGTTTTATCATACGTGTGTGCGAACATAACCAAATATATATATACATTATATCATATTTCGGCATTTTATATACCTTTATATCACCTCACAATTTTATATTCATATTACTTATTGATTATATTTCATATTTTATTTCAATTTTTGTTATTTTGTAGCAATTTTTAATTTTCGTAGAAAATTTAACACTTTAGTATTTTTCAGTAAATACTCCTATCAATAACTTCATGTAAACAATATTTTGAAAAGAAACGAAGAACTTATATTTTTCGAAACTATAGAATATCTATATATTTTATATGTAATGTTACAGAAGTATTTTAAATTTTTTTTCTTAAACTGAAAATACTTCAATGTTTGCCTTGGCACCATTTTGAGCGGTAACGACACAGAAATCAGCACCACCAGCACCTGACGAGCTTTCGGAACTGTTAACTTCATTGATACCTTGACTAGATGGATCGATGGAACATGGCAAACCAACACATTGGGATGGATCATCACATGTTATTCTAACACCGAAACTTGGTTTAGTGTTCTTGAATGGACTGGTATCTTCCAGATAGATTGGATTCCAACCAATCTTAACATATGTGTTTTTACTGTCATCCATGTTGGCACCAGCGACATATGGAGCCCAGTTACCCCATGGTTCAGCGGTACTACCCCATTTACAACCATCATCAACACTGACACCAGGTGGGTTAATATAGAAATGAGATGCAGTGCCAGCCCAGTAACTAGTATCTGGGACGGCAAGTGTTTCACTAGAACCGGAACCAACTAATGTTGGAATTAACATTTCTTCATTACCTGGTAAGACAGTTTGACAGAATGCAACATCTTCACCAACTTGGTTCTTGGCGATGAATGTACCAGTACCATCGTAACAATAACTTTTACCACTGTTTGGAGTTTGTAAATTACCTTCAGAGTCACAGTACAAACCACCATTTTGAGAACCTGGGTAAGAATATGTAGTGACTGATGGATCCCATTGACCCATTAGTTGACCTGGTTTACAGGCATATGGACACCAAGAACCATAAGTACATTCTTGATCATCATGCATGGCCCAACCAGCATTTTTACCACTAGTTTGGACAGCGACCATACCTTCGTAGTTTGGGAAAGAACAAGTACCACCACGTTTTTCTTGGTGAGATGGAATATGTTCATGATGAATATCAGAAGTAGATGGGATTTCAACATCAGCGATAGGAGCAGATTTAGCAATAGTGCTCAATAAAAGGAGTGAAAGAGTGTTAGAAATCATTTTTTATTTTATTTTATTAAAGAAAGTATTAGTTTTTTTTGTAGTATTAAAGGAGTGACTGTAAGTTGGTATAACTTTGCTTTTGATATGATATATTATATGATATATTAGTATACATATAATTAATAAGAATTAACTAATAATAAATAACTAAAACGAAAACATAAAACCAGATTCAAAAATAAATTAATATAGTTGCTATTTATATGATTTAGTTCTTGAAAAAGAAAGATCTAATTTCATGCCCTTTATGGATGCTCGAAGTGTAAAGTTCTAACAAACGTCATAGATCTCACCTATTCAAGAACATAAAAGAAAAGACAACCATAGGAAAAAGAAGGCCTAAATGTAATTACGTTAAAAAGAAAAAAAACTTAACTTTCTTTTTGGGTTTGTACAGACACTTCTGTACTTATTGTCAAATTTTACATCATTGCCAAAAATGAAAAAGTAATATCGTACATAGCCTGGCTGATGGTCCCTGAATAAAGCGAGGACAAATATGTAACTGCCATATATATGTTACAATTTCTCTTTCTCTCCGCGTTTATTCCGTACATACTCTCTCTGCAAACTTAATTTACCAGAAAAGTAAAGTGATGGGCATAAATTTACCACAAAAAGTAACTGACAGACGATACATGCAAATCAGCATATTTGGTAATCCGCACAGAAAGCCGGAAAAAAGAAAAGAGAAGCGACAAAAAGCAAATAATGGCTCCTCGAGCTCAGGGTCTAGAATCTCATGGGTAATCAATTTCTACGAAGTTTATTGGGTCAAAAGAACCAAAAGAAATAGACTTTTCAATGCTTTTTGTTGCACGCTTAATTGTTACAAGAAAAAAGATGGTTCTAGAATCGTTTTTTTACTTTTTTAATAACGTTAACTAATGTACGTACCGCTCACATACTCATTAAAACCCAAATGCAATTTCTTTTGTTTTTACCAAGAAAAGTAATTTGAGGTGGCTCTAATCACTATACAATCAATCGATGGTTATGAAAATTATTGTTTTTTTCCAAAAAAGTATATATCGTCTGGGCTAAGTTGTGTGACTTTTTTAACACATTATTATTCTTTTTAAAGTAACTATAATTTAAATACAAAGCACTGTACAACCCCCATGATAATATGCTTTTGAGTAATGTATGGGTTTTAGGTTGCTAAATGAACTTTAACTAAGCCATTAACAAAGTAAATACTCCGACCATCATCAAATTAATCCGAACCACAATAAAAGTGATGTCATTAATTACCAACATTTTAAAAATACCGGGGTGGCGTTTTGGTTGTTCCTCCCTCTTAAGTTGAAGATAATATGTTCACTTTTTTACATTGTACGTATAAGGGAACATTTCTCAACCCCACGATTGTCTGGGGAAATGATTTGAATACATGGTGGCAACAAATAAAATCAATATATACATATTTATGCATACATACTATAACACATCGATAATAAAATAACTCTACGTAAAGTAAAGAAAAGAAATGTATTTAAATTAACAATAGTAGCAACAATGAGATAAGTATTTTGAATGAATCAGAGTTGTCTTTTAATAAATTTTATGTAGACAACTTTCAGTGTTCATAAAATTGATTATTGTATTTTTTGTAGTACCAACCAATTTTAAGCAATAGAACAGTGCAATAACTTATAACGTGACAAAAAAGAATTATTACAAGAGTTTCTTCTGTTTATTTGTCAGAATCATCACGAATTTCTCAAATTACGTCATGCGGAGATGGTACTAAGATAAAAGAAGGAAATACATAACAACGAATAACGATGGAAATCAATACAACCTAGTATATCTCCTCATTAAACTAATCAATACAAGAAACTAATTCCTCTTCTTTAAAAAAATAAAAATAAAATGAACTGGGGCAGACCATACCTATTTAGGTCGTTAATGTCACATAAAACTGTCACTAACATTTAAGTAAGTGCACCCTCTAATTTCAATATTATCCTTATCCGTCACATCGTCAAATAAAATACAAAACCAGAGAGAAAATTTGTTTTATCTCGCACACAGACGGATTACGGAAGAGCGAGTGTGAAAAGTTTTAGTTCACCCGTTTTTTTTGTAAGCTCTCTCTCGCTCCATTTTTTTTTATTTTCTCGTCTCTAAGAAAAATAAAGGTGCAGAAAAGGGAGAAAATTGATAAGTTGAGTAAGTATTGAAATTTTAAACGGTAATTTCATTAATGAATCACTAAAACCTAAGTCATAGTTTGCATTTTTATCTTAACAGTGACTTTTTTAATCAGCGTGTAAAGATCCGAGTTAGAGTCTATATTTGATTACAAGACTAAAAGAGTTCTTTTTGCTAACCATAATCTCCTTAAAGATCTATTTGCTACAGTTAAAATTGTTCTGTATTAGAAGTTGGATACGGAAATTCTAGTTTCAATACTCATTTTTAGAAAGGAACCTATTTACATTACATAAACCTTTAATAGTGTTCAAGAATTTCTACCGAAGCTAAAGATAACAATATCAAGATACACACATTTCATTACAAAAGATCAACTACCCATTTAAAGTCTATTACCTAACCATACCTAACCGCTACATTATATAACAATCCCTGCCAAAAATGATGAAAGGTAAAGAAATTAGAATCATGTCTTTGCTGGTGCTAGACACTATTTTTTTCCTTTTGGAATTAATTATCGGTTATATGTCTCACTCTTTAGCCCTTATTGCCGATTCTTTCCATATGCTAAACGATATTATTTCATTATTAGTAGCTCTTTGGGCTGTTAAAGTTGCCAAAGAACGTGATCCTGACTCTAAATACACATATGGTTGGAAAAGAGCTGAGATTCTTGGTGCATTAATCAACGCAGTTTTCTTAATTGCATTATGTTTTTCAATTTTGATTGAAAGTATTCAAAGGTTAATTCAACCTCAAGTAGTGGAGAATCCTAAGTTAGTCATGAGTGTCGGTTTTGCTGGTCTTGCATCAAATATTGTGGGTTTATTCTTATTCCATGAACATGATCATGATCATGGTGTACACGATGAAGAAGCTGGTGGTTTAGTTGGTTCGAGTCACCAACATATGATTTCAACTACTGGAACTGATGCCGAAGAAAGTGATAGTCATACTCATTCACATTCTGTAGAGTCTACACCTAACGATGTCCTAACTAATACTACTGTTGAAATACTAAGAAACGAGAATGATGACAGTAACGACAGTAACGATAACGAAGATACTCCATTAGTTAATAAGACAACTTTGATTAAACGTAAGAAGAAGGATGTTAAGAAACCAAAGAAATCAACTAAATCTCTAAATATGCGTGGTGTGTTTTTACATGTCATGGGTGATGCATTAGGTAACATTGGTGTTATTTCAGCAGCTTGGTTTATTTGGAAAACTGATTATACATGGAGATTCTATAGTGATCCTTTAGTCTCATTATTGATTACATTAATTATATTTTCCTCTGCATTACCATTATCCCGTAAAGCGTCTAAGATTCTTTTACAAGCTACTCCATCGAGTATCTCAGCAGATGAAATTCGTGACGAGATTCTAGAGATTCCAGGTGTTTTAGCTGTCCATGATTTCCATATTTGGAATTTAACTGAGGCTAGTACCATTGCATCCATACATGTGAAATTAGATATCAGTCCCGAAGAATTTGTATCCACGGCTAAATTAATTAGACATATATTCCATAACCATGGTGTTCATTCAGCTACTGTTCAACCAGAATTCTCTTCTGATCAAGTATCTGCTCAAGATCGTAGAAGGTTTTCTATAATTGCAGGTGGTGCAGATGACAACAACTCTACACCATGTACGGCATATGGTTCTACTACCAAGGATAGTAATTGTTTAGTGGATAACGCTGCTAATTGTTACTCCGACAGGTGCAAATAAATATCGCCGAGATAGAAAAGACAAACAAAGACAAATAGGAACCTATTTTTAAGGGATATGAGCTTATTCAGTATGGGGGTGGACTTTATAATCCTACATGCTCAATAAACTCTAATATTTGAAAATATTCATATTTTTTTGAGTTCCGTCTTTTCCAGTTCCTCGTACACCATCAATAGATTATATAAACATCTCAAAGATAAAGTATGTATATATATATATACAGAAGTAGAATTTTTTCATATACATCTTTACCATAATCTCAAATGAATAAAAACCAACGTATAAGGTATCATCGGATCTATATATTTCGTTTTGGTAAGAATAATCGATATATTTTGACTTATCAACACACTATGCAAGGGACTGGTTGTTTCCACGTCTAGCAGATAAGCTTAGCTTTAATTCTGCGAGTGAAGATTAATAGTCCGCGGAGTCGTCACAGTTGAACAAAGGCATTTCACGCATCATTTTTCTAGACAAATAAACGTAGAAAGAGGTATTCACAACTGTGCCCGCCTATCTCTTCTGCAAGCAACACCACAGAAAGGACTAGCCGCGGTAGGAAACCAAAATTGAAAATGCGACACGCTTTCTCACTGCCACGATGGAGCCACCAGCTAGCAGCAGCAGCAGCAGCAACAAAAATTTTGTGAATTGAAAAAATGAATGTAAACAGAAATTGATGCTGTATGTTTACATAGAGCATAGATACGCGATGGATTACGATAATGGAGTTTTGCTAGCTGATTCACTAGGTGAACCATGGTGCTCTGCCAAACTTTCTAGCCGTGTTTTGTGTTTCAGATTTTCTATATATTTACTATCTAACTTAAATTTTATTATTGGTTTGAACAAAGATGATCTAGATGTCAACAAAGAAATTTGTAGCTGTTCATGCATTGTTTGGTTGAAAAAAAGAAGGAAGAAGAAATAGTCCTTCTATTATATTCTTGTATTATCATTGTAAGCTACCTTTAGATATAGATATATATATATATAGTTCAGTATAATTTATTTCTTAAATCATATGTTATTGTAAAAGACAGTAACTAATCAATTTTGAACCATATGTATATATACTCTAGGCACACTAGACGGGATGACGCCACATTATAAGATACGATTGAAACCCGAATTGCAATATAGAAGAAAATATGATAGCTCACGATATTATTATCAATATAACATTAAGGATCGAATTAATAGAATACCATTGAGAAATGAATTTCAATTAAAAATACATCAGACAGAAAATCTACCATTTCATAGAATGCTATCTGCACTTCGTCAATATTATATCTTTCAACAGATAATATATTATGCAAGACAATTAAATCATATTCAGAAAATAATAAATATTTTAAAATCGATTCTGGAGATAATAAGTAAATCAAGATTATATTTATTAATTCGACCAATTATTAATTTTATAGATACAGTTGGTTCAATGTTCATACAATATCCCTTAAAATTTTCACCGACATGTAGAACAGTTTCAATAAGAGAAGTTAAGAAGACTACATTATTACCTATGATAATTTTGCTTCAACCAATGAATCGTTTGAGTAAAATAATAAGACAAAATCAAATTCGAAATTTCCCATTACAAAAATACCCTGTCAATTCTCATCAACAAAGGGTAATACTTTCTCCAATAATACATACAGCTTTACTAATAACTACGTTTTTTAGCTTTGTCCTTTCGATGTTCTGTTTATATGCATCCTTAATATTATACTGGGTAATTACACCACGCAACGATAGTAAAAATATCATTTCATCAAATGAACAGACAGTGGCTTATATGCCAGATCAACATATCACACACGATAGTTTCATGACATTTTCTACACCAAAGAAATTCGTATCAATCAAGTGGTCCTGTGAAATATCTATACATTCCAATAATTTACCAACTTTTAATCTATATCCAAAATATCGTCTAAAACCTAGTAGGACTTATGTTCAGGTATAGATAGCCAACCAAAATCATAATTACAAAATACCACAACTTACCTAAATTGCATTATCCCTTTTTTTTTTATTTCATATTCATAATCATATTAATAGATCTTATATACCAAATTACATAAAAAAGCTATTATTCTTCCAACTTTTACTTTGCTACCATTGTCCCATTAAAAACTGTGTGAATGGATAGTAATGGTAATGGGACTGCTAAACCCAGACATTTCTCTTACATCCGTACATCTTAAAAATAATGCATATTTTATCTAATATTTTTCTCCGACCGGTAACTTTTTGTTTGATTTTTAAATTCATTTTTGAAATATTTCTAAGATTTTTTCGCTTCATTTTTGAATTCGGATAGTCCTACTCAGAGGAATGGCCGCACAACATTACCAAATAATAAACAAATTTGGAAAATGAAATTGTCTTTCCATCTCATCAAACACATTGATGGGGGTTAATTTCCCATCTCTAAAGTCCTCGATCGGTGAATGCTGCATGGCAAAGAATCTCTGTGCAACCTTTGCTTACCTTTTTGCAACTGGAACTTAGTTAACGAATTTTCACCATAACGAAAATTCAAAGGTTACTAGTAAATGAAGGAAATAGTTGATATATATCAACATATAGGTTATAATTGAAGGTTTAGTTATATAAAGTCTTTTTGATTTTATTTAACAACATCGAAAACAATACGCGAAAAAGTGAGTACATTAATACCTGATGTCGTAATGAGTAGAGGGCGTGATTTACATGTTGTTTAAAGATGATATATTCATCATATTAGGAATACGTTGAATTACCTGAATTTAGATAAATTTTATGGAAAAATGAATAGAATTGTGCAGTGTGGAATGATAATGAGGAAAGCACATATACTATGAACTAGAAAACCCATGTCATTATACAGAGTTATTTCAATATCGATTTATATTATGATTATTAGCAGATTTACCATTTTTTTGAAACACAATAGATATAACCTTACGAGAAATACTCTTAATGAAATGTAAAAAGAAATCTTTGGATGATTAGAAACAATTGTATCGGGTAAGCTTCTCATATCGACAAAATAAAACATACTTATTATATGTGATTCTTTTTTACTAACAACATTTTATATTTATCTTACGTCGTTGTTTTTCAAATGTTTCTGCAATTTTGTGCAGAGTTTAGAGAACTAAGATAAAGATTCATATATCGCCCTTATATTATAGTGTCTCATTTCAAGGAATACCAAGTTATTGGCCGTCGTCTACCAACCGAATCCGTTCCAGAACCAAAGTTGTTCAGAATGAGAATCTTTGCTTCTAACGAAGTTATTGCTAAGTCTCGTTACTGGTACTTCTTGCAAAAGCTACATAAGGTTAAGAAGGCTTCTGGTGAAATTGTTTCCGTTAACCAAATTAACGAAGCTCACCCAACTACTGTCAAGAACTTCGGTCTATGGGTCAGATACGACTCCAGATCCGGTACCCACAACATGTACAAGGAAGTCAGAGATGTCTCCAGAGTCAACGCTGTTGAAACTTTGTACCAAGACATGGCTGCCAGACACAGAACCAGATTCAGATCTATCCATATTCTAAAGGTTGCTGAAATTGAAAAGACTGCTGATGTCAAGAGACCATACGTCAAGCAATTCTTGACCAAGGATCTAAAATTCCCATTGCCACACAGAGTCCAAAAGTCTACCAAGACTTTCTCTTACAAGAGACCAACCACCTTCTACTAATCTGATAAAGTATGAATTCTTTTGTTATTTTTTCATTTGTTTTCACACATATTATATACATTTTTCATATAAATCAGTTTTGTAAAATTTAATAAATTTAATTAGTCACATTACGTATCAATTACACTTTTCTTTTCGATAATATTAAATGCAAATAAAAGGTTTCTTAATCATAATTATTGTTTGTCTTATTAACTATACGTAATTCAAACATACTTCTTCATCAAATTTACCAAATAATGAAATTTAAAATTTTTGATCACGTGCGTGAAAAATTTCAAAAAATTTTCAGTCCCATCATCGAAAATTTTTAACTCTTATAATCCAGCGACAAAGGAAGAGATGATGGCCAATAAATTACAGAGGGAACAGGATATTAAGGAGGATACGTACATATAAACAAAAATATATAACATCGTTGAGCATTCATTTTGTCATTACTCAGACTACAGAAGTATAACCAAAATTAGACGATGTCCTACGTTTTAACCGAAACCTCTGCAGGTTACGCTCTATTGAAGGCCTCTGACAAGAAGATCTACAAATCAACCTCTTTACTTGATGACTTAAATTCCTCTGACAAGGTCCTAAAGGAGTTCAAGATTGCTGCATTTTCTAAGTTCAACTCTGCCGCAAATGCTTTAGAAGAAGCCAACTCTATTATTGAAGGTAAAGTTTCTCCACAATTGGAGAAACTTTTGGAAGAAATTAAGAAAGATAAGAAGAGCACATTAGTGGTTAGTGAAACTAAACTAGCTAACTCCATTAACAAGCTTGGTCTAAACTTTAACGTTGTCTCTGATGCTGTCACTTTAGATATCTACAGAGCTGTTAAGGAATACCTACCAGAATTGCTACCTGGTTTAAACGATTCTGATTTGAACAAAATGTCCCTTGGTCTAGCCCACTCCATTGGTCGTCATAAATTAAAGTTTTCTGCTGATAAGGTCGATGTTATGATTATTCAAGCCATTGCTCTTTTGGATGACTTGGACAAAGAATTGAACACCTACGCTATGAGATGTAAAGAATGGTACGGATGGCATTTCCCTGAACTAGCTAAGATTGTCACTGACTCTGTTGCTTACGCTAGATTAATTTTAACAATGGGTGTTAGATCTAAGGCTGCCGACACAGACATGAGCGAAATCTTGCCAGAAGAAATTGAAGAACGTGTTAAGACTGCTGCTGAAGTTTCTATGGGTACTGAAATTACTGAAGATGATTTGGACAACATTAAGAACTTAGCTGACCAAATTGTCGACTTTGCTGCATACAGAGAACAACTTTCCAACTATTTGGCTGCTAGAATGAAGGCAATTGCTCCAAATTTGACACAATTAGTTGGTGAGCTAGTTGGTGCTAGATTAATTGCTCATTCTGGTTCTCTAATATCTTTGGCTAAGGCTCCAGCCTCCACTATCCAAATTCTTGGTGCTGAAAAGGCTTTATTCAGAGCTTTGAAGACTAAGCATGATACTCCAAAGTACGGTCTTTTGTACCACGCCTCTCTGGTTGGTCAAGCTACCGGTAAGAACAAGGGTAAGATTGCTAGAGTTCTAGCTGCTAAAGCCGCTGTGTCTATACGTTATGATGCTTTGGCTGAAGACAGAGATGACTCTGGTGATGTTGGTCTAGAAGCTAGAGCCAAGGTCGAAAACAGATTATCACAAGTGGAAGGTAGAGACCTAAGAACCACTCCAAAGGTTGTTCGTGAAGCTAAGAAGGTCGAGATGACTGAAGCTAGAGCTTACAATGCTGATGCTGATGCTGTTACTGAACCAGCTGCTGAAGCTGCTGATTCCGATGATGAATCCGAAGAAGAAAAGGAAGAAGAAGAAAAGAAGGAAAAGAAGAAGGAAAAGAAGGACAAGAAGAGAAAGAGAGATGAAGATGAGGATTCTAAGAAGTCCAAGAAATCTAAGAAGGAAAAGAAAGAAAAGAAGGAAAAGAAAGATAAAAAGGACAAAAAATCCAAGAAAGAAAAGAAATAAGATGCATATTTTCCAATAATAAAATTCTCTCACCATTTATAATTCCATTTTTTTAACCTTAGCATTCTTGTTTGTGATTCTTTATCAAAATACTTCTAGAAATCACAAAAGAAAACAGAAAACAACAACAACAAATATTACTATCTAGTCATAGTTCATTTCTAACATCAAGATTTTGTAATTATTATTATATTTATCACGATATTTATGTAAAATAGAAATTTTAAAAATAAACATACGATCTTCAATATTATAGTTTCAAATATTTTGAAAACCCCAATTAATGACACTAACCTTCAATATAATTGTGTATTTTAGATGCATATTATTCCAAAGGATACATTCTATATATTAGATATATACATATATATCTTGAAGATAAAAACAAAACAATACGAATATGTAATGAAATGTAAATAAGGGAAGAAAGTACTATACAATAGCTTAATGCTTAGCTACTGGAGTTTCACCAGTTAATTTACCGACAAATTCCTTGGCCATATCACCGAAACCGACCATGAAAACCGTTTGCCAGACACCTAGACCTACTCTTGGAGTGATACCACGATATAGACCTTTAATACCATTTGATTGGTAAATATATTTGAAAGTCTTTGCGACAGTCAAATTTTTTGGTCTATTTGGATCAGCAGTCTTTGATTGCATTTCAACTCTAATAACCTCGATAGGTTGATTCCATGCACTTAAACCACCACCAATGGCAGATGCAGAGATTTTCTCTAGAGCGGTTAATCTATCATCTGGATTAGTTTTACCTGTAGCCTTTCTAATGACATCTTCTACTAATCTACTTAAACCAAAACGAGAACCCCAATTAGTCATTTGTCTAATAGCAACTGCATTGACACCTTTATATATACCTTTCAAACCTTCTTTAGCATAAATTGTTTTAAAAACACCCCATGAGGATTGAGCTGCACCATCTGCAGACTTTTTTCTAGTGATCTCTACAGTCTTCATACATGTACAGAACCCCATTGTCAAATATGATTGTGCAACACCACCTGAGATACCACCAAGAATACCTGAACTGAAATTACCTAACCCTAAGGATTTGAATCTATGTTCGGCCTCAGCAGCAACGAATAATAGGACAGCACCTTTGGTAGAGGCTTCGATCCAAGCCCATGGAATTAAACCTTGATAGAAACCAAAGACACCACCACGAGACCATACATGTTTCATAGCACTTAAGAAATTTAATTGTCTATGTGCAGCCATAGTGGTCTTGATAACCTCTAGAGGTTGACCTAAAGTGGTCACTTCGCACATGTTCAAACCTGCACCTAGCAGGATATTAGAGAAGGATACAGGTTTCTTCTTTAAATGTTCAGGTTGTGAAACTGGAGTAACGGACATTATTTTATGATCTCTGTATTAAAGTAAATCCACGAAAATAATAACAAATATTAATAATAGGAAGTATTACTATATATATTTCAAATCTATCAAGTGAATAGTATGATCCCAATAGCAAAAATATCGAAATTTATTTGTACCTTTCTGTAAGATCTAAATGAAATGGATAAGATTAAACAAGAGGTGCAGTTTTATATAAATACATACACGTATATATATAGAGAGAGAGAGATATATAGGAACATATTCTGTCAATGTACAATGGCCAGTTCCCAAGAGGATTCCAATCAAATCATGAATATGTACTACCACCCACTACTTCCTGGCAGGTCTCTTCTCTTTGGTTATGCCAATAATGTCCGTAACTTTACCCTCAGTCCTTGCCGTTGTCTCATTTCCATAGATGAATCATGCAGATTTCATTGAAAAAGTTTCAGTTTGCGGTGCAAAAAGTGAAAAATTCACGGAAATTTCAATTTTTTTTCTGTTTAAAAATCTCGAGATGCCGCGACGGCCGCGGTGATGGAATTGTTTTTCCACCGGAATACTGGGTTAGGGTATTGCAAGTTAGGGCTTGCTCCTGGAAAGTGCTATCTTTTTGGGGGGACGTGAAATTTTTAAGCAGAACATTTTGGCACATTTGAAGGAAACACGCTGGAACTTAAACCATGAGATGAGGAAGAGAGAGGTTTGAACTAGCTCGTACATTTGGTTATTATATTTGGCTAGGAGGAGGCTAAGTTTGGAGGAATCAGGATTCGGAGATCTGAGCGTTAGTAATAGATATATCTATATATATATATAGTGTTGTGCTAAAATAATGGCAAGACGATCAGGAGCTAAGAAGAAGAGCATACAGAATGACAATAAGGCACAAATTGCCAAGTTACTGGACACAAGGCGGCAAGATAAAGGAAAGAATAATAACAAAATCACGAAACCTACCAAGAATATTGCTAAATTAGAGGATGCTTTCACAAATGTGATGAAGAAATTTGAAATTACAGATAATGGACCTTTACATAAAGATATTAATCATGAATCCAAGGGTGCTGATAATGAAATAGGCTCTGAATTAGCTAGTTTGGTAGAAGCTGAGTCTAGTAAAAATAAAGATAAAGAAGAAGAAAAGAAGAATGAATCAACGGGTCCATCTAAAAGAAAACAAAGAATTATGAATAAACCATCATTATCACAATTGAAAAGTTCCGTTATTCATCCAGAAGTTATAGAATGGTATGATTGTGACGCACCTTATCCTTATGTATTAGCATCTATTAAAGCATCTAAAAATGTAATACCGGTTCCGTCTCATTGGCAAACAAAAAGAGAATATCTATCAGGAAGATCATTGCTATCTAAAAAACCATTCGAATTACCAGATATTATTAAAATGACAGATATTGAACAAATGAGATCTACTTTACCAACACAAGAAGAAAATGAAAAATCCTTGAAAGAATTAGCTAGAGCAAGAGTTCAAGTGAAAACAGGAACATTGGATATTGATTATAGACGAACGTATAATATTTTCTTTAAAATCGGAGCTCAATGGAAACAAGATTTATTATTACCATTTGGTGATATGTACTATGAAAACAGAACTTTACATGATGAGGCTCAATGGAGAAAAATGATAAAGGATAAGATTCCAGGGAAATTGAGTGAGACTTTAAGAACAGCAATGGGTTTAGAAGATGGTCAATTACCGCCTTGGTGTATGGCAATGAATGAAATAGGTATGCCACCAGCTTATCCAGATATGCAAGTTGCAGGTATAAATTGGGATATCTCAAATTTAAAAGATGGTATATATGCAAAAGTGACACCATTACAAAAAAGTCGACAAAAAAGCAAAAATCAAAAGAATTATTTTGGATCAATAATATCGTTTGAAAAAGATGATCCACTAGAAACAATATATGAAAAGAAAGTGAAGGAACCTGTTGCTGAAGATACAAAAGAAACAGAAAATTTAACTGCTAAAACGGATAACAAGACTAATGATGATAGGATTCCCTTAACAGAATTTGAAACCAAACAAACTACTCCAAAGGTTAATGAACAAAACGAAGAGGACAATCAAGAAAAATCGCTATACACAGTTATTGAAACTGATACTTCTGGTGAAAAATCAAGTTTGACGGGATCTGTGACATCATATAAGCTCAACAGAGTAAACAAAACATCAGATTCTACTAAATTACAAGAAACCATAGACGATACAGAGCAATCTGAAGAAGAACTTGAAAAATTTAAATTCTAGGCGTGCTCTTTGAATTACAGGTCAGACTCAGCTTATATTCGAAATGAGCTGAGTACAGTTTTTTAATATATATATATATATATGTATGTATACAAAACAATTGTTGTAATAGTCTACTTTTTTCATGAAAATTCGGAATTTAGTTTCACTTTATATTTAACCTAAATATCTTCTTGCAATAGCGCATCGCTTATTTCGAAGGCATTGAAAAATTTTGAAACTCATCGCGAAATCTTTTATTATGGGGTATCATATATTAAAGAAGAACATCATTAAAATACAATAAAAACAAATATTACTAAAACATAACCTATTTAGAGTCCTAAACTCACGAATCAACACCAAATAGAAATATTGTAACTTTCCATTATGGGATCTTCAAAAAAGGAAAAGAGCAAAAGAAAGCATAGCGAAATAGGGTCTCCTGAGGTTGATGACCAATCTGTAAACCAACATAAACGTCGCTCAAGTAAAAAGGATGACTCAAGTAAACATAAGAATAAGAAGCACACCAGCTCTAAAAAGGAGAAGAAGGAAAAAAAACATAAGAAGAGTAAGAAATTAGATGCAGATGACAAAAAAATTGAAATACCCTTTAGTAACTTTTATAATTACTCACAAGCTTTAGAACTTGAGCATGCTGTAACAAAGTTCGTAGAGTCTTATAATAAGATCATCGAATTATCACCAAATTTTAAAACGTATCAACAAATAGATAAAAATAAGGATAAAATAGATTTCCAGCTAGTACCTTCATTTTCTAGATATAAATTGAAGTTCGCTGCAGAGCTTAAATCACTCAATGAATTGCATAAACAGCTAAACTTTCAAGATCTCGAAACATATGAAGCACGATTCAACAATAACGAAACCAAACCTGTGTTAGAAAATTTAACCACGAACGATATTAAAGAGTTAGAACAAAGTAAGCCATTAGCTGTGACCAATGGCAACGAACTTATCAATAGCAATGAGATTTTTGGTGAAAATAAGGAACATACAGAAGATATACCTACTTCTTCTGGCAAAGATTGGCCACCAGAACTTCTTCCGATCAAAAATATTGCATTAAAATCACAAGTATTTATCCACAAATCGATGGTTAACAACAAATTATATCTGACTGAAAAAGAAATGTTGCATACACATAATGAAAGATTAGAATTTCTTGGAGATTCTGTTTTGAATACATTAATGACACTTATTATTTACAAAATGTTCCCCAATTATGACGAAGGTCAGTTATCGAGCCTTAGAATTCAATTAATTAACAACCAAAAGTTAAAAGAATTTTCCCAAGCTTATGACATGGATAGATATTTAAAAAGTAATGTTCTCCAAGATGGTGGAGCAAAATATTTTGCTGGGAAACAGAAAATGACTGCAGATATATTTGAAGCTTATGTAGGTGCTCTGGTGGAAGATAAGTCGGTGACATTGGATGATATTCAAACATGGTTAGAGAAACTAGCCATGCCTACTATCAAGGAATGTACAAGTACAAAGAAAGGTATGTTTGAAGATAATAACGATTTAAATATAAACGCAAAGAGAAAACTTTACTCGTTAATAGGATATGCAGCATTAGAATTGCAGTATCAGACTGTTCAAAGACCAACTCGCGAAAACCCTGAAACAACGGTGGTTTGTAAAATCGGAGACGGCACAATACTAGGTTCAGGTACAGCTAGAAATACAAAACTGGCAGGTTTAAGAGCTGCTGAGGATGTATTGAGTAAAAAGGACGTTATAGAAAAGTATGCAAATCAGAGAGCAGCAATTCCTAGGTCCGAATCATCTACAAAGGCGTCCAATACCACTAGTAAATTTTCCAGAGTTAATAATCATAGTGACGAGAATGGACAAAACAAATCCAGAAACACCCATCTGCCGATTTCCAGCACGACAGGTAAAGTCGTCTTAGGTCCTGACGGGGAACTTCAAATGCAATGATCGCATTGATGAATGTATCAAAAAAATGGATAGATATATATAGTTATGTAATATTCACATAGACTGTGCATGAAAAAAGTATATTTATATTTTTCGAAGATCTACTTCCTTATAGAATTTCTGCAAGAGATTTCCTATCTTTTTTCCTGAAATTTCCTCTCACTTTCCTTTTTGAAGTACTTCCAGTTGAGGTACCATTTAATGTCGGCATATTTTCCGTATCTCTATAAAGAATTTTAATGTCAGAACCAGCTGAAACCTTTCTTTTCAGCGTCTTTTGAACTTTGGCACTCTCTTGGGCAAACCATTTTTCAAACTCAAGAGCGGCAATTTGTTCTTCGAGTGAGCTAACTACTTCACCAGATTTATCACCAAAGACAGAACTGATTTCATTTACCTGTTGTTTTGTAGATACCATGTATGGTTTAATACCACCTCCAGTACCGGTACTGACGAATTCAGAATACATTGTCTTCGCCTCTTCCTTGTGTATATTCTTCCTCTTACTTCTCTTTGGCGCTGATTTGATTTCATTTACAGTTGCATCAAATAATGATGGCAATTTTTCATTACCATTACTCTGAGCTCTTTTGGACCCAGCATCGTTATTAATTCCAGATTTCCCCCACACATGTTTTTCCCCAGATTCATTATCAATTATAGGATTGCTGTTGAGCTGAAGTTTTTTCCTTTGTTTTTGGGTATTCTTTTTGAATGTGCCACTAATTTTAGCGTTCGTATCTTCTTTTTCCGTTTTAGTATCTATAATTCCAGTATTCAATAACGAGGGTAAACTATTACCAGTCCCCGACACTTCAGGATGTATTAAAATTTCAGCGGATGGTAGTGGCGACTCAGTAGGTAACGACTCTGAGTCCTTTCTTTTCTTGTCAACAACAGACTTTCTCTTCGATTTTCTAACGACCTCCACAAAGTCTGATGGATCATCTTCAACTGCACTTGAATTCTCTGACCCAAGAGTCGTTGTTGACCCCCAGGGGTTTTTCAGAAGAATAGGAAATTGAGAGGTATCACTAAATGACCCGTTACTTGACTGCCTAGACTCCTTGTACACAGATGAGCGACGTACAGCATTTTTATTCGAAGAAGATGACCTTCTTGTAGACGACCTTCTTCTACTACTAATTAAATCTGGTTTCTGATCGAATAATGGTGCGAATTGATGTGGTCCGTGCATAAAAATTGCATTAAATTTTGCAATATTGCATTTAAATGTATCAATCCAATTCAGATCGTTCGTTTCATACCACGAAAAATGAGTGGCAAGTGTGGGATCATCACTTTCAAATGATGCTAATTGGGATTCAAGCCTACCCCAAATATGATCATCAAAGTAATCATCAATCAGTTCTATATTTTCTTTGCAAAAGAGAATCCCAATATGAAGAGCAAGGAAAATACAACAATTTGTTTGTAAGATTGATGCATTATTATTTACTGAATGTAGTAATATGGGGACAACGGTGCTACCATTAATGTACTTTGATAAAATAGACTCTGTGTATATCTTCAGGGGTATTAAGTTCAATTCATCCGTGACCATTAATAACTCGAATAAGAAGTTTAGTGTTTCAGAAAATGACTTATTTAATACCTCTAAATCAAGGATATTTTCAAATGGAAAGCCATATAAGTACCTTAATATTGGTTTAAACAGGTCTTTTGAAACGTGAGGTAACTCTATACATTTCTTTTCATTTTCTATATCCATCTTAAAATGATTATTGAGAGCAATATTAAAGAACATTGATCTACTTGATAGTACTACTGCGTGCCCATAACAGACTTCGTCCTCCTTTAATCTAATTATAACATCGGTTTTTGATAAATTGTTGTTCAGAGATTCCATGGATGTGTCAGAATCTGAATAAACGTCAAATAAATCATGAATTGTTGATGTAATGTCCATTTTGTGTATAGAGTTCTCAACAATATGGGTTGATATTCTAGCTATTTGCTGATCCTTCGGGTTTTCGTCAGTGTATAGCATATGGATTACAGATTTTAATGTCTCATTTACAAACTCAGAATCTATTGAAGTGGAAACAGAGATTTTCCAAATGTTGTCCGTAAATTTGTTCTCCAATTTAAAAATAAGCATCCCATCTTTTATATTAAAAGAACCAGTTTCCTTTAAATATTTTAAAAGAGTTTTGCATCTCTTCAAGATAAGCTTATGACAACCCCATGAACTAGCTGGTTCTAAATTGTTGACAAACTCAACATCATAAGCAAATTGTTTTATGTTATTATGAATTATATGTTCAAAAATTTTAGTCCCTGGCGTACCCTCATTCATTAATTGGTCTTCTTTATAATATTCACCATAGGTTATAGACTCATATGGAATTCTTTTCGAATGATTCAAAGGAGAATACTGTTTAAAGTTATTTCTGACATCATTTCCTTTGAATGGTAAGTCAATTGGGTTACATTCGTCTTTTATTATCGCAAACGAGTCAAACGATGAATCACACGAAACAGAGATGGCCCTACCAGAGATCAGTTTACTACTATGTACCTTCGTGAACTTTTCAGTAAAAGTATTAGCCATAAAAACTTCACCTCCATATGTGCATACGATTAGACCACCATTTGATCCAACATCAAAATCCAAACAATTATGCATGGTTCTATCAGGATTCCAATATAAGGATATAGGTAAATTGTTGGAAAATTTGGCCCATCTATTTATTGAATCATTTTTGGGTGATACGATACCCACTCTGCCACAGCTAAACCTAATACAAAGATTGTTTCCAGAGGGATTGGAGCATTTGATATCAATAGCCTCATTGTGAATACCTCTATGGGCGAAATGTTTGAATGTATCAATTTCTTTATAATTTTTTGAGTGAGGCACAGAAATTCTAAATGTCTTCATGTTGTGATCAGATAATACGACCAGTGTATTTCCTTTACATCTACAGAATGTAACAAACTCTGTTGCAACAATTTGTTCAATCTCTAAGTGCGATAAGTTAACCACTATTGGTTTTGTCATAATGTGACCAAATTCACCCATATATTCAGCATCAGGTGAAATGTGAGACAATTTGGAGCTGCCCATCTGCCCAACATTTAATCCCCACATATATAACATATTATCATTGGTTAACACACAAGTGTGAATTGGGGAACATGCAATTAACGAAACATTTTTGTCGTCAAAAAAATGAACCTTCCTTGGAATGCTACTGTTTAAAGTATCCATATTCTTTTCATCATGTTTCCGTACAGTGGTATTTGTTGTTGTGTAGCATAATTGATTAAAAGCATTCCAACCCCAAGTAAACAAATTTCCATCTCTATCTAAGAGAACACTATGATTGTCACTTGTCTGTAAACTTTTAATACCAGATTCTCTGAAATCTAATATCTTGGAAAAATTGAATGAGGGTTTCTCCGTGGAGCCATTTCCCAGTCTACCTCTTGTACTACTACCGCAGCTGAAAACTGTATCATCAGTTGTTCTTACGATGCAATGGTATTTTGTCATCTTGATCTCTTTAAATTTATCATTACTTGGTGGGAAAACCATATCTTTAATTTGGTTAATATGCATTTGGAAGAAATTCTGTCTGTCATCTTTATTGCCTGTTCCTAACTGATAGTTTGTATTTGAACCAAGTGTTAGAATATGAGAACCTCTATTTTCTTTTAGATATTTCTCCTCCTCTATAGATTTAGGAAGTGTCATCATGGAAGACGTAGATTCGAAAGTCAGATTTTCTTCTGTAGGTTGCCACTCAATGAATAATTCATTTGGTTTATGCGGATAAATGTATTTAAACTGTTTTGGATAACGTCTTATCTTATTTTGGAACTGTAGATTATATAAATCTATCGGTGATAAGCCTTCCCGATCCTTTTCATTCAATATATGACTATATTGTTTATTTAGTGGAAACGCTTTCTCTGTTTTCCAAATCTTGTATATCTTAAATGCTTTTTTCAATTGATTTTGCTTTAAAGTTATGTGTAATGGAGTGTAACCATTCTCAAGATCATGGCTATAAGGATCGATTTCATCATACATTTCAATATTTCGCAGCGAACTCAATATACAGGAGTAATCTCTCCCAAAAATGTCTCTTCTATTCAAATATTTATCATTATGTTTTTTAGATGGCATAATGGTCTATTCGTAGACCTTAACTCACAAAACCCTGTATTGTTTCTTATGTTGTCGTGTTATATGAATATAACTTGGATATATAGTTCTTATTATAGTTATATATACAGAGAAATCCACGAAAAAAGGTTATATTTTCTAATAAATGTTGTTTGCTTGTTCTTACAAAAACTGTTACATCTGATGAGATTATTATTGGTCCCTCATTGGCATAACGCATTTTCTTCAATATTGTAGTGCCGCGTTCCGTCTACAAAGCGAAGATCGGCCGAATTTTAGTCTGAACCGCGTGGGTTACATCTTTCTTAATATATGACGTAAAGGGTAATAAACAGACCACCACCACGAGGGAGATATTTGGCGCCAGTGTATCACCAATGAATTTGTTTATCTTGACAGTGATATACTTATGGTTTTTGCAGGGTTTTTTGCTTTTATTTATTATTAATTTGGGTCTTGTTATTGATCATGATAATGTAATGCTTTCTTGTGTTAACTGCTTGGAAAGTGAAACACATACATCATGGTTTGTAAGCAGAGCAGCAACAAAAATATTGTTGGGATTGTCATCCTAGTTTACAACTCTTCGCTTAGAGTTTGATGACCTCTCAATTTATCAACCTCATCAAAATACCAAAATAGTGATATTAGTTCTCTATCAAGCTTATATGGGCAAATAATGATACAAAAAATCTTTCTCACCTTCCTCTTGCCACAATTACTGCGGTCTCTTATATCTCTATATTAGAACAATTACAGAAGTATAAGGGTGTATTGAAAATTATTAATATTTTGACTACTAATTGTTCTTTGGTTTGATATGCAGTTATCTTATTCTGAAAGGTTTAGACTGAAATTTGTCGTCCCTTTCCTTTAATTTTGATTTACATAATATTTTACATTTAAATAATGGAACTTATTTAATTCAAGTCTGAATTATCATTCCATATATATTCGACTGGATTTGTTGTTGTCATGATTATGACACTTATCCAACGATGACATGTTGAAAGATTTTCTGTTTTTAAAGGTTGTTTTTAGGAAACAGTTTGACTTATTATAGTGTCTCAAAAACTTAGTTAGGATTAATAATGAGGACTTTGATATTTGTCATTGAACTGAAGCAGACATATTGATGTTAGATTCGGATTGGGTTTGCATATTAAATAAGTGTTGATGGGTAATGAAGATTATTACGGTGATAGTAGGTTGTAAAGCAAACGTATGTGTTACTGTTTGTTCTAAATTTGTAAGTGATTTATTATTTCTTATTTAATATACGGAACGAATGAATTCTAACTCAGATTGTAAGTTCAGGCTGACTCGTATTTATATAATTTTAATTTCTTTTGATTACCTTCTCATCTATTAGGTAATCTTCCTTACGTAATGGTTCATCAGTAATACGCATCTATTTTTGTATTAGTAATGTGACTACGTAACATCTTGTGATGTAATATTTTATTACGTAATTTTCTCTTGGTCTTTCCATGTTATTGGTAAAACATTCTAGATATACTTATATCATATTATTTCCGTCAAGGGCTCCTATGAAAACATGTATGCTAACTATATAGTAAAGGTCACGTGATCGTCAATATATAGCATATATATCTACCTATTTGGAAGTTTTTCTTGTAAATTTAGCTCGCATGGCGTAATGGCAACGCGTCTGACTTCTAATCAGAAGATTCTGGGTTCGACCCCCAGTGTGAGTGCTAACTTTACTTTTTGGAAATATTGAACTGCTAAATCACTTTCCACGGCTGTTAGATACAAAGTGGAATTGGTATCACCTCTCTCTAACTATAAAAAATATCAAATCGATTAGAGTGACAATGGTACAAAATTGTGGATTTTTTATATTATATGAATCAAACATCTAAAAGTACAATCTTCTTTTGAATTTAAGATAAAAAACAACTTTCTTAATAACTTTGTGAGAATATAAGATAAATAATTACATATGCAAAATATTTAATAGTAGAGAATATGCATGTATGTGTACTGGTATGTGTATTTTGTTAGATAATATAGTCTTTGATTTCTTGAGAAGGATGCATCCGTTTTTTTTAAAACAACATCCAAATGGCACCACCAGTTAGTGCCACTAGAACGATTGCTGTAATTATAGCGGCACCAGCACGATCTTTTTGTTGTATATTTAATTCATTCTTTAGAACATTCGTTGTTAATGTATCCAGTCCCGCATTAGCATTACCTTCAGAAGTACCCCCATTACTTGCTTTATAAGGAGCTGGTCTATCATGAATTAGTAAAGTTTGTATTACTTCTAAAGCACACATTTGTTCACCAAGACCATAATAACCGTCATGTGTACTAGCTTGCCAATTCAACCCACAAGTATGACCATCTGAACCACCGTTACAAGTCGTTGCGGCTCCCTCGGCACTTGTCTTAATTAATGGATTTATAGTATCTGCGGTAAATGGAGCCATTACACTAGTAAAACCTAACATTCTTGAGAAAATACTCTTGAAAGACCGTTGATCATTATTACATGTCTTATAATCCTGACAAGCCATTTCGTACATGATTCCATCTTTAAAGAAATAAGTAGTGGCACCATTTAATAGTTGTGTAACACGAGTTTCCCATTCAGAAGTACCATTTGTTGCGTTATACATATATGCAGCACCACCAAGTACAACACCATGATTATATGACCATTCCAATTTGGTTAAATCTGTACAATTATCTGCAATATCTGCACCATCGAATACATTAGCTGTATCTGCAAGTACGACGTAACCAACATCAACAAGCCAAGTAAATACTTCATCAGCGACTTCCAAATAAGTATCATTACCAGTATATCTACCTAATCTTGCGGCTAATTGAAATAAACAAGCATTAGAAATAGTATTTTTATAGTTATAACCTGAATTCCAAGTGAAAATTTGCCATCTTACACCACCACCACAATTAGCAGAATCCCATCTAGCCCATATAGTATTAAATACAGCTTGAGCCATTGATAACCAACCTGGAACATTATCACCTGTTGGATCGGTTAAATTTCTTTCAACTGCATCCATTACTGTTAAACCCCAAATCCCTTGATCATCATTACCTTCCACCATAGTTTGATTATCTGGTATAAAATTATAAGAAGTACCAGCTTGATATAATAATGCTTCAGATATTAAAGATTTATAAGTATCATTTTGACAAAGAAACCAATTTTCAATCATACCACCAAAGGCTTCACCAGCTTCCCACCAATAATAAGGACTTTGAAACATCCCTACAGTACCACCATATCTAGTACCTTCATAATAATCTAACATACCACCTTGAATTAAAGCAGTATCATAACAAATTGAAGTAGCATCGGATGTGTCTAAATCCATTGCTAAAGAAATTTTGCAATATAAGGCTGCCACTGCAGCCGTCCACAAACATGTAATCATGGTCATATATCAGTTCAAAAACCTTATTGAGTCTTTTTCACTGCGTAATCTGATTACTTCGATATCTGTTGGATATAAAAAACCGATTTATTAACAAAATTTTTGTTTTCAATGCCTTTCTTTATATATATATATATGTAACTTCCATTATATTAATATTTTATGTATGGGGCTTAGTCTAAATTGTCTAAAAAAAGAATATTTTAAAGAGAAAAAAGTCCTGAGAAAGAGAGAAGGACAACAAAAAAAGCACATTACGTACATAGAGAATCATCATCATTGAACTTCAATTACACACATTACGTATATATATATATATTAAATAATTACTGATTTGATGATGTATTATTCTCTTCAATATCCCATTCCTTTGCCGTTAAACAATATTTTTCAGGCGGTAATCTAATACCCCAAGAGCCCATTACTTGAGGTAAAGCTTTCTTATTTCTATCTGCTGCTAATTGTAACATTAGTTCTTTTGGTGCGGTAGGTTTAAATTGATATTGTGTTCTTGCTGCAATAGCTAACCGTATATCTTCAACAGTTAAACCCTTTTTCGTTTTTTTCCCAGAATCATGACTCTGTGTATCATTCCCATCATTTGTCGAACCAGATGCACTGTTATTATTATTTGATGCTAATGATGCTGTCGTCGCAGATGTTGCTGTTGTCGTCGTCGACGTAGTAGTAGTGTTATTGCTTTCTGCTGGTAAGTTTGCACCCATATAATCATTATACATCATAGCATCTTTTAATACACCACGAGTGTATCTATAAGCGAAATCCATTAATTGTAAAGGTACTTGATCTTCATATTGATGAATAGCTTGTGATGCTAGTAATAAATGTAATAAACGCACATCACGTGGAGTATCTTCTTGTTGCGTAGTATCTATATTACCTGATGGTACAGTAGACGACGAAGCTGCCGTTGCAGATGTTGCACTAGTAGTCATTAGATGTTTTCCAGTTGATAGCCGATCTATTCTTTTTATTATGCATCAATCATACTTTGTTATCAACTACATATATATATATATGTGTGTATTCAGTTTACTGTTATAGTAGATGTATTTGATGTTCTTACAGACGAAGAGACTGACCGGGCGAAACTTTCACAATAATTTCTGGCTAGGCGCGCGAAGTGGAATCACTTGCTACGACACAGTAAAAACGCAACTTAATGAGAAGAAAGTGAGTTCATGATAAGGGCGGACCCAGAGCGTAGCTCACACATTGTTGTAGGTTCCATTATCTAAAGGTTGGGGCAGCCTAACCGTCTGTCTTGCCCCTAACAGCCTCATTATATGTGCAATATGTATTGGTATTTCTCTCTCTTAATTAACCGCCCAAAACGACCAAAAAAACTATGAGATAGCGTAGCGATCACTGCGCACGACACGTCACGTGCAGATTTTTTTCTGAAATTTTCGTCTGTTTCTACGACGCTTTCTCTCTCAGACGGAAATACCAGAAAAAAAGCATTACGTACGCACAGCGAATAATTGAAAGGGGGCGAGAGAGAGACGCCGTTGAATCAAATTACTACCAATTGGTATTTGCCACCCATTCAATATATATATATATATATATAAGAGGACCTGTTACATAAACTCTAGAATAAGCTATTGGTGAGAAAAAGGGTTCAAAAGTATAATATAGCTATATATACAAGCAAGTATACTTACTTATACACACTTACATTTTACTCCAATATACTAATTTATCATGTCTGACTGGGATTCTACTACTGTTATTGGCAGCAGAGCTCACGCTGGTGGTTCTGGTCCTCGTGCTAATGTTGCTAGAACTCAAGGTCAAATTAATGCAGCTCGTCGTCAAGGGAACGTTTTGTCTGTTGATAAGAAATATGGTTCCACTAATACTCGTGGTGATAATGAAGGTCAACGTCTAACGATGGTTGATCGTGAAACCGATATTGTTAAACCAAAAAAATTAGACGCTACTGTTGGTAAAACTATTTCAAAGGTACGTACAGAGAAAAAGTTATCACAAAAGGATTTAGCTACTAAGATTAATGAAAAGCCACAAATTATTAATGAATATGAATCTGGTAAAGCTATTCCAAATCAACAAGTTTTAGGTAAAATTGAAAGAGCTCTTGGTGTTAAATTAAGAGGTAAGAATATTGGTGAACCATTATTTGGTAAGAAGAAGTAATAATATTATTGTTATATATATATACGTTTCTCTCTTTAAATGTTTTTTTTAACAAACCACACTATTATATGCGCATACGAATAGTTTTTTGATGTTTTCACTTTTTTCGAGTCTTTTTCTTTTTTTTTTAATTTTTTGGCCTTTCTTTTTTTTTCATAATAACGATGAAATTGAAATTTTTTAATGGTTTGTCATATATATTTTTATATTTATATGTAAAATAGATTTTTTGTTATTTTAGTATATTGAGACAGTTTTAAATTAAAATTTAGCTATTCTGATCACATTTACATTTGTGTTAAAGTGGGTGTGAGTGTTTTTTTTTATTCGACTTAGACCTCTGTGAAATTCGTTTGTTTTATTCATAATGGCAACCTTATCATTCATTCCAGAATATCCTGAAGAAAATTGTTTTTCTATTGCTAATAAAGCTCTTAAATTAACTACTGAACAAGATATTAAACCACATCTTGATGATATTTTAAAGATTTCTACTATTAACAAGATTGATTTATCCGGTAACACTCTAGGGATTGATGCTTCAAAGGCTCTAGCTAAATTAATTTCTTCAAATGAATCTATCTTTAATAATTTAATTGAAATTAACTTTGCTGATCTTTATACTTCTCGTCTTGTTGATGAAGTTGTGGAATCTTTAAACGTTTTATTGCCTGCATTTCTAAAATGTCCAAAATTAACAATTGTTAATCTGTCTGATAACGCATTCGGTTTAAGAACAATTGATTCTTTAGAATCTTACATTGCTAATGCTACAGCATTAGAACATTTAATTTTAAGTAATAATGGTATGGGTCCATTTGCTGGTGAACGTATTGGTAAAGCTTTATTTCATTTAGCTCAAAATAAATTAAAATTAACTCCATCTGCTCCTTTATTGAAAACTTTTATTTGTGGTAGAAATAGACTGGAAAATGGTTCATCTCTATATTTAGCTTTAGGTTTAAAAGCTCATGGTTCAGGCTTAAAGACTGTCAAATTATATCAAAATGGTATTAGACCTCGTGGTATTATGAATTTAATTCATTATGGTTTTAAATATAATACTAATTTAGAAGTATTAGATCTTCAAGATAATACTTTAACTAAGACTGCATCTCTAATGCTTGCTGATAATTTACCAATTTGGAAAGATGTTCTTGTTGAATTAAATTTGAATGACTGTTTATTGAAAAAAGATGGTGCTGATGCTATTATGGATGTCTTTGTTAACTTAACTTTCTCACATTTAAAGACTTTAAAATTAGAATATAATGAAATCATTCAATCAACTATTGAAGATAAATTATTAAAAGCATTAAATACTAAAAATTTACCTGAATTGAAAATATTACAAATTAATGGTAATATCTTAGAAGAAGATTCTGAAGCTCTAGATACTTTACAAGGTATGTTTGAAGATTTAGAATTAGATGATTTAGAAGAATTGGATAGTGACGAAGAAGATGAAGATGAAGACAGTGATGAAGAAAATGATGAAAATGAAACATTCCAAGATGTTGAGACTGATTTGTTAGAAAAGGATCTATTACAATTAGAGATTGATTCTTTAACTGAGGATTTAGCAAAGGCTACTATCTAGATCACTAAAGAATTTTGTGTATGTGGTCAATGCAATTTTTAAATGCTCTCCCTTCCCACCATTCATTATTCTCTGTCTATTTTATATAGTGCATTCTTGATATATAATAAATAAATAAATAATAATAATAAAAAAAGCATAAAAGAATGAAATATTTTTTAAAATACATTGTTCAGAATTTCCCAAGTAGACATTTTGACAGTACATAAAACATAGATATGGACAATTCCTGTTTTGTCCCTTATTTCATTTTTCTTGTGTGTAGATATTACAATTCGGTAGGTAGCTTTTCATATATTTCTTTTGTTGTTATCAAGCTGTAGTCTCAGTTTTAGGTTCTGACTTGTCTTTATTACTTTTAACTTCATCAGAATAATGCATATGATCTACTAATAACTTATTCAATTGGAACATTGTAGTCGATTTACCAAACACTTTTTCCATCTTCGCATCACATAGAATTTCACGACGATCTTCAGGGTTTTGTAAATTATGAGCCTTAATATAATCCCATACTCCCTTAACAACTCGTGTTCTTGGTAATTCATGAGCACCAACAATTTCAGATAATGGTTCACTCAAATTTAATAATCTGGTAGCAATACTATTAGTTCCTGTTGGTGCAGCTCTTTCTTTCTTTCTCTTTTTCTTCTTCTTTTTTTTACTTTCAGAATCATCACTTCTTCTTCTAGTGGTTATATTTTTTATCTTATTACCTGTAACACCTGCATTTTTCATCTCCTCAAGTAATTTTGTAAATTCTTGATTACGTTTCATCATTTCATCTTTTCGTACAAGCATTCGTGGATGAGCTTGTATTTCTTCAAATCGATCAATTATTAATTCATTTAATGCTTTCCTCTTAGCATCAAGATCTCTTTGATATAATTCTTGTAATGCTTTCCTTATTTTTTTGGGACTCACTTCATCTGGGTTAGATGCACTAATGATAGCATCGATCATCGGGATCAAAGTCTCCAAACTAGAATCAACCATCTTTTCAGCTCATAAATCGTTTTAATGGTTGTAAAGATTCTGTTATAATGTTATGAACTCTCAATGGATATCACCTCAATTCCTCTGAGAAATATCATATATCAATCACTATTTTATATCCTTATTTTCATTATTTTTCAGTTTCTCTCATTTTTGTTTTTCGTTATTTTGTTTTCGAAGACTAATGTTATATTTATTTTTTTCTTTAATATTATATAATATACAAATGCGGCTCAACTTTATATAGAGAGACTATATAGATGTAGAATGTGATTAAAAGACAATATTTGATTGAGAGTGCGAGTTTTTTTTTATAGTAATGGTTAATGTTAAACTGATGAGTCCGTCAAATATGTTCAAGCGTTTCTGGAGTTCTTCTTCTGTTGTCTCTCGTTCTTCTTGATCAATTTCATTCTTTCTTGTCTATTCAGAGTTCTTGGGTCAATCAATTCTTTGTCAGTATTCTCAACTTTATCATCTACTTCAACCAACCATTGGTCATCAAGCTTCTTATTGGCACCTTTGTAACCCCATTTTGGAACCCATTCACCACTAGCCTCATCAAAGACCATCTTACCACTCTTTTCCTTAGCTTTAATACCTTTCTTGGCAGCAAACTTCTCCCATTTAGTTGGAGCCTTTGGTTTAGGTAATGGCTTTTCTCTTGGTAATTCACTCATTGGTTCAGGTAATCTCAGTAAAGACATTGTTGAACTTTGACCACTTGTACCACCAGCTGCATCTGTCGTACTTTTGATTGGTAATGACAATAATTGGTTAATTAAAAGTTGTGCATTATCACGAGTAAGGTTTCTTAGATGTTCTTCACGCTTAGCATTTGAGGAATCAAAATCATTTCTGTCAAGGACATTAGAATCAAAGACAGATAGGTTACCTAGATCGTAGGTGACTGGGATAGGTTTTTCCACAGTGACTGGTAAACTTTTGTAATCGTTGCTAGCCATTTTTTTTTACTTTGTTTTTTTTTTGCACTTAGGTAGGTAGTTCTATATTATCTCTGTGAATTCAGTCTAGTTAAGAAAGTAATATTAAAAAGGTACGAATATATGCAACGTTGATATAAATGGTTTTATAAAGACTATAAAAGTTGTTTAAGGAAGTTATTAACCTATCTATTTAGTGGAGTTACCAGTTAATTTGATCACTGTCATTATTTCATCCTGGCATCGCAAAGTTAAAGGCTCATCGCATAAAGGAAGAAGAAAAAAAAATTTTCGCAGCGATTTTCAACCTGCACGTGACGGGAAATTCCGAAATATATAACAAGAACAAATTCTCCATATGAATCAGAACTCAAACAAAGTTCTTACAATCTTACTATTTATTGGTTGTCCTTCATAGGGCCAATTGGTGTATATTAGTCGTTTCACATGCGACCTTGAGATTGAATACGCTTGTAGTAAATCAAGATTCGATGATACATTTGGATCATATGTAGGTCCACGATGCTCTCTATCTTCTTTGAGCAGTGTCTCACCTCCTGAGAGAATTTTGAAATAGTCAATCATAATTTTGTTATAACGACTAAGACATATAGTGAGAATCTTCTGTGCGAGGTTAATGAATATAGGTAATTCTTTCTTCAAACTTAATTGTAGCGCTTCATAATGTTTCCCAATAACATTTCTTTTTATATCGTGAACGTTTTTCTTCTTTTCCTTTAAATAAACAACATAGTCCTTTTCTAAAACCTTTAGGTCACGAAGTTGTACTTTTATCGCACCACAGTTTTTGAGGATAGTATTTAGAGGATTCAAAACACCGAGTTCTAGATCTGTTAGGCGTAAGACGGTAATTTGTTCCTTCATATGAATAATATTTTGTTTATATTTGCGTAAATCGTATAACTTTAATTCGCTAAATGGGAATAATTGACAGCCATCTTTTTCAAAGTTTATCATGTTTTCCCAATTTGACATGGTCTTTAAATTTGCATCTAGAATTGTAAACAGGTCTGATCTCGAAATGAAAAAATTCAAGTTCTGAAGTTTACGGTGCATCTTTTTAAAGACAATGATGTAATCTAATAAACTATTTTGAGTTTCGGGAGGAATCGTAGTCTCTTCTGTGTAATTTCGTTCACTTATAGAGTTTGAGCTTGATTGGCAACTTGTCTCGGAGTACGGACGTTCAGAATAATAGCTAGATGATGTTGTAAATCTGGCATTATTATTTACAGGATCTATATCCTTAGATACATCTAATTGATCTTCACAATTACTCTCACCAAGGTTGTCATAATTTTGGATTATTTCACTTGGAGTTAATGTAAAATCAAAATCAGGATTAGAGCCATAGTCATTAATTTCAATTGTGAGTTTCTTTTGAAATAGAACATACTTGTCCCTAATTTTGCACATTTCATCACACTCATCAGCGTTTAAAATAGAAGGAATTAATTTGATTATTTCATCGATAATCGAGAGCCATGTGTTAACTCTAATAAGTGGGTATTTCAATAGATCTCTTAATGTACGAAAATGAGCTCTCTTCATACAACTTTCATACCACTCCTGAAATCTTTTATTGATTGTAAGCTCGTCGTATAGCTTCATTTGTTTGCAATGTCCTGCAGCATAGCTCATGTATGTAGAACTACATCTAAACAAATGTTGTTCAAAGATAGATGCAATATTGACATTTTTCTTTGGTTCGTATATAATTTTGGAACCTTTACCACTAAAGTTTTCTTCAGAAATATCCCAATCATCTATATTATTCAACTTCAGAATATTGCGTAAGGATGTCACGAATATTTCACTAATAGAGCAAATGGTGTCAATATTCCCGAAGAGGAGTAATTCATCAGTGGAACAGTCCTTAATCAATTTGTTATAGAGTTGTTTATTTTGATGTAGTGATTCACGGTAAACACTATTAACGAGTTTTAAGCTTTTGCAAAATTCAACTTCAGAATCATGCAAGTTTTCCAATAAATTAAAAAAATCTTGTCTCTCTTTTGAATTTACGCTATCGTTGGAGGACGAACTATCGGATGGGGAGGGTGGTGTTATAGATATTGACAGAGGTTCCGTGACATCATTCAACTCAAGACTAAGCGGGCGTTTAATCGGTTGCGATTTGTCGTATTTTAGTGATTGTAACCTCCATACTTTATTCCCTTCGAATTTTGGCAATTTATCATCTTCTCCGTGGAAATAATCATTTTTATAATCTCGTATTGGAGTTAAATTATTTGTTGTCTGGTAGTGTATTTGATCATACAAGGTTGACGTTTTAAACATTTCTCGCACTGTATGTAAGCTCTTTGTTTTTACGTCCAAAAGAGTATTAAAAGCCCGGAAAGTGGTGAATTACAAAAAGGGGACTCAAAGTTTGAAAAATAATTCATTTAATAGTCCTAATATAATAACCAAGATATATCGAACGATTATTTGATCACTATTTATATGCTTTACTCTTTTGGTTTAAAGATATTTATATATTTTTATATTGTGTCATAATTATTTTTCTTAGGCTTCATTAATTCCTCAGAACGTTACGCAGAGAGAAAGACGCGTCATAAATGTTTCAAGATGATCTCAAATTCATTTCAAAGGTTAATATGTGAGTACTCAATACCGCCTCTTCCTATAAATTCCGTTATGACTTTAAATCTGTCGCCATTATTACCTTCATCGTGTAGCGCCATATCAAGCATTTCATTATTCATGGAGATTTCTTGTTGTGTTTCATATAATTTTTTGGATCTTTCCTGTTCTACAATACATCTCGGGCATCTGTACACTTGTTTACCGATATTCTGGTATTCCTCTTCATTCAGGCATCGTTGATGATATAAATGGCCACACTTAAAAAAGACAATCGGTAATTCGATAGCTGTTTCACATCTATTACAAGTCTTTCCCTTTAGTTTTATGGTCGTTCCATCTTCGGCGTTCAATATATTATCCAACTTTTCCTTCTTGTCATTTAACTCATCTCCGTAGGACTCTATAAGTTTTTCGGTCTTCGAAATTTCTTCTTCTTTAGATTTTATTTGATTAATCAAAACTTCTTGGATCAAACCATACGTTACACAATTACTACCAGAAAGTATATGGATTAATTCTATTGTTGATAATAAATTTTGATTTATTATTCTATCTATAAGCTTTTCTTTAACGACTGCCTCACCTCCGATCGCTTTCAAAGCATGTTTAGACGATATGAAATATGTTAATGCAGAACGATAAAGATTGTAGTCATCTGAAGCGTGGTGTTCAAAGTACCTCATACAATTTATTGGATCCTCTGTTAATGTCAGCGATCGAAAATTGTTTAAGATTGATGTTGAAATATCTTTGTCTGATGTGTTCTCCACTCTACCGCTTAAATTATTTTCTGGACCTTGTTCTGGATTATCATAAGATAAGAATGAATCTACCTTGTGAATATGAGAGATTAAAGTCATTAATGAATTATCAACCTTTTTATCATTGGTAGAATGTAATGAAGATGTATCTTCAGATGTGGTTTGAACTAGTTTATGACTTTCGTTAAGAATTAATTTTGCCTTATTTCTCCATTCAGTTTTTCTTTCAGCTACATCTTCTTCTGCAAGGGTTAGATATAAACCGTAGAGTGTAGTGAAAATGACTTGTTTGTCTTCATTTGAACCTTCGTACCTTTTGTAGCTGTCTAGACAGGCCTCGAGAAAGACAACGAATTGAAATGGCTTATCTAGGAATGAGCTAAATACGATTGATGGTTTCGGTGGATGATATGTAGGGATCGTTTCATCGATCTCGAAATTACTTGACCGTGGTTTTGAGAATAATGGATCGTTCATATAATCAATGAATGATGTGTAACTATAAAATATTTTCTTGAAATTTGGTTTTTCCTCTTTTTGTTCGTTTTTGATATTATTATATTCATACTTTTCACTGACGTATCTCCCAGTGAATACTTTAATTAGCAAAGCAACCGTGTCATTTGGTAAAAGGTCTAATAGAGTCTTTGAAAATAAAGCTAGTACTCTAAGGGTGTCGTCTATATCCAAACTTTTAATGTAGTTTAATGCAAGTAATGGGCTGTTCATAATATCTAATAAAACTTCGACGATGGTTACGGCATCCTTGGAGAACTTTTTCGCTAGTTTGTAAGCCTCTTCATGAAAATTTGATTCATCCAGCAAATGCAGTATTAATTTAAAATTGAATAAATCCTTGTCACTGTAGTAGTATGTCTCATCATCTATATCATTCTCAATACCTGTTGGTGAAAAGGTCCCCGTCCTACTGAAGTTGCTTAAAAATATGTTTATCTCCTCTCTGTCCTTTAATTTTATAAGAACTATTAGGAGTAGAGTTACATGGTCGCTACTGGCGATTCCCTTTCTTATTAGAGACCATAGGTAGTCTGAAAGATTTTTTATACCGTTGATATCAGAGGTGCCTTCGATGCTGAACTTGGCTATTACTTCACTAGTTTCTACCACATCTAGACATTGGATATATTGTGCGACTGCCTCTGCTTTTTGATCTTTCTTGTATAAGAAATCACCATATTGTCTATGTATATTTTGAAGTTCAGTACTAGATAGTTTATTATCAGTAGCTAATTCTAACGCGAAGGGATATAATTGTTTCTGTATAATAATTGCTAATTTATCTTGAAGTGTTTTCTCTGAAATACTGTTTAACACCCCGTTTCCGGTTAGTAAATAAATAGGTGGTTCTCTTTTGTCTTTATTCTCTAGGATATCTATTACTGAATCTGACACAATAAAGTCTAAAGCTACAAGTTTATTTTTTATGTCAATTATAACTACTCTACTCATTAGTGTTGAATTTGGTCCACTGATTTGTAATGATGAATCTTTTGAGGATTTCTCTTCTGTGACAAATAATATACGTTCTTGGTCAACTGGATATATTCTTTTAACAGAATTTAAGTCAGCTGAAATAGACCTCATCTCACCATTTGTTTGGTAAAACTCGACATTTCCGTTATTGTAGCATATAAATTCATTTCCGTTACTTGATATACTTCCACAGTTAAGATTTAAACCATATTTATTATTCAAAATTAAATCAGGTATGTTATTATTTCTTCCTGTTGTATTAAAAAGCATTATCTTAGATGTTGTGCTCACATAGCAAAAGGTGGCATCATCATTGAGCGCTAATGAGGTTACTGGCTCTTGGATCTTATCGCTATATATCACTCGTTGTTTTGCACCTCTATCTCTTACTAAATCGCCTCTAACTAACAGTACTTTACCATTTATAAAACCAATTGTAAAGCAAGACAAATCTTTGGCAATAGAAATGGCGGATATAGGTGATGTATTGCCACCATTTTTTAGTTCTACTAAAGTATGAAAACTCTTGCTATTTTTAGGTAATTTATCGAGACGGAACAATTTGAATTGTGCTGGAAGTCCAGAGCACTCTGCTACAGCAACTATAAATGTGTTATTTATTACTTTCAAATATATTATTCTAAACCCTTCAGGGAAAGCCTCAAATTCATCTAAAACCTTCGAGGATTTTATATCAACGACTTTGATGAATGATGAATTAACTGCAATTAATAGTTTAGCAGAATTGATTAACGTAGCAGCAGATAAAGTTGGATCAGAATATAACTGAGAAGATGTCCCTAATTGTGGGTCCCTGATTGGAATGTTCTCGAAAAATTGGAATTGCATCCATGAACTTATGGACATGGTGTTAGAATTCTCAGGGGTTGGTTAAGAAGTTGCGTTTGCTTAAAAAAAGATACGACTTACGCTTTTCTTTGTTTGTTCTGGAGTGCTGTTTTTGGCTGTCATCATTGAGTAAGCCATGTTGTTATAGCAATATCTTAACAATAATTTAAATCAAAAAATAGGTCATGTGATAGATTCCTGCGGTGTACGGGCCTTCGTAAGAACTATTATATGGAACTATATAATATATACAAATTCACTTAAACTGATTCTTTGAACAGTACGTTGTGATATTTCAATGAGCTATTATTTATTTTATTGATTGATTGAGGACTTATTAAACAAATTATACATTATGTATGCCATTTAAAACAACATGGTAAACGTTGAAATGGATTCAAAACTGTATACAGTTAAAAGATAGGTTATATGGAGAACAAAAAAGAAACGCACGATGTTTATCAAAATATGATATCATCCATGGTTAACTTCTTAGTATCTTCTGTTTGGTCTAGCGTTTTGTCTAGTGTTTTGAGATCTGTCTTGGATGTAAGTACCTGGAACAATGTGTTCTGGTAAGTGCAAGTAGTCTCTCAAGTATTCGACACCTTCTTCAGTCAAGGTGTAGTAGTAGTATTGCCATGAGAATTGAGTCTTGACGTAACCCTTGGAGGTCAAGGATTGTAGAGCCTTGATGACGTATAGGTTTCTGGTGTCAATTTCTTCATGCTTTGGTTGGTTGAAGTCCTTCTTGGCGACACAGACACCTTCTGTATAGAAAAAACCATATGTACTCGTTAATATTGAAAATAATAAATTATTCAACAGCAATAATTAACGGAAAAACATATAAAAACTGTTAGTAAAAATTGATCACGTATTAAACAATGAGAATCACGTTTCCTGACTACTGTAAAAGAGGGTGAATGTGGAAGTTAAATCATTTAAGTGCTTAGCGTCTCTATTATTGGAATATCGACTTTATATTATTAGAAGGAATCATTACGTCAATATTTGGTGTATTCATCTTGAAAGTTCTGGAGTTGTTGTCTTTTGTTTCGATTAAGAATTATCACTGGATATGAATTCGTATTTTTCATTTATAACTGCTTTTTAAATTTCTCATCATTCTATCATAAGCCTTCAGTTCCTATTTCATTTCTTTATAAAAATGTTCTATCTTTCATACTGTTTAAAATCAAACGTATATTCTTATCCCACAGATTTAGTCTATATACATATATTTATTTCCACTTTCATCAATCAACCTAGTATCAGGAAATTCTTTAAATTTCTGTATCATTTAACATACCTTGGAATAAGTATCTGAAGATCTTGTTTCTTTCTTCCTTTGGCATCAACATTTTGGCTAATTTAGTATGGTGTACTTGCAAAACTTGTTTCTGTTCGTTTATTTCAAAAGAAACCTAACCTTTAAATAGTACTCCCAGTTTTACTACTTTTAACCCTTTGATACGTTCAATGTTATGTGAGGTTACCTCAAACCTTACCATATGTTCAGTATGAACCAATGCTAGACAGTACTAGCTACCATACGTATCCAATCCATTATTGCTGGTGAAGAGCACTCTCACTCTATTGTCAGTTTCAAAGATTTCACAACTCAGGACTAATTTCCCGGAAAAAGACTGAAAAATTCATTTACGCAAAAATCAGATTTGATAAAAAAACAATTTCAATTAAAAACTTTTTTTTAAAAATTAATATTTTAAACCCACACCTCCACTGGATGTATGGGTTTTCTATTTTTGAACAGTCACACATTTAGGCCAGCTAAACTCTAATCGACAGGCACTTTGAGTAGAATATGAAACTACAAACACATATTAGAAATCAACTACTGGAAAATTAATTTGACATAAATATATGTATATATACATGATAATTCATTAGTTTATAAAAGAAATATGTAGTATATTTTCTTTCAAAATATGTAAGGATTCCCCTATTCTTCCTGCTGTGCATTGAATAAATTCATGAACACATCCGGTTTGAATGGCCACCTGAAATATATATCTGATAGGTAAATGAATTCTTCCGCCGAAAAGGTATATGGACATCTCTTCATGAATTCTGGGTCATTAATTTGTTTAGTGAAAAAGTCTGTCGCACCAGGTCCTAATGATTCTATGGCATCGATTAATGGTGTACTCTTTTGAATCATTAAATGTTGGGTTACGTAGTCCCAATTTCCCTTATTTAATTCAAAATCAAGTGGATCTATCTCTAATAAACACATGGGGCTCTTCTTGGTCTTAGAAAATTTCTGTGGTAGTGTAGAAGAATAATCAACCCATATAGGGTCGAATTTATCTAGAAGCTTTTTATCAAACAAATCAGATTCCTCATCTTGTGTTAATGCTATTATCTTTGAATCTGTAAATGTTTCACATACAAGGGAGCATTTAGCTCTTTGAGTGGAACTAGCTGGTGCAAGTAATTTTCTAGCACTGCTAGTAGGTACCCATAATAACATTTTCACTCTACCAAATCTTTGAAGCCAATTTTTCTGGCCCACACAATTGTACCATTGCATCAATAACCCTTCTTCCTTTTTATCTGTTAGATTTCCCATTATGAGAAACTTATTATGAATATGATCTCTAGGTTGCTTTTCTGGGACAAATAATTTTTGATGATCTATTAACATCAAATAAGATTCCCAATCATAAGGGTCTTGTGGACTCATCTGAAAATGTGATTTCTTCAAATTTCTTTCCCAAAAGTTGGTAAACTGTGGTCTATTATCCATAAGAAGATGCTGTTTACAACGATATCTGTTGTTAAATATTATAGATTGTTGAGCAGGACCTGCATTTAAATCCATAACTTTCAAATCTTTACAATCACCATATGTGTCTTCTAATCGAAGTTTATCAAAAATGTTCTCTAACACTCGCGGTGATACAACATATCTAAATTTATAGAATACCTTAATTTCAGAAAGGTTTGTTGCCGTTAAAGGTTTAAACATGATTCTTATTATAACGTCACTTGTTTGCAATTCTCAATTTACCTCCTCAAATGGAGATTCTCTTTACCGTATTGAATATTTATTTCAATTGACTCTTTCTGCCTAATAACTAGAGATATATTCTGATGCATTTATTATATATTTGCATTTATAGAAGCCTATTGATGTTTGGTTTTATATTCATGACTTGCAATAAGTGCTCATTTTGCAATTTCACAGTTTAAAGGCATTTAGCTCTACGGGGAATTCATCGCGAGATGATTTTTCACATTTAGGTTCGCTGTGGGATTTGTTAATTTCGATGTTATGAAGTTGAAATATTACAGTACTAACGACAAGAGATAAATACGATGCATATGTGAATATAAACATAGAGCATCCAAACAAAGGACAAAGAAAACGATAAGCATACGAAGTTCAGTGAGTGAATCGCCGGCTAATCATAATCTTATTGAACATATTTTTCCTGTGTCAACACACATATAAAGAGTTGAGTCTATTATAACAAAGAAAAAAATGGCCATTATTAAAATAAAGAAACCAAGAGATCCTAATCAAATTGATGTTGATGAACCTAAAGTAAAAAAGATACGTATCAAGACTAAATCTAATGACAGGAAGGCTGGATCTCCTGCGGTTGGAACACCCAAAATAAAAATTAATTTGAGGTCGAATGAAAAACCTTCAACAGGAATAAAAGTAAAATTGAATCTAAAGAAGGGAAATAATGAGAACAGTACAGAAAAGCCAAAATTGAAGGCACCTCGTTTAAGACTAAAACCGATTAGAGTACCCGGTGATGGTTATGATTCAGAAGCATCGGACATTGAAGATGATCCCTTGATTGAATCGGGTATAATTCTACGAGTACAACCAGATATACAAATAGAATTTATAAGGAATTCTATTGAATCAGGAGATTATTCTGGTATTAGCATAAAATGGAAGGCAGATAGGCATGCGGTTGTATCGATAAATGATGTGATGTATGGTGCAATTTTAGTGGATTTACCAACAATAGTAGAGGTGAACAAGAGTGTCGACAGAAAGAATTTATTGAAAACCATTGATGTTGATCAAATGTTGCTATGTGTACAAGTAATTGAAAAAGAAGATGACGTTTTTCTTTTAGAACCCCCTAATACTGAGGATATAATATCAAAGCATTTTGAAGGCATACAGGATGAAATAAATGAAAACAAAAAAATGTTCTTTAAGAGCCAGCATGGTAATCAATTAAGTGAAGTAGAACAAAAATTTATACAACAAATTACTCAAAAGAAGTATGATTACACGAGCGGGTTAACACCTCCCTTATACAATGTAAGAAATAGAAGATTTAGAAGAAAAATGGCCCCAGTTGAGTTAGAATATGTTGATAGAACTGTAGAAATGTTACTCAAACAGGATGAGGGTTCAGAAGAAGTTAATTATGAACTTATTGATCCTAGTCAGATCTTACCAAAGACAACAAGCTCAATGACACTTGTGGCCGATATGGAGACCGCAGAACTTGTTGGCAACTCTCCTACTGGTTTGGGAGGTGATGAAGAGGATGAATTAGACTTAGATGCAGCCTTTCAAAGTGATGAGGAGGAGATTTCCGGACAAGCTCACAAAATTGATGACGTTTTGGAAGGAGATGCCCAACAATATTCTGATGCAGAAATAGATAATGATGTTGAAGATGAAGATGATGACGACGAAGAAGAAGAGGAAGATGATGATGACGAGGATGACACTGGCGAGAAGGATGAAAGTAGACAGCATGCTAAGTTATTGGAAGACGAACTTCGTGAATTGGAATCGACATTATCACATACTAAAAAGAAGTCCCAAAAGGTAACGAACCCTCTATTAAAATCAAGATTTCTTGATAGTATAAAAAAACTTGAAAAAGAAGTTGAGTTAAAGAAAAAACAATTAAAGGTTAATGAGGAGTCGATTAAGGGACCTGAAGCTCGTGAAGAGGACAATAATGAAGAAATAAATGTCAACAATGAGGAAGATTTAGATGACGAAGATGAAGATGACGACAATGACGAAGAATTAGATGATGACCAAGAAGAAGAAGAGGTTGACGAAGAGGTACAGGAAGATGCAGCAGAACAAATAGATGATGATAAACTAGGTAATGAAGACGAAATAATAGATAAAGAGGACAATCAAGAAGCAGCAGTTGATAATCAAGACGAGTTCGACCAAAATGATCTAGACATGATGATGTTATTCGGTGCTGAAGGAGACGAAGCTGATGATGATTAACTCAACTTATAACTGTTTTATATATATATATATAAGTGTTATAAATGCATGTTTTTATGTAATAACTTAGTGAACCTTTATTCTATATAAACACCCAGCACTTGTTTTTAAATATTTAGTGGACGGTAATAATGTTTGTTTACATTCATTTATAGTTTTGCAATTATCCGTGTTAATAGCATATTTCATAATTTTTAATATTTAGTTCCAAATTACATAACTTCAATAATGAAATTTTATTTATTTATTTTAATTTATAATTAATAAACAAATTCCATAAAAACAAGAAAACTATAAACTGACACCAATTTTCTTTGTTATTAATATACTATTGAGATCGATCTTTGAAACCATTAGTTGTGGTTGATCCTACTAATTGGTTATTTAACAACTTTCTTAACTTCCCACACCGTCGAAAGTGACTAACACGTGATAATTTTATTTAATGATTTTAACAATTCGCGGTGACGGAACGAAAAAACATCAAAAAAGAACGTAACTGAAAGAGAAAATAAACAGCGCCGGAAAAAAAGGCTTTGTCAATCATCAGTAAACAGTATTGGAAAAATGAAAAGAATAAACAATTTGTCAGTGTCTGAGAGTCTCACATAAGGATATTGAAGAAAAGGATCTGCTGACACATTATTTTCAGTAAATAAAAGTGACAAGAAGATCAACGAAGACTTATTTATTATTTCTGTCTCTTTTTGATATCCATTTGCTGTTGGTTTTCTTATTCATTGAAAGGAAGAACTAGTGAACATTTTTATTCATTTTAGTTTTTATTTTGGCGTTCTTTATTCCTACATCTAAGACATCTATAAACAGAATATCCTAATATTGCATACGTGTATTATCGTATAATATTATCATATTAGAGAACTGGAAGTGCTTCTAAATCGTTATCACTTTTCAATATTCTTACCACAGTTTAATTTCTCAACAAACCAAAAAAATAAAACAAACAAACATTTTGAAAGCGAAGTCCCTATTGCACTATTACAAGTTAATTTTATTTGTTCTTTACATTAATTAAAAACATAACATCATGGACTCTACATCGAATATGGAGGTCCCACAGAGACAATTCACAAAGGAGGAAATTAATCGTTGTTATCTTAGATGGCAACAGTTGAGAAATGAGCACGGAGAAAATGCTCCTAATATTCCGGAATTCTTGTATTTCACAAGAGTATTACGTCTTGCTGCGAAACAACAACAAGATTTACAACAAAAACAACAACAGCAACAAGAACTACCTAAAATGAATACAGCCGACAACAAGGCTCCAACGCGAAATGACAACTCCCAAGACCGTCGGTCTCCAATTAATCAAATTGATACGAAAGGTACAACCGATTCTGAACAATTGAATGGAACTTTTGGAGCATCAAATAATCACAGTCCTATGAATGGGAATATGAATAACCAGCAAATGCCGAATAACAATAAAGGTCGTAATACAAATATCCCAAGCCCTAACCAAAATCAAATACATGGGACTACCTCAACAAGCAATGACAATAATAATTATAATAAATTTAATAATGCACCTATCTCATCTTTGTCACCGCAAGGGAATACTGAAAACATGATGCATAATAAATCGACCATGCAAGGGCAACCTGCACTTCCCAATGGTGATAATAGTACCCAGAAAAATGATACCAAAGGGAAAAACATGCCTAACAATCAAACACAAGGGAACTGGATAAACCAGACTGACCATACCCCTCAAAGTATGTCAAATATGCCACCATCCGATCGTAAATCCGAATATCGCAGAAGTTCAGAACATATGAAAAATATATTTACACCCCAGCAATCTAATTTATTAAAAGCACAAATAAGTGCATTAAAGTGTTTGGTGAATCAACAAAATGTTCCATTTGATTTTCAATCAATCATTCAACAGTCGATGAATAACCCTCCTGATTTCAGAAAAATGTTAACCAGCCTGGGAGATTTTGTGAGAGCCAAGAACAAAATCACGTCGAGTGCTAGTTCGGAGAATAAAGGTCAAACAATCGGCACTAATCAATCACCTACAGTACCATCACAACCTGTGATTAATCAGGCCAATGCTCTACAAAATGCCCAACCATCACTACAAATAAAAGAACCAGAGACTAAACCCACAATTGGGAACAATATTAATAAGCAAGAAACCAACGTCGTGGACACTATTAGTGATAATAATATTAGATCTATAAATGTTCCTACGGATGTGAAGGAAAACAAATCGATTGATACCACAAATTTAGCAAAACAACAGGTTTCAGACTTGAAGACCGGAGCAACTCCAACAACTGTCGGAACACAAGTAAATGCTGCACCAGTTGAAATTTCCAAACCGAAAAGTCCTGTATTTATTGGAGACAAGGAACCTCCTAAACCTGCTGCTCCGATCCCGTTAGCAGATTTCCAAGCTCAAAATCCAACTGCTCTAAAAGTCAAAGATTACAATAATCCTACGATAATGGTAGATTCATATTCTGTACCTCAACTTGATGATAAAGAAATAAATTATAACTCCTTATTTCCAAGTCTACAGGAACCAAAGTTAAGCATTCAACCAGGTCTCTTACCGGAGGGTATTGATATCCACAATACAATGGAAATTTATCAAACACTCATTGCATTAAATCTTGATACTGCTGTGGATACTTTGTTATCTGATATGCTAGACGAAAATATCGACGATCCTCTCAAGAAAGAAAACTCCTTATATGATTATTATGCTCTTCAATTACTGCCGTTCCAGAAAGCAGTTAGAGGTCACGTATTACAATACGAATGGTATCAAAATTCACTTCTAAATAATACACATCCAAACTTTTTATCTAAGATCAGAAACATCAATATTCAAGATAGTATGTTAACTAACGAATTGTACAAGAAACATGAACTGCAGCAATACAAAATCAAGAAAAATAAGGAAGTGATGAGACAGAAAATGATAACCGATCATTCAGTTTCATCATATAATGAACGTAATGAAAAGAGACACAAAAAGTTGAAATTTGGTCATAGAGTATTTAATCTTCATGGGAACTTGGAGAAGGATGAACAAAAAAGACAAGAGCGTAAGGCCAAGGAACGTTTACAAGCTCTGAAGGCAAACGATGAAGAAGCATATATCAAATTATTGGATCAAACGAAGGATACTAGAATTACACACCTTTTAAAGCAAACTAATACCTTTTTAGATTCTTTAACAAAAGCTGTCAAAGATCAACAGAAGTACACTAAAGAAATGATTGAATCACATGTAAAAGAAGATTCAGAAAACCCTGATGAATTGAAACCGGATTTCAATTCTGATGATGAACCTATTGATGAAGAAGAGCAACAAAATATTGATTATTATAATGTGGCCCATAGAATGAAGGAAGTTGTCACGAAGCAACCGTCTATTTTAGTTGGAGGTACATTGAAGGAATATCAATTGAAAGGTTTACAATGGATGATTTCATTATTTAATAATCATTTAAATGGTATCCTAGCCGATGAAATGGGTCTTGGGAAAACTATCCAAACAATTTCATTACTGACATATTTATACGAAATCAAGAATGTGAAGGGTCCATTTTTAGTTATTGTTCCATTATCAACGTTATCTAATTGGAGTGGGGAATTTGCTAAGTGGGCACCTGTGCTGACTACCATCTCATTCAAAGGTCCCCCAAATGAAAGAAAAACTATGCAAGCTGCAATTAAAGCTGGCCAGTTCGATGTCGTATTGACAACCTTTGAATACATCATCAAAGAAAGGGCACTTTTGTCCAAGATCAAATGGGTGCATATGATTATTGATGAGGGTCACAGAATGAAGAATGCTCAATCGAAATTATCACTTACATTGAACACATATTACCATTCCGACTATAGATTGATTTTAACAGGTACACCTTTACAGAATAACTTACCAGAACTTTGGGCTTTACTAAATTTTGTTTTGCCAAAAATTTTCAATTCTGTGAAATCGTTTGATGAATGGTTCAATACACCTTTTGAAAACACTGGTGGTCAAGATAAAATTGAGTTGAGTGAAGAAGAGACTCTGCTGGTTATCAGAAGATTGCATAAAGTCTTACGTCCCTTCTTACTACGTAGATTGAAGAAGGACGTTGAGAAGGATCTACCCGACAAGGTTGAAAGAGTCATTAAATGTAAGATGAGTTCATTACAAGAAATTCTTTACCAACAAATGTTAACTCATCGTCGTCTATTCATTGGTGACACACAAAATAAGAAGATGGTAGGTCTACGTGGGTTTAATAATCAAATTATGCAATTAAAGAAGATTTGTAATCATCCTTTTGTTTTTGAAGAAGTTGAAGATCAAGTCAATCCAACAAGAGAGACAAATCCAAACATTTGGCGTGTAGCTGGTAAATTTGAGCTATTAGAACGTGTTCTTCCAAAACTGAAAGCTACAGGACATAGAGTGTTAATTTTCTTCCAAATGACACAGATTATGGACATTATGGAAGATTTCCTTCGTCTTATTGATATAAAATATCTGAGATTAGATGGTCACACGAAGTCAGACGAACGTAGTTTGCTATTAAAATTATTTAATGCTCCATCTTCGGAATACTTCTGTTTCATCTTATCTACAAGGGCCGGTGGTCTGGGTTTAAACTTACAAACTGCCGATACAGTCATTATTTTCGATACTGATTGGAATCCTCATCAGGATTTACAAGCACAAGATAGAGCGCACAGAATCGGTCAGAAACATGAGGTCCGTATTTTGAGATTAATCACGGAACATTCGGTAGAAGAGGCTATTCTTGAGAGAGCTCATAAAAAATTAGATATTGATGGTAAAGTTATTCAAGCAGGTAAGTTCGATAATAAATCCACATCTGAAGAACAAGAGGCCTTGTTGAGGTCATTGTTAGACGCAGAAGAAGAACGTAGAAAGAAAATACAAGATGGTACTGCCGTCGATGAGGCTATAGGTGATAAAGAATTAAACGCTTTACTTTCTAGAAGCCCAGATGAAATCGGAATCTTTACTAAACTCGACGAAGAAAGAGGTGAAAAGGACAGACAGAATGGTGTTACGTCCAGATTATTGGAAAAATCAGAATTACCTGAAATTTATAGTCATGACATCGGTGCAGAATTAAAGCGTGTAGAAGATGAACGTAAACAAGAAGCTGATAACGCTGGTAGAGGTGCAAGAGAACATAAACAAATGATATATTCGGACAATGTTTCTGAAGAACAATGGCTAAAACAATTCGAAGTTAGTGATAATGAAGGTGATGACGATGAACATGACGAACATCGTTCTAGAAGAAGAAGAAAGTCCAAGTTATTAATGGAAGATGGAGATGAGGATCTGGATAATAACGAAAAGAATAATGATGAATTTAAAATAGAAAACGATGAAACACATAATGATGCTCCAACTGACACTAGTGAACCTTTTCATAAAGATGAACCTGAAGAAATTCCAGAATCATTAAAACGTAAAGCTCCTAGACCTCGTGGCAGACCAAAGAAAATCAGAGTCGAGGAACCTCCTACAGATAGTGCTGTTACAGGTAATAACACCGCTGGTGAAACCAGTTCAGATGCAACAAACCCCATTCAACCACATACTGCAGGGAAGACATCAATAAAGTCGGCAAGAACCTCTTCTAGAGGTCGCGGACGTGGTCGCGGACGTGGAAGAGGTAGAGGACGTGGTCGTGGACGTGGCCGTCCTCCTAAGATCCGTAACGGCTTAGAATACGTTAGGGTTGCTGACGGTGAAAAGACAACTTTGGAAGAAAGAGAAAAGATAAGTGAACAAGCAAGAGAGTTGTACAAATACATATCTGATTACACAGATGAAAATGATAGACGACTATCTGATATATTTTTAGTGAAACCATCAAGATTGTTATATCCAGATTACTATCTCTTGATCAAATATCCATTAGGATATGAAGATATCAATAACTTTATCGAAACCTTCGCTTACAATTCTATGAAGGAAGTCATTGAAGATTTCCATTTAATTTATGCCAATGCAAGAATATATAACACCGAGGATTCATTGATTTACAAGGATGCGCTGGAATTAGAGGAACATTTAATTAAGAAATATCAAGAATTGACCAGTGATCCTGGACCAGTTGATTTCACTGAATTTAATGAAAAATATTCTTCCAATCCGTTAATTGTACAACCAGTTGCTCCAACAGTGATCTCTAATGAACCCGAAGAAGAACAACATCCCTCGTCTGCAAATGAATCTAAAGAGTGATTAAGTCTGGAGTATATCTCTCAACTCTATTTGATGTTTTGTGCGTTATAAATATATGAGGAACTGCGCAAATTCACATACATTCGGCAAATAAATAACGATATGACATTCTATATAAACATATATAGTTACTACTATTCTTTTAAATTATATTTTGGTAAAATTTATAATGTAGAATTACACTACAGAAACTGGTTTTAAAATGAAATCTATATACTATGCTTTTGGCTTTGACATTTTATATCTTATCAATACCTTTTCAGAGTCAATATGTGTGCCCCTCCTTCCGAAAGAGATAAGGAAAATTATCACACAATCGAAATTTCTGAAAAATCCAAAGGAAAAAACATGAATACTCTAATTAATAAATGGAATTATCCTTATATAAACAGGGGGCGGAGGAGGTGATCAAATCGACCTGTTCAATTGAGGTTCATATAAAGAAAACAGTTAACGTTTACAATTCAATTAACACACACATTAAATAAGCTCAAAATGTCTCAAGGAAGAAAAGCAGCCGAAAGATTAGCTGGTAAAACTGTGTTCATCACAGGTGCATCTGCTGGTATTGGTCAAGCTACAGCATTAGAATATTTAGATGCTTCTAACGGTGATCTTAAATTAATTCTATGTGCTAGAAGACTAGAAAAATTACAAGAATTAAAGACAAAAGCAGAAAAAGAATATCCAAATGCTAAGATATATATCAATAAATTAGATGTAACCGATACCGATGCAATCAAGCCATTCTTAGAAAAGTTACCTGAAGAATTTAAGGATATTGATATTTTAATCAACAATGCTGGCAAAGCTTTAGGTTCTGATAAAGTCGGTGATATTGCCATTGACGATATCAAAGGTATGATGGATACTAATGTTGTTGGTTTAATTAACATTACACAAGCTATTCTTCCAATATTCAAGAAGAAAAATTCTGGGGATATTGTCAATTTAGGTTCTGTTGCTGGTAGAGAAGCATACCCAACAGGATCTATCTATTGTGCCACTAAATTTGCAGTACGTGCCTTCACTGAAAGTTTAAGAAAAGAATTAATTGATACAAACATTAGAGTTATCTTAATTGCACCAGGTATTGTGGAGACAGAATTTTCTTTGGTCAGATACAAAGGTGATAGTGACCGTGCCTCTAGTGTTTACACTGGTGCGCACCCATTATTTGCAGATGATGTTGCAGATTTAATTGTATATACTACATCAAGAAAACCAAACACAGTTGTTGCAGATGTCTTAATCTTCCCAACTACTCAAGCTTCTCCATATCACATACACCGTGATGCTTAAACATGAATATATACATGTCTATATACAACTCTAAATATCTTCAAATGTGTAAAAGCCAGTTAAACAATGGGAATAGTGTGCTCATTCATGGTAAACTTTACTAAAAATAACGTATTCTTATTGAATTTGATATGTGATTATTTACTTGATATGTATTCGGCCGAAATATCATCTCAATATATATCTATCTATGTATATATATATGAAATGCAATCCCCATGGAGATTGGATCAAATCCTAATGGTGCGAAGAAATAAAACATCGGCCGAAAAAGTTCACCTAATATACCTGTTCTTTTCATACATATAAAATTACGGAATTAAGACAGATTTTTTTGAAAAAATGAATCGGATGAGAATCGGAACCAATGTGTCTTTCCCCAGATCCCAAATAGAATATATTTGCGCCACCAAGCAGTAACATCCGATCCAATGGGTAAAAGAAAACAGAATGGAATCTCGGCCGAAAACAAGTCTTTTAAACCTCGGAATCCGATCAGATTAGTTTCCCATCGACGGAGATATGAAATAACAGCTTTCTTTCGCCGCAAAAAACCAAATCTTCTATGCATAGGGGAGAGACTGACTCGTGTTAATCAGGGAAAACTTTTCAATTGATTAACTATATAAACGGGAGGTTTGAGATGTATTAAATTTCTATTTCTTTCTTCATTAATTAGTTTTAAACATAACTCACTACTAAAAAGTTTATACTCTTTACTACACTCCCATCTCCAGCAAATAAACAAATATCTATTTCTCCAATGTCTAAAGTTGCTCAATTGAAAGCCGATCTAGATAAGATCCAAACCGGTTATGGTTTAATGTCCTTAACCTGGAAAGCCGAACCTACTCCACGTGAAATTGCATTCGAGTCAATGCATAAAGTAATCGAGTTTGCCCAAACTCAAAAATGTAAGGCTTTTTTCAATGTCGGTGAATTTTATGGTCCTAACTTTATTAATTTGATTTACGTCAAAGAATTTTTTGAAAAATATCCAGAATTAAGATCTAATGTTATTGTCTCTTGTAAAGGTGCTATCGATGATGTTCGTTTAGTTCCAAAGGGTTCATATGATGATGTCATTACTAGTGTTAGAAATTCTGTTGAGGCAATTGGTGGCGTTATTGATATATTTGAAGTTGCTAGACTTGATAAATCAATCTGTGCTGAAGGTGAAATTTATCCTTATGAATCATTTAAAGCACTTTCTGAATTAGTTGAGGAGGGTGTTATCGATGGTATTTCATTAAGTGAAGTCACAGCTGAAGAAATTCAAGCCATTGCTAAGGATTGGGGTAAATATTTAACTTGTGTTGAAGTTGAATTATCTTTATTCAGTACTGATATTCTACATAACAATGTCGCTAAAGTTAATAATGATCTAGGTTTAGTTACAATCTGTTACTCACCATTAGGAAGAGGTCTATTGACTGGTAATATTAAATCCTTAAAGGATATCCCAGAAGGGGATTTCCGTTTAAATTTAAAGAGATTCCAAGGTGATGCTTTAAAACAAAATTTTGCATTGATTGATTTCTTGCAAAACGAAATTATTGATAAAAGAGAACCTTCGAGCCAAGTATCTTTAGCACAAATAGCTTTAGGTTGGATTAAACATTGGTCATTCTCCCCAGAGTATCCAAAGGGTAAATTCATTCCAATTCCAAGTGGTTCCACAGTGAACAGAGTAATTGAAAACTTTGATGAATCTAAGGCTAAGATGACAGATGCTGAGTTCACCAAGATTAATGAGTTTTTGAAGACTTTCGTTACAACTGGTGGTAGATACGAGACTGAAAATTGAGATTTGCCCTATTATTATTATTTTTAACTCGTTGTTTCATGTATATCCATAACCTATGTTAAATTACCCCGTCTTATAACAATTATATTCAAATTCTATTTAAATATATAAAACACTTCAAGCAATTATTTATTTAAACTCTGTTCTATATTTATTCCCAATTATTATTAAGTAGAGCTCATTTGTTTAAAGGTCATTTCCACGTGACTCCAAATTTTAAATTTCGGCAAGTACCAGAAGAGACAAAAAAATGCGTAAAGAATAAACTGAGCATTTTATATGCATTCAGAACCAAGTTAAATTTAAGACAAACAAGAGTAGATGAAATAGTGTACCAGTACTAAAGTTAGAAATACCGAGTTTAGAAAGCCGAAATACTCTCATTGACACAACCCATCTGTATATACATATTTGATTATCATGATTACGAAGTATTTTACTAAAGTAATAGTGAGATTTAATCCATTTGGCAAAGAAGGTATGTTTAAGAACATCAGTTAAGGGGAGTCAAAAAACATGAAGAAACCAGATCTCTTCTACCCCTCTTCAAGAAATCATTTTTTTTTCTTTAATTGTTAATATAATTTACTAACTATATTGTGAGGATACATACACGGATATAAGATGTACTTGCATCTGATCCAAACTAATCCCACCCCCCTCTAAATTATCTAAATAGCTAAGACAGCAAGGTTATTTCTAGCATCAATTCCACCAAGACAACGTATAATGGGTACAAAGATAGAGAACGAACTATTAAATGGTACATCTACTAAAGAACCTATAATTAAAGTGGTATACAAAGATAAGAAGGAAGACAGCGTTGATCCAAGGGTACTATCTTTCATGGAGATCGCTAATAAACTAGACGGTCATTCTAGACAACTGAGATTGAAGGAGACTATCGAAAACCATTAAAATCACAATTGCCTCCATATTCAATCTGGAATAAATCCGTTGAAACAACAAGACACATATTCATACTGACCTCATAAACAAATACTGTTTCTCTCAACCATTCATCTGGAGATCTGTTAAACAAGTAGAAAAAAGTTTCCATTGTAAATTATATCTATAAAAAAATATTAACATGTATATATTAGCCTTCTTTTCCCTATTTTTATAACATATCTCGACATATTGTTTGTATATCATTAAAACTGTGTAAATCGGTGACAATATCTAGTTCTTTAGATTAATTCTGTCACCGTGTTTCTTTAACCAATCCGTAATAGAACCATGATATATAGCAGTATTTTGATAACCATATGATCTTGCCAATTCCTCAGCTGCTTTAGCTCTTGTACCACTCTTACAATAAAAGACCAATTCATTCGATAATTCTGGTTTATTAAAATTGAATGTCTTTTGAAATTCTTCCGCTAAAAGACCCAATGCACCTGGTGCTGTATTCACTGGTATGTTAACAGATGTGGGAATTGCATATTGCATATGTTCTTGTGGTTCTCTAACATCTACCAATACCTTACCTGAAACAGGGTTCTCGATCAATTGTTTAATATCATGGAATTTATATGTTTTAATAACATTATTTCTTAGTATAGATGAGCCAAAAAAAGTTCTAACCAATAGTTTTGATGAGGTAAGCTTGACCCTCATTCCAAAAGTGGTATATCCATGCATTGCTAGTTTCAAATATATTCAATTGTGACTCGTACTCACTACAACCTCAAATTAAATGGGTCACAACAGTTGTAAGACAACATCTTAAAATTGGTATCTCCTCTGATATCCGATGTGCCATTTGTTTATAATCAAAATACTGGACGTCGCAAAAGAAAATGAAGGTACCTTTCCTTTTAGCAAAGAAAAATTTAAGAATTTTATAACATGACTTACAAACCATTTTATAAACAGTAAGTATTTATGACAAGAAGATTTTACAAATAGGTACTGTAATTTGATAATCTGTGACTAATGATAACCTTTTTTTTATACGATTGTGTGCCTTGCTTTGGATAAACAATTGAGGTTACAAACATATCCGACATAGAAATGTACGACAACCTCAAATAGGATATGTTGATTTTATATTTATAAATGAACATTCATTGTTATCTGCGTTCAGCTTTTCTTTTCTTATCTTGCTTAAAATGCACCAAAGCTGTGCATTTAGAATTCAATATTCTGGAAACTACAACATAAATAAATAGTAGTACTGTCTGAAAATAAAGCGCCAAATGTTATGTTAACCTAATATTTAAGGCATCGCCAAAATGACCAAACTCCACACTCTTGTTTCAACATAAAAACAACCAGTGAAAAAGACCATTCAATCATATCACAAGCAATGAATATTCCAGGTGAAGATACCATCCGTATCCTTCTTACTACAGACAACCATGTCGGTTACAATGAGAGCGATCCTATCACCGGTGATGATAGTTGGAAGACATTCCATGAGATTATGATGTTGGCAAAAACTCATAATGTTGATATGATACTACAATCCGGTGACCTATTTCATACAAATAAACCTAGCAAGAAATCATTATATCAAGTTCTCAAATCCCTGAGATTAGCCTGCATGGGTGATCGTCCCTGTGAGCTAGAACTACTGAGTGATCCAGCACATGTATTTCGTTACAATGAGTTCTCAAATGTGAATTACGAGGATCCAAACTTTAATATATCAATACCCATGTTTGGGATATCTGGTAATCATGACGATGCTACAGGTGATGCATTACTATGTCCCATGGATATTTTACATGTTAGCGGATTAATGAACCATTACGGTAAAGTATTAGAATCTGATAAAATTACTATATCGCCTCTATTATTTCAAAAGGGTAACACAAAATTAGCATTGTATGGTTTAGCATCTGTTAGAGACGAAAGATTATTTAGAACCTTTAAAGAAGGTGGCGTTAAATTTGAAGTTCCGACTGTTCGTGAATCAGAATGGTTCAATTTAATGTGTGTTCATCAAAATCACACAGGTCATACAAACACAGCTTTCTTACCAGAACAATTTCTTCCAGATTTCCTTAATATGGTCATCTGGGGCCATGAGCACGAATGCATCCCCCACTTAGTACATAATCCTACAAAGAATTTTGACGTCCTTCAACCTGGGTCATCTGTAGCAACTTCATTATGTGATGCTGAGGCACAACCAAAATCTGTATTTATTCTGGAGATTACAGATGGAAAACCACCTGCACTAACAAGAATACCATTAAGGACTATTAGAACATTTAAAATGAAGAATATTACTTTACAAGATGTTGATTATTTAAGACCCCATGATAAAGAAGCCATTTCCAAGTATTTAATCACAGAAGTTGAAAAGATGATCGAAGAAGCCAATAAAGAAACAAACATAAAATTAGGGAATCTATTGGATCAAGAAGATGATGATGAGGAAGGTTTATTATCGACGTTACCGCTACCATTGATCAGATTACGAGTAAACTATAGCGCGTCCACCAAGAAAGGGGCATCCACATTAGATTATCAAGTTGGGAATCCTCGTAGATTTAGTAATAGGTTTGTGGGACGTGTCGCCAACACTAATAATGTTGTACAGTTCTATAAGAAGAAAAACACCCCTCCAACAACTCAAAAGAAATCCGCTAATGATCTATCATTTGACGAATCAGATGTCCAAAGGGTACTAAATGCAAATGGTGGTGAACTACATGTGGATACTTTAATTGCTGATTTACTTGGGAAGATGCAATTATCACTACTACCTGAGATGGGAATGAACGAGGCTGTTAAGAAATTCGTGGATAAAGATGAAAAGGCTGCATTAAAAGAGTTCATTAATAGTGAAATAAAGAATGAGGTTCAGATATTATCATCCAACAAGGATTTTCTTGAGAATGAAAATATTGACGATTTTAAAAAGCTAGTTAAAGAGGTAAAGAAGGCTAATGTTGTTAATATTGTTAATAACCCACCCTCAAGAGACTTCAAAACAAATGAACACGTAGAAAACACTACTGGATATTTAAATGTTCAAAATATTGATACAGTAGATAACGTATTCGAAGATACAAATAATAATTTTGAACCTTCAACACTTAGAAGATCAAGAACGACCACAGGAGACACAAAGAACACTAGGAAAGGAAATACAAGGGTCAAGAAACATCCCATCTCAGATTCAATTGTAGTGTCCGAAGAAGAGGAAGACGATGATGATGAGGAAATAATAATAGATGTAGATAGCTCTGAAGATGACGATTCTGGTTACCCCTTAGGCGACCAATCAAAACAAAGTGAATCAAAATCAAAAGAATCAAGTCGTAAAAGAACAATCTCTCAGCGAAAGGCTAAACCTAAAGCAAATACGTCAAGTAAAACTCCAAAAAGTAACGTCTTGGCACAGTTATTGGCGCGCAAGAAAAGATGATTTATAACGATATTATATAACATTAAATATAGAACCAATTAACATCTCAATACTGCATTAACATCCTTTTCTATTATTTATTAACATAGTAAACTTAAAAGACACGCACATCCAATGCATCATCGAGATGAGTTTTTAAATTCATTACGACAAAAAAGATTGTTTCTTATAAATACGTATATAAAATATGAATTTTAGCCTCTTCTAATCAAGAAAGACTAACAATACAAGGAAACAATACCACACATACAAATATGACTAAAAGGATATTGATGCTACATGGGCTAGCCCAAACTGGTCCATATTTTAATTCCAAGACTAGAAATTTTCGTACAGCATTGGAAGGATTAGGGTACGAATTATTTTATCCAACAGCGCCTAATAGATACCCAGCTGCTGATATACCTACTGACCTATTAGACTCTGTTGCCACGGAACCGAACTCGAATGAAGTTGTTGCTTGGATTGAAAATGATGAAGTGAATCATACCTACTTCTTGCCTAAGACCACAATCAATTTTTTACATGATTATGTTTGTGAGAATGGACCATTCGAGGGAGTCGTTGGTTTTAGTCAAGGTGCTGGTGTCGCTGGATATCTGATGACAGATTTTAATGGCCTACTAGGATTAACATCTGAGGAACAACCTACTTTGAAATTTTTCATGTCCTTCAGTGGATTTAGATTTGTTCCAGAAACTTACCAGGAACAATACAATAATCATATCATCGCCATTCCTTCCTTACACGTAAAAGGTGAATTAGATACAGTCACAGAACCATGGAAGATAGAATCTCTTTATAATTCTTGCTTAGAGGATTCTAGGACAATTCTGATGCATGGTGGTGGCCATTTTGTTCCAAATGCTAGAGGGTTTGTTAAGAAAGTTGTTGACTGGCTACAAACAGTGACGCAAGAGGAAAATTGAAGTAATTCGATACCTCATATAGATCACACTCGCTATATAGTGACTCATTAATAGTAAAGCGTAGCTTACTGTACGTATTACATAATTAGATAGAATGTATTAATTTATAGACCCAAATTTTGTTACTATTTTAAGGTGAAAAAAGTTTCAGTAAAAATAAACGATATCTGTCAAAATAATATACGGTAATATATACTGAATGATGGTGTGAGAGGGAAACCAGCAGACTATTAGTTGTAAGATAATTAAAAATGCCTCATTTAAGACATGTTATACAGATCATCTGTGCCTGTATTTGGTGTCTATTGGCATCCGGTATTATATTTGGCTTCGCAGCTTTAAAACCAGTGTTAGTACAGGAGGGTGTATACGCAGATGTGTGCCCAACAGGCTACAACAGTAATATTGACGAACCATGTCAACAACAAGATATGAAATTGAATTCGATGTTCACTGTCAGTTCTGCATTAACAAATATGATGGCTTTGCCAGTGGGATGGATCCTAGATAAGAAAGGGCCCCGTGTCTGTGGATTAATCGGGTCATTTATTTTATTTGCAGGTTGTTTGATGTTCATAAATGGTAACTCATTAAAGTCATATGTCGATTCGTACTTGATAGGTTATGTGGCGCTTGCCATTGCGGGGCCATTTGTATTTATTTCATGTTTCCAATTAGCAAACTGTTTCCCTAAAAGATCTGGTTCTATTTTAGCCCTATTGACGGGATCTTTTGATAGTTCATCTGCATTATTCTTGGTATATCGTTTAACATACAAGAAATCTCAAAATACGTTCTCCCTATCTAAATTTTTCAAATTATATATGCTGGTTCCATGCTTTATCTTCATTTGTCAAATTATGATTATGCCTCATACTTCATATAAAACGCTTGGAACGGTAGCTAAACTGGGAGTTGAGGAATTGGATGAAAATGGTAATATCATTAGTGATGAACCTGTGATTAACAGTGGACAAGAAGGACGAGAAAATGATCACAATTCTCGCAACGAGGAAGAACCACTTCTAACACGTCGCAAATCTAATCTTGAGATTGCTGCTGAATCAGGGCTTAAACAAAGTACAGGTGGTATATTTGGAATTTTGCACGAAAATACAGCATTGGAACAAATATCATCTCCTTGGTTCTACTTAATGCTCTTATATGCAGGTATCATAATGGTTAGAATCAATTATTTCATTGCCACTATAAGAGCCCAAGAGGAGTATTTATTAGATGATAAGGAAAAGAGCATAGCATTAAATCATATATTCGACATTTTATTGCCAATAGGAGGAGTGGGAGCAGTTCCATTTATCGGAATGATCCTAGATAATATGAAAACTCTGAATGTTATTAAACTTTTAGGATATATCAGTGTACTTGTTGGTGGTTTGGGTATTATAACACACTCATTTACATTTAATTTAGTTGGGATTATTCTTTTTGCTCTATATAGGCCATTTTACTATACCGTTGTATCTGACTACTGTTCAAAAGTATTCGGATTTACCACATTCGGAACAGTTTATGGTTTATTAACTTGTCTATGTGGTATATTTTCTATATCACAGAATTTATTAGACAAATGGACTCATGAACATTTTAATATGGATCCACGTCCAGTTAATATATTTATAGTAGGTATGACTATAATTTTCGGATTAGCATTAGAGAAATATATGCAATACCAATTAAAACGGAGAACTACAGAAGAGGCTTCGAGGGAATCTGAGGAATAGGCTCCCTAAGACAATAACCAATGAAACTTACTCAATCATTTATTTATACATATTGTTATTTAAGTATTCAAGATACATATTTATTTTCGCACACCAGTTTAGATGTTGTGGGCGTTTTAGATGTTATTACTGTCGTAGTCATCGTTTTTATTAGAAAAGCGACGTTAAGAAACATTTTCAAAAAATAAAAGATAGGTAGACAGCGATGATCTCAAGAAATATAAGAAGGTCAGTAAAACAAGATACTATTGAGAAAACAAAAACAGAACCTTACAAGTCATAATTAATATCCAACAATTAAACAAATACATCAGTTTCAATGAGTGATGGTAGCTATCTTGTACGGCTGCATAGTTTGCAGCGGAAAACTAATATGATCAATAAAACACTTCAAAAGATGGCCTCGGAAATAACTGTCCTTAAATATGAATCATACCAGAACTACTACAGAAAACACGAAAGGCATTACGAATGGCAAGACCCATCTATTAAAAAAAAGTCTTCAATTTCACCTAATAAAAGAAGTAGGCAACCTGTTCCTAGACGACGTATAAGTGAGCCTGATTCTTCAAAAAAAACTTCTGAAAGACGTTCAACAAGAATAGCAAATAACCCAAAGATTAAGTTGAACGAAACTGTTGAAGACAGATCTGATAGTGAAGGTCTTCGATTATCCATCTCAGAACTAACTGGGAGTTTAGTACGTCCAATACAACACCCAATTCGAAATTCAAATTGGACACTAGCAGATGTTGACGATAAATATGAATCTGATAGTTTACCAGATACCGAGGAATTTGGTTTCATACCATTGTCATTAAAGACCTTACTTCAAACCAAGCAGATGAAACAAATTTTGCAAAGCTTCGATGGACTATGATTTTCCTTTCAGAAGATTTTGTTTCTGATATATAGTTTAATATTATACATTCACATATAAATTAATGCAATAAATAATATCGCCAGGATGATAAATCTTTCACCTTTAATGTATTAACCAAAACTGATTAGTTTTTAAACAAATACGAATATTTATAAAATATTTTTTTAATTAGTAACATGCAAATCTAAATAGTGTTGCGGATTCTCCTCCATTATTCCACATTCTGCCTGTTTTAGTTTCATCCATGAAACATTTGCAAAAGTTTCCAAACCAACAGTTGCTGACTCTATATCCGTAGTTTCAGCTGCAATTAATGAGATAGCATCAAAACCACCTGCTCCAGGAACAACTCCGGTCAAAACACCATCTATCTGCATGCAATTATCCAACAATTGTGTTTGAATGGCAGGCTCAATATCTGCACCTGATTCTTTAGTAATCAAACGGAAAGTTTTCCTAATTGTCGAGAACGCAACCTTAAATTCTTTCAATTCTTTGAAGTCATCAGTAGAACCATTATGTAGACTTTCTAGTAGATGTGAATAATATAATGGATCTGCCTTACTCAGAAGATCCAATTTCTGGCAAAGTTGAATGATTTTCATATTGTTCTCGTTAATACAATTGAATATATCTAAACTTTGTGGTTCATTATCAGCATACCATTTATTGACCTTTTGAACCAGTTTAACTGTTTCCGAGCCAGTATTAACATCACCCATGATGAGCTTAAATCCTTTAGGTAGATTAGTTGGGGAAGCTGTCATTTTCCAATCGCACTTATCAACCGTATCTTTTAAGGTGACGTGATACTTTTCAACATTATCCACAGATAGCTGAGGTAATTGAGAAATTATTTCTGGGGGAAATCTTCTATAGATTATTGAACCATAGGTTGCAGCAGCAACATCAAATCCACTTCCTATTTTTCCTTGAGCTTGACAATGTGAAATTTGTGCTAAACTATGAATTATATGTTGGTATTTTGAATCTGAAACATCTAAATTCTTTAAAAATACAGAACTTAAGGCAGTTGTTAATACTGTGACCAATCCTGCAGAGGATCCTAATCCAGTTTTAGGAACATCTTGAATATTTTTCTTATGGAAATGAAAGGATTTGTATTTGTTACTCATAATGGTTGAGTTTTCCGTAGAGTGGTACTCAGCATCAGAATATATTTCAATTGTGATATGGTTATCGAAAGATTCAATATCAAAAAAATAGCTACAAACGTTAGAAATAGTATATTCAATAAATGGATTTGATTTCCCATCTTTTTCCTTTGGGATAAAACCTTGACCTTTTGACACCGAATAATTCCATTCGTTATTGTTAAATTGAGAGCTTTTAACTTGTACAATTAACTCTCTATTATTAGTTGGAATTTGTGATGATGACACAACCGCATGCATACGTGCAGACAGTGCTACCACAAATGATTCATATTTTGGATCCAACACCAGATAACCACCGGCTAGTAACGCTTTACCAGGCGCACTAAAAGCTCTAATTTCTTTCATGATTCCCAATTAGCAGCTATTAGTTTAACGTAATGTGATTAACAAATATTCTATTAGCTACAGGCTGTTCCAGCTCTGATATACCTTTACTTTTATAGTTCTCAATCATTAATGAAAGTCTCGATGTTGGTTGCGTCGATATCGCCTTTCCGGATTTAGGCTCGTTTATGCCAATATTTTCGGCCGATACTAGCAGACATGCAAGAGATTCAATTTTTAAACGATGTTATCGAAACTATAACCAACCGTTATACTCAAATAACAAAAGTAGTAGATGTATAGTCAAGATTACTGTTCAATTAGTTTACAAGGCAGGGTGCTTCCTAAATACGTTCATATATTGTTGAGTAATGATTCTTCAAAATTTTTGTTTCTTCAAAAGAGCTTGCTTAAAAGGTAAATAGTATTACAATTATCGATATACATTAACAAATTAACTATTACAAATTATTTATTTAAGTCTATTTTCATTTTTTGGAAGATCTTGTTCTTCTTTCGAAGACGTTCTTCTTCTCGAGGACACCTCTTCTAGTCCGTTTGAAAGGTCCGTCGGGAGAAGAGTTGTCAGTAATAGCTCTCTTCCTCTTACGGAAATTTCTTGGTCTCCTTTTCGTTTTCCTTTTTGAAGGTTTAACATCTGTAGAATCTTCAGTAACCAAAGAATGTTCCTCATCTAACTGGGATTTGATTTCGTTAGCGTCAGTTTCTTCTTTTCGACCTTTAGTTTTTCCAGTATCTGACTCTTGCGCTAATTCTATTGCCTCATCATCTTCTTTTTCTTCTTCAGGAACTATCAAGGATGTATTTTCTTCTTCAGAAATATGAATGTCAACATGCGATTCATTTTTAATCTCAAAATCATCTTGTTCGTTAGCTCCAACCCCAATATTAATAAAACTACCGTTTTCCACGTTTTCAAGTAAACCAGACAGGTCTTCGCGCTTAGTTATCAAATTATCCTCTGCAACTGCAGATTTTATTTCTTCTGATTCCTTTAATTGCTCGTCTTGTTCGTCTATTTTTCCAACTTGAATATCATTTTCATTTACATTGTTACTATTTGATAATGAGACGGTGCTTGGCTGATCATCATCGATATCTGTGGAGGCTTCAGGTTCCTCCGGGTTTCCCTCTACTACCAACTCAACGTTATCATTAACATCCTCGCTCGGTACAACATCAAGCTTTGCTGAGGATAATTGATTAGGTAATATATCAGGTACGCCAAGTATATTTTCATCTAAGGGATGTTCCGTGTAATCATCCTTACGTTCCATAGATACGTCTTCGTCATTAGCCTCGTGTCTGTTTTGGCTTAACTCTTCCTGAAACGCAGGTTGAATTAAAAAATTCGATTCCCTCTCTTGCTCATTATTATTTGTGAAATTATCAGTGCTAATTATCCGCCCATCTTCCAACATATTTTGAAAAATTTCGTTTTTCTCGTCTTCGTTAGAGGAGTGATGATCTAGAGCAACATCAACATCTGCCGTACTATAATATTTTGAATCGTTATCGGATAAGTTCAATGAGCCAGATACTTTTACAGCAGAAGCACCAGGACTTTGTTCTATATTAGATGTTACTCCAACTTCTTCAGAATATGGAGCTGGTAATGTGGTTACCAATGTAGTTATTTCTTCTTGGTATGCTTCTTGATTAGCTCCAAGTTCTAGGTTATGATCTGAGCTAATTTCAGCGACGTTATCTTCATTAGCAGTACTGTCATCTGTAACACTGTGGTTTACACTGAACTGTTGTTCAATATTTTCTCCCTCTACATTTGACGCATGACCGTCATTAGCTGTATTCTCATGCGCTGTTTCTTCATCTGAGAGAGGGTTCATTCTGACATCTGTATTTGTAAATTCTTCGTGAGCGGTACTTTCAGCTGTGGAGTTACTGTTATTGATATCTTCATTATTAACCTCATTGTTGGTAGCATTATTCATCTGAACTTCCAACGAAATATTTCTTGAAATGTTATTATCATCACTTTTTCTTTCGAAGGTAACATCATTCAGCCTATCATTGCTATCGATATCGATATCGATATCGTTTCCGTTACCATCATTATTGTCATTAATATAGTTAAGTTGAATTTTATAAGCCATGTCAACGGGCTCAACAACATCTCGGTTGTTATTTGTCACAGATTCAACATTTACTTCTTTTTCTGTAATTTCCGAAGGATTCTCCAATTTAACATCTGAAGGTCGGTTGGAATCCAATTCCATTCCCACTGTATTAGAATGGTTGTCAAATCGGTCCGAAAATTCATTTTGTTGTACTTGGGTTTCTTCATTGATCAACTGAGGATGAATATTCTTTTCTAATATTTCTATGTGATTTGTAGCTTCTTGTTTATTCAAGTCATATAGTTTGTCAGGCATTTTATCTATTGTATCATCGAGAATTTCAATATCTCCATAAGTACCATTTTTATCTATGTCATCAGAGTTTGAAACAGATAATATGTCAGTGTTGGTAGCAGAAACCATATCATCATTATGTAATAGTCTAGCATCTGAATCCATAGATTCGTCTGACGTTACACTATTACTACCTGCGATATCCGCGTCAGTTGTTTGTTGATATACATCTTCGTTATTAATCACAGTGGTATCATTTTCGGAAGGGTATGCATTGAGTTCATCCACAAAACTAGCTGTAACATTAGTAATGTGATTAATGTTGTCAGCAAGATATTTAATTGTATTAAAAGGAGCTCTGAATATTTTTTGTACAATATTCTGTTTTTTTTGTTCGTGAAACTGTTCACCTTGTTCAACATCAGATGAATCTAACATTTCTACGTCCCCATCTTCTTTATCTTCACTAGAAGAGCTATCATCTTCAAATTTGAGAGATGTAAACGACTCACGCTCGTCAATTGGTTCATTCATATTTACATCTTGCAATTCTATTTCTTGCTCGGCAGCTACTGAATGCTCCTCTGACAAATTAACACTGTCTGTCATCCGCAATTCTTCACTATTACTGTGATACATTGGTACATACTCATTTCTTGTATCACTAGAAGCAGCACTCTCCATAGGTGTTGGATATTCGATTTGAGATCCAATAATATTGTTAGCATGTATGGCCTCCCCCAAAATATGAAAGGCTGGTGAACCCAGACGTTCTGGAGAGAAATTTGTACTCGGAACTCCATCATTTAAAACATCCGAATTATGATCAAATTGAGCTATATCATTATTTCCATCCATATCGTGTAGAGCTGTAACCATCTCATCATCTGCATCACTTGAAATATCCTCTTCGCTATTATTAGCTTCATTATGGGGGCTATTTGTTCTGTCATACTGTGCTTGTTCAGAAAGTTGGTGTAGCTGGCTAGAATTGTGCTCACCATTACTGTTATCATTAGAGATATCTTCGAAATTATCATTTGAAACATTTTGCGGACTGACCTCCAACTTTTGCTCCATACCCATTTCTGAACTTTCATTTTCTGCTGTGTGATTCTGCGCAACGTTTGCCAATAAAGCTAGCATATCATAATCGGGCGTTCTGTCAAGCACAATATCCTCTTTCTCAGAATTGGAAGAAACCAGAACGTTGTCGTGTTGGGGAACTTCCCTTTTCAATTCTCCAGAGTTATCCTCTGCCTTAGATACAGATAAGTTATTTTCTAAATGCTCCACACCAGTACCAACTACCCCTATTTCATGATTTTCTTTTTGCGAAACATCCATTTCATCAGCTTCAGAAATAATATCATCGGAATTTCCAGTATGATATGACTCTGTGTCAGGTCGGGCCTGCTGAATTTCGTCAATTTGATGCATTAGATCCTGTGATGAGTCTTTATTTCCCGAAATAGAACGTAATGTTTCTTTTAAAAGTGAGTTTACATCATTCACATCACTTGACGCTGAAAATGGATCCGAACCAAAAGGAGAGGTATACTTTAGATTATTTCTTGTCAGTAGTACACTTTGGTTTTCATTAGAAGACTCATAAACAGACTCTGAGATTTCAACTTTATACTTGCCTTGAGTATTGGTTGTTGGATTTTGAACAAATCCATCAAGCTTCGAGTTTGTTAAACTTGTATTACCCTCATCAACTGTAAAATACATAGATGTATCTTCATTTACGAAGCTGGTATGGGAGTCACTTGTAACAATTTGCACATGAGAGGTTTCATTAACTCTATTCTTGTCTTGTATAGGTTCAATCGTTGGATTTTTTTCTATATCAGAATTGTCTATTGTATGTTTATAGAATGTATTCTCATCCTGGTCAAAAGTTTCTGCATTTTTGATAGTAGAATCTGTAATAGCTACCTTCTCCCCAATTGTTACCCGATCATCAATTGTGCTAAAATCGTTTGACTCTTGTCCTGCATTAAATTTATCATGCAATAGTGTATTCAAGTTTTTCTGGTTAGATTCCTCTTCTCTTAAACCCCTCTCAACCTTTTCTTCATGAACTTCATGGTATATCTTATCACTATAGATCGGTAAATTATCAACGATCCTATCGTCACCGATATTTATACTACCATCAACAATATCTTGGGTATTTATTTCATTTTCATTTAGGTTATGTGTAATTGCTTGGTCATTATAATTATGGATAATATTTTTGGGAATTGATGACAGAATATCTGCGATTGATTGCACACCACCTGACGATGGAACCTCATCTGAAACGTCATTTGAAACTTCACCCGAGGCCTCATGCAACGCCTCATTTAATGGATAACCAATTTGATTAGTACCGTTGTTATAACGGTAATCGCCCGATATACTATCCTGGTCATCACTGTTAAGTTCACTCTCAACCTCAATTTCGATAGGTTCATCTTCATCTTCCTGTTCATCTTCTGTATATTGCCCGTTTGAATTCGGTGTGGCACTACCATGTTGCCCCTCATAAGCAGACTCAGGTTCATCCTCAACCTGCCCTTCAGATTCATATTTATCTTCATCTGGTTTTGATATATTTTCATAATCTTCATATCCATAATCCATTTTAGGGTTACCATAATTTTCTTTAGTGTGTGGTACTGATCCGTTGCCCTCTGATATTTCTTCATTAGAAATGTCATCATTCATACTATCAGAATTATAATTAAGATGATCATGTGTATGAGAATTTCCGAAAATTGCCTGATGAGCAATCTTTTGAATATCTGACTGTAGAAAGTGTGCACTATTGCTGACTGCTTCTTGAGGAGGCATGGCGTATTGCATTCCATCATCAATATCATCGCCTTCTTGGTCTTCAACATCATAGGATCTATTGCTCTCTTCATGAGATATGTCTGAGCTGATTGAGCGTTCTACGGATATATCTTCCTCTTTGTCCTCCTCATCCTGTAACAGTTCAACCTCTGCAACGTTTTCAGGTTGAATGTAGGAACCGTGTTGTTCATTAATAACAGAATCATCTTGAGATTGTATATCCTCATCATCTTCTCTATCCTGGTAAACTATGGAATCATCACTAGACAATAATTTATTTGCTTTTTCTATAGAATTGTCGTATTCTGATACTTCGTTTTCTGATAAGTTGGAATCATATTCACTTTCTTCACCAAACAAATTCCCTTCGTTCTCATCTTGTAGTTGGATTTCACTACTACCAATAGCATGCTCCTCCATTTCTTCACTGCCAGGATAATTTTCGTTTATAATTTCGTCCTCTTCAGGTTCCGAATCAGTCAATATAACTAAAGCATCATCACTTAGTGGTATATTTTCATCATTTGATAACTCCTCCGTATCATTTCTATCTTCAATTGGAACGTCAACAATTTGACTTACATCTGATGAGGCTGTGGTACTTTTATTTTCATAATAATCTGTTTTTTTATCTAAAATGCTTTGAACATGCATCGTACGTAGTTCTTTTCTTCTAGAATTTTCGTACAGTTGTTCACGTAATTGCATATCCTCTTCCTTTAGTGTCTTAAGGACATTTTTTGCCCTACTTATAAGAGATCCCATCCATTCTAATGTCTTAGAGCTATCATGACGAATATGGTCGATTTGGCGTTCTCTTACCAGTTGTCTAGTTTGTCCATTCAACACTGGAATTTTGTTAACTTTGTAATGCCTATTGTAAGAGGATCTACCATTGTTTATCAATGTTAGTCCATTTAGTTTTCTGTTTTGAAATGGTGAGGCATACCTTTTAACGTGTCGTCTAGGCGTCGTTAATTTCAATTTCTCTATTTTCTCGTTATTATCCTTAGCCATTATTATAATACCTAAAGATGTGACGAGATGATTAAGTTATTATTATACAATTAATTTTTTTGTATAATTGTTATCACACAGAGACTGTTGTGTTCTTTTGGTTCTTTTATTTATACACTTATTTACAAGTTCTTCTCTGAGATATGATTTATAGAAATTAATAGTAAACAAATATTGACATCGCTTAGTCCATTTTACCTTATTTTTCATCACATGGTACGAATGTCTCGTGTAAGAGAGATATATACATGAAGCATACAGAGAATTCAGATCTAGTGAACATTCAAAGGTATTTAACGATAAAACCATAAAACTTAAATAAACAAGATCGGAAACTGTCTGAAACATCAATTGCATATACTCGCAAAAATAAGGTACTACACTGATACCCTGAATTGACTGTTTAAGAGTGGAAAAGAAATTAATATAATTCATTAGCTTACCTTCAAAGGAAACAATGCAAACTTGATATTAATAAAGTCTATTTAAAATTTTCAATTATTGACTACAACTTTATTACCACACTCTACATCAAATCTTAAAATACTATAGTTAAATGTCACTCACACAAGGCAAAAAAATAGATATTTCCTACTTCGATCCATTCGATCTGTTCGAATCAGTGAAAAGTGAGTTTTCACAGATTCTTCCATTAGAGAATATACACTGGAAATCTTCCAATGGTGTAACACGAACTATAACATCTCTACCCATATCTTTAGATGTTGAGGATCAATCAAAACAAGGCCCAAATATTACTAGTATTCCATTTATCAGGACTATCATTGTGAGTTGCAACTCAGTTGAAGAATATAGATCAAAAGTAAGGCCTTTACTGAGGGAATGGCTACCAGAGATTCAACGTCATGAAACCATTTCAAACGGAAATAAAGGCATTTCATTAACTTTTACGAGTACACCTATTATTTTTTTTTATTCAAATTCAACTGTCGTAGATTCAAACCTATTCAAAACAGTGACTATAATGGAGAAATTTAATAAAGACTTCCCTGAAATCGAGGCATTAGAATTAAAATCGGTATATAAATCTTTAAAGGAAAAGGAAGAATTTTGGAATCGAATATCCCAAAAACTTAAATCTCATTTCTTGGAGATATTTCAACAACGATTAGACTATTTAAACGGAAAGCTTACGGAATACATGAAATTAACTGGGGAATCCAAACAGGATGCAAAAGATATGTTATTTATTAAAGAAAAATTGTTTGACCTATACTTTAAAGCTAATTTATTAGAAGAAGGTTCTAACGAACTTAAAGAAATAAAAATTGATGTCTCTGGTACCATCGATGAAGGGATATCTAAGGGACAGTTAGAAATACCATTCACCTTTGATATTCCTGAAGACGACTCGATATTAATTGCCGATTCTGAGGAAAATAAACTAACTACTTATTATTTGTTGAAATACTTCTTTATAAGGGATTTTTTTTTCTTGGCATTGGAGGTTAATATCAATACTAGGATTTTGAAACTTTATAAACTCACTAAACAATTTTTGATTAATATTGAGGCTCAATTTCATGATAATGAAAATTTACTAGTATTCAAATACATATTTTTGACTTTAGTGATAAAATATGTTGAAGAAATCAAAATTAGTGATGTATCCTTGCTATCAGAAGTGAAAGCAGAATTATTGTTAATGAAACGTGATTGTTGGATAAAAGGTGTATTAGAAATTACTGAGTATGTACTTCCAAACAAAAAGATTGATAATTTAAATAAACGAGTGACTTATAAGTTTGATGTTGGAGAGGAAACATATAAAGATGAAGATACATTTTATGAAAATTTTATCAAATTCAATACAGAACTCTTAGCATTATACAAAAATTGTGAGGGTAAAAGACAAAGAATCATTGATATCATATCATTAGAAATTGGTATGGTTTATCACCAAAGGAAAGATTATCAAAACGCTGTCTCGTTATTAATATCGTGTTATGAATTTTATGTTGAATCTAATTGGAATGTAATCGGTTTACACATTTTAAAGGTGTTTATAGATTCACTTGAAAATTGTCCGAAATTAGAAAACATTGAGTTAGATGGTTCTTCCGTTAATGTATCGACTATTTTATGCAATTCATATTTGAATTTAATCAAATTATCCTCAAATTTACAAGATAAAGAATTATATTGGGATAAATTTTTGAAATTGAAAAAAGGAAATGAAATGGATGATATTACATATAGTCTAAATGGATTTTTTGATATAAATATTGAACACACTGTTTCGTTGCAACAAGTTAATACCTATAACATTAATCTTCAAATTGGCAACATAGGATTCCCTGAGGATGTACAAGCCAAATTTATCAAATTAACATTAAGAGAGTGTAATCGTCAAGAGAGTAAAGTTGAATTTTTACTAGAGAATGTGGAATTAAAACGAGGATCTTATGAATATACTTTATCTACCAAAAATATTATTTTTGGAAAATTCGAGATCAATTCCCTTGAGATTATGATACATGACACAATTTTCTTACAAGAATTCGGATTGAATACTGAAAATATTGACGAGGATATTAATTCTTCCGAGCCTATAAATGGTAACGCACCAATCGTTGAAATATTTGAACTATATATAAGTGATAATATGTTTATCAGTTTAGAGCAAGCCAAAATTTTAGAGCTTGGTGAAAATTCATTGGAGGTAAAGATAGACAATTTCAATAAAATTAAAAATCCAAAATTAACTTTAGAGATGTTAAATAGTTCAATATCTCGGTTTTTTAGTTTCAAGAATAATGAAGTTGTTCATACAAAAAATATTGATAATATTACGGAAGAATGTTTCCGTATTCCATATTACCTTGAAGAACAGATCACCTCTTTTGAGTTAGAGCTTGAGTTATCATTTGAAAGGAAGGATGTAGAAGGAACCTTTTCGGAAAGGAAAACAATTCAAATTGAATGTTTCTTACCTGTATCTGTATCAGTGGAAGATATATTCAAGAAAGATCTTTTCTTCTTTAAATTTTTATTATCGTCTTCCTTAAGAGAAGTACCTATTATACTACATAGTTCAAAACTGACCATAAAGGAATCTGATCGTAAGAACATGTATGATATTATTGGTGACTTTGAACCCGAGGCAGCTGTTGTATTATTGCCTTCAATGGAAGAAACTTGTTTAAATTGTTATAGATTACGCGCCAAGGATAATTTTAACACATCTGATATATTCAATTTACATGTTCATTATAATACATTAAAGGAACAAGTGGATTGTCTAGTTACGGATTCTATCCTGGTGGAAGGTGACGTTGAATTTTATAAGAAATATTATCAATGGAGAATTTTCTGGAGCAGTAATATATTAAGTCAACTACGTTACGATTATGAATTATTTAATAAATCCAAGATTATCCGTATTGACAATGGATTAAACATTGTCAAAGGGTTGAATAAGATAATTTGTAAAAAAATATCTAGTGATCCAGCAGTTAAATCGAAAATGTTAAATTGTTTAGAAAATCTAACACGGGGAGTTCCAATAAACGAATTAGATATTAGTGAATACACACAAAATTTGACACCTCGTGAATTAATCGTTCCTGTGACATTACCAGAATTTGAGCAATTCTACCGTGTTACTTTCAATAAGATTGAACCCATTAATGAGAAAATCAGTACTGATCTAGGTACACCACAACAATTTGATATTGTAATAGAGAATATGAGCAATAATTGGGGTCGTCCCTCAACTGCTGAGATTACAGATCATATACTTGAAATACAGAGCAACAATGACTGGTTACTACAAGGTAAGAGACGGTTCATGATTCCAAAGGACAAATATAAATTCTCTGTAACATTGATTCCATTAAAGACCGGATATATTACACTACCTCACGTAGAGATCACAAATCTACAAGGAGAAGCCAGCCGTGTAGACCAAGCCAACCAGTACGAATCTATCCTAGTTCTATAAGTAGTGCCACCTATACATACATATATACATACATATATATATACATATATATATATATATGAAAACACAAGCATATCATATTTTCACAATCGCCTGATCTTTAACAAAACATCCTTGAACAATGGAGCTATCTATCCATCACCAAATAACGTAATGTTGAGCAAACGAATCGCTCCGTCTTTTTCCGATTAGAGAAAGCCTAAGAAACGCCCAAGAAAGTGGTTGTTGTAGTGTGAGAATGAGAGACAGAGAGAGAGCACCCAGTTTAGTTAATTGAGGGATGTAGAAATTATATATATTTTAATAAGTTACAAGGTCTATTGCTAACCATTACGAACTACTTTTCCCTCTTTCTTATTCCTTTGTTCGTCTCTTGTTTTATCTCTGTTTGACACATCTCTCTATAGGCATCTTCTTCGTTTTCTTTGAAGTTCTTCCCGTTTTCCCACACTTTTGATCATACTTTTTTTTTCTGGGCTTCAATTTTACTTATTTTTATATTTTTTTTTGCTTTTGGAATTTTGTCCAATCCTTAAGAAAAGAACCATACATTCAATAACATAAAGGCAAAAAAATATACCAAATAAAATAAACTGAGCTAAACGAGAACAGCGAAGTAAGGATATTTTCTATTGAGGTTTGAACAATTTTTACTTGGTCAAGTATCTACCTATATCAACAGTACTGCATATACCGTTATTGGTGTTATTATTCCCTCTCCCTTACATATTTAACTGGTGATCGCATTTATATACAAATACAGCTTTTGACATCCTGTTGAATTATTCTGTTTCCTATATTCTACATCCAGAATCCATAATTATAACTTCACTACACTGATAATAATCAGTAATATTCAACACTCATACTACTTTCAATATTTGCTGAACGTTTTTTTTTAAAATTAAAAAGAAATCATTCTTTAAACGATCACTATATCATACGCCATTTGATAAAAAGGGTGAAGTGAATTGCCCTTAAAAAGATATATATATATATATATATTTCTCACTATTATTTCCAGGCTAAGAATATAACAATACTACTACTTCTACATTTTTAAGAATGGGAACCTCGTTTAGATATCCTACGTTTTTATCAAGACCGCAAACTGACGGCACTAACAACTCGGATACATGCACATCACCTGCTCCACCTGCTACAAAAGCATCTGAGCTGTTTGCTAGGGAGTCAGTGAATACATCACCAGAATCTACAGAGTCTAAATTATCTCTTGCATTAAAGAATTCAAATTCAAATCTAAACGTTGTTAAAACAAATACATCGGGAGAAGAAGCCATCGTTGAGGAAGAAGATGATGATAGTGAATCATCTTGTGATGAAAAAAATGAAGAATCCGTTAGAGATTATAAACCAGGTGGATATCATCCTGCTTTTAAAGGCGAAAAATATAAGGATTCTCGTTATATATTGATGAGAAAATTGGGATGGGGTCATTTTTCCACCGTGTGGCTTGCATTAGATAGTCATACACGTAGTCACGTAGCAATGAAGATAGTTAGAAGTGATAAAGTTTATACAGAGGCTGCTCAGGATGAAATCAAACTTCTAAAAAAGATTTCTTTGGAGAATGATGGTATTAATGAAGGTGCAAAACATATTCTTTCCTTATTAGATAATTTTATACATCATGGACCAAATGGTGAACATATTGTTATGGTCTTTGAAGTCCTTGGAGAAAATTTGTTAGCATTGATTAAAAAATATGAACATAGAGGTATCCCATTGATTTATGTGAAACAAATCTCTAAACAGTTACTATTGGGGCTTGACTATATGCATAGGAAATGTGGTGTCATTCACACCGATATTAAACCTGAAAATGTACTGATGGAAATCGGTGACGTAGAGGCAATTGTTAAGATGGTTGAAATGATGGATAAAGAAAAGAAAGATCGCAAAAGACAACAGAGACAAAACTCAATAGTGACAAGCCCACAAGAGAGACATAAACACTCTATATCGAGAGATAGTCGACATTCGACAATCGATACATCATTTCAAGAGCAAGCAGCTGATACAAGTCTTACAGAATCTAATATTTCAAGGAATAGCTCCAAAACAAATATATCTATCAAAAGAGTACCAAGTCGTAGACCTAGAAGAAATACAATTATTACTGGATCCCAACCTTTACCATCTCCGATTAGTTCTACGAATTTTTATGAAATGAAATCTCAATTTTTAATGAATTCTTCACATTCTAATAGTTCAACAGCCGTTCAATGGCAAACTTTTTTATCCACTTCAAAGAGCCATAGTCATAATAGTTCGAGTAATAATAGTACTATGGGTATCGCAAGTGGAACAGTGACGCCAAATAATGGACAGGCACTGAACCAGGTTTCTGATAATCCATTCTTACATTCCATAAGCACTTTACAAACAGACTTGTCTCCAGGGGCTAGTACAACCGTACCTGGATCATACCAAAATTCCTCAAATACATCCGTACCTGCTAACGAAAAACAATTGAGTCAATCGTTATCGTCATTCGAACTTTCAAAAGTGACTTCGGTGGATTCCACTCAATTACATCATCAGAAATTTAACCTTGATGACACTGATAATAATATTATTGCTATTAAGATAGCTGATCTGGGTAATTCATGTTGGTATGATGAACATTATACAAATGCAATCCAAACAAGAGAATATAGATCCCCAGAAGTTCTTATTGGAGCGCCATGGGGTGCTAGTGCAGATATATGGTCTACTGCGTGTCTCATTTTCGAACTAATCACTGGTGACTTTTTATTTGAACCTGATGAAGGTCATTCCTATAGTAAAGATGATGATCATATTGCACAAGTAATAGAATTATTAGGCCCATTCCCAGATTATCTTCTAGAAAATGGTAAATATACAAAGAAATTGTTCAACTCAAAGAAGCAACTGAGGAATATATCTAAACTAAAATATTGGCCATTGGAGGAAGTCCTGACTGAAAAATATAAGATGGATTCGAACGAAGCAAAACAGATTGCTGATTTCTTATTGCCAATGCTATGTCTTGATCCTAGAAAGAGAGCTGATGCAGGCGGTCTTGTTAACCATCCATGGTTAAGAAATACACTTGGTATGGAAAGTATAGCTGTTCAGGATAGAAAACTTTATGGAGATGGTGGGGATATTTATGGATGGTCGTGTGAAATCAAGGGGCATCCAAGACACTGAAAAGTGTAAAAAGAGTTTAATCTGGTGTTTGAGTTCAACTGATATAAATGCTTTCTCTTGACTATTTTAAAGATATTTCTCTTTTTGGAAAAATCGAGAGATTGCACAATTTCAGTAATAATATATGGTCGGCATATTCGTATTTTAGTAAAAACAACAGTAACCAAGCATATATATTTATATGTATATAGCGTAATGATAATATTTGATATTAAATGTCTTTTAATTTTATATATTAATTATAGCAGAAGAAATAACGTTAACGAAAGAATTCTACGGAAGTGAAAAAAACCCATCAAGCATAGGTTCCGTGAGTGATATATTTATCACATATATTACAATAAAACAGATAATAAAACAGCAAAGATACCGGATTGAGTGAATGGACCGGCAATGTGGGCGGCATCACCTTTGCTCTTAGAGGAAGATTTGGAACTAGATGCGCTAGAAGTCTGGGAGCTTGAGCTTGAGCTTGAACTTGTAGCTGTTGCGGACGATTCAGATGTAGAAGAAACTTTCAAAGCGTTTAACAAATTACTTGAGTCATAAGTGATAGTAGCATCAACAGTGTTGTTGTCACTGTCCTTAATTGTATAATCAAAGGTTGTTGGAGCAGTATAATTGGTTAAAATTTTACCAACGTTAGTACCATTAACACCGTATTTGATCATGGTGGCAATATCATCTGGTTGATCTGGAATAGTGAAATTACTAACACCAAAGTCCTTGTAAGCGGAAGTGATTGCACTAGAATTACATCTATATAGACTAGAGTCACCTAAGTCACTTTCGTAAACCACAGAATCTTTTAATTTAGAGATAGCAGATTTGAAGTTATCGAAATCGTCTTTATAAGTGATCGAACCATCAGAATCATCCATATCTACTAAGCCATAGTTGTTAGCTTCTTCAGCATATTCATAGACTAACCCACCAGAGAACAAGTTACCTAGACCACTGGATGGATATAGACCATCAGTGACTTCGTCGAAAGTTCTTGGAAGGTTTTTATTACAACCATATTCGGAGAAAATTAATGGAATCACAGTGTCACTAAATGTTGAGTTTAGAACGTCATAACCTGAACTTTCCCAATCAGAGGTACCAGAACACCATTCATAAGTGTTTAAACCAAAGAAATCCGATCTGGATTCATCTAGGGCTTTGTTTGTGGTTGTACCGTCAAGGGAATTACATTGTAAGTAACGATAAGTAGCTAATCTCAAATCCACAGTATTAGCAGCGGAATAACCAACTGGAATAGTTCTATTGGAATGTTTAGCGATATATTGTTTCATATCTCTTTGAACAGCACGAATGTATGGAGGATCAATGTTAGCGTAATCTTTTTGATCATTAATAACTTCATTACCTGAGAAGAAACCTAGAACATTAGGATAATTCTTAAAGGCATCGATGAATCTAAAGACTCTACCGATGTATTGAGAATTATAAGTACCCCAAGGATTGGAACGATCCAAGTTTTCACCATAGTTACCACTATTAACATCTAAGATTACGTAGATACCTGCATTATTTAAAATAGTCATACATTTATCATGATTCAAATCAGGATTTAAGGAATAGATTCTTACAGTATTGATACCTAATTGTTGGAAGACATAAGCATCTCTTGCACATTTCTCAGCGTCGGAAAGAACATCGGAATCACCATCTGGATCGTAACCGGAAGAACCACCTGGTTGGTAATCGATACCCTTAACATAGAATACTTCATTTGAAGAAGCATCATTATCAGCAGAACTTGGTTTAATGAAACGGAATTGTTTAACATGGATTGGAAGCATAGCTTGGGCTAGTGGCGACACAGCCAGCAAGGATAGCAAGACACTAGTACTCAATTTCATTTTTGGAATTGTTATTTCTTTGCCAGTAATCTATTAGATTGGTCTAATAATAGTAACTACTAACAAAAGAAAATCAAAAAAAAAAAATTATATGCAGCAAGTTAGAAAAAGAATATATTCTATTAATTAATAGTCGATCAATATATCAAACAAACAAACATAAAGCTAATTTATATTTCTATATATATATACACATACATATTGAGGTAAACAACAAATTAGGTTCAGGTTCTGTCTCTTCCTTCTTAGTTCAGCTGTTTCATCACGTAAACATTGAAATTTGTTTTGTTTTTGTTTTTTTTTGTTTATTTGAAGAAAAATCTCGCGATTGACTCTTGACGTTCTACGGATATTTCTGAGAGATACCTTCAACATCTCTCACGCTCTCTGCGTAAAACACGAGCACAGAGAATGCAAAAGCAACGAATCGCCTCGAGCAGAAAATTAATGCTTCAAAAGATGGTTTGATGGGATGGGCTCTAACTCGAAGGCATCGTTTGCTTCTGGAGTGAGGAAAGGGCACGTTGGAGGTTCACGAGTCTTGCTTTTGCAGCTTGTGTTTCGTTTCTGTAGAGTTTGTAATTGACGTAGTAACCTTGTTGCAATTCGCGGAGTTCCGGTATCTTGTCCCGGTAGAGTCTCTGTGAAACTGTATTGTTCTCCTGTGCCAGTGGGTTAATGTAGTTGAGTGCATCTTGTAATTGAGCGACCTCCTCTTGTTTCTTGATAATATCAGAGTGTAATGTCTGAGTTGAGACATTTGTAGGGAGGATTGTTTTGTTTCCTATTGAGTTTTTAGTTATAACTTGTTGTAAAGAATCATGTAATTTGTTGTATATGCCAGCAATTTGATCTGTACATTTGTAAGTTGTAGTTGTGAGTAAGTTTGAAACTAGCTCATTATAAGTTTCATCATATTCTGAGGTTGGATTTTCAATGAATTCAGGGGTGGGTAACACACGGATATTGAGACTGTCTAATTTTAGATCTACAGATTTTGGTACTGCCATTATCATACTATCTCTTGACACAGCATCATCTTTAGGTTGTGCTGAAATATCTTCTTCGTCATCTGATACGTCTAATATAAGTTCATAATCGTTTTTAGGGGTGGGTAACGATTGTAATAATTCATGTAATCGTCTTTGTTTTAATTCTGTTTTAGATATATCAATTTCTGATTTAGTGCCCTGTAAAGAAACAATTGAGCTAGATCTGGACCCAGGATGCTTACTCTTGTCATTTAATACAGCTCCTACATTCCTCGAGTTGAGCAATTCACGTCTAGAAACTATCAAACTGTCCTCTCCGTTCGCGGATAGCGATGGAGATAATTCTGCATGTCCAGGTTTCGATAGATTTAACTTGTCCTTACCATCTCTAAATTGATGAACATTATCATCCTTATTTTTCTTTTGAAGTTTTTTCTTCTGTTGTGGTTCTTCTTCTTTATTTTCTTTCTTACGTTTATGGCCTTTCTCTCTATCATCTCTGTCGACTCTTTCATGTAAACCTTTCCTTTGCACAGATTGTTCATATTTCTTTAAATCTATTATCGAACGTTTATCTTCTTGTGTAGTATCATATAGTCCAGCTAATGGTACTTGTTCATATGGGATATCCGCATTATAATCAATTTCATCTGCATATTTTTTTTTCAATTTTTTTGGTGCAAGTTTTACACCAGCTTGCTTCAATTCACGTCTCTTTTGTAATTCTGCTATTCTCTTTGATTCTTCTAACATTCTTTCACGAATCCGTCTTGTACCTTTCTTACCTTGTGTATTTAATAACCTCGCACGAGCCTCTGCTAACATCTCTCTCTCATCATCTTCTAATTCATCCTTATCTGGTTTTGCTATTTGTGTATCTGCATGTGGATTCAAATCACCTACTTTGAAATCTGCAGATGTGCTGAGCCTTAAATCATCGTGATCGTTAGTTTCATTAGTAATTGTAATATCGGATAGTAATATATTATATCGTTCAATACATATTTGAGCTGTTCTTCCCATCATATCAGATATAGTTCTCCATTGATTAGGTAATTTTCTGGCCAATGTTAATAATTTCACATCTTCTTCCTTTGTAAAACCATTAAAGTTTAATTGTGGATTCAAAAATTCATTCCAACGAATTTCACATTGTCTTGCTGATTTCTTATGTAATAAAGACGCAATTTTACTCCATTGATGAGTACCATATTTTTGAATAGCTGCTTTTAGGATTTGATCCTCAATGTTAGTCCAAACACCACCTTTCACGTATAATGGAGTTGGAGCCATCTTTATCTGTTAACCAACTTTCTCTCCTTTTATTTTTTTGGATAATTCACACTTTCTAATACTAAAAAAGAGCTAAATAGATATATTTATGTTATACCAGTCAAACGTTCTAACAACGAACAAAGTCGATGAGTTTATTATCCAGATACCTTTGTTTTCTGCTCTGTCAGTTAAGAGAGATGAGACTGTTCCCTGCATCAACCATCGCAAATTGAATATTTTTTAAGCTGCGCAATTGAATTTTCCACTTTTTAGGATTGTATGTATATTTTTTTCGGTTCAGAGTAAAGCGACATTTTTTTTTTTCATTTCCTTTAAAGAGAAGTTGTTTAAGTATTGTTTAAAGATTTTGTTATTAAATTGGTTTTAGGGATTTGTAAGGTACCTAACCTTCAGAGGTGGAATTCCAAAGCTAATTAAATATTATTGCAATTTTGTCATTGGGTAATTTTACAAGAGTCTAGGTATTGATTTTTCGCATAATTGTCACGTACCTTTTAAGTCATGATGATGCGTATGATATTCACTCCGAAACACCAAAGATTGGTGAATCAATGTTATCCTACAGGTAGAACAACCGATAAGAAACCTAAATCATCGGAGACTTCTTATTTATTGTATTACGTCAACTCGAGACGTAGTAAACTGGAGAAAGTCAGTAGTTATTTAAAAAAGAGAACCTCTAGTGACCTCGGTAGTAGAAGGCGAGCAGGTAATGTCTCTGTTACTTTGGAATTAATGGATAAAATTGTGAAGAATTGTAAAGAAAATTTGAATGTTTTCATTAAGGATTTTTTCACAATTATGAATAATGTTATGTCTAGTGGTTCTGTGAATAACGATGTAGCTATTGTGGAATTAGTGGATCAAGTATTTTATAGTATATGTTCTAATATTGATGGTACTTTATATAATAGTGATACAGATTTTAACCACTATTTTTCAAGTTTTGTAGATCAATTCTTAAAAGTTATTAAAACTATTTTGAAGAATGATGATTTATTATTAAATTGGTGTGTTGATATCTCTCAAATTTCACAACTGTCAAGTAATCCAAAATTAAATCATTATATCTCTGAAGCTGTAAACTTATCCTTAGTGAAGTTTCAAGAGCGTCATTCAAGATATAGTAAACCAAATATATTGGATGACACATATAATGATAATGAACAATTGTTATCTAAAAGATTAACACGAACCCAGACACGTATGATTGGTCTTGACAACGTTAAAGGTACTGAATTTGATTCTGATACATCAATTAAAGCATTACAACAATTTTTCAATACTACTGAGACTGAAAAATTGAATATCTCATTAAGAGTCCTGTTGACACGTCTACAAGAAACTCCGAACAAAGAATTTTTGGAATTTATTTGTAATGGTGTTCAAGTACAATTGAGATATATCGTTATTATTTTAATAATGAGACAATTGACAATTGAAGAGAAAAAAGTAGATCCAGTGATTTGTTTAAGGTTGATGTCATCATTACTGACATCTGATGTCAGTATCGTTGGTTTAAGTATTTTGGATATTATTAGGAAAATAATTGAATATCAATTAAAACATTTGAGTAATAAAAGAATTGTCGATCAATGTAGATTTACTCTAAGAGATGTCGAATTTAAGACATATTACAAAGGGCAAACTACCGATGTATTATACGATATTGTTGGTAGAATAAATTCTATCACTCATGATAGTGCATTAGATAATGAACAGTCTGGACTTTCGACACAACAACTCAAGAAATCGATTTTGATAGATGATCTTCTTGAAGTGACATCATTTAAGAAGGATAAGTGTATGTCTATAGAACTTTACGTGGAATTGATACCATATTTTAATAAGAATCTATTAGGCCTGTTTGAATTGATTGATAATCAAATCCCTGGGGCCTATATATTCAATAGACTGTTTCAAACAATTGAAACTCAAGGAGATATTGAATTAGAGAAAGAGTTGATGGAAGCTATCTTTAACAAATATAAAAAATATGCTTTATTTGCAGGTTTAAAATATTTCTATGAGGAAACTACCGAAATTCCTAGCTACATATATTATTGTTATCATTCTAATGCGGCTAAATTTATTGGGCTTCATGATTATGCTACTCAAGCAGATTATAAGTATGAAAACAAAACACTCTTTTCAAAAGAAGATTTATTAAATTTTTACTCTGATGAAGGATCTAATCCATATAGTCAGAGAGGTACTCAAATTTTACTATCCAAATCTGCAATGGGCTCAGTCACTGACCTAACAGCTGATCACCAAGTTAAGCAATCAATGATCGATACCCCAGAAAAGTCACTAGTTGCACTCACCAGTAGTCAAGCTGAAAAATTGGAAGTACTTAAACAAAGAACGGATAAATCCAGAAATGGTACGATTGGAACTAATAATGGTCTTTATCAAAATCGTAATAATATATATAGACATGTTTCTGATGATACAAGATCTTTGAAATCCTTAGGACGGAAGACCCCAAATATCAAACAATTAAAGAAGGCAGTTAAGAATGCACCACAGAACGAGAAAAACATGTTCAATCAAACCGTCACGCTTCCTTTAAGAGGATCTCAATCTGTCAAATCGAGGGTAACAAATATCACATTCTTATTAAATGAATTGAAAAGTATAGATACAGGTAGTGAAATGAATAGAATACGCGACCCTGACGAGGAGGATATTGTTGGTCTTGGTAAGATCGATATGGCAAGGTCGCAGTCCTCAAGATTGAGTCGTCATGGAAGTACCACAAGTAATGAAAATAGAAGATCTTTTATGATGAAAAGAATGTTGAATAATAGCAATAAGGGGATAGCAGAAACTTTAGAATCTTCAGAGACGGATGATTTTCAGGATGCTCACGAAGAAGTTAATATTATGGACACCAGAGGTATGTTGTTCAACACAGCATAGTCTATCATCGGTATTCGAATTATCGTAATTTTCTCGAACTCTCATTTTAATGACTCTAATGCATAATTTATTTATTTCTATTTTTTTATTACTCAACTTTTGCATAAAATATATAGATATATTACTAAATTGATAAATAGTTAATTATAAAAATAATCAAATTTTAAAATTTGTTCTGTATTTTCTAAAGATCATCACCAGAATCTTCATCTGAATACCAACCATACTCATATGCACTTATCAAGGTTCCTATAACCTCTTTTAATTCCTCTCTGTTGTCATCATATCTGAAAACCTTTTGAACATAATCGTTCCAATGCTTAAATACATCTCTAGCTTTCTCAGAACTTGACAATTTGACAGAATATTCGGGGGATGTTCTGAACTCCTCTGGGATCGTATCTGAAGGTTGGAAAACAGTAGTCTCGAGATTTCTGAAATACTCTTTATTTTTTAAGTTGATATTCTTTTTAATGTCTTCTGTATATTGGGAGCCTCTGTGGATCACGCAGTTTGAAAATTCATAATAGTCTGTTGGTTTTTTAATTTTTCTACCATAGGGTACAACTCTGGATATGTAACTGTAGTCATAGTTGGAATCTACCTCTGACATCGATGTAATTAAATTCCTTTTAGATTCCCCATCGGTTATACAATTTGTAATATAGTCCATAGATTTTCTCTTATTCGTATCTCTGTGACTTAATACTGAATTAACAGCATCGTACAGTCTACAAGTCTGGCCAGCAACTTCCCAATTAGAAAGTTTAGAGTCTGAATATACTGGGAAGAAAAGATCAGAATGATCCATCATTGACAAAGTGTTTTGAATGATATTCTTCATTTGATATTTATTATCTATATTTGGTTTCGAGTTTGTAAGAATATCAGATTCGAAGAATCCCCATGAGAATATGCTACATTTCGGAATTTCGTCCTTAAGTTCTTGTAATAATGATGACGAAAATCCACCCCATGCTGAACCTATATCTGCTACTAAATTGAAACCTTGAAGAGAATCACAACTTTCCAGTACAGTTCTAAGATTTTCATCTAAGAAGTCATCTTGTTGTAATTTCCATTCCATAATACCTTGATCATTGTTAACAAATCTTTGTCTTTTCAAGTCCTTGTAATCAGGTAAATTTGGCGATTCTGGGTCATGATACCAATCATTCAAAGAATTGAATGTATAAGGTTGATATATTAATTTATTATAGTCAGACCAATATCTAGTATTTTCTTTGGTTAGCTCTGGAAATACTTCGTTCCTATCCAAGGCATCTTGATATTTGGATCTCTCAATCTTTTTATGGGTGGTTATTAACTCATGAGAAGACTCACTATTTGAAGCTTCATTTTTATCATCTTTAAAATGATAATCTTGGGTGTCTTGTGCATATTGGTAGGTACCAAGTGAACCGTTTCCATTCTTTGCCTCCCAAACTAGTAGTCTTGGATAATATGACGCAGTCTTAGTCCTTCTATCAATCAAAGGGTTTAAAAATACAGAAGAATCTAATGAATTATTTGGGTCGTTGTTGTAAAGGTTTTGTTCTTGACAATTATAAAATTGTGTGCTTAAATGATTGGCTCTATGAGAGACCGATATTGTGACTATCTCCTGCATGATTTCAATTACAATGGTTTAAAGTGGTTGTTATCGTTATATATTGGTGAACATATGACAGTGCTAAATGAATATGTCGCAGTTAGATTTGTCAAGAATATGAATTTAGATGTCTTGAAGATCTAAACCTTCTAAACAATAGAATGCTTAAAAGTGAAAATATTCTTTGAAGTCATCGCTTACAGAAAATGAAAATGAAATTGTTAGCAAAATATTTTACTTAGCTTCGGAAATGTATAAATTATTACAAAATATGAATATATATATATATATGAAAGATTAGTTTTTGTATCTCTTTGGTTTGAATCAGATTTTTGGTTGTTCAATCGTAGTTTTCACATTAATGACTTTTTCATGAGGTAATTGGACCTCTGATATATCAGGCCTGTACCCTTTGCATGTGATTTCGTTATGGAATGTATCGAAAAATCTACAAACGGGCTCGGGGAACCAACGAGAACCATTTATACCTTTAAACCAGGCCAAATGCCCACCAATGTTTGTTTCAATAAGCATAGTGAATGGATTAGCCATTATATACTTTTCTGGTAAATTATCACCACCAGCAATTGGATCGTCCATGGCATTGAGACCAATCAGTGGTACACGTACACCTGCTAATCTTTTAAATGATGATGCATCTCCGTAATAATCTTTACTGTCTTTATAATTAAACATGGGTCCAGTGAATACATCATCGAATCCACTAGCAGTTTTAACTAAATCAATATGTTTCTCATATATTTCTTGGAATCCCGGCTTTTCATATAATGTAATTGCATGTCTTTTCACTAAGTTTACAACATTTCTAGTTAATGCTGGAGAGTATAAATTGGAACCCATCCTTGAAGAATTTAAGTAATAATCTGAACGAAGCATATCCCACGGATTACCAAATACCATTGCACATTTAACATGATTAGAAATCTTATTATTTTGTTCACCAATATAATTAGTTAATATAGAGGCCCCTAATGAAAACCCAATCATGTAGAAAGATCTGTTTGGATACATATTGAATAATTGATTCATAACAAATGATATATCGTTAGTCCAACCACCATTGTACAATTGTGGTGTTGTTATTTGCGATTGACAACAACCACGTGAATTTAAAACACATGCTTCGAAACCATAATCTTCTGTAAGACGTGACACTATACTTCTAACATAACTCTCATGAGAACCACCAGTAAGACCATGTAATGCAACTAGCATCGGTTTATTATCATCTGACTTTAATAAAGGTTCATCCTTTGTACCATAACTATAATGGACATCTAACGGTGGCTGGAATGGTAACTGTGTAATAGGTACGTACGATGACGGTTTATGTTCAGGCACCACTATATCGAGTGCACCTTCACCACCATCAGGATATTGAACCATGAATCTTCTGTAATTTACTTCATCTATATCTTCGAACTTCTTAACTGTTGTGAAACATGTCTGTAAATGACCATTAAATAACACTGTTGATAAATAATCATTAGCGCCTGTCTTAAACTCTGGAATGTTTGTATTTATAAAATTTGTAAAATCAATAATTTTGCCCTCTTCGTTTTTAAATTGCAAATGATGATCTGAAGAAACTTGTTTTACGGTAAGTTGATTTTGCCAATATTCGCTAAATGTCATCTTATTAATGTATTTTTCTTACCAAGAGTCTTTAACTCGATAGGAAGTACCCTTTTTTTCTTTTCTTTACTTCAAGTTAAGTATTATATCTTCAATATGATCAACTAATCCTTTTTTGCTTTACATTTTTTCTTTTTTTTTGAGACTTTTCAATTTACTTATACTATTAAATTTGATCTCGAGATTGCAAACATGACATAAAACAATTCTACGATGTTTTTTGAAGACTTTAAATAAGATAGAAATTCTCACCTGGTGGATATTATGGACCGATCTGTAGTAATTGTCTGTGTAACGGTTTTAATGTCCTACTTGTTACGTTCCAAATGGTTTAAAAATTTGATCCTTAATTATGAAAACCTTACTCACACCTCATCACCAATCAATATCAATACGCCCGGTTTTAAATTAACTACTCATGTCCCCAAACAGTTTCAAAACGGGGGTAGTTCAAACCTAGTGACATTCAAAGATACCATAGCGTCGTTATTAAGTTATAGATCTTACGAATCCAATCATAATGATCGATTGATGAGTCGATTACAAAGTTTATCTCAGGATAGAATCAACACATTAACTGAAATTGGTTATACAAGTAAGATAGCACAAGTACAAAATAGTATCAGTAGTAATGCTATTGTTGCTGAAAATATTGTCAACCATGCAATGAATCAGATCGATTTACAAAAGGGTGGATTCCCACAGGAGATAGACTCTCTAAGACGACAAACCATAACGGCAACACTTCCTTCAAAAGGAAGCCAGGTGCATCGAGTCAGTGAAGCATTATCTCATCTTTGTAGAGATTACAATTCGGAGTTCAATGAAAGAGAGATTCAACCTTTACTGAATTATATTACACGAATCATTGATACTATCCCACATGATAACTCTACGCTGATAGTCGTACCAGGTGCAGGTGCAGGTTATATACCGTACACATTATCCGAAAAATATCCCAAATGTGTTGTAGATAGTATCGAATTGAGCGGATTAATGTATATGTGCCAAGACTATACGTTGAATAATGAACATTCCATGACATCAATCACACTAAGACCATTTGCACAATATTATAGTGGTCAATTGAATAAAGATTTACAAAATAAAGAAATAAAACTTGATTTATTACCATCTAAGAAACCAAACAATTTAACTCATCTCTGGGGTGATTTTCTTGAATATGAACCTCGTTCAAATTCATTCGATGAAATTATTGTAGTTACCGCATATTTCATCGATACTTCAGCTAATATGTTTGAATATATGGACAAAATTCAAAATATGACAAAATATTTAAAATCTTCCTCAGCGAAAGGAATACATTGGATCAATGTTGGTCCTTTAAAATATGGCACACAACCTATTGTTCAATTGACAGTTGATGAAATCTCCAAATATATTGATTTACAAGGTTGGAAACAGGATCAAGTCGAAATCGAATTGAATGGTAGTGGATATTTAACCAATGCAGACTCTTTATATCAAGGCCACTACGGTTTATATAAATTTCATACAATAGTTACGTAAAGACAAAAAAATAATAGATAGATATATCACTTGCGCAGATACCGACTATAGCCATGGTGTTAAAACGTATAAATTAATTTGCTATTGACAGTATGAGGTACGCTCATGACACCTAAAGGCAAATAGAAGGCAAAATTATAAATAATTTTGTCTCAATTTACTAAAAGGGTGTTATTCTAGCTCTTCTTTTCCCCTCTGATCGTCCACCTGTAACACGGACTACACAGTGAATAGAAGGCATTATATGTATCACCCTTTTTAAAACAAACAATCAAAAAAGAAGAAGAAAGAGAATTTACAATAAGAGACATTAAATAAAACAGAAATTAAGAATGACTTAATTAAAAGTTCAAATTTGGTTTCTTTTATATAACAATGGAAATTTAAATGGAAAAAATGCTAATGATGATACTATACAATGACAATTTCGCAAAGTCTGTAAAAAAGCGAAGCGCAGCGAAAAGAGCAAAAAAAAACCTGCGTAAGAGGGTAACTCCATTAACATTTTTGCACTTAGGGCATTTTCGTTGTTGTCTCCCTACAGGAGATACATCTAAAATAATACACATTTAAAGAATCCACGGTAAGTCTGCTGGTCCTCCAGGTAGTAGGATATTATCAACTTGTTCCATTGATATTTTAGGGCCCGGAACATCAAACAGTTCTATAATTTGTTGTTTTCTTGTTGGTGTCAATTGATCTAGTTCTAATAACGAACAACCAAATCCACCTAATGCAGTTTCAAAAGTTTGATAATTAAATTTTTCTTGTAAAGTATTTCTAAATTGTTCCACATCTATCGTAGTCGCTGAATTATTTAAAAAGGTTAAAGCACAACCTCCACCACCTGCACCTGTCAATTTAGTTTCACCGATTTTTAAATCTGTTGTAAGATTTCTAATGACTTCCAGACCCGGATGGCTTACCCCTAAGGAAACCAATTGACCATGATTAATACGTACCAATTGCAAAACCTCTTCCAATTGGCCATTCTCTAACGCTGTTGACCCTTTAAGGGCCACTGTGGCCATACTATCCAGTAAAGGTTCGATAATTGTTGGCATGGTATTATATAATTCACGCACCCCTTCGACCAAAACTTTAGTTGATCTTGGAATCTTTGTATATGTTAAAACTGCCACTATGGGTTTAATCGGATGTAATTCTTTGGGGCCCATCGGATCCCCTTTAGTAAATTGTAAAGCACCACCAAATGTTGCAATTGTATTATCTATACCCGATGGAGTACCATGCATACAAGTTTCTCCAATAAATGCCCATTGATTGATCAATGATTTATCCTGTAGAGTCACTGAATTCAGTTTCAAAAAGGCCTGAGCCAATGCAACAGAGATCGAAGCACTAGACCCTAGCCCTGCACCAACAGGTAAAGTTGAAATTAAACTAAATTGTAACGGAGTTCTCTTGTCCCGGGGAACAATGCTTAGATATAGATAAAGAAAACATTGAGCTGCACTTCTTTGTAACGGGTTATTTATCTCAGATAATAGTTGTGTGTCTATAATATTTAATAAACTGTTAGATAATTGTACAGTGTCTGTATCCTTCTGCAAATCGTGTGAATCAATAATGCTTAATAATTGGTTCATTGACCAATTAAAAGTAAATTGTAAATTTGGACAATTCAATTGTAATACTGGTTCATCATCATCAATAGATTCCATTGGTTTCACAAGAAGATACGATCTCAAAGAAGATGCAGCTGCCGCCACTGCTGGCTTGTTATACACAGCCGAATGCTCCCCAAATATAATAACTTTCCCTGGAGCTGATGTAATAAACATTGTGAACACTATTCTCTGGCTACCCTTTTTTGTAAGAACAAAACAAATACGTGAATGACAAAAACAAAAACACCAGACTTGCTCAATTGCAAACGACTTGTCAACGATATATACCTCTCTCTCTCTCTATATATATATGTATATATATATATATATGATTCAGTGATGTGTGTCATCTCGATATACGAGATGGCCTTCGAGGGAGCAAAAGGCAAGGTTCCGTTGATTACCGGCTCCCTCTTTCTCCCTCATGCCAGGCGCTGCACATAGAGAGGACATAGCGGGTCTAAAACAGCATTTTCATTTTCGCATTCGCCTTGCGCTTTCTCTCTTCGTATAATAAATAAACCGCAAACTTCTTTTGCCTCTCGGTATAAGTTGGGTGTTACCCTACTCTCTTGCAAAATTTCAAAATGCAGAACAAACGGGAACGACAACATCACTCTGCACGGCGCAGCGCTGTTCCCGCTCGTTGCTGATTGGTTCGCAACAAAAACAACACTGCGAACGGTAACAATGCGCGCACAGCGCACCACGCGGCGTCTCCCCTCCTTCCGCCCCCCGAGAAAGCGAAGCTGTTTGTGCGTTCCGCGGTCGGACCGTTCGCAGTGCCCTCCGCGAGACGAAAAAGAATTCCGCACGCGGCTCAAAAGACGAAAAATATCGAAAGTGAATTTCACGGGGTGCGAGAACAGACAGCGAATCGTGGCAAATATCGCGTTTATACACTGTGCGTGCAATGAGAACAGTTCGGGGATATATCTGTATATTATTGATAGAGTGCGTTCGCTAACATTAAATGACGATACTTTTTATATTATATAACAAGTTGAGTCACATCCTTATATTGAAGTATATATATATATATATACACACACACTGGAAAGGGTAGTATTTGGCATTTTTTACAGCGAAATATTTTGAAACTGAGGTGTGGGACAGTATCGATACATTACACATACGTATAGTGAAAATTAGTGAACGGACAGAATGCCGAAATTATTGTCGGGAAGTTTATTCCATCATTCAAGTCATGATCATGTCTCGAGTACCATTACAGCATCATCTTTACAACATAGTGTGGGTGATGAGGATACAATTCAACCGGTAACTGAAAATTCTCCACCTGCATTAAAATCAACAAGATCTTTTTTAGGGTTTATTGGTAAAAATAATAGCAATAAATCAACAGATTCGTTAAAGAGTCAAGATCAATCACATGTTAATAATATAAGTAACCATAATCATAAGCATAATGATGATATCATTACCCCAAAACCTTCAAATTCAATGTTAGAACTGAAAAGGTTCTTTAGACCTCCTATACATAAGAAACCACAAAGTATTCATCCACATCCACCAATTCAACATACTAGCAACAATGTTCCAACATCAAGACAACCAAATAAATTGTCTTCAACGATGAAAGATACTTTAAATAACAATAAGAAAATTAGATCTTCTTCACCTGGTGGAGACCCCGGTCATACACAATCTGCAATTCCACCAAGTACAGATTCTGGTTTATCATTAGCAAATAATATTAATATTTATCATGATGATACAATTTTAGCTCAAAAATATGGGAAATTAGGTAAGACACTTGGTACAGGGGCAGGTGGATCTGTTAAAATTTTGGTGCGACCTTCAGATAATGCAATTTTTGCAGTTAAAGAATTTAGACCAAGAAAGACAAGTGAATCCATTAAAGAATACGCAAAGAAATGTACAGCAGAATTTCTTGTTGGATCATCATTACATCATTCAAACGTTGTTCAAACAATGGACGTATTTAGTGATTCAAAACAAAATAAATATTTTGAAGTTATGGAATACTTACCTGTTGATTTTTTCGCTGTAGTAATGACAGGTAAAATGTCTCGTGGTGAAATTAATTGTTGTTTCAAACAAATTTGTCATGGTGTTAAATATTTACATTCAATGGGTTTAGCTCATAGAGATTTAAAATTAGATAATTGTTGTATGAATGAATTCGGTATTTTAAAATTAATCGATTTTGGTTCTGCTGTTATCTTTAGATATCCTTTTGAAAATAAAATTATTAAATGTCATGGTATTGTGGGTAGTGATCCTTATTTGGCTCCGGAAGTATTAAACCATTCAATTAAATATGATCCACAATTTGTCGATATTTGGTCCATCGGTATAATATTTTGTTGTATGATGTTAAAACGTTTCCCATGGAAAGTTCCAAAGGATTCTGATGATAATTATAGATTATATAGACTTAAAGATAATATCGAGCATGATTATATTCAATCTGCTAAACATCATGAAGAATTATTAAAACAAAGAAAAGAAATTAAAAATCAACAAAATGGTATTGCACCAACATCCTCCTCATCTAAACCAAATGATAACGATGAATCCGAAAAACCAAAGGACAAAAAAAGTGACGACGATAACGATAATGAATCTTCACCCGCTGATAATGATCCTTCACCTAAGATAGAGAAATTGCAAATAGATGATACTATTCACAATGATAAAAAAAAATCAGATGGTTCACATCATAAGAAGACTATACAAGGACCATATCGTTTGTTAAGATTACTCCCACATGCATCCCGTCCTATAATCTCTAAGATCCTGTTAATAGACCCTCAAGCAAGAGCTACATTCAAAGATATTTATGACGATGAATGGTTCGATTCAATCCCAACGTGTACAATGGACATCGATAAAAAGACAGTGCAAAGAGCTCAGGGACATCATCATACTTTGGTACGTGAAGAGGACAATAAAGTACTTACTTATAAAGTATAGTAATATCCACCCTTGACCATTATATTTATTTTATTCATACACATATATACACACATATACTAAAACTCCCATACATCTTTTATATATTCTTTTAATTTCATGATGATATATGGTTACCCCCCTCGCATCTTCTCTATTTTCCTATTTCTTAAAGCGAGAAACAGCGACACACTTTGCAAAGAGAATTATTTTTGGGTGGCGAAACGAATATCGTTATATGTATATATATACGTGGGGGGGGGGTCCATACAACAATACAACTGCAAATTGATTTAAAGCACCCGAAGAAGTAGTTATTGCAACGCATATATTGAATAGCTAAAGATATCATGGCCTCTCTAACTGCATTACCTCATGACCAAGTCACAATTGCTCCGTTAGTGCTGTTGTCCGTATTGGACCATTACAAACGTACCGAGACCCCTGAAGGGAAACGTGTTGTTGGTGTTATCTTAGGTGATGCCACAACCTCTACTGTGAAAGTGACCAATTCTTTTGCTCTACCCTTCGAAGAAGATGATAAGAATGCCGACGTTTGGTTTCTTGATCAAAATTATATTGAAAACATGAATGAAATGTGTAAGAAGATTAACGCTAAGGAAAAATTGATTGGTTGGTATCATAGTGGACCAAAACTTAGAGCATCAGATTTAAAGATTAATGAATTATTTAAGAAATACACAGGACCAAATAGAACTCCACTATTATTAATTGTCGATGTACAACAAACTGGTGTAGGTTTACCTACTGATGCATATATATCTGTGGATCAAGTTAAAGATGATGGTACCTCTACAGAAAGAACGTTTTTACATTTACCATGTAGCGTTGAAGCAGAAGAAGCAGAAGAGATTGGTGTCGAACATCTATTGAGAGATGTGCGAGACCAAGCTGCTGGTGGTTTATCTATTAGATTAACTAATCAATTGAAATCATTAAAGGGTTTACAAAAGAAATTGGGAGATATTACTGTATATTTGAATAAAGTTATAAACAAAGAATTACCTGTGAATCATATTATTTTAGGTAAATTACAAGATGTCTTTAATCTTTTACCAAATTTAGGACAACCAAATGAAGATGAAATGGATTTGAAAAGACCCGATTTAGTATCTTCTTCGAATACATTACAAAAAGCATTAACTGTAAAGACTAATGACGAATTGATGATCGTATATATTAGTAATTTGGTTAGAGCCATTATTGCCTTCGATGATTTAATTGAAAATAAAATACAAAGTAAGAAATTACAAGAGAAATTACAAAAGGATGCTGAAAAGACTACAACAGATGAGACAGAAGAGGATAAATCGACAAAGGAAAATAGTGAGACGACGAACTCATCCACATCAGAAAAGAAGAAGTCAACCTAATAAAAATGTATATTAGTTTCTTATTCACTTCATTTACATATATACATACAACAAACATGCAAACATAGATATATCATTACATACATATATATATGCTTTGCAATACAAACATACACAACCTATTATACTAACCTCGATCAACAACAGTAACCTATACAACCACCCCATTCGATGTAATTGTAGCTTTCATGTTATTGTTGTTGTCATTGTAAATATTGACCTCGGCGATATTTTGAATTTTTCATCAAAATTTAAAAAAAAATATAGGAAAGAAGGGCGTTCACGTTTTATATGTGATTAATAAACTGTAAGGGACCTCGAAACACGGAGTCATTGCATATATATACATATATACATATAACTAGCTCTAGGATCTAGGTTATATCAGCAATTCTTAATTTAATACATTAGCCAAATTCAATAAAAATATTGTTTTTCTCCATTTCCTTGTCCCTGTGCAGTCTGTACTCTACTCGTTATCCTCCAATACAAACCACGTTGATATAAGGGACCTTTTGAAATAACCTCGAATACATGATATCGACCCATTTGCTGTGTGGTTCAGCTACACCAATGATGAGGCATCCTGTATGTCTGAGAACTACCCATTATGGACTATATTTTTTAAAGAGAGGTATATCCACATCTGTCATCAAAAGGAATAATGCACATATTAATACAGCTCCAGTTGAATTTCAGTCTAATAGATCTATTAGAAATACCTTCCTAAATAAAGAGAAGGCCCTTGAAATGGCTATTCGTTGTACCGATGATATTACTGATCCTAAGGAGAGCGGGATTAATAAAACAGTTGCAGTTAATGCAAGTTTACCATTTGAAGTGAAACCCCTTGATGCCTCAGCTCGCAGATTACGAAGAAAAAAAAGTAGAGAAGCCCAACCAGTGACATTTAATTCGATAAAGAAACAGGTGATTGATCCTTATGTGCAATTGACAAAACCACGATTGACTATTTTAGTAATGTTAAGTGCTATTTGTTCGTATGCTTTATCACCAAACGCAGCATCAGTATCACAATTACTCAGTTTGACTGTTGGGACTACTTTATGTTCAGGAGCTGCTAATGCTATTAATATGGGGAGAGAGCCAGAATTTGATCGTCAAATGACGAGAACACAGACAAGACCTGTGGTTACTGGGCTGGTTACTTCAAAGCAAGCCTTTGAATTTGCATCAATAATTGGATCCATTGGTGTGTCTACTTTATACCTCGGAGTTAATCCAGTAGTTGCTGCTTTAGGTGCAGCTAATATCGGTTTGTATGCATGGACATATACTTCTTTAAAGAGAAAGCACATTATAAATACTTGGATTGGTGCCATTGTTGGTGCTATTCCACCTTTGATGGGTTGGGCAGCAGCAAGCTCTCTAACTGATCCAGGTGCATGGTGTCTAGCAGGACTATTATACGCATGGCAATTCCCCCATTTCAATGCCTTGAGTCATAACATTAGAAATGAATATAAGAATGCTGGTTACGTTATGACTGCATGGAAGAATCCTAGATTAAATGCTAGAGTGGCACTTAGATACTCCTTATTAATGTTTCCTATATGTATTGGTCTAGCATATTTTGGAGTTACTGACCCATTCTACGCCATTGATTCATCTATTGCAAATGTTTGGTTGACATATTGGGCGTTCAAATTTTACTGGCAACAAAGAAAAAATTATACTAGAGCAGTTTTGGATAATAAAGAATTGTTTAACAAAGGTATGCACCAATCAAATATTTTTGCAAGGAAGACTATGTTGACTAGTGTCATGCAGTTACCAGCTGTGTTACTGCTTGCGATATTCCACAAGAAGGATCGTTGGAAGTGGTTATTTGATAAAGATACAAAATTGAAACCCGTATAATAAAATGGCAGGAGCGATATGGCTCTCGATACAAGGTAATTGACAACATAGAAAGCATTAACAGTATTTAGATGCCTACATATAAATATATAAATACATTATGTAAATAGAATATTATTAATTATTTATTCCAATATATTATTTAACTTAAAAAGAAAAGTAAATCAGAATTTCTAAGGATTAAAAAATAGAATATTTTAATTTTGATTACGAGATATGTACATTTTTATATACTTGATAAATATATATATTTCTTTCATATAAATGTGAAATTTACAATGGTTGTTTCCCTGGTTTTATGAGTTGTAATTTATATACATGGTTAAATTCGTTCGATGTCTTAGTATACAAAAAATGTAATACTAGACTGTTTTATTCATTGCGATGTGGTGCTTTGGGTTTCTTTCTTCTGAAGAAATTGTATTATTTTGTTACCAATCATAACCTTATCTTCTTCCGTTAGTACTTCCTTTGGTCTTTCATTTAACATTTTTTGTTCTTCTAGGTAAGCCTTCTTTGTCTCTGTCAATGGCATTTTTGGTGCAACAAGTTTCCTTATATCTGATGGGGTGATCTTACCTCTTCTATATTTGGAATGTGGATTACGGATAGTACTGAATGCTGCATCTGGAATCGATCCTCTTACAATAGTATCAATCCAGAATGTTTGCTCCCTAGCGACTTCACTGTCAGTAGTCAAGGTACCATCTTCTGTGGGTTCCGGTTTTGGCCATGGAATGATAAGATCTGAATTTCCAAACACACATCTGTATGGCATCATTTTTTTATAATTTTCATCGTAATATTGACCTTTAAAAGTTATATTCTCGACAGCTACAGTTTTCAACTTCCCTGGATTAGCGGTATCTTCAATGTCGGCCACTAATCTAAGATCCTTCTTTTGCATTAAAATGGGCAAATTAACCACATGAGTAGTTTGACCTTCGGCCCAAAAATCTTTAGGTACAGCAACTGATTTAGTTGGTCCATTTTCATCCAGAACAAACCCATTAGTTGCCACATCATGTTTAGTAATATGAACAATATTTCCTCGACATGGACCAGTCATAATAACAACACGATCCCCTGGAAGAAATTGCCAGTCACGAGGGCCCTTGAACCTCTCTGAAACATTTAAAATTGGCAAGTCAGGTTTCAAAAACTCAGGTAATGCCTTTGCTTGCTCCTTTGCCTGATGTCTCACCATCCCACGAGGTGGATGGGTTAATCTATCCATGATACGGCCACCGGCCTTGGAAAGGTGCTTGAAATTAACAGACATCGCACTAGAAAATATACGTTAAATAGTTTACTTTTCGAATTACTATAACTTAAAACTATGAATTAAGGACAGTATGGTTAATGGTATTCTCAGATTCTGTTTCGGTCTCCTTTCATTCAATGTTTCCCTTTTCTCTCTCTGTCTTTAAATTGTTGTTTCAACTAAATTTTTTATTTTCTGTTTGGTTCACCGAATTGACTTTAACTGAAATTTCTTGCACCAAAAGATATTCGCCCAGCGATTTAATCTACAAAGAAAATATATGTATACATTAATAAGTATATATATGTTGTTAGAAATAACAACATATGCTATATATCTGTATTATTACTATCATTATTATTAGTGTCGATGTGTTCCATGTCTTCGTAAAACTCAACCACCTTTTCAGTGTATTCCTTGAAGGTAGGCCATTTAGGTGCTCTGTCTATGTCTTCTCTAGGGTACAGAAAATCAAAGATTAGAATTAGTGAGAACTCTACAATGGCACAAAGTATGTACAAGTGACGAGCCCAGAAACCCTGGTGTGTATATAGTCTTTTAAGCATTACTGTCCAATCTTTGCTTATCTTTTTAGGGCTATTGTAAATAGCATAGTAAACTTTTTCTGTTCTGCGTGCAATATCTGACCATTCGTACATTTGCACTAGTTCCTTATGAAATATTGATGTATCTACCGCACCAGATCTAATAAGTTCTATTCCTTTGTTCGTGGCTTCTATTATACTTGAAACTGCTGTTTTGGCTGCAAAGACAGTCATATGTTCAGGTAATACTTCTGGTACACCACCAACTTTTGTAGTAACAATTAATAAATCACAGGAGGCTGCCTCCACAAGAACCGTCCCAAACGCCTCTGTTAAACTTGCATGTAAATATATATCACCTTTACAAAGTACATCTCTGATATGTTCATGTGGTACGGATCCTAATAAAGTAATTCTTTCTTCAAGACGTTCTGCTTCAACCATTTGTTGAAATTCTATAAATCTTGGACCATCACCGACCATGATGAAGTCTACATCATCGTGCATCTTACAAACTGTAGGAAGTATTTTAACCAATAAATCACAACCTTTATTTGGGAACAATCTAGAGATGCAGACTATAGTAATTCTTCCATTCTGTTTCTTGATGGCTTGTTCTTCGGGTGTAGGCTGTGTAAAATCAGCTGCAACTACAGCATTCGGTATCACTGAATAAATTGATGGATCAAAACCTGTTCTGTACATAATATTTTCTTTGCAGATATTAGAGACACAAATTACTCTATCGACACTTGCTAAAGTGAATTTTAATAACTTGTTTAAAAGAACAGACCCCAGAACATCAAACCCATACAAGGAATGATCTGTAAACACACTCCTTAGGCCCATGGAATTCGCATGTAGAATCGCTTCCTGAGCAATATCAGATGCACTTCCATGGCCATGAACAATCTGAATGTTTTCTCTTATCAATATATTTCTAATCATTGGGAACGTATAAAACACACATGGAAATACAGTTTCTCTGTATAGTACAAACAATGGTATGTGATAAACTTTCAGCCCATTTGATAGATGTCGTACACCTGTTCTATCACCATATTGATGCGTAATAATAATCACATTATGTCCTAGTTTAATTAAATTTTGAGCTAAGTGGTAGATATGAAATTCTATCCCACCCAATTGTGGATAAAAATAATCACACGCCATAGCAATATTAAACCCCATTTTATTTCTGATATATTAGATATTAACGATCTTTCTTTTGTCTTTTCGAGGAAATTGATCCAGTGAATACCAGAGAATGATAAAATAATGTTATTTTTTTGGAATTAAGTTCTAGATTACCGCCAAAGGATCAATCAAGGTTCAGTTACTGTTGCTTTTCAAAGGCAGAGATTCCTCCTTACTTGTAAGTTTTTTATAGTATACCTCTATTAACGTTGATGTTATGGCCTTTAAGTAAGCTTTGTCTCCTTCGCTGTAACCTCTATTGATGATGGCGCTGTACAGCGCGAGCGTGTTTCTTGAAAGAAATGTCAATGTGGATGGATTATAAAAATCATTTCAGAAGAGTTTACAAGCATTTCAAAGTCATTAAGGTAACTATTGCATTGGTGTCAACTGTATATTGTCATTGGAACTACGTTGTTTGAATAGTATCTAGCATTTTTGAAAGAGAATATATCTTTTCCCTTCAATATATAAGTTAAGAAGGCATACAAAATATTTGCCCACTCAAGTTCACACACAATGAGATTAGGACGAAATAAAGGGTATAATCAAGTAGATGCTGATGATACTAATGACCTTGGAAACCCTATATCCAATGAAGAAGAAGATTCAAACCTTATTTCAAGTTCAACGGCCGAAGATGTGTTCAATAACGAACTAGATAATGCCGGAGTAGAAGATGACCTAAATTTTAGCGATAATGAACTACCTATAGAACCTCCATCGTACGATGTGGAGGCCAATGAGAATGGAACTTATTCGACACCTGCAGGCATGGAACAAATGGAAATGGATGATCCTCTGTTTTCTGATGATGAACAGGCATCAGTACCCATCACTGAAAAGATAGGATCATTTTTTGTGTGTGTTAATGATCGTGTGGTGATACCTGTTAGAAGAAATGTTGTGGATCCATTAGCCCAAGGATTAAATGTGTTATCAGTACAACTAGACTTTTATTTAAATAAAGTAGGTAATCCATTGATCCTAAGACGGTTCTTTTATATCATTTTGATGTCAATAATCGCATGGATTATTATGTCAAGTGGGTTTTTACCGAACAAACGTGCTACACATTCAAGAGGTCTCTTTGCAGATTATGATATATTGATAGATTATGCAAGGAAATCATTTGATTTATCCAAATTAGAGAGAGATTTAGAATATATTAGTAGCATGCCTCATATGTCAGGAACAAAAGGTGATTCTGCTGTTAGGCATTACTTGGAAGAATCCTTTAACAACAATGGTTTAAAAATTGTGAAGGAATTGGAATATAGAGTTTATGCTACGTATCCGGGGAATTCGATCTTATCATTTACTAACCCAAAAAGTAATGACGGAAAGAAAGGCATAGAACTTCATGAAGATAATTTTAATCCCATGGCATATAATGCTTCCCTAAACAACATGGATATAATATATGGTTTCAAAGGAAGGGAGATCGATTTACAGCAGTTAAAAGAGAATAATATGTTAGAAAATGAATTTGTGTTATTATTAAAATACGATACCCTTCCAAGTGAACAAATGTTACTTGCACAAAAATATAAAGCTAAGGGAGTTATTTTTATAACTGACAAATTTGATGGAGATGATGGTAATGCTGTTCAGGTTAGGTCGGTCTGTATCCCTCAGATTGTTCCTGGTGATCCGGTGACTCCAGGTTGGTTTGGTAACACTATTGAACCAATCAGTCCCAAAGAATCTAAGGGTTTACCTCAAATTCCTTCAATTCCGCTTTCTTATAATCAAGGTAAACAACTTTTGGATGCTCTATCGATGGAAGGTGTTTCTTTTGAGGATGATATGTTCAGTGGTATTAGAAATGACGTTAAAGTGGACATGACAGTTGATAACGCAGTTAGAGAATCTCATTCGATTACAGATATTATAGGGAAGATTGAAGGTAAGGAACAAACAGACAAAGCTATTATTATTGCCGCAACAAGAAGTGGCGTGTATAACGGCGCTAAATATCCATCGTTTGGCTCTGCCATTTTACTTTCACTACTACAATTGTTTCAAGAAATGAAATATAAGTACGATTGGAAACCTTTGAGAAATATATATTTTATATCTTATGGTGGGTCTGAGTTTAACTACGCGGGAGCTACAGAACTTATTGAGGAAAGGTTGTCAATGTTAAAGGATGAAGTGTATACGTTATTGGATGTTAGCGAATTAGGTATTTGGGACCAAGATAGAAAGATTAATATCGAATCACATCCTGTGTTACACAAATTCTTTGCCAGTAACGAGAATAATATGGGTTTTGAGGTGAATGTGGAGCACGTCCATCATTATGGTGACTGGTTACCATTTTTAGCTAATGGTATACCGGTCTCTATTTTTTCATCACCGAAAGTGAGAGATAGGGAATTCCCGATCGATACCAAATTTGACACATTTGATAAAATTTCAGAATCTTTGAAAGGTACAGATAATGGTGTCCTAGCGACAGATTTATTAATATATTTATTCAAAATGAGTCTGGAGCTAGTCGATACCCCATTATTGCCATTTCATGTTGACGATTACATTACCATTTTGGATAAAGCCTTTAGAGATTTTGATACTAAAACAGGTAATAAATTGAACTTCAATTCAGTTACTAAAGGTTTATTATTATGGAAACGTATTGGTATTGAATGGAGTAATTGGAGGAAAGCATGGGAACAGCTTGTACTTGACCATGAAGAAGGCATTGAACCATCTCTAATATCTGTCCATAGGTGGACATGGAATAAGAAACTTTCCAACATCGGTAGGAGGCAGTGTATTGCATCCGGTTTACCAGGTAGACCATTTTATAAGAATGTCTTATTTTCTCCACCGTTATGGTCAAAGGGGGAGACAGGTTCAGACAGCTGGCTATTCCCAGGTCTAGAGGATGCGCTAAATCTGAACGATTGGAATGGTGCTCAAAGTCACCTTGACGACATCGGTAAAATTATAGAATATTCTGCAACAGTGTTTATTGAAGAAACCAATGATGTTGGATTTTAAGACATCTGCAGATCATATGTGTTTTTTTGAAAAAGACAACAAAAAATCAATTACATAAATGCACAGGCATTTAAATAATTTCATAATAATATTAATACACGAACTACAGTTTAAATTTTATTCTAGTCTTACTAATTCAGATTCCATATTGTACTAACAGAATCTTAACTAATCTCTTATTTAACTACCTCGAGGTCCGCTTTCTTCGGGCAGGCACGCGAGGTCGTTTAAGTTCAACAATTTTCATAATCGAATCATTGACTCCCTGGGGGAGCAGATCTCTTGGTAGTGTCCTCGGTATGCATTTAAGAAACCAAATATAATTTGTATTATCGGTCACTATAATATATTTAATCAGAAATCAGATAACTGCACGATGTCCTTCTTTTCAAACGTACTATTTGGTAGTGTAAAGGAAAGCGATGACCCAACAGGGCTCTCCGGAAATACACCAATGGCTGAAGCCACAAATGAACCGATAGTGGAAGGTGTTTTCTATCCAAGAACTTTATATAGATTCAATGGTCATGACGATGAAAAGATATTTATTGCTGTTTTGGGTAAAGTTTACGATTGCACAGCTGGAAGATCGTTTTACGGACCAAGTGGACCATACTCTAATTTTGCGGGAAGAGATGCCTCTAGAGGTCTAGGTCTAAACTCATTCGACATGGAATGTGTGAGAGATTGGGATCAACCTATTGATGATTTGTCAGATTTGCCACCTCAAGCAGTTGATGCTGCAAGAGAATGGCAGGATTACTTTGCCAAAAAATATCCCTGTATCGGGACTCTTGAGCCTGAAGCCGGTGTTAACTATTAGGTCGTGGAAGATGGGTATCTATAAACTATTTACATCTGAATGGTAAACATATGTGTGATTTTGGTTTCGTAACGCACTCATTTGATCTTATTTATTTTTATATAATACTTCGCTGCTGTTGTTTTTTTGACATATATATATGTGTATTATTGCAGATTTATAAAACTTTGTTATATGTTAATAAAGAATATTATTTGACAGGATATCTTTTAATGTATTCTAGTATAATGTTCAAGTGTTAGTATCGCTTTCTACCAACGATGTAACACCTACGAGAGGTTAAGTTCATGATTTTTTCCGCTTCTGATAATTGTTCAATTGCCTGACACCTGATTTTTCACTGTTGAGTTTCGTAAATTTTTATAGTTTTTAAGAACGATAACATTTGCACCATCGAATTCAAGAACTGTTGGCGTAACAGTATTAGTATTCTTTATATTTGAAACTTTAATTACATTTTTGTCATGAAATATTAATTTAATATCTGCATATTTTTTGGTAGTTCCTTTGATTGATCTTACTGTCTTGATACATTTCAAACTTGGATCATGTTTGGAAAGAATTTTCACTTTATTAGAAGTATATTTTACCCTACTATTATTTAAATATTCTGTCTTGTATTTCTTTCTTGTTATTGTTCTTGTTGTGAAACTGTTTTTCTCTAAGAGTTTTAAATGGGGAGAACGAGAGCAACCTCTTGGGAAAGTTGCAATTAATAATGGTTTAGATTTGGAGGAAGAAGGTAATAAATGGGTAGGAATGTTCATCATGTCTTCTACTCTGATTCCAGAAATCGGTGAAATATCCTGGGAGATATTATAAGGAGCTTGTTTTGTCTTTTTTTTCAATTGATGAAGATTCCATCTTTTCTTTAATCTGTGACAATTGAATATATTTTTAATATATGTGGCAGCTAATATCCAAAAATTCGATTTGGAGACCCTTGGAGGTGGTGGTGCCCTCATTTGATGGTGGTTCCTTTTTAATGCAACACATTTAGGCATAATGAGGTGTTATATAAATAATAATTTTTTATAAAAAGTCGTTAAATATTTGTGACATTTATATATTTTGGTTAAATATTTCTAAATTGACCGAGAAAAAATAATGAAAGTAACAATTAAAAAAACAAAAAATTACCCAGGAAAGTCATTAAACAATAACCCGTTTTCATTCATTACTGGCAACTGATTGGGCTATTCAAATAGTTTTGTTTTCATCTAGGATAGTTGCTGTGAAGTCTTTTAACAAAGGTTACTATTCTACCGTATAATGAAGCACGAACGTTTTCTATAACGCTGTCCTAAAACAAGAAGTCTCTTAATCGTAATATTCTTTTTGTTCTTTTACTTTTTCTTTTTTAAAAAAAATCAAATATGATATAAAGATACACATTTATTTAAATTATATTGGTCATTCTATTGAATGAATGCATCTCTTGGTAAATTTTGAACACTACCTTGGAAGGCTTTTAAAGCGTTGTCATAATTCCATCCACTTTGTTCTGCTAGCATATAAGAGTATTCTGCGTTTAATTTCGTTTGTAAATGCAATTTATTAAGTAGTTCCAATTGAACTGGGTTTAAACGTGCTTGAACATCTGGTGGAAGTTGTAACGTTGGTGCTAGTACTGGAACACCACCTGGTACTAAACCTGGATTTACGTTATTCATTGGTGTAGCTTGAGTTGTTACAGGCACTCCAATCGAAGTAGCGGCAGGAACTGGGGCTACAGGAGCAACAGGAGGTTGAGCTGGTTGTGACCAAGTATTTGAAGTGTATGATCTTACAGTTAATTCATCAGATGCAACCACAAAAGTATTATTCATAGGTACAATGACCCAAATTCTATCGAAGGATTTTTTACAAAGTCTATTATTTGCTGGGGTATGAGAACCATATCTTTTACCTCTCGAGGTTGTCTTATTATTTGGTAATATTTCCGGTTTATCAGTTTCTTCAAAATAACCATGTAAGATGACCATATAACCATTTACTTGAGGGTATGCTATTGTTTGCATGGAATAACCGTTTGGATCATTTAATAATAAATGTTTTGTCTTTGGTAAACTTTTAAAAAGATTATTAATTTGTTCTTGACCAATAGCTAACCTTTGTTCAATTGATTTTTCACTTGACATTTTTGCAATATTACGAGAATGTGATAAATAATAACCAAATGAAGCATTTTGATCTGCATCTTTAATAGTTGAAGATGGTACTGATGTATTTGCAGAGACAGAAAATTGTGATTGTGGAGTATATAGATTTAATAATTGAGATCTATCAGAATCCCAAAAATTTAAAAAATTTGTTACGAAATCTGTTGAGGATTGTCCTAATTGATCATTTTCAAAATAAAATTGTTGTAATTTAATTGGGAAATTAAAAATATTATTAAGTTTAGTTGTATCTCTAACCATTACATTATCAAGGATAGCTAATTTTGGAAATACTCTCAACATTTCACTACGGTAACTATTATTTGATGTAATTGGATTATTTGTCATTAATAATTCTCTTAAATTTTTAAATTTATTTTTCCATGATTCTAATGAATTAAGTCTCATAATTTGATTATTTGCTAAACATAAATTTTTTAAATTTGGGAAAGTTTGTGGTAATGAAGAAACAATATTGATATCTTTTAATTTATTATCTGCTAAATTAACACTTTCAACAATTAATTGTGGTTCCTTTGATGCAACTTTCATCATTGCTGGAAACATTCTTGATTGGGTTGATAAATTATTGAACATTCCTTTTTGTATTAATATTGGATCTTGTGCTAAACCACCTAAATTTAACATTTTACTTTGTGGATCATAACGATTAATAATAAACTGTCTTAAAAATTCAATAGTATTTGAAGTACTTGCTTGACCTTCTAATAATTCAAATTTTAATTTATTTCCAGCAAAATTTGCCCCATTCCATTTTAATATTTGATCAGCTTGTTCTTTTGATTGTACATAACCAATAATTAATGGACCTTCAATTGATGCATTTGTTAAAGTAACTCTTGCGTTTCTACTAATAAAATTTAATAAATCTTGCATAGTAGCATTTTGCCAATTCCTTACACCGATTTTTATACGATTTTGCATATTTTGTTGTTGGGCAACCATCCCTATATTATTAACATTATGAAAATTATTCATCTTTTTTTGGTCTTTGTTTTTGGAAGTGGTACTAATGAAAACAATATAACTGTAAAATCTTGGTAATATAAACCACTGTTACAACACGTTTGTTCTTATCAGGAAAAACCACAGAATTGTAAAATGATATATTTAAAAAGAAACCGTATCCCTAGCACTTTCTAATTAAACGATTTTCTTCTTTGATTGTTGTAAACCTTATATCATTTCATTTAGATGAGTTCCCTCATCTTTGAAATTTCACGCTACAAAATTCAAAAAAAAAATCTTTCAAATATTTTCTTTTGGAATTTTGTTAAATAGGTAACCAAAAAACCCAACCAACCAGCAAAAAAAAGAGAGAGAAAATAGAAAAAGTTGTTCCGCACTGCGCTGAAACGGCAGAGCTTCATAGTGAAAAAAATCAAAAAAACATAAAACTGACTCGCGAGGGAGGGTAATACCTACAAAATAAAACCAACCAAGGAACCATTTGCATTTCATTCTTTCAAAAGAACTTCAACTCTATTGTTCTAGTGAACCAGCATAAACTATCTGATTCATTAGCCTCAACATTTAACCGAAACATAAGACGAATCGCAGATAATACATTAAACTAACCGCTATGAATACTCTTTCCCCATCGTACTATATCACACATGACCTACCCGACTTCATTCAGAAAAACAAACGAACCTCAAACTCACACTTGCACACACCAAACCTTTTAAAACGACACACAGTTCCAGGCCATCGCTGGCTTCTTCCCATCGTTTCTGATGCCTTCATTTACTGGTTTAACTAAAGAGATGTATAGAGATATCCAAATATATTAGCCGCCGAGAACAGCTTCGCTCCTTTTTTTGTCGCTCAGCGGCAAACCACTTTTTTTTGCCACTCGCACCGGTCTGTTGCAGACATCACTGTGAACGACGAGTGTCAACCGGGTAACACAAATATATATAAAGTACAGTATATTTTTCCCGTTCAACGCGAATTTTTCACAAATAGACTGAAAAATTTAATACGTGTTTGCAAAAAAAAAAATAATAATTAATTGTTCACTCATCCATCAATTAATGGTGCTCTGTCTCGTTTGGTAAGCAGGATCTTGACAGCAAACTAGTAGTGAAATTTTAATAGAGAGAGAGAGAGAGAGAGAGAGATAGAAAGAGTCCATATATTGGTGTTTTTACTACTGCTGCATACACATTTTTAAGTCTTTTTTCTAACAGATTTTATTGATTATTAGCATTCGTTGTTATTACTACATTGTATTTTTAATATTTTACACTCGATATAATCTATTGATAAACATTAATCACTGACCAAATTGCGTTTCTTTTTGCCTTTATTAATTCTGTTTAGTTTTTAGAATACTTTTTGATAGATTAAATCTCAATTTCTAAATAGAAATAGACAAAAAAAATGGCTTTAAATTATGATTATGACGAAACTAATGAAACTTGGCCATTCTTTTTATTAACTGTTTTGTTAATGATAATTGTGCCGTTAACAATTTCACAAATTTATAAAATATTTTTACAAAAGGATAAAAATGAATCAATTGAAGATGAAGAGAAAAAAAATATTTTATCAAAATTAAATGACAAGTATACTTCAAATGAAATTAAAGAATTTCGTGATATTTTTGAAACTAAGAAGGATTCAAATATTTTATCTTGGAAAAATTTAATAATAATTATTGGTTGGATTTCAATTGCAATTTTAATTCAAAGAATTAACTCAAATGATGCTATTATTGATGCCGCTAAAGGTATCTTTGATCCTTATGAAATTTTAGGTATTTCAGGTAGTTCATCTGAAAGAGAAATTAAATCTGCTTATAGAAAATTATCTCTTAAATTTCATCCTGATAAAGTACCAAAAGATTTATCTGAATCTGATAAAAATATGATGGAAGAAACTTTTGTTCAAATTACAAAAGCTTACGAAGCTTTGACTGATGAAACCGTTAGAGAAAATTTCTTAAAATATGGTCATCCAGATGGTCCTCAATCTACTTCTCATGGTATCGCTCTACCAAGTTTCTTAATTGATAGTACTTCTTCATTAGTATTAGTCATTTTCTATATTTCTTCATTTGTTTTATTATTACCTTATTTCGTCTCTCAATGGTGGAACAAGACTAAGCTTTATACAAGAAACAATTTACATGTCAAGACAGCTGGTTCTTTTGTTTCAAGATTAGTTAATTATAAGCCTTCTCAAATTGCTACAGTTGATTTAATTATTAATTGGTTATCTTATGCTGAAGAATTTAAATTATTTTATCCAGATTTAACTCCAGAAGATTTTGAAAATTTATTACAAGACCATATTCATAATAGAGATAGTAAAATTAATGGTAAAGATGCAAATATGATGAAATTTAGAATTGTTGCAAAATGTCATACTTTATTACATGGTTTCCTTGAAGTTTGTTGTGGTTTTAGAAATCTTGAAATGGCAATTGTCTGTATGGATACTTTTAAATGTATCGTTCAAGGTATTCCAATGTCAAAGGATTCTCAAATTTTACAATTACCAAATGTTAACGAAGAAATTTTTAAAAATGGTTCAATTGATGAAATTCATACTTTAGGTAAATTGTTTACTTTTGATAATGAAAAAATTGGTAAAATTCTTGGTATTAAAGATGAAGCAAAATTAAGTGAAACTTTATCTGTTGCATCAAACATTCCACAATTTAAATTATTAAGAGCCGATTTTGTTGTCCCAGGTGAAGAATATGTTACACCTTCATCAACTCCTTATATTTCAATTAAAGTACTAGTGCGTTCTGCTAAACAAAAAATTATTCCAACTGAAAAGTTTCCAACTGATTTATTAAAGGAATCTGATGATTTTGAAGATTTGAAAAATCCATTCGCTTCAATGGAAAGAGAACCTTTAATGCCAACTTCTTTTGCACCAAAATTCCCAACTAAGAGAAGAAATACTTGGTGTTGTTTAATTGCCTTACAAAAAGATATTAAGATTTTACAAACTCCATATAGATTAGAAAGATTATCATTATCTAATTTATCAAAGGATTTAGATAAAAGAGCCATTAAGGAACTTGGACCAGATTTCAATCCAGAAGATTGGGAAATTGGTTTCATTAAATTACCATTAGGTCAACAAGCACCAGCAGAATTAGGTAACATTTATATGAGAGTGGTAATCAAATCTACAGATTATTTCGGTGCCGATTTGGATTTGACTATGATGATGCAAGTTCGTGAACCACCAAAGGTTGACGAATTAAAAGATGATATATACAATGATGAGGACTCTGATGAAAATGCAAGTGATGATGAGGACCTTGAAGATGACAGTGAAGATGAAAGTGACTACACAGATATCGATACCGATACAGAAGTCGAAGAAGATGAGGAAGAAGAAAAAGAAGAAGAAACTAAATAGTTTTGCACATGTATACAATAAATAGTTTAAAACAACATAAAAAAAAAGAAAATGTACACAAATGAAAGGGGAAACAATTCTGAAGTTAAATATCTTTCTCGAAGAGAAAAGCATCCTGAGAATATCTAGAATCTAATGTTGTTGCTCTATAGTAATCCTCCACGATATTTTGAATACAGAAACCTTGTTTCAAATACCAATCTATAACTCTTGAATTATTTATAGGTGTATGCAATGCTATTTTCTTAATAAAACAGGTAAGGCTTTCTTGTTCGATCAACCTCAGCAGATAAGTTCCTATTCCTTTACCTCTGTATTTATTAACGACTACAATTGTTTCTATGTATGTCGCAAATGGTATGATCTTTGATTTCTGATGTTGCGTATCAGTTAATGATGTTATTGAATAGGCCTTTACACCAGCAATAATCTCCCCATTGACTTCAACTATCTTATAGATCTGAACAAGGTGTTTTCTTTCATCGAAATAATTGAACAACGTTTCTGGATAGTTTGTATTAAGGACTTCATTGGTTAATTTCCAAAATTCTAGCCAATTGGATTCTCCGACATCGTAGACATTAAATTCATCATTTTTGAACATTTAAGTCAATGTAGATGACTGTAATTAAATTTCTTTCTTTAACTTAGTTTTTGTAATTTAAAACACTCATACCTTTAAAGTTCTCTCCATTTCACTTCTTATTTTGCATAATTTAAGAACTTAGCTATCCGATTTTATCGTTTAATAAAGAACATTAAAAGGCAGTCGCTATTATTTTTAGCACCAAAATTCAAAAAATAAAAAGTCTCCAATTGCCACAGCATAAGTGACAGTGTTGAAAAGAATGAATATATCTATATCAGCACGACTGATTGGTACATGTCACGAAAGAATTTATATACATGGTGGTAGAAGGGTTTATAGTGGCATCACAACAAAGAGCAATCAACTAAGGGGATACGCCACTCACAAGTCAAGGATTGACCGCAAACTTGTTCTATCTCCATCAGACCTAGATGAAGTAAAACATATGAAAAGACAAATATGGGTAATAGCAAATTCCAAAGGTTCAGTTAAAATTGATAGTCAGTTTAATGACACGTTAAAACAATTGTCTGTTGATCGATTCCCATCTACGCTAAGTCCTAAACAAATATCAAACGAATTATATGTATTAATACTCCAAAATAGAGTCGGTGATAATGAAATTTATAATGCAATTAGAAATAGTCGGAAAGATAACGATATTGTTAATGTTAAGGTCCCAAAGACTCAATCAACCCCCAAAAAAGTGCCTTCTTTTAAGAAACATAAAACAACTATTCCCCTTAATCTAAAACCACAGAAGACCTCAGAGTTTAATCTTCTTCTCCAACAAATATTAGAGATAGATCATCATCACTCAAATGAATTGTATCAAATTTTATCTAATATTATCGAGGAGTCAAATGAGTTACAGGAGTTTAAATCTAAGTCATCAAATATTGACAAAGATAACAACCAAATAAATATAAAAATATTGGAGACATACTTGCAGAACATAAGAAATAAACAAGAGCAAAAGAGATCTGTCTTAGAGGAACAAAGGAAAGTATATGATTGGAATCGTTCAATTGATTCTGCTCCTTCATATAACACAAAAAATCTATTATTGGAAGTTAATTCAAAACCACACTTTACCAATGGATCATGGAGGAATTATTTTAACAGGTATCTACCGCTCACAAATGCACGATCTGTAAAGGAAGACAACTACTTATTTGTGAATCTCAAGACAAATTCGGAATCAGTTAAGAAATATAATGAAACCAACCGTCCTCTGATACATTCACAAGAAAATGATTTACTCGATATAATTAACAGATCTTCAATAACTCCAGAAGATGTCTTGGAAAGACTCAAGGAATTAGAAAGTCAAAATTGGATGTTGCTGGGCAATGTTATAGACTCCCCCGAAGTTTTGATTTTTGAGAAATCAAATAGCGGTAAAAAGTCCTCAATATCTAAGTACACGATACCACTATGTTTAATGGCACTTTCTACCATCCCAATAGCCTTTTTTTATAGTAACTCTTCTTCGATCGAAGACAATTCGGTATCCAAGTAAGAATGCTATTATTTTTTTGTATATAAATACATACATATATTGTCCTGTTTATATGAAATAAACAATATTCCTTAAACAATACTACCATTTGTCCAGATATCGTAAGGCCTTGTCTTTTGTATCTGTGTTATTACTTTGGAGATATCTTTTATTCTTCATCCTAGAATAATATATAGGACAGTCATATGAATCACATTTTAGTGCAATATCGTTTCCAATTGGACCAGCGTCATGTGTATATCTGTAACTACAAACACGACAAATAAGACCTAAATCTTCAGAACGTGTCTCAGTAACCGATTTACCCATTAATAAACTAACAGTAGTTGTCCTTTCATCACTTAAACATTCTTGACATAATGCCGCCGATCGTTCCGATACATGGTTTTTTCTACAATTACAACATAAAATTGATTCACCTAAAGCTTTGACTCTTTTGTCCTTAATACTACTTAAGCCTTTTCTAGTTCTTTTTAAGTTCGTTACCCAATCTGAAACATTTATTCCTGTAATATTTAAAAGTCTAGACAATGGTGGAACCAATGTCTTCAGAATATAATAGTCGGAGTCCAGCTCCAACGAATCGTCTGCAATAAATTCTTCTGGAGAAATACTTCTATTACGCAGAGTTTCTCCAAGTTTACTTCTTACAACGAGGTACGGTACCCTTTCCTTATATTGAGGTTCTGCTCTTTTATCTTTCTCCATTTTCCTTTTAGCCACAACTGCTCCAGCAGGTGCAGTATTTTCACTTTTGTATCTCCCTAACTTTACTTCTTTGGCAAAACAGAAATCTTGTATTGAAATATTTCCTTGATAAATTTTTGAGAACTGTTCTTGCACATAATTTTTCACTTTTGACAAATCCTTTGTGTCAAATAAAATTCTTAATGTCTCTTCAACAATTTTCTGTTGTGCTGGGTGACCGTCTCTTCGTACAGTTTCTATGCCCTTTGAGTCTAACATTGGCACCTTTTGATCCCTACTTTCAAACGAATAACCAACATATCTTTTCTTACTTACCAATATTGATGGAAAATAAACCTTTTCAAACTTCAAAAATATAGGATCTGGGTTAGCTTTTGATACTGCTATACTGATTTCTTGTCCAATATCAAATGCTTCCTTTTTAGATCTCCCCGGGAGATATATGAATAAACTATCAGTGTCACCGTATACCACTTTAGCAGCCCATTTATCATTAGATTCGATCATCGAAACAGCTTTTTCGAGTGTCTCTCTACCTGTTTGGACAACGCTATCTGCCAAATCTGAACAGGGCATTCTTCCAGAAAATGAAGCAGATGTATAACCATATGTGACATTTGCTAACAATTTCAAAGCAAGTTGCTTGTTCGATAATGACTTCTTAAGTGCATCGTTACGAGAACCTAGCTCTGAAATTGTTTTCTTGACCATGACTCTTATATCTAAGATTTCCTTTAACATGATAGAAAGAGTGGACTTTCTGATGGAAGATTTAACATATACCATTCCATTTGGAGCAATTGTAACTTTATCATCCAATAATGTAAGTAAACCTTTTTGCAAAGGGACATTACCAACACCAATCGTGTTACTCTTCTCACTCATTTCTTTCACTCTTCCTAACATTGTTGAATAGCAATAATTGTAGGCCATCATAATAGTTGGATACAGAGATTGGAAGTCCAGAATAACCATTGGACTCTTGTAAAATGCAGATTCGGGTTCCATTACTAAAGGAACACATTCCAATGCTTTTTGATTCTGAACGTCAGTTTTTGTTGGTGATAGTAGAACATAACCTTCTAATTTGCATAGACGAATAAGAAATGATTCAACTTTATATTGAGACCCACGAAAATATACTGAATGGAAATCAATTCCAATCAATTTTGCTTGTTCTATGGTTTTATCGATAAAATCCTGTTTTCGTAGTAATTTTATATTTATACGTGTTCTCGTCATCCAATAATGAAATAATGACTTTAGATAAGTTATACTGTTGGTATTATTGATATTATTCCACATGCCAGTAAGGTCCTGATATGAAAAGTGAGGAATTCTTTCATGCAATATAGTAAATGCTAAATTTTCAACCGTATACTGAGTTAGTGCTACGTTTGCACGAATGATTCTCCATATATTTAAAACATACCTACCAGTAATTGTCGTACCAGATGAATGTGTATATAACCGTGAAGTCTTTTCAAATTTGTCATGTTTCCACTTGAATGCTACTCTCGATATTTCGTCAGTTAAATTAAATTTATGCACTCTATCACACCTTTGTATGAGGTAACCCCAGGATGATAAGTTAACCTCAAAACCTGAAAGAACATCAGGGTCAAAAAGAATCACTAAATCTGTTAATGCATCTAGCATATCAAACTCTGAATCATATATCATAATTGGTATTTCACCGGCTGCATCTGTGAATTTTCGAGAGAACTTTGGGTCATCAACATCCGGATTTACTACCATAATACCTTCTGTCTCGATGTCAAAATCAAATGGATACGTTTCATCGTCCAATTTCCAAAATATGGCTGAGACAGGATCTAAACGTGGATCTGGTTTAAAGTCTTCCCTTGTATTAACATGTATTTCAAGGCTAAAATGGGTTAATGTTTCTTGGATTCCTCTGTTCGTTTTACTTTTGTTATTTGGTGAGAAGCTCTTAAACTTATACATAAATATGTTCGATGGACTGACATTTGCTATCTGAGATTGTTGAATTTTCGAATATCTCTTTTTTTCTGTTTCTGATTTAACTGAAGAAAAAGTGGGTGGTTTCTTGTTATACTTCCAAGTCTCAAAATAATTTTCACTGGATATGTCATCCAGTATTACAGGGTTATCTTCATATGTCAGTGGAACACGATCGATTAAATGGGTTGAATTGATATCAAATCGTTTTCCGGCATATATATATGGTTTTATGTCTAAGTCTCTAGGGTTTCCAAAATGAAGGTCTGGGTAATCAATAATCGGAAAACCATTTTCTCGCAAATCCTCCGTAATATTAGAACTACATAATGGTGCTACCTTATATCTAAATGCACATTTTCCATATCCAATCCCGTTACCACATCTTTTTGATTCCAATTTTGGCATTATTTTTTGTGAGACATTCTGACTGAGCAATTTTCTTCTTTTAGCCATATTTTGTGTCAGAACAAAATCCATCGACTGGGATAATTTATCCTTCCATGATGAATTTGATTGATTAATAGGTAATGTTCGATTAGCGAGACTTTCTGAATCATTTTTATCATTGTTGTCAGTAGATCCTATCACCGCCTCGGTGGGTATCGAATTACCGTTTATGACATGCTCAATAATTTCCCCTGAATCTTCTTCTTCGCTTTCAGTATCACCAGCATTATTGTAGTCATTGAAAGATGTGTCTAACACTTGTTCAGGTAAGGGATTATTTTCTTGTAGAACTAACGAACGCGGTATGATTGGCCACAATTCACTCAAAGATTCATGTAAATTAACAATACTGTCAAATCTAGCGTCATTCTTAACAAAATTTGAAAAACTAGGAGTATGTGAATATAATTTCATTTTATTTTTTGCTTTGTTGAAAAAATCGTTGTAATCTTCGGTAGACTGCCAACTTTCCTTGATGTTTGTATTCCTCTCGATAACATTTGGGAGTTTATATTTTTCCAATGAAAACAAATTCCTTTGAGAATTTAGGTCATTTACCATACGCCTTGTTGAAGATACGTGATATTTGATTATGGAAGTAAGAGCGGCCTCCCCAGGTTGTGGAAAATTACTGGGTCCATCACTATAATTCAGGTTATCTATATTTTTAATAAATTGTGGTAGTACATCTATTTCTAATAATCCATTTCCAACTCGTGGGAATTCACCTTTATGTAGTATACTATGCCCCTTTTTGCAAAATATTTTCAAAAAGGTCTCTAATTCCGCTGTCATCATTAGATTATCAGTATCTAAGACTGGATTTAAGACTGGATTTCTAAAATAACATTGTCCAAAATTAATCCAGTCACAACCAAATAAATTAAAATCTGCAGAAAACTGCAAGAGATATGGGATATGCGTCTCAAATGTTGGAACTTTCCTGGAGAGTAACTTTCCTTCCCGAAGTAAATCAGATACCTTGTTAACTTGGGACGGATTCAAGAGTGTAACTTTGTAAAATGCAGACCATCCAACATGAAACCCATAAAAAGGAACGCATTTGACAATTGACACATTTGCTATATGATTGAGGTTCCCTGTGACTGTGCTTGTGCTACCTGACTTGGCATCCTTCGAATAATATTGGCTAACTCCTGTTTCTAACATAATATGTAGTTGTGCACATTTCTGATTCATCACAGATGATGTATCTGAATCCAATCCATCATACTCTAGAAATATATATGGGAAAACCCCATGGATATGACAAAGAACTTGGTGACCAGAGGGTAAGCAACCATATACTCTAATAACAGGTACTTTGTTAAACCTGTTGATAGGAAGACTTACACCAGATGATCTATCAAGAATACTTGGTTTCGTCATGTAAAAATCGTAGTTATTCATAGCTAGATGAATCTCATCTTCGGATAAGCTAGATAAATTGCCGCTGGAGGGTGGAAAACTTTCGGCAGTCATCTTCTAAGTAAGGATCATATTTTAAAGAAAAAGTATTATATCAGTATATTTGATTGTATACGTTTTAATAGATTACTATTTGTCTCACTGCTTAACATTGTGTGCATAAGTTTAAAAATATTTTATCTTTATGTAATTACTAAAGTTGCTATATATTAAAATTTATTTTCGCTTAGAAATATAACAACAATAACCCCGAGTGTAAAAAGACTAAATATTAACAGAACCCTTTAAATGCATAGGAAAAGTACATCACCAATATGAAATTTTTACAAATAAAGATCATATAAAAACTTCAATAAGTAAAATCGACACATAATATCTGTTGAGTATATATATTAATTATTATGAACAATAATAACACAATTGTGTACATCAAAGTTGATGGCCCAAGACCTGCAAATTTCGTCGATCCCACACCATTTGACTGGAATGAGGAGAAGGAGAACCAGTTATGGAAATTCATATCCAAATTAGATAGCGAACAGGATCATATTAATTGGAAACAATTGTCTGAGACATTTGAAACTCCTGTCTACTTTCTAAAGAATAGAGCTTATAAGATGTTTTCCATGAGATTAGAACAACTGAAACAGAAGATACAAAATAAGAAAAAAATGTTAGAAGGCAATCATATATCTGAATCAATATCCCTGGGCCATCCAATAATAGATTCTCCTTCGGAGTCTTCTTTTTTAACACATAGAGTGACGAATAGGAAAACAGATCACAAACCTTCGAGTTTCGATGGCAGAGAAGATATAGATAATGATGTTGCTGATGAATTAGCGGAAGGATTACAGAAAACTAAATTATTAAACTATATAACACCCGAAACAAATGAGGTGACTGACAATAATATGAGGCATGATGGTGATAGCGAATTAGATAGCGATATATCATCCAATCTTAGTGTAAGCAAGTCCGCTTTGGAGGAAGCATTGATGGCCAGATTAAATTTCTAATTTACATCTAGTACATTGACAATCAAAGAACCAGTTTTCTTTAAGAAAATCTCTTCTTTTGACTGTTGTAAAATCAAGTACGCCCGAGTAATCTATGCATAATTCATCACCTTGACTAACCCCTTTATTCAAAGTAAAGTACATGGTTTTATTGTTTCTAGTCTTCGTAATGTTTGGAATACATGAATGGTTGAAGTAAGAAGCCCTAGGAAAGACCCAATATCCAAAATATTCACGACTGTCCACAGATTCATCTTCCTGCCAAATACCAAAGGCATTTCCGTACTCCGATCCCATAATATGTCTAAAAGTTCCAATATTGAAATCTATTCTTAATGTTTCTGGAAGTAGTATGTATAATGTTCTAAAGACTAATTGTTGAAAATGTAATAAAATTGGGAATCGCATCATTTTGTTTAGTTCATTGGATTGTAAATTCCAAAAACTTTTACCAGTTTCTGTATCTTTAGTATACGTACGTAAATGAAATAGAGTATTGCAAACAAATCTTGCACAATTATATTCATCTTCGGATGTTATTGGAAGGGATTGTTGACGTTTGGTATATTTCATTTTATCTATCATTGGTAACCAATTTATTTCAATATTTCTCCACTCTGAATCAATAATAGACTGGGATATCTTAACAGAGTTGAGTTTTTCCTCATTTGCATCATCAGGATTATTTCTTTTTAACATTTTCGTGTGATTATCTAATAATATTTCATATGCTTCTATCAAGTCGATTATTCGCGGTATTCTCAAATAAGTGTCTGAACATCCTGTCGAACAGAACCACAATCCAGCACCACAAAATTTCTTCATACGTGCTTTCAACCATTTATTATTTTCAGATAATAAACCTTCGACATCTGTGGTTTTTATTTTATATTTCATGGATTTACCATTATATTTAAAACAATTATGACAAACTTCTTTTCTAAATTCATATTGAATAGAAGAGCCTGTAGTATCATTTACTTCCAAAATCACTGTATCCTTCGGTATATCACTAGTAGCAAAACAGGATCTACCACCCCAAGTGGTATCTTTAATCTCATAAAATGGTGTAATATTACCGTTAGGGGTATCGATGGTCATCGTTCATTCAATTTAATTGTGTTCATATTGACTTTTAGTCAAAAATAAAATCAAAATGGAGCAATGATATGTATTTTGGTTTTCTTTTCAATTATGCCTCATTGAACTTTCGAGAATATTTGAATTTCATATTCCAAGACAATACTGTAGGCAAGACACATGCTCTTCTTAAGAATTAAGTAGCACATCTCACTTTTGAAAATTTTCATGTAATTCCACTCCGTAATTTCTTACACATCTAAATATTTCAGTTTTGATTTTCTTAATTTTTTAAAATCGCCGCGAAATTCCATTACTTCATCAATAATTGCAATAAGCAAAATCGTAGCCATACAGAGGGGCTCAAAGATCTTTTTAAAGGTAGCTCAATGACAGTTGCAAAAGTTACTGTTATTTATCAGTTTTATGTTCACTATTTGCGATCTCCGATACGGGCACTAGAGATGGTCTTCCGTGTGCGCACTGAAATGGTTGTTGACATTTGCTTAGATTTTGAACTAACAGATTGCACTCAGTTTTTGTTAGCTCATCACCGAACATAATCGCAGAACGGCAAGCTTTGCTATTAAATATCTCTAAATAAAAAGCCGGAATACAATTGGATAACATTCTCCAATCTTTGACATTTTCCGAATTAAATAAATCCTGTGTTTGATTGAATCTATCGACTAATGGTAAGATAGGAAGTTTTTTAGTGGTCGAAAGATCGTTCATATGTTGTAGTAGGATACCTTTTAGAAATTCTGAATCCCTACCACATTTGTTTATCAATTCATCTGATAAAGAATCAATCAAAACCGAACTTGTTATCTTTTCCGATGATTTGTTGGATTGATTTCTTTCAACTCTTGTATGAACACCCCACCTACGTAATTCAAGATCAAAATGTTTGAATAGGTTTGCTTCAACAGTACTTACCTCCAATTCTAAAACATTGATCGGCTGTATATATAAGGTATCTAAGAGAACATCTGACATAAACTGTTTAAGTAATTGTTCCAATTTGATTCTTTCATCGCATGCATGTTGATCTAGTATGTATAATTCCGCTTTAACGTCATCCAAATCAGTTAAAACTTTCATTAGTATGAATTTCTTATCAACTTGATTAATCACATAACAATTAGAAAGATCGTTTTTAGTAATAGAGAATTGTCTGTTTGAGTATAGATTATGACTACAGTATGAGTCTGTTAGGTTATATTCTGTCGGAACTTCCAATACTGCGGTAGATATTTTTTTGAGAATTGATGAGTTTGAATGATCGTTTCTTAAATATTTCAAAGATGGTTTTCCTATTTTCATGGACTTCTTTAATTTTAATGACTTCGTAAGGGTAATAGTTTCGTACCTTCCATTTATTTCAGGGCGATCATTTCGACCAGCTCTTACATTAGAATCTAATATAATGTTTGCATTATATTTGTTAATACTTGATTCAAAATTCAAAGATTCGTTGACAAATGACGGTTTAATATTCGAAGTAGTATCAGAGGTCATGTAGCCTTGTGTAACGAGGAATGATTTAAAAGTTCGTATTATTAATGGATCAATAATATCCTGTAATGTGGCTTCGACAACACATTTAGAAGGGTCCTGAATCAGATCGTTCATGTTTTTTGGACCCTGAATATCAATCAAAAACATTGGATAAAATTTATACGGTCTCCCAACATATTTCACCGTATTTTCTTGAGGTTCAAATTTGCATTCTCTAAACAATGAATTTATTGTTTTTAACAATGTTGGGTTATTATATGTTCTTCTATTGATATTCATAAACTGAAGGTGTTTGACTCTGACCGGAGATTTTGATATCACACCTTGAACTGAATATTGTTTATATTTCAATGATACTCCTTTTAAAGTATTATATGGAACTATAGATTCATATATTGAGCGCAATACGTTTAGATAAACATTAAAAGTATTATCCTCTTTATATGTTTTCAAACCCTCGTATTTAAATAAACTTTCTAGGTTATTGGATTGTTGCAAATATTTTACAGATATACAAACTGTAGGATTATGAATCGATAATCTTAAAACGTACTCTCGCAAGGCATTAAATACTCTATATTGAGGTTCGGTTTTTGCCATGTTTGATCTCACTGGTAAGTTATACATTAGATTTCGAACGATCAGAATTGTACCTGAGCTTTCTTTTTCAAACGGATGTACAGGGTTGTCAATAATATCTTTTACTATATTTTGTTCAGAATAAAATTTTGTTGGCCCTGCATGCATTTTAATTCTTGATCCATTGTAATCTTTGACTTTAGATATGATTGTCAGTTTAGATATACTATCAATTGAACTTAAGGCCATTCCATGAAATCCATAGGTCTTAATATCAGCTAGATCCTTTGATGATCTAATCTTTGAAGTATAATGCTGTTTACAAATCAAAATCATATCCGCAGGTGATATGCCGATCCCGTTATCTCTAACTTGAAACGATAATGTATTGAGATCAAGTAAGATTTCAATATTGGTTGCTTGAGCATCAATGGAATTTTGAACAATTTCATTGATCGCAGATGCTATGGAGATAACATGAATTTGTGATTGTAATTTTCTTAGTACATCGGCGTCTAAAAGTTGGATAGATTCAGGCATATATAGACACCTAAAATGACATAATCCAGTTTTCTTGTCTATAATAATATGAAGCTCAGAATAGGAATGTATGTCTAGACTGTTTTTATAATTTTTTAGGTTCTTTTGTCTTTGAAGTTGAGAATGATAGATTGTTCTACTGTTGTCTTTCAGCCCCACCAACAAAAACTATTGGATTGTTTCTCTCTTTGAGAGTTGCGGTGCCCATATATAACTTTTTTACGAAAGAGAGACGAAGAGAAAAACTGACCGTTATAGGTGGGATAAGACAGTACAGTACAGATATAATGAATATTAATGGTTTATGAAGGTAGATCGTAAAGAGACGCTACAATACAGTATTCTAGGTTGTATTTGTGAAGAATATTTAGATATGTAATTATAGATATATATGAATGTATGTATATAAATGTAATTGTAGACATGTAGATGTTCAATTAGTAAGCAAATAGAAGTCAAAAAGAGTAATTAAATGTTTTCAAGTGATAATTCATCAGTTAATACTTCCATAAAGTGATGATCCATTATTACTCTCACGACGGTACCTTCTAAACTTGGTCAGGAAATTATCACTATGTGGGGAACTTGATTGATTATCATCATCGTCATCATCACTAAATAAAGCATCTTGTTCAAAATTGTCAATATTATTGTAATCCGCGCTATGTAATTTAATGATATTATCAATGCAGCAGTATTGGAAACAATTTAATAGTACCGGTGATACAAACATCACTAAGAATACCTGAAAATTTGGCCATTTGTCAGCCCAACCAAGTATTATATTAGCAAACCAATAAGCAGCATCTTCGAAGAAATTTAGGAATAAAAATACAAAGAATTTCATTATTATTAGGCCTGTAACGAACACTAATAATTGTCTTAAGAATGCACTAAATAATATTTTTTTCTGAGTACTTTTATCATCTGCTAAGTAATAATTCCCACTTTCAACATTCTGTATTTTGAAATAACTTAATATTCTTTGTAAAAATTTAAGAGCCAACCACAGAATAGGTATACCAAAAGTAGTATCCAATAATAAGTTTAGGAAATACCAGTCACATTGATCTCCGTCACCATCATCGTCATCATCCAAAGGTTCGAGTAAATTATATATTGTTTTTTCCCTTAATAAAATACCAATAATTGTTTGCCTTTTCCTTTTGATAATACTTAATCCCAGGTTAATAAAATGAATACTTAGGGAACCACCGATCTGTTTCCCGGTGTCATAGCACCATACTATAAGTTTCCTTCGTGGATGTTCATATTCCCTCTTAATTAATAGAACTATCACTACTAGAATCCCCATCAAAATTTGGATGACTAAGGAGACAGGTCCCAATAGTTGGCAAGTTCCTGTTTTCGGTATATGATTTGTCATAATGAGTTCAAACAACAGAAATATTGGCGGCGTCTTATGCAACCAAACATATCCAGTGATCTCGAATGTTAAACATAATTAATATAAAAGTATATTACTTTTATAAACGCTTGTTATATAGCAATAATGTGAATGCATCATGAGTTGTTGTCCTGCATAAATTGTCTTGTTTGTTCAACGGAAAGGGTCGCTTGCTTTTTCCTTTGTCTGCGCATCTCCAAGCATTTTTTGTAAGGAGAAGAGAGGGGCTTAAAGAAGTCATCTCTCTTTTCTTACAATAGAGGGAAACTGGTGAACTCAACCGAATTGTATGAATGAATAATATATTATTTGTGCCAGTTCGAACCTATCCTAAATCTAGTAAACATAACTTAATGAATTTATTTTGGTACATAAATATATATAAAAGGAAAGGTTTGATAAGTTAATAAAATAAAATAAAATAAAATAAATAAGTAAATAAATAATACGGTCAGTTATGTATCTGGTAATGGAGACCTTGCAAATTAATCATCTTGCATATGTATATAAATATCATGAATATAAAGTTCTGTATCTAGTTATGAGGATACTTCTTGGTATGGATTAATGTAAATAGTGGCTTCTTTCTTCCTCTCTTTTTCTGTAACAAACCAGATACCTGTTCGAGTAATGCAGCAGGATCAGCTTGTAATTTTGTTAACATAGGTTTTTCTTCCTGAGTTAAAGTTTCATTTACTACAGGGGAGGTTTTATTGTTGGGTGCCGGTGGAACAAATGGTTTCAAATCTTTCATTACAGAGGTTGGTATATTATCCCACTCGTTAAATGTCTCTAAACCAGCAGCAGAATTATACCACATAGAATTTGGTTCCTCAAGATTCATTGAAAATTCGTATAATGTACTAGTATTAGTATTATTAGAGGCATCCAAATGTTTTGGGTTGAAAAACATCGGCCTATAACCGGAATACAATGCAGATAAATTAATCGATTCACGATCTAAATGTCTTGTGGAGGGTACTCTAGGTAATGAGTATAATTTATATTTCTTGCTTAGTCCCGCTAAAACCTTAGGATCATTTGAACCAGCAGATAGATCGGTAAAGGGTGTATGTTGATGATATTTGGAAGTGGTAGTCACGGTTGGAGATAAACGTTTTGTTCTTCTCTTATTTTGTTTTGATTGCCTTTTGAGTATCAAGTTATGATTATTTAAAAATGTAAACGATGACTGAAATCTCATTGGGACTGTTGTCATGATTTTGTTTGTTGAAATACCAGGAGCTGATCTGATCAGACTATTACTAGAGCTAATTAAAGTAGACATAATGGAAATAAATAAAAAATCTGAGTTTTCTTCTGTATGAAGTAAATGTTTTTTATCAAAGAACAGATGTTCCCTATATTATTCAAAAAATGGATCTAGTAACAAAAGAGAAGGAAGCAGTGGGTGTTATTGTCTCCTTATTAATATCCTTTGAAAACAGTATTCTACAATATAACTTCAATAACTGTGAGTGTGTTTATGTCAGCAAATGTTAGATATAAAATCAAAAAGGTAGATAGATATCACCACTCTCGATAGTTTAGATCACCTAAACTATTTTTATATGATAAAGTGCGTGCTAGCAAGTTTCAAATGCTTGACAATACCCTAATTATCTGTTATGTGCTCTAAGAAGACAATTATAATGAAATTCAACAAAATATATCTTGGTTTAAGTATTTATGCACCTTATATGTTCTTCTTAACGATATATCTGCTACTACTTTTCCCGGGGGAGGCAAAAAAACATGTTACGGGGGCCTTTCTCTCTCGAACGGCACAATGAACGAGATAAAAAATTTATCTTAGTTGTTCTTGCTAGTCGTATTGTATGATTTCGTATGCAGTGATTCTTATATTTATATAATCGATATATGTATGTATATGAGTATGGAGATGTATATATTGGAAGATTAAAATAATAAGATAAATCTATTTATTAATCATTCAATTTACATTCTATGATGTTTGTGGAATGTCCGTATCTTGTAATTGACTGGTGGTCTAGATGGTTATACCAATTGGTAAAGTTAAAGACCGTTTAATGGCATCGGTTGGGATAGACAATAAACTTGCATTCTGACTGGCAGAATAGACAGCAAAAGGAGTCTCGATTTTTATTTGAATACCAGTTTTATTTTTTTTTTGTAATGGTGTTATTATATCCATTGCTTCTTCGTTATTAAGATCCTTCTCGTTGGCGTCAAATGAGAACTGTGAGTTTGAATCATCTTCTGAGCTTTCACTTGATGTGTCCGTATCTTTAGATTCTTGATCAAACATATCAGAAGATTCTGATTCATATTCACTGACAAACTTTTCTAATAAATGCATGTATTCATTATTGACGTCGGTCAGATTATTGGAATTTTGATATTGTCCCATTTGTAATCTCATCATTATTCTTCTACTAATAATATTTTTGTAGTAATGGCTAAATAGATCACTTAATTCTGTGGCAGTCATCTTTGACATATCCATTGTTTCATTTTGATTAACTTCTTCATCATCTAATTCACTATCATCAGTTTCATCCTCTTCATTTTCAGAATAAATAGAAGATTTTTCATGATTAGCTTCGAAGTAAGATGAATTGTCGGTATCAAGACTAGCTGTTGAATTACGTTTCTGCATAGAATTAGTATCGATAATATATTCATCTTCCTCTTTGATTGGATATTGACCCATAGATAATGGAATGACTTTATTTTTAACCACGATTGATGGTTCTCTGATGACAGAGTTCAAAGATGGCATACCTTTAGATCTGGTTAAATGTGATGAAGGAGTTTCTCCTAAATTTAATCCATTTGATGCATTCTTAGGGTCGGTTTGATAAGCTGTAGATAATCTGTTTATGCTTGGTGTAGCTGTTAAGATTGAAGCAGCTCTTCTGATTGAAGAGTTTGTTCTTCTTAAAGTTGTTCTGCGGTCAGTCATTTTATTATCTTTTATATTAGTTACAGATTCTGACATGGATCCAGGTGGTGTCAATTTGGTTATTGGTTTAGGTGATGCTGATGCTGATGACGACGAACGTGATTGTGACTGAGAAATGGTTCTACGCAAGTTTGTTACGTAACCGTCGGTACGTTTCAAATGTGAAGTCGTTAAACCATTATTAATTGAATTTGAGTAAGCCATATTGTGTTTACCCTTAACGTTTTTCTTCGAATTTTTCTTATTGTTGTAATTAATGCTATGAATTCTATTTGCAGAACCAGGAATCTTGTTACTCATTGAAGAAGAACGACTAATAACTGAATGAGAACCATTGAATGAAAATAGTTTCCTTCTCAGGGCAATCCTTATCTTTCTAAGAGTTCTTTTCATCCTAATTCCAATGGAGGTGAAATATGCCAATAAACCACCTTTGCAACGGATAGCATTCGATCTTTTTAATTTAGAGTTCCGGCTTCTTCTAGAGTTTAGTGAAGGGGTTCTCGATACACTAAGAGACCTTAACACACCTTTTGATGGTTGAACATTCTTGATCGAAGGAACTCCACTTACAGTCATTGGGTGTTTCTTCACCGTAGCATGTTTGTTCAATGTAGATGACGAATCAATAGATGAATCAGACGCACTACTAGAACTTACCGTTGAGTTTATACGTGGCTGTGTATGGGATATATTGGATGTAGCAGAAATAATTTCATAGGATATATTATCAGCTGTTGGTATTGATGCATTAACAGTATGAACTGACATAAGTTTATTTTCTGGGATAGAAGCCATTTGAGACTGACCAATAGATTTACTTTTTGATGTAATGGAACTTCTTAATGAGTTACTAGATTTCTTATCTTTTAATGATGGAGTTGATATTGGTGAGTTTGTCTTCTCTGGTGCTAAAGTAGCAGGGTAGTTTCCTAATCTACCTGGTGATCCCAAGTTCAAATTCGATATTGGACCATCTTTATTCTCTGTGAAAAATCTTGGAGACGTCGTATTGTCTGAGATATTAGCAAATGAATAATAGCCATTTGAGGAATTTGTGTATGCATTAGAATTTGTATTTGAAGCAGACGTATAATCTGATAGAATTTGGGAAACATTATCACTCTCATCATGATGTGATGATTGTGAGTATGAAGAGTCTCTACCTTTCTTTAAAGTTACATTTAATAAATGATGATTATTTAATTCTTCTTCTTCAATCTTACCTCTAGGTAGACTCTCTGTTGATGGAAATTTAAAGTCCACTTGGGAACCATTGAACGACTTGGTTTTTGTTCTTGTAGGAGTCCTAATAATCATTATGTATATGTGTATGTATTTATATGTTTGTGTTGTAGTATTACTATATTACGTTCTTTAAAATGCTATATAGTAGAAAACACTTCCTGAAGCTCCCTAAGGTACCCTAATATTATTAAACATTTTGTTTATTAAAATGCATTCAAGTATCTTCCATATATATATATATATATATATGGAAGATGCATAATTCGTATGATCAATTCAATTCAATAATGTCCAACATTGGAAATTATTTGAAATAAGGATGGCTGATCTCGATGATTCCAAAATTCTAATCAGAAATTGTTACCTAATTTTAAAATTATAGGCTCCCCTGTCTTTGAGGTAATCAAAGTGTGCAGAAATCAGAAAAATGATTTAAAACCAGCCATCGCGAAATTTCAAATTATTGTGATGGCTGGTTGCTTTTCACACAGAACGCACCTGACGGAGATAGCTCATCGCAAATTAAAGCGCATTGAAAAATTTAATTAGAGAGGATAAGAAACTTGAACCATTGAAGGATAATAATTTCAACAGTAAACTAGTTTGATCAGTGAGTGTGAGTTATAATTTACTATAAGTTTTTTTGGACTTCGGGGTAGCAAAGTAGAAAGTCGTTGTGTAAGTATATTGCATTGTTTAATACATTAAAGGAGGTATGGGTAAGAAGTTCTATCATGCAAGTCATTTCAAGCATACGTTGAAAAAACGGTCCCATAACAGATACAAACGTCTCGAACCCTTAATTAAGGATGACTCTCTCAGGATTTTATCACATGTGAAGCCTACTGATTCATCATTGACTAAATATTGGAGATTCAGAAAAAATTTGTTCTCAAAGATCGATAGCAATGGCATCTATATGACACATGAACTTTGGTTTAGTGTCACCCCCGAATCCATTGCATCATTTTTTGCTAATTTTGTTAGAGCTTGCATGCCTGAAGCTCAAGTGATACTGGATGTTTTTTGTGGCGGTGGTGGTAATACTATTCAATTTGCCAAGCAATTTCCAAAAGTTTATGGCGTTGATTTTTCATTGGAACATCTTTATTGTACAGCTCAGAATGCTAAAGTGTATGAAGTAGATGATAGGATATGGTTGAAATATGGTCCTTGGGAAAAAATATGTCATGAGAAATACCTCGAGGATATTAAAGTGGACTGTATATTTGCATCACCACCTTGGGGTGGTCCGAATTATTTGAAAAAAGACATATATGATTTAGAGACAAATTTACAACCCATGGGTATTACAAAATTGTTGGAAAGTATGTTGAAAATATCAAAGAATATAATATTATTTTTGCCTAGAAATTCTGATTTGACCCAATTAGCAAATGTAACGAGGAAACTGCTTGGTAGGGATGCAAAATGTAGGGTGCTATATGTCAAAGAAAATGGACATTTGAAGGGAATTGTAGCCATATGGGGTGATGCATTAGTCAGTTATGAAAGTGGACCTGAGGCTACTACGGAAAAGGATAAATCCTGTGATGAACAAGATGAACCTGTACAAAAGGAAACAATACCTGCATCGTTTTATGATATGGACGGTTAACGAATTAATCGTGACGCATTAATGAACTTAAATATAGATTTAAAAATATTTGTATATACTATTTTCGTGATTTAGAAACAACTAAATCTGTATGATATGAATAAAGAGCAAACGTGAGATTATTTATGTGGGTATACTTCATTAACCTATGTTTCTAATTTCTTTTTTCTTCATTATATATTCAAACATTTGATGGAATTACTTTTTTCTTAATTATAACATTATCTTTTCCCAATTCAGTAAGTCTTTTCAACAAGTCAGAATGTTTTGTTTGATCTTGAAGATCTTCTTGTAACCTAGCTGGTGGTATCATTTGTCCATTGATAAAGAGTAAAGGTATTGTTGAATCCTTAATCTTATATAACGATTTAACATACGAAAACAAATTTTTCCCTTGTGGTGTCTTATCCATATCAACTACAAGTACTTGTGGATATGTTTCAAAAGTTGCATGTAATTTTCCTTGAATATGCGTTGATTCATCTTCTGAAGAATGTGTTAGAAGAACAACAGGAGAATTATAAAGAATTTCTTTAAAATTACATTCCACTTGGTCTGTATCACATGGTAGTCTCTTTGCCACGTTAATATTTTGAACCATATCTTTGTTTTGTTGAGGTTTCTTACTCGGTCCTGAGCGTATCTTTTCTCTTATATCTTTAATTTCTTTCTCAACTCTCAGATTCTTACCGATTCTATCATCCTCTGACCTATAATTATCTATCGACATAGCACCATGTCTGCCAAAATTAGTAAACAAATTGATATCTTCCCGTGTAGATTTAACGTCAGTATCTGTATAAATATTATCCATTAGAACCCATCCAAATATGGTGACTAATAAAATTGCCAAGAATATATTTCTGTTAGTCTTCGCACCTTGTAAGACAGCAGCTTTCCCACGATACATTACGCTGATGTACCCATCAACATGTACAATAGAATGTTCTAATGATGTGAACTTTAGACTTTAAAAAAAAATTTCTTTATTTATATATGTTAAACTTATTGTGTCAATTGGAGATTTGTGTCGTCTGACGAAGGGTTCATAGATGACTCTCCTCTTACATTCTCGGGACAAAATATTAAGGGCCGTCATAAATATAAGGGGTATGTCTATCGAAAGAAACAGAGCACTTTAACTGTACGTACACATATAACAGAGGTTGCGGTTATATAAGAAGTGATTTCAAAACATTATGATTATATTGTAAACAACTACCATCATATAGCATCTGTTGTTCGGAGGAGAAACGTGTAAGAGTATCAACGACTATGATTATTCCGAGGCAAATTCTTCGAGGAAATTAATTTGTTCAAAATGTTTCAGTACAGCAGAGGTATTTATAAGTATGTATATATATATATTCTGTTATATTATTTTTTTTATGGTATAAAAGCAGTTAAATAGCAATTATAAAAGGGTAGAAGTAGGCCTGATATCTACAGTAGTTCTTACAAACGAATGGGAAAAAAAGTAGTGAGGCAGACATAAAAACTAATAATAATAATAATATGAAGGGACGTAGAAGAACTTAGTAATTGTAGTTAATAATCGTTGCTTGGAATTTGGAACAGGGGAAAAAAAACATGAACGTGTCTTTGTTAAATTATACTGCATTAGCTAAACCAACAGCATTGTTTTCAACATCGTAAATAGAGTAGTATCTACGTAAGAATGCATCACCGATAATAGCTAAAGGACCAACTGGCTCTGGGAAGTCCATTGGAGTAATAGCAGAAATACAAGAACCGGACACTTCTAGTGTGTAATCAAATGGAGAAATGGTGAAAACTTTACCATTGAACTTGAAACTCAAATTTGGTAAACTACCTCTTGTGTTACAGTCGACAGTGTATTGACCAGTCCAACCCTTCTTAGCACCTATTTGAGCATTGATAATTTCAGCAAGATCAGATGGTAAAGTAATTAAAGAAGTACCAGTATCAATCGCAGCACCATGGTTTTCTAGTTTAGCGAATTCTTCACCTAGGCCAATGGCATCAAACTTAACTTCCCAATAAGCCTTACGACGAACCGGTAACCAAGTAATATCACCAGTAAACTTACTCTTGTCAATACCACCGAAAGTGGCTTCACCACCCTCAGCATTTTCATCAGTACTGTCACCTAAATAGAAAGCGAATCTACCTTCATCAACAATATTTTGATTAATAGCATTGTAAAATGGTGGAACCATCTTATTAACGGAAATAGAATCATAAGCAAGACCTAAAATACCATCAAATTTACCGAATGCAAAGGCTAGACCTGGTTCGTTGGTAGCTTCAGCAAAATCTTGTTTTGGAATAGTTAAATCACCAATAGTAATTAAATCTTGGGAGACATAACCTTCTAAAGAACCAGAACCGTATCTAATAGCAAAATCAGTACCATTCTTCTTATAAGTAGAAGATACAGAATGATCATACTTGGAGTGTAAGAAACAAGCAATAGAGTTACATTCAGAACTTGGTACCCATAAGTTGGAAGAACCAGTATCTAAAACAACCTTAAAGCTTTGCGGAGGAGTACCAATGGTAATATCGGCATAATATTGAGCATTCATATAGTTAGCCAAAGGAACGTTATGACCTGAACCTTCAGTAAAAAATGGAAGTTCTCTGGAGAATGAGACTTCCGGGTAAGCTCTTTCGAAAGTAGTTAGGTACTTGTGACCTAATTGGGCAATATGATTTTGGAAGTTAATTTCACTAGCGCCTTCAGATAAGTCACGTTTGTGAAGCTTGGCAGTATGAACTTTAGCTTCGGCGACATTGAAACTGTTAACTAGCATCATAGCTAGTGGTAGAAGGTTTTGTAATTGCATTGTGAAAACTGAATTAAAATAAAAAGAAGGTTATAATAGTTTAGGGGGTGCTGCAAATGTTAGAACTTACAAAGAGTGTGTATATGAACTAGCGGTAGCGGAAGTTAAAAAATTTCGAATAGATAACAGATTAAAACAAAAAAATGAATGTTATACCCAAAAATCTTCAGTGATATATATCTGTCTTATCCTAATATAGTTGCAATGGTAATCTGACAAAAAAAAGTCGCAAATGTAAAGGAAAAATAGTAATTTCTAATATTAAAAAAAAGAGAAAAGGTTTGTACTAGTACCCGTTTAAATTAATAAAGCTATATTTGTAAGGTTTATATTTTCTTTATTAGTAGTATGCAATAAGAACTACAATAATTAAAATAAAATATGGGTGTATGTCAAATTCCTTTAATGGTTTCCCCTTTTTATATTCATTTTAACCCTCTAATAATCCATTATCGCCTTATTAATTCACAGTTTACGGAAAAGGGTAAAAAATGGTCTGGTTTAAGTTTTAGTTAACTGCGGAGTTTTAACTGCGAAAATTGTAAAAATTTTGGAAGAATGGAGGGGGCTACCCCGCCGTACGTGTGACCTCACTGTGTACGGCACCTATTGTATTGATTACTTTAAACAATTTAATATATTAGTTAGTGAATGTTCATTAAAAGAAATGTTTCTATATAATCGTCTACATAAATTGGTTATTATGTTTCTCTAGGGTCTCTTGATTTAAAACAGCACGTTTGGCCTTCTTGATTTGCTCGTTCTTTGATGCGAAATCATGAGATCTCTTTGTATTATGTTCATTTCTGTCGGTCTGTTCCTTATTACTATTATTATCGTTAGGAAGGTTATTAGAATCAATAAGTCCAGCTGGTGATGAATTTAACTCATCCATATTTTTTTGTTTATCATTTGCTTTTCTTTTTGCAATGGCTTCTGCTTTACGCATAGCCATAAATTTAGTTAATCTCTGGGGAAGTAATTTTTCTTCCGGAGTTTGTTCTACAAGATTTCTTTTATCTTGAGAACGATCTTCTATAAATATGCCAGTGGTATCTTCAAGGTTTACTTGGAAACCAATCATGATATTATCATTTGTATCCTCTACAATTTTAATGATATCATGATCCCTGACTAATATTTTGTAACCTTTCTCTATCTTGATACCATTTACAAATGAAGGATTTGTACCAGTATGACAGTACCATAAATCTTGTAGACCTAATGCAGGTGCTTCATAAAAGCTATCACCAACAACATGTCTGTTCTTAATGAAAAAACAATTGATACGAGATAATCTATTTTCATCAATGGTTGTATTACAATCAAGTGATCTTCCAATAAAATATGGATTAACACCTTGTCTCATTATAATATTATCTGTAATAGAACTATTAGTTAATGGTGTTAAAGTCATAAATAGACCACTATTATTGCTTTTTTTGATTTTATTCTTGTTTGAAGGTTGAACTTTTGGTTTATGCGATTGTTGTGATGCTATTTGTGGTTGTGTACCAGGTTGGGTATATCTCATTGGTTGAATATTAGGTACTTTAAATCCCAAGGGTTTTGTATTTTGACTCGCTTCTTCTTCTAATTTAAGCATCAGGTCACGTCTTAAATTCTTTACTAATTCATATTGAGCATCACCTAAATTTTCCAATTCTCTCTGTTGTGACATCGATTCAGATAATGATACTTGTGAAATTTGACTACCTAATTCAGTATCAATATTAGGTACTATATTCATTAAGCCCATTCTAATCCATGGATGTTGTAATGCTTTCTTTGCAGTTAAACGTTTTGTAACATCCACTTGTAATAGCGAATCAATGAAATCTTTGGCTTCCTCAGAGACTCTATAATCTCTCAAAGGAGCATCATGATATGAACCATGAATGATCTTTTCAAACAGATCAGCTTCTGAATTGCCACTAAAGGGCAAATGGCTGGTTAGAATCACATATACAAGACAACCCAATGACCACATATCTACCATATTCGAATATTCATTATAATGTTCATCACTATTACCACCGCCATTTGTATTGCTATTGTTACTAGTGGTTGTACCTGACCTGTTATTTAAAACCTCTGGTGCCACGTAGGCCAATGTCCCACAAAATGTTTTCAATCCCGATTCTGTTGCTTGAACTTTAGCGAGACCAAAATCTGTTATCTTTATCAAAACAGGATCATCTTGTTCTATCAATATATTATCAGGTTTTAAATCTCTATGAGAAATCCCCATAGAATGTATATATTCTACAGCTTCCAAAATTTGTCTTGTGATTTCTCTACCTGCATCTTCTCCGACTACACCATGAGCCACGACGAAATCCATAAGGTCACCACCAGATACAAATTCCATCACCATATAATAATTCAAATCATCTTCATAAAATGCTTTTAATCTAACAATCCTTGGATGTTCCAATTTCTCTAATACTTCTAACTCTCGAGTGACACCATCAATATTACCCATTACTTTCCTTTTATTAATAATTTTAACAGCATAAGTTTTACCTGTCTTTCTTTCTGCTGCTCTTTTTACTGTGGCAAATGCACCTTGACCAACTACCCTATCCTCAATAGAAAAATCTTTATAAATGGGACTCATGTATTTATTATCTGCAATCCCATTGCTGTTATTACTATTTGAAGTATTATTCCCAGGAGATAACTTAGATCCTGCTGTTATTTCATCTAATCTAGCTCTTTCATAAGCCTGTTTAAATCTATCACTAATAAATACCATTAACGTCAAGACATCACTTGCTACACCTGCTCCAACAGTAATTTCATCACCTTGAGATAATAATTGATTTGTTTTTTTTGGGATTCGTTCACCATTTAATATTGTACCATTAGTCGATATATCTCTTAATAATAAATTGCAATCTTCTCCTAACATTATTTGAAAATGTTTATTAGAATATCGACTATGATTTTCAAATTGGTAATCTATTGCAGGTGGGCTTCCTCTACCAAATGTCCAAACTTTTTTAATTGGTGTCTTTATCTTCAGAACATCTTGGATTTCAATGGTAAGATCTTTAATTGGAATTGTACCATTAGTACACACTATTCTACAGACAATATTTTCATTTATCTGTTCCTGAGAGAACTTTTCTACCAGAAATCTTTGTGTAGCTTGAGTAGCTTGTTGTGTAGGCTGAGTAACATTCATTTGAAACTTATTCTCCCTTCAATTCGAATTTTACTCAGTTTAAACTATTTGTAATCGATTCAAACGAATACAGACTGAAAAATAAAATAAAAAAAAGTAAATGTCACTTACAAACTTCTCTATAACACTACTATTGAATAAAAATAAACTAAAAGTTCGATGTATAAATTAATAGTTTTCTCCTTTCTCAATATATCACTAACCACCATCATCATCTCTGAAATTATTACTAAAGTTTCACCTTCAAAGGTTAGATTGAAATGGTTGTTACCTCTGGTGAATTTCTCTTTCTCTTCCCGCCTCGATTTTGTCATTTTCGTTTTTTTGCTTTTTGGCGATCGGATTTGGTTTTTTAAGTGAGGAATATCGGCTGTCCTGCGGTGGTTCCTGTGTATCTTGCAAAACTTCAAATTTTGTCATTTTTACGCGTTCTTTTTTGTTGCTGTGGTAACGAAAGTAGGGGCATATATAGAATATTTTTCATTTCAGATTGAGATGACTATGAACTGGCGAAAAGGTGAGTGGGTCGTTGTAAGAGTAGTTGGTCCTCTATCTGCTTGTGGTTGGTGGGTGGAGAACTTTATAGTTTCAACGTACTGAATTTGCTTTGTCGTTGAATGCATGCATTTGTAGCGAAAGTATATACATTGTTTGTAGTGATTTATAAATAAATTTATTTATACCCTACAGATGATTAGATATCATTTACTTAATATTTCGAAGCAGTACATCTGTGTAGTTACTTCTCATTGAGTTATATGTGTCTCTTTGTCTCTCTATCCTGACAGCTCCGACATTTTACTGTTTGTCGTTGTTCTCTGTTTGGTTTTTTAAAGTTGAAAAATTCACTTTTTTGGGTTTTTGCCCATAGAATTTGGGTGTGAATTAAGTAATAAAATAGTTGAAGAGGCCAATATAGAGAGAAAGGGAGACTTTATTTAAACTTACCTAATAAGATAAGTATATTACATTCATTGTAAGTTGTATACATTGTTCCTACCGTTTTCACATAAAAAAGAGTATTTATTGTTACTTGTGGAACCGAGAAAATGAGCGATACACTTAATCACAATGATTTCCCTGAAAAGAGATTACTTACAGAAGATGATATGAAAATATGGGAAAATAGTTCAACAAAGAATGATTTAATGAAATTTATAGTGACTTTAGCAGAAGCTGTTGAAGATCATGAAAATTTACAATTTGAAGAACCATTATCTCCAGCGATACAGAATACACAAACAATATTATTAAATTCTATTGAAAATTTTATTAAAGATCATCCGGTTGCAAATGATGAAAAGACTAAATCAAGATTTGGTAAAGTTGAGTTTAGAGATTTTTATGACGATTTACAAAAAAATGCCGTAGATTTAATATCAAAAACTTATCCTAGTTTGACTACTGCTCAAGTAAATCAATTATCAATATATTTGATAGAATCTTGGGGTAATAAGAGAAGAATTGATTATGGTTCTGGTCATGAATTAAATTTTATGTGTTTCTTATTTGGGTTAACTCAATATAAGATATTTTCATTACATCAGGATAGTGTAAACCTCATTTTGGTAGTATTTATCAAATATTTAACTATTATGAGAACTTTAGAATCCCAGTATTGGTTGGAACCAGCAGGTTCCCATGGTGTATGGGGATTAGATGATTATCATTTCTTGCCATTTTTATTTGGTGCATTTCAATTAGCTAAACACAAACATTTGAGACCAATGTCGATTCACGATGAAGAAATTGTTGAAATGTTTAAGGATAAATATTTGTATTTTGGTTGTATTTCATTTATTAATTCAATTAAGACATCTGCATCATTAAGGTGGCATTCTCCAATGTTAGATGATATTAGTGGTGTGAAAAAATGGTCAAAAGTGGCAGAAGGAATGGTTAAAATGTACGATGCTGAAGTATTGAAAAAATTACCTATAATGCAACATTTCTATTTCAGTCAGTTTTTAAAATGCCCAGATGGTATTAGTCCACCACATGAGGGAATCCAGGGAAATATTCATGATGAAGAATTGGAAGAAGAGTTGAGTCACATGCATAACACTTACGGTGATTGTTGTGGTATTAAAGTTCCTAGTGCATTTGCAGCTGCCGCAGAAATTAATAAAAAATCTCATAAACCTATACCGTTTGATTAAAATAAATAAAGAAGTATATATGTATATATATCTCAGAATCTTTGTGATGATGACATTGGATTCCACGGTAATCCTGGATCTTCTGTTGGTGTAGCAGTGTTGGATTGTTTCCATATTTTAATACTTTTATCTGTCTCACCAGTGATTAAAGTGAATCCACTCTTATCAAATGTACTCGTTAAGATCCCACGTTCACTGGACAAGGATCCCTTTGCTGGTTTAGTAACCAGTGATTGGTATAGATGGCCTGACTTATAATCATAGAATGATAACTTCCCATCATCACTACCAGAAAACAATACATCATCTTCATTTATACTCAAAGTATTAATAATACCCGTGGATTGAGATACAAAATTTGTCAGTAAGGATCCCTCTGGTAATCTCCATGATCTAATATCATCTGTAGAGGCAGATGCAAATGAAAATTCTTTCGGGTGCACTGATATGCTTCTGACGTTTCTCTTATGGTGTGTTAACACTTTCATGCTCTTACCTGCGACCAGGTCCCATAATATCACCGTAGCATCTGTAGAACAGCTGACAATCTGTGGATCTACAGGAAGACACTCTACTTTATTTATTGGGCCTTTATGTCCAACTAAAGTTGTTACAGCTTCCTTAGTTCTAATATCCCAAAGCTTAACTACACTATCTCTACCAGCTGTAGCAATTAAATCAACTGTAGGATGAATCGATACAGTATGGACACCAGAATGATGACCATAATAATCTCTAATAGCAGTATTTTTCTCTAAATCCCAACATTTTACTAATTTATCCTCACTTGCAGAGAACATATATGGATGACGTTCAGAGACAGCTACACCACGGACACTCATGGCGTGCCCAGCCAATGTAATCTTTAATTTACCTGTTAACATATCCCATACTTTTATCGTCGTGTCATTACTTCCTGTGACAAACCATTCATTTTGAACCGGGTCAATTGCAACACATCGTACCCATCCAAGGTGACCATTTATTATTTTGGTAAGTCTCCATGGTGCATGCCATTTGGGTTTCTGTAAGAGTAACTGTCTTCTTCTTTCCATTAAGGAATGTTCTATGATGGGGCCATTTGACTTTGATATACTTGTGTCCATTTTAGATAATGCGTTATTTGTTGGGGGGATGTCATTTTGAATTGGTGTTCCTGAAATTTGGTATCCGATATGTAGGTTATTCTTATTATTCAATTCATCTTGTAAATGTTTCGGTAAAGTTGCCATGGAACTAAATTGATTCGTCCACCTTGCCTTTCTATAGACCTCATCAATTTGTTGTAACACAACATTCTCGTGTTTGGAATTATAATTATCCATTGGTTATTCAACAAAACTATGTGGAGTCACCTTTATTGATATTCGTAATTTAAATATTATTGAAAGGTTAAATGTCTCAATGTTATAATCGCAGAAGGTTTATATAACAAAGTAGGCACAAATTAGCTGTAAAAGTACTACGTGGGACCTATATTATTCCTGTAGCGTTTTCGGTGACCCAATAGGACTGTATTCAATTCAAGCTTCCATTACCTCTCTTCATTTTGCCTGTCTTCGTATTTTATGTTTTACATTAAAATTGTTCAAAGTCGCTCAGTACGGGGAAGCGTCTTAGTATTAGCGTTAGTATTAGCGAAGATGGTAAATAGTAAATAGACAGTATGTATATGTAGAATCTCATTAAGAGACACCACAGTTTTTTCAATAACAATAATAAACATTAAAAAGTTTCCCCTTTTCTCATATATTACATTTTCAGTTAATAGTAGACCATCTACATACCATTGAAATAGATAATACTTTAAATTAGATACGGCATTAAGTCTTTTCTAATAAATTTGTCAAGAACGATAAATCCAGCGACCTTTTTAATCTTTAATCATTAATAGTTACTAGGAAACTCATAGTGAAAAGCAAGTAATCTATTCATTAAAAACAGGACAAGCATATTATTTTGCATTATTTGTTTTTCTTTTTCATTTTAATACAACTGCATTTATCATTTTGTTGGCTATAGCACTTTGCCCTCACTAATATCCGGAATTTTTACAAATTAGTATATTAATAGGAGGTATATTATAAAATATAGTGCTTAACACACCTATAACAAAATAAATTCCTTTTCTTTTAGTTAATTGAAACAAGGGGTGTACAATAACAATAAATTAATTCTCATTTAAGTGATACTATCAATCCAAGTATAATGAATAATGGCGCAGCTACAACAATTACTAAGGCTGAACAAAATAACATCAAAGCAATTATAGGAACTTCATACAACAAACTTTACAGTCAATTTCAATCCGATGAACTATGTGATGTAGGTAATTATAAGATTCTTAACCAAATTGGAGAAGGTAGTTTCGGGAAAGTCTATCTAGCTTGCCATAAGCTTACACATCACAAAGTGGTCCTGAAGACAAGCGATAAGAAAGATCCTAACATTGTACGAGAAGTATTTTACCACAGACAATTCAACTATCCACATATCACTAAGCTATATGAGGTAATAGTGACAGAAACAAAAGTTTGGATGGCACTTGAATATTGTTCTGGGAAGGAATTGTACGATCATTTATTGAAAATGAAGAGAATACCCATAAACCAATGTATTGAATTATTCTCACAGATATGTGGTGCTGTTTATTATGCACATTCTTTAAATTGTGTTCATAGAGATTTGAAACTAGAAAATATATTACTTGATAAAGATGGGAAAGCCAAATTGACAGATTTCGGTTTTACAAGAGAATGTATGACCAAGTCCATGTTAGAAACTGTATGCGGGACAACAGTATATATGGCACCCGAACTGACAGAGAGAAAAATATATGATGGATTTAAGATTGATATATGGGCATTAGGGGTCATATTATATACAATGATGACAGGTTCAATGCCATTTGATGAAGAAGATCAGGTTAAAATAAAATGGAAAATCGTCAATTCAGCACCGGATTACAACAGTCCAGTTATCACTGAGGATGCAAAAGATCTATTAACAAGACTCTTGTCTAAGGATCCTATCAATAGGCCAACCATGAAAGAAATTTTAGAGCACCCATTCTTACGTCCGTATGGTTCCACGATCCTGAAAGACACCGATGCAATTATTCTAAAACAGAGAGATGGTACATCGAGATTTCACAGTAAAAGAGAGAGGAGATTATTAAAAATGCTACGGCGGAGTGGATTTGATGTTCATGCAATTAAGAACTCTGTCATAAAACGAAAATGCGATAATCTGTCTGGGTTATGGTTCCTCTTATTAGATGGACAGATTAAGCACGACCATACTCTTCGACCAAGAAGAAATAAGTCAGTACTATCTGTTCGAAATGTCTTTGATGGCCCAAAGTCATCCCATGATAACGAAAACAATGAAGGGATCATTAGGACTTCTCTGGAATTAACGAAGGTTGCATCCATAGGTAAAATGATAAACAAAACAGCAGATACAATATCCTTGTCACCAATCATACATCACATTAGTTACAGTAATGATGGAATAACCGATAAAGTGAATACAAATAATTCTGTAGAAGAGCCTATAAATAATAAAAATAATATTAGGGTATCTTCGATGCCTGCAATAAGGGAAAATAATATGAGGAAGAACAATAATATATTTAAGAAAGTTTCTGATTTTTTTAAACAAAAAAAATACTTAAATAGTCAAAATGGATTAACTGATGAGTTTTTAGGCACAGATAACCGTTCGATGGTTAATGGTTCTGTCACACAACGTTCTCAATCAACTAACGGTTTAAAAAAGGCTAGCAGAGATAGGGGTGATTTGGATAGTAAAAGAAAATCGCAACTAACGAGACCTAAAAGTAAAACTGTAGTTGAATTTAAAACTACCAAGAAACCTATACAAGCTAGCAATAAGAGTACAACAAGAGTTTCATCTTCTGGTGAACCAAATTTCATTGGTTATGAACAGCCAGTTGTGAAGCGTTTTAAATCAACCACATCTAGTGATACCTCTCGGCAGGCTTCCTTACTTAACTACGATGGCGATTCTTTGAGAGTGGTACGTTCATCGTACTCAGATATAAAGGTTTCACCCAAATTGTCGGAAACAAGACCATTATCTAATGTTTCACAATTTTCGAATGATACAAACACATCTGATTACTCAACTGATGGAAACACAACGTTTCAGAACAGTTTTGATAGTTCTGCAAAACCAGCACTAAAGCATGGAAGTTCTCAATATTCACTAAATTCCAATTCTGAACTTGGTGTGAAACCACCTTCATCAAGGAAATATTTAAGGCGGAACTTAAGTGTTCGATCAGAAGCATCTAGTGCGTCTGAAAGAAGTTCAAGGACGGACTCATTTTACGATATAACTACAACCACAACCCAAATCAAACCATTCTCAAGGAATAAAAATGTAGGAAACCCTAAGGATTCTGTACTACCACATTTCTCTGTTCAAAAGGGAAACGGTACATGGCCGTCACCAAACAGTAATAAGTATATGCTTCCTAGGAGAAGCTCACTTGGTCGCAGAAGAAGAAACAAGAAACCAAGTTTCTTAAACAACTCACAGCCTGGGGCCGACGACATTATAAGGGAGGAATCATCCTCTGTGGACGATGATTCAGATATACAACAAGGTAATTTTACTTCAAATATTCAAAGTAATATATTGGAGAAACATGATGAGGTTGTCGCTGAAATCAGTGATAATGATGATGTGTCTCTTCCAAATACTCAGGTCATACAGCATGGTCACAGTTTCATAAAAAATTCTAATCCTGAATTATCTCGACGAGACTTTAGTGGAGGAAGTGAATGGTCTGCTTTTCAAAACGATTCTAAATCATTTATCACAGGAACAGAAGATGAAGGTTCCATCGGAAATGCCGACAATGAAGAAAGTGAAGATCATGACGACCCCGAAGATTAGGAAGGAAATATGTATAACAAATTGTGCATGCATTGGGTGGTCATATTTTACATACTTTATTTATAAGCATAGATAAAATATATTAGATCTTTTAATCATTAATCGTAATATCTTTTATCGTTTACATATTGTAAAAAATTTAAATGGTCGCACATTTATTTCCCATTTTCGTCCATATACCTCTTTAGATGGTCAAATGGTGCCCCTTCCATTCCTTCAACACTTAACCATTTCATTGATTCGTTTATTGCATTCATAATACCTTCATCAATATCGTTGTTATCTACCACATCAGCAAACGCATCCAAGAATTTGTCATTTTCTACAGAATTTTCATCTAAGGTTGCAGAGTCTGAATTGAAGTGTTGTAATTCATCTATCTTTTCTTGAGGAAGTTTGAGACCATCCTTAAGGAAAAATTCAAAGAAATCATCGTCGTCAATATCTATATTTTCGGATTTAAAAAAGTCCTTCGCTTCCACATCAGGATTACGAGCATCTAAGGATGAATGCGAATTAACATTTTGTTTTCTATTCTCTTGTGGGGTACCAGATTTAGATAAAAATTCTAGAACCTTGTTAAATGATTCCTGATCTGGAACCATATCCTCCTTTAACTTAATGGTATCCAATAATGATCTGTCTTTAAAATTAAAGTTTGAAAAGGTGGTATTCTTATATCGTTCAACAGAGTTTGTATTTACATTGTCTACCTCTTGAACGGACAATGTCTTATCCTCTAACAGCTTTTTCAACATCAATGATATGATCTCACCAGAATAAGATTCTATGTTTTCTTTATCTTCTTTCAAACTCCTTGAATCCATATATAGAGATAATAAATCTAAAGAAACTTTTGATACTAAAAATGTGCACTCCTCACCCTTCCCATTGTATTTCGAAATATTAGGAACTTCGACATCATTTGTATGAAATTGTTTAACAATAAAATTTAAAGCAGCCGGATTATCCTTTAAGATCTCAAGGCACCTCTCATCACCAATTTTGACTTTCAATAATTGTAAATCATCTAATCGTTCCTGAGGAAATGAATTGATGTATTTGTTATCAATTTCCTTCATCAGTTTTTCATCAGTTATTAGCTTGTAATGAGCCTTGCCTAAAAATTCGATACATTCGGACCATGTAAGTCCTCTATCAGGATAAAAATAGGTGGGGATCAACTTAAATTTACCGTCATGCAACCATAATCTATTATTAGCTATCGGATAATTGAATTCTTCGGGTACTGTCTCATTACAACCTGCTAGTATAAAATCTCCATCAGTGTCGCATATCTTAACGAATACTTCAGGACCAAATCCTTGAGCTATCTTGTGTAATATTCCTACTATTACAGCGTTTTGTTCGATGGTATTATCCTGTGTACATTTATACCCATATAAATAAGGTGTAGAATCTGGTAATTCTTCGAATCGTAATTTAAAGTTAGATAATTCTGACCACGGGTAGTTTTCATTCCAATATTTAAATTCTTGTGTTAAACTATCATGTATGGTGTCTAAAATTTTTTTTTCAGATAACTTCAATCTATCAACCAAAAATATTCCAAAGCATGCGTATGTTTTATCTGGGGCATCGAAAACCTCAACAATATTTTCATTTTCATGCTTTTGCCAGAGCCAATCGACACTTAGGCGGTAATCGTCATCTATCTGTCTCAAAATCTTCATAAATATATGTTCATTTAGATGAGTATGCAATTATATGGTACAGTGCCCGGATATATAACAATAAAATGTTCACGTTAACACTTTCTCTTATCTCTTTTTTGACGTTTCACTTTTTTAGTTGAAAGGTCATCTCTTAAAATTTATTTACATTTTTCAATGCGCTAAAAATAAAGGGCACAGATAACAATAATAAGTATGTAATTTTTACTTAATCAGCAGACTTAACACTATCTGACATAATTGTTAATTGTGTTAGAAATGGGATATTAATAAGGGATTGTATTTATACTTGATGAATACCGTATGGGGTGGTCTAGAAGACTTATCAGATCATGAATGAGATTAGAAGATTAGTATGGAATGGTACTTTGAATGTTCAAATTGAAATAGACAAATCATTAATTATTTCGACAAGAGGTGATAAACCTCTGTACGTTAATATCAAAATACCTAGAGAGACATATATTTCCTTGTTTACAGAATCAATACTTCACAGAGTGAAGGATTATCTCCGAAAAGATATAAGTGAGATAGTGACGAATATATGGTTTGAGGCAGATGGTAATTTATTACTATGGAATATACCGATAGGAACCTCGCATGACATAATAACGAAGAGTAGAGTAGGATCTATGAATGATATATCTGATAGTAACACATTCATTCAAGTATGGAAGATCAAGCTAGTGTGCGGAGCAGATTTACCTGCTACACATATCCCTATAGTTAACGGGAATAGTCAGATACAGAAATATTGGATGCATCAATGGAAGCAATCATGTTTCATATTAAATGGATCGTCTAAAGGGGTCATGTCACTTCATATGAACGACTCTCAGTCTTTTTGGAACTCTATTCTTCATAGAACTCAAGATTCTTTTGAAGAGATAAGCAAGAAGATCATTCCAAAATTTCCTAGAAAGATTCCTATCGTTTTGCATACTAAAGGACAGACAGATAGTCAATATCATCCTATGATAGTAAATGTTGATAATGAAGGGGAAAAGAAAACATTGAGTCAATTGGTTGAGCAGTTTAGTGAAGCAAATAATCTCGAAATAATAAATGTAGTATCCCAGGGGATCCCATTGCCATTAGACCTTGATCTTCATTTTTTATTCTTGGTGTTTTCCAGTTTTGATGGATTTTTACACTTAATTATTACACATCCTCAGGATACAGCACAGGACAAATCATATTAAAAAGATACAAACCTATATATATATATATTACCATTTATAGATTAATTAATGTTTAGATTTAATTAGACAATAGGAGATTAGATAGTCATGATCGTGGGACATCGATAAAAGGACTTCGATTCGATCTAAGATATAACGATTATAGAATTCCTTATATGTTGGGCAAATATTTGGGAATAATCCTTCGACTTGTATCATCGGAGCGCCTGACACCGTATTTGACTTGGTAAATAGTTTCGAATATATTGTTTGAGCGGGTGGGGCCTCGGTTGATGGTATGTAACCTGATAGTGCCTTTAGAATAGACTCCTTTGCGGCCCACACACCAGCAGTATAATTTATTAGTTCTTTATTTAGTTCAACATGTTCCGATTTATTTAATAGTTTGAAGAATTTCTTCTGTTCCACTGTTGTCATAAACTTATTTGTTATCCTTTTCAGCTTTCTGTAATCTCCAACGGTATGATTTCTTTGTAAAAGTCCAACAATTCTTGGTATATAAACAATATCTGTTCCGATTCCTAAGACATTATTCATTTCATAGGTATAAGACCTTAACAACTTTTCTTGTGGAGGTAGTCACGACTTGAATACGTTTTTAAAATAGTTCGATTTTTTATGTTTAAGAAAGAAATAGTCATTTTTCAATTTTGAACAGAAAAAGACCATAAAAAAAATTAAATGAAAACCTTATTTTATAAAAATAATTACTAAAAGTTATTTACAAATTGAACTCCTCAAAGAACGCAGATATCTTCTCATATAAAAACTTTTGAGAGGCTGGTTGTTTGACACCATGAGATGCACCAGGGACAATTCCGGAGTTTTTAGACCAAAATTTTGGATTACTGATAGATTCCCATCTTTTCAAAACTGCTGGTTTATCGATCTCTTTTGGAATAAACTCGTCCTTTTCTGAATATGCAACTAAGAATGGCTTGTTGATTTTACCAAAAGTCCGTTTCAACGAATCGTCAGATAAATCTGTTGAAAAGAAATCGTCATCTCCATTTGGTAACATGACTGAACACCATCTATAAGCGGTAACCGGTGTGTCATTAGTGTATGCCATATACTCACGAGGTAACATTTCCTCACCTTTACTTTCGTCTAATAATTTCCTAGCTCTACTATTTAAATCATCCCTTATTTCCTTTGAAGCATACAATGTGAAACATTCTCTATCAGAACATGATGCTTGTAGGATACCGGCCTTGATTGAATCGCTAATTGTTAACAAAGATTGCATAACATCTTGAGAACCTGTAGAGTGTCCCATTATGACTATTTCTTTCTTGTTACCACCTTCTTCTGATTTCAGATAATCAATTAATTGTTTAACTTGAGCAACGTCTTCCTTCACAGAAGATGTCCCCCAACCAATAAAACTACTTTTCATTTGAATTTGTACCACAGAATAACCTAACGGTTCTAAAACATGTGGCAAATTAGCCAAATAAGGAACTGTAGTTAAACCATCAGTCATACCACCGATCATAATTAACGCTTTTGGTAAACCTGCTGGTTCATATTCAAATGCGACTTGATGTTCATTATATTTATGCAAAATACCGTTAAACTTCATTTAATCTGATTTATTTTTTCTTTTAATTCTGGTTAAGTCTTTACTTCTGTTGTGTATACCTAATTTGAATGTAATTGAACTTATCTATATATATTTGATTGATTCTTTGACATCTATTGTTAAAAGAGGGGGGGTTGAACTTATCTTTCGAAGACTTTAAGTTTGATAAAGGTTTAGGCGGCTTTAAAAAAATCAGCGTTTTAGGGAGTACCATCATTATGATTAATAATCAATAATATAGAGGTGAGAAGGAGTTAACTTACTAAAAAGAGCTTGTCTTTTGGAATCCTTTAAGAAGTAATATTAGTGTACAAAAAGATATTTATATATATATATATATGTGTGTGTGTGTGTGTGTGTGTGTTTGTGTGGAAGGAAAGTTTAAATTCAAACGTGAATGTATTGCTTATATGTGGATTACCAACAAAAAAAACGAAAGAATAAATGCAAAATATATTAATAATATGATATTGGGTTTAAGATTATGGGAGATAACTGTTTCCTTATTTGAAATCCTTGTGAGTCCATTTTTCAGTGATGTTTTGCTTGTATCTTCTACCTCTCTGTAGTGGTATACGGGACTCGATCTTACCTGAACTTTGTAATTTTCTAACGTTATCGTATAGTAGATTACCTTCCGGTTTTAATTTTCTCAAGGAATCAGATAATTCATCAGAAAATTTAATCTCTAACCTTTCATCTAGGATACCATATTTGGTACCTAATTTATTCTTATTATGTCTTCTTTCCTTTGTGACTTTACTTGTGGTTTCAATTTTAGATTCTTCTTCTACGACAGCTCCAATTTCTTCGATCATTTCCAGTTTCTTAACATGAATCTTAAGTGTTTTCAATTCTTGTTGTAATTTGACTTTTTCCTCATGCTTCTTAGCTTTATTTCTTTGATATTTAGTCTTTTTCTTATTTTTAACTGGGTCATTAATGGATAATCTATAGTCCGATCCATCCTCTTTTGTTTCGGTGGTGTGGTCAGCTTCATCAGATGATTCGTCAGAAGTATCTTCATCTTCTTCTTCATTATCATTTAAGGTTTCCATTAAATGTTTTATCTTTTCTTTGTATTCAACTAATTGAACCCTTTTCTCTTCATTGATGACTTCTTTTTTATATTCTGTAATCAATAAAGAATTCCACTCTTTAGATTCTGGGTTATAAGATTTACCAGAATGTGGAACGCTTTCATATTTACGTACTTGAACTGGTTCAATCTTAGATGTGGAAGGTGCCACAGATGGAAGTGACCAACTAGTGGTAGACTTACTCAATAATTCTTCTGGAATATGTGTTTCTGAGTTAATATCCAATTTAATCCCTGAAGGTAATGTAACAGATTTTTTAGAATCATTCTTTAAGACAGGTTCATCACCCCATAAATCTTTTGTGTCAGATTTAATCAGACCATCTTTATTGAGACGATTTTTCAATTTACTTTCACCTTGAACTTTACCAGCTAACGCTAATAATTTATTCAATTTTTTCTTAGAGACACCTTGAATTTTTCCCTTTTTCTCTGAATGCAAAGAAGAATCATGTTTGTGATGTTTCAAAGCAGAAACTTTAGAATTAGTCTTAATCGATTCTAAGATTTCTTTACTTTTCAAATTTTTTTTTATTTGTTTTCTCTTAATCAATTTAGATTTTAGTTCATCATCACCAGTATTATCAACAGCAAATAATGCGTCATTTTTCAAAGTAGATAAATCAGCAACACCATGAGTAATCTCTTGTTCAATCTTATCCTCAATAGATTTTTCAATATCGGTCAAATCAATATTCTTTCTCCAGGCCTTCTTACCCTTTCTGGAGGATTGCTTATACTGAGCAGGTCTAGCTGATTTAGAAGATGGAGCCATTGTATACTGTTGCACGTATAGATCTGCCTACTGTTGGTTATTTCGATATCAAAATAGATTTGGATGAGACACTTATCTATATACATTCATATATAATCAAATACGTATATGTATATTAGGAACATTATTTGATGGGCTCATCTCATCGCAAATGAATTTCTTCATTTTGTCTGAAAAAAATCGCTGGAAAAAAAAATTTTATGATTTTGTAGTTCGTGGAACGCGATGATCCATCAAAAAAGTGTTCCAACATGCATACACGTATTCGATTAAGAAAATGCCGTACGAGATATAGATGCCAAAGCTGGTTGATGGTTCCCTCCCCATATCAAGTTTGAGGGCGTGGGGGGTGCGTCACAAATGGAACTAACAAATTAGTACTTCTAGCACCCACCTTTATAGATATTCAAACAAGATGTATATTCAATTTTTATGAACAGCACACATTATGAATTTATGCACTACTTGATCATCATTAAATAAAGTATGGCGCATTTAAAGGTTTGTCATTTTGTAATACATTCACTGAAGTAGCATTGATCGGGCTACGGATTGCTTAAATATATATGTAATAATTGATATAGACATACCTACATATATTAAAAATAGTACGTTGCAACTAAAGAACGGCATTGCTGTGAGCTAGTATTTTGTATCGATCAACAATTCTCATGATTATTAATGTCTTCCGCGACATAATGTTTCTATTCGCCCTTAAAATGGTCAATTTTTTCTCACCATCGAGTGAATATCATGAGAATAACATATGCTTTATTTGTAGAGTAAGAATACACGCACCCCCTCTAATACCTGTTTGAGAATTTATTAAACTGATTGAGGATGTTAAGTAATCAAGGATGTAGATATATACATATGTACGTATATATATTTGTATAAAAATAGGGGGGGTTGTGTATTGAAGACACTTTCAATTTTTACTAGTAGTAAATGTATTTTTAAAAAAAAATGGATTGGCAGTACAGCGTTTGATGAGAAATACAAAAAAAATAATAATAATAATAATTTAGGAGTACTTGTGTGTGGACTTAGCCATAGAAGTATACTTCTGTCATCAATTCATAATAATAGTGGTGGACAAAAAGCTATTCATTAGCAGGTGACTGATGGGTGGGGGATTGAAATAACTTACAATACGATTTCTTCTTCTGAGTTCCATAGATCTCTCTTAAATCTCCAGTGTATAGCTGTCAAATCTTCTTTCTTATCTTCTTTATCACCGACTAAAGAACCACTTGGGACATTTTTCAAAGAAAGATTTAACATAGTAGCTAAAGAAATAAAAGTATCATTATCACCCGGTACTTCATTTTTTTCATCTGCAGGTGGTTGAGCATAATCTACTTCATTAAACCACCTTCTTTGCCAACGAATACCCTTAGCTTCTTCTTCTTTACGTAATTCTCTTTGAGTTTCTTCTAATTCTGTCTTTGCTACAGTAATTCCATCGAAATCATTACCGATGATTGCTTCTGCTACAGATTTCCAAGCTTTACGAGATTCTAACATATGTTGATCTTCAATTGGTTTCACAACCAAATGTTCGGCAGGAGTTCTATCTGCGTCATAAAATAAAACTTCTTCAGATGTAGTAATTTTCTTACCATCTTTAATATTTTTTGAAATTTTTGAAGAACCAGACCATTGACCACGTATCGTATATAATGCATTATCAGAACTTTTAGCTTCTTCATTATTCTTATAAATTCTTGCTTTGAAACTATTTTTTTTACCAGAGAAATAACCTCTACCGGAAAATTCAACAACACAAACCATACCATTAGTTGCTTGAATAAAAGATTTACCTTCTAATTCAACAAATGGTGATGCAACAAGAATACCTTCAATATGTAAAGGAGGTGGAGTCACTAAATAACTTTCATCATGAACATCTAAAATTGTATGACCATATTGTTTTACAGTTAACATCAAAGATTTAGTGAAACTTGCTTTAACTTCATTATAACCTTGTAATTTAACATTATTCTTATCATTAAATATAGAATATGCAGTAATTGGTGGATGGTGAGATACTTGTTCGGATAATAATACAGTTTCACCAAATTCTGGATTTGCTTTATTTTCCCATTTCCCGACAAATAATTCACCTAAGAAAGGATTTAATGGTTTTTTTTCATAACCCATTGATTCATTACGAGAACAATATTGAGATTTCAAGGTTGAAATAAACCATTTAGTAACAGCCAGCATACGTGCAATTTCAGCAGATTCGACTTCTAATTCAGGAGGAAATTCATCTTTATAATTTGAATCATTAATAAATGAAGGTTGTAAAAATAAATCTGGATGTTCAGCCCAATATTGAGAAAATTCAGATAAAGAAACTGGAGACAAAATAAAAGGTGGGGCAGATAATGTTGATAAATCACCATTAAATGAAGCAATTGACTTCAAAAATGAAGTCCATGTAGAACTACTAGCGTATTGAGACATAATTTATTATTTATATTTATACTATTATTATTATTATTGGTATTAATTTTGAATATGATAGAACCGATGTAATGGTAAACAAATATAGCACGTTAAACCAAAAGAGATGAAGACAAAAAGAAAAAACTCTGTTAAAGATCCCTTAGATAGTATCTGGACTTAACCTAGATATGTATACAGATCAAAATATTTAAAATTGACAACAAAAACAAAACAATAATGATAGCAATACTACTACGTATACGTTAAATATGTCAAACCAAATATATATATACAGAAGTAATAGATTGTTTACCTTATTTCAACGAAAAGTAAAGAAAGTAGTATCGAATTCTATCTTAACCGATTGTTTAATGAATATCGTAAGGAAAAAGACACCAATATCTTTCAAAAGACGGATAATAGTATTTCCCACATTTTTTTTACTATGTTCTCTCTCTATAAGTTTTAGTTTCACTTCCACATGTCTGTGTGTGAGTGTCCCTGAGAAATGTAATATGTTTTTTCTTTCGCTTTTCTCGTTTCTAAGAACAAGACAAGAAAATGAGAATAATTTCCGTTTTGCGCGGTTTTTGTTAGAAATTTAGAAAAATTTTCGTATCACGTCACTTTGAACGGAGCGGTAACTGGTTGTTCTTTAGAAGCTTTCTGCAAGGGACTGCTTGTTCGTGTGGAGTGATATGAGGGCTTTCAGAAAAAACATTTTTTGATGTGACTGTTGGTGGATTTTTGCATCCGTGCACCCACATTAATACAATCCGTACACCCAACATAATTGCGATTTTTCATCCGAAGAATGAGAAAAAAGTAGGAAAACCCATCAACAGGCGCGCACTGGTTGGAAGTGAGCGAGATATTCTTTTGACGCGGTCATTGCAACAATAAGCTCATTGAAACTTTCACTTCATAATCCTCAATATCAATCACGGTTTGTCATCTGCTGCTATTTACTACCTAATGGACAAGGGAAACTAGTGAGAACAGCTACAGTTCGGACAGCTTGAATCGCGTAATAATAGTTCTAGTATTATACTATTACACACAGTATGTGTGTGTGTGTGTGTGTATGCTAATTGTCATAGTATTACCACTTTCAGTTTAAACTAATATCAATAAACTACTATCTTATCTTGAACGGTATATTTTAATATAGTAATATTTATATATTTATATCTACGTTTAAAAGCTTTTCAAAAGTAAAAAAGAAGTGTCCATCCAACCACTTAACAACAAGATATATTATTATACAATGGCTGAATCTCACAGACTATACGTTAAAGGTAAGCATCTATCTTACCAAAGATCTAAGAGTGTTAACAACCCAAACGTCTCTTTGATTCAAATTGAAAATGTTGGTACTCCACAAGATGCTCAATTCTACCTAGGTAAGCGTATTGCTTACGTTTACAGAGCTTCCAAGGAAGTTAGAGGTTCTAAGATTAGAGTTATGTGGGGTAAGATTACTAGAACTCATGGTAACTCTGGTATTGTTAGAGCTAAGTTCAGAAACAACTTACCAGCTAAGACTTTCGGTGCTTCTGTTAGAATCTTCCTATATCCATCTAATATTTAAATTGGATAGTGTGTGTTTTTTGTTTGTTTGAAATATATTCTACTATCTTTCTTTTATTTTTGTTGCTTTAGTGATAAATATTTCATTCATTCTACACCATTCTAAATCTAAAAATTAAAAAAAAATACAATAATATTTAAGAAATTAATTAAATATTAAGGGGAAATAATAACAATTTTACAAAAAAATTAAAACCATACTCTCATATCATCATATAAAATAATAATTTAATAAAAAAACAATATAAAAAAATTATTAAAATAGGTAATACACGTAACAAATTTTCTATTCACTTTACATTTGATAAAATTTACATGTACATTTACATAATAATAAAATCACATGAGAAAATTTTATATTTATTTAAATAGATTTATATATTTATCCTGATTCATGTGTTCTTCATTTATGTGTTTGTGTGTGTTTGTTGTTATATATACTGTGTCTATGTAACAGTACAATTAATAGNTTATAGTTTATTATTTTATTTATTATATTTATTTTATTAATTGTCTATGTAATCGTTACAATCTAACACTTCTTGTCTTGAAGAAGTTGATGACTTTTCTTGTCGTTGATGGACGATGTGAATTTTGATACGTTGGATGTTGAAGAATATCCTCATGATCATCAGGATGTTCCCTCATTGTTGGTAATGATGGTTGATATTCATTCATTGAAGATATCATAATTGATGCCCTTTGTTTTGAATTGTTATGCGGATTATGCTTATTTAGTGTCCTTCTAGAGTTAACGCCACTAATGGTAGATGAATCATACATGACATTCTCTTTACCATCTTGCTGTCTATATGATAAATTATCCTGATAACCGGAATAGAATGGAAATAGACTAAACCTTTTCTTAGATGTATGATCAATTGGTTTCATTCTTGGTGGTAAATCAGACAAAGCATCTCCATTTGTTTGCGTATTAGTATTCGTTGGTGATTGAATCTCTTTATCATTGATATTTTTGGGTTTTAATGCTATTTCATCAACTTGTTCATGTAACTTCTTAATAGTAGTGTCAATATTTCCCGTAGATTTAATTAAATCACCAGAGACACTCTCTACATCCAACGAAATTTTACTCTTAATTGAGAAGGATCTGCGTGGGTATAATTTAGGAGACATCTCGAGAGAATGAGCAGATCTAGCTCCATCAGAGGCTCTTTGTAATTTGGGAGGTGATTCAAATGGTGATAATTCTTTTCTAATGGTCACACCGCTAGTTTTATTTAACATTGATGGAGACCATGCATCGATATTCGATCCATTTTGTTCTAATACCGTAGAAAAATTACCAGGATGATAACTTGTTGGTCTTAATTTTCTATGTCCATTATTCGTATGAGAATGGAAATATGAAGTGTTCTTGGATTGATTATCCTGTAATCGTAATTCATTGAAAACATCATTATTAATGATTGATGTCTTTGTCGGGCTCTCTAATATGGCACTATTTTTGTTCATTAAGGAACTATCGCCATTCTGTGAAGATGACGATGTTGAGATGCCAAATGCGTTCATATTAGATAAACTGATGATAGGTGAATTTGCGTTATATAGAATGTTTCGTTCACTATGAGACGATGTTGATCTTCTTGATAATGGACCATTTTCGGATTTAATAGCATAATTATTATTGGTATTAGTAGATGTGATGCTGCTTGTTCTATTCCTTTGGAGTAACAATTCACGTTCCGCGTCAACAACAGCTTGTAAGGCTAATGAAGCTGCTGAATTACTTCTAGTATGACCATTTCTAGAAGAAGATGGTCTTCTCTCCGGTGACGGTAATGATGGCATGGTTAGAACGTGTGATTGAGATTCTCTTGGAGGGACAGGGAACACTAGTAATGTTGAGTCTATTAATAATGAATCTCTCTTTTCACCATTTGAGTTTGTAGAGCTTGTGGAACATGCAGATAAAGGACGAGGTTTATTGAAATGATGATTTAAGTTATTATTTTGATTATCATGATTGTTGTTGTTGTTACTATTATTACTATTACTGTTCATATTTTGTTTATTTGTATGTTTTGGTAACCTTAAAATGTTTTTAGAAAATGCAATTTTATCCCATTCATCAGGAGTTATGGAAAGGAAAGGTAAGTGAGATGTTAACCATTTATGTTCTTTAATGTAATGCGAATTGACCCTTTTTGTTGGATCCGGGACTAATATATGTCTTAATAAATCTCTTGGTAAGGGACTAATATATTCTGGAAATTTTAATGCCGTTTGTGTAATGTATCTGTAAAGTCTCGCTATGTCGTTACCATCTGCATTTTCAATATCATCATCCCATGGTAAATAACCAGCTAACATGGCAAACAATATCACACCACAGGACCAAATATCAGCTTTTCTTGCCTCATAAGGTCTTGTACTTATCACCAATTCAGGAGCAGCATAACAAGGTGAACCACATGAAGTATTCATTAATTCATTTGATGAGAAAAATTCATTAACAAAACCAAAATCCGTTATTATAAGATTTTCATTTTTATCCAATAATAAATTTTCCAATTTAAGATCTCTATGGACTAAACCCTTTGAATGTATATACGAGACACCACTAATCAATTGTGCAAAGAGTCTACATGCAGGCTGTTCTTTTAATCTTTTCTTTCGTTGAATGTATTTATAAAATTCACCACCAGAGGCATATTCTAATACAATACCAATATATTTTGAATTTTGTAATACCTCATCTAATTTTACAATATTTGGATGATTTAATTGTTTCAATGCATTAATTTCTCTGTATATTTTAATTTCTTTATTTGAATTTTTCTTAATAGTATCTCTTTTAATCAATTTAATCGCTACCTGTCTTGGTATTTCAAAACTACTAGTATTAGCTTTTGACCAACCTAATTTCACTTTACCAAATTCACCTTCACCTAATGTAGAACCTATTATATATGGGCCAAATGATGGATATTTCTTTCTTTGAGTTTTATTTTCGGGACTAGTAGTCAAATGTGTTGATGCATGAGGATTAGATACATTTGGATGAGGGATAGTTATGGTGGTGCTTCCACCATAATATGTATGACGACGGTTTGTGTAATTAATATCTGTTGTCATTTTCGATTAATGCTATAAGTAATAAAATAAAAATGGAATATAAATATTTAGTCTTTAGTTGTATCTGTTCTGGAGAGTTTTCTTTTTTCGTTGTAATCTTTAAGTATTTAGAAGGAGAGAACTTCTAAGTCAATCAGTAATATAATTGATTGATATTAGGTTCTTTGGTTCTTCCTTCTTTAAGAATTTAGAGTTTCCAAACAAATTAGGAAAGAAATGCTTTGGTTATAATAATACAGAAGGGGTATTATAATTGTTGATGGAGTAAAAAATAAAAAAAGAAGACAAAAAGTACTTTCTTATTCAGTCAGTAAAGATTGTTCTAAGGGAAAAAGTCTTACACCAACTTCTGAAAAGTAAATAGAGTCTATATATAAACAGAAACCTTAGAAACCCTTGGTAAAAAGAACAGAAAGGAGCTAACTGAAGACCCTATATGTATTGCTAATTGAAGAAACGAAACAAAATCTGGGGGTAGACAATTATGTTGATTGACAAGTCAAGTATGGCTATTCATTCAAAACATAATCAACTTTAGACAAATAAACATTACATTAATTGAAGAGAATTAAGAATAATCAAGACAACAAACCCTCAGCACATCTACTCATCCCCATCATTCCTATCCCTTTCCCCCAAACGACAGTCCCTGGGAGCGTCACTGCTGGTTTCCTTCAAGATTGTCAATTGTTATTCTTTGTTTATTGTGAATAATGAAAATCAGAAACTTTCAATTTTGTTTGTTGTTTTTGTTTTTTACCTCTCGGTTACCCGATTAGGTAGTGTGTTTACATTTCACGGCATTTCGACGTTTTTCCTAATACGGTAATCGGTGGAACGGCTGTGAGAGAAAATTTCAATTCGATTTGTTAAGATATTAATAGAACGACTCTATTTCCTAGTCAACTAGTTGAATATCAAACATTTTTTAGCTAATAATACATTTAAGTCAAATTGTGATGGATGTTATATATGGGATTAGGTCTAGATAAGGTTGATTTGTAATCTTTGGTCGAACCGGGAGGGGTATCCTTCAGAATTCCGAAGAAATATATGCTATATTCATAATCAAGGTTAATAAAAGACGTAAACTAAATACCTCTTCATTGTGATGAAGCTTCCAATAAAACATTCTTGCATTTTTATTTTTAGAAATTGTACAATGTCTGGTTGGTATTTCTGATATTCAGAAAGTTGAGAAAGATAAATGTAGGTGCTGTGGTAGACCAAGATTGTTGAGAGACGTTGAGATTTCTGCATTTCGAATAAAACAATCTTGAGATTTATATTTATAATATTCATAGTTTGTTAAAAAGATTATAAAGCAGATCTCGATAAGTTATTTATCCTTCTTGCTATCAGGATGTCTTCTTTAATGAATGGATATTATAACCATTTTCTCGTAAATAGCCTCGATTTTTTTTCTCTCGTATTGAACAAGAAGCACTGAGCTATCAAACCATATACCTATATATTAGAAATAATATAAATCGTTGAAGAAATTACACCTGTGTTCCATTTGTTCTGGTCTCCAAAGTGCGTCAACGTGGAGGTGTTAAGCCATGGTTAGTATTCTACAACTGGAGCTAACATATTCTTTTTTTTCTGTTAACGATTTACTATAAAATTGGGGTCATGAACAGATTTAGATGATTTTACTAATGTAAACGATTTAAATAGATTAATACTATTTATTAAACACTAAGATTTTGTATTTCCTTTTTTCTAACTTTTCTATGTGTATTTATTATTTTGTTCAATTTGCGATAATTTCAAAAAAACCATTTGCTCTGTAGAATTTTTATTATACTTACCAGCTACTCATGCTCTTAACGAACCTAACTATATTGTAAACAAATTCTTTAAATTACATAAATTTAAAATTATAAATACATCTCATAAAGAAAAGGGTTTTGAAGATACATATATATATAAAAGGTATATAGATCATTAATCTGTGGAATCACTTGCAACTCTTGCAGTAAAAGGAATATATACTGTCAATAAATCATCGGCGTCAACTGTACATACCAAATCATCAATAACGGAATCGCACGCAACAGTGTTTCTTTTTGCTCCATCAGTGCGTAATCTTCTAAACCCACCAGTATGATAAAATGACAGACATTCTGCTTGAAGTGCTGAACTAGCAATACTTTCTTCATCACTATTCTTGCTGTCTTTTTCATCATTTTGTTCCTTTGAAAACAAATACTCCATATCCCAATGATATACGTTCCCACTTCTACCAACTGTAACAAATTTACAAGCAGATGTGGAAGAAAATATGATATCGGAGACAGCATCATCATCAAAGTGAGATAACAGAGCTATTTCCTTAACGGCATCAGTATCCTTACCGACTTCAAATGTTTTATTGTGTGATAAAGAACGTAAATCCCATAGTTTAATAGTACCATTATCAGATCCAGTTGCGAAAAGAGTTGATACTATCTTAGAAGTTCCAATTACAGTCAATTTACCCTCTGTATTATCTGTGAATACAAAAGAAGGTGTGTCGTCTGCATTATTTAAATCCCATAATTTAAAAGTACAATGATTGTCACAGAGAACGACAGAATCCTTGCCATTCACAAATTTAAAGGATCCACAATGAAAGTTATCCTTAACATAAATTGTACGTTTCACATCTCCTACCTTCACAACGTTATCAACTATCTTAATTGTCGAACTAGCAATATCATCTTTCGTAATAGTAGTTATAACAGCAATGGTAGATAAATCACTAGATATATCAGATCTGACATCAACTTTTGTACCAGACTCCTGTGGTTCAGCTACACAACTAGTTATAGCTGTTGTAATTTCATCTCTGAACCATAAAATAGAACCATTCGTAGTAACAGCAATGAATTTAACACCACTAGTGTTTAAATAGTACAATTTTGCAACTGTATCATTATTTTCAACTTTCCATTTAGGTTCAAATTTGGTTTGTTCAAATGTCTTTAAAAAGGCCTCATATTGAGGTTTTACATCACAAGATGATTCTTCACTTGTTAAATGAGCACCAATTGGTAATATCACATCTATTTCATAAATATCACTCCCAAGAGCCAACAGTACTGAAGTTGTCAGTGTCCCTTTAGTCATATCAGGAAACATCTTATCTGTGAAGGTAACTGTCTTTTGTAACTTACTTTGGTTTGTAACATGTTTTTGTAGACATGGTTTAAAAGTAGAGATATGTTGATAGAAAGTTGGAACAGCCTTCTTCCAAATCTTGAACTCCTCATTACTGATCTTGTTTAGTCTTGCTTCTTCGGCATGGGTATCCATATTGCCATTCTCAAGTGCTACTTCAGTCATACTTACACTAATAATCAATTTCAACGAATTTCCAATTAATAAATTCAAAAAAGGATATATCAGGAATATCAGTGAACGATTGTATATCCTCTAACTTTCCTTTTGTCCTTGTTGTTTATGCAATTAACTAAGTTAGTTAACTTGCATATGTTAGTATACCCGTTTACATAATAAATTAAAACTGAAAAAAAAAATCGCTGCTACTGCACGAAGGGCTACGCGCAGTATATAATCTCTTATTTCCATATATAAAAGGGATACTCACCAGATTGATTAAATATGCGAATACATGTTAGATAACTAGATATTTCTACAGTTCTTAGAAGGGTACCTCAAATATGCATATATATATATATAGCGTCAACTTATGACGGTGTAGGCTGATCCTGTGAATGTGACTTAGATAAACGCTCGTAGAACTGGCAATTTAGTTGACGTTTCCGTATCTTTATCAAAACCATCAATCTTTCATTATTAGACTCCGCTGTCTCCATTTCTTGCTGCAGTTGATCGGAGTTAATTGACATCCAGTCGTTGTGCCTGTGGCATTTCATTTTAGTACACACACCTTTTATTTCTGTTGCAGTTTCATCAGACGATTCATCCCTGTATAGTTGCCCAAATTCTTCGGATGTGCATGGGACAGACGATACGTCAGGAGTATATCCACATATTGTTTTTCTTACTACTATTTTCCTATTACCACCCTTTCTTTTTCTTTTCTTACTAGTTGTTTTTTTCACAGAGCTCCCAGCTATATCGTCATTGTTCCCATTCTCAAATTCCAATGAGGAATTCAATTTGCTGTTAACATCTTCCACCCATTCGATATATTTATCGAGAATAGTAATACGTTCTTGTATACCCTTCATTGTGACATTGTTACATTGGTCCTGAGAATGTACCAATTCCATTAATCCCGAATCTTGCTCTATAACTTCTTTATGTAACATAGGATCCATACCTGTCGGTATGCTATTATCTATAAATGCATCTTCCCCAATATTTTGGAAAATGCTACTATTTCCTTCTGATACAGACAACATTCTCCTTACAATATCTGCATTTTTTTCATTATTACCTGTCATACCTTGATTAACTACATTTCTCATATATTGTAAACCATGTTCCTCAGAACAATATTTACTATTTTCTGCGCATGGTTCGTAACAGTTCTCTACTCTACATTTCCTTTTCCATAAAGTCTTTGGTAAAGGTTTGTTGGTATCATCTTTATCTTTACCTGTTATACCTGCTTGGCAGTATGGACAGTAGAAAGCCGCCACGAGTCTTCTATATTTCTCTGGGACTTTAAGACACTTGAAATGGAACCAATCATCGCAACCATCACATCCTACCATTAGCTCACCTTCATCTGGCTTCTTACATGTACAGTAAACTTCTAAACCTGTCACTGGATTAATCTTAAGAGGTGAATATTCCGGACACCAACTAGGTAGTAATGACATGATAATTTTCGTGTTATGGATTAAACTACCACTAAGTCGGTCTAAAATAAGAAAAACAAAGGACAATGAAAAAAAATTAACTATATTATTAATAACTATCCAAACTATATAAATGATAACACCCTAAATCCTATTGCACCACCTTGTTTCTATATTTGCAAAGTAATGATGATCTAGAATTGTTATTATTATTATTTACGTAATGAGTTTTTGATTTTTTTTCGTGCTTTCCAATGGCCGCCGTTTCAGTTGTTCTTTCAATATTTCGCACTATTTTTTAATGTTTCTCCCTTCAGACATGTCGTTCAACAACTTGTCATAAGTCTCCGCAACTTTAGATTTAGCACAATCGGCACCATAAATGGATTCCAAGTGAACTTCGTTCTCATTGACACTACGGATAAGATCATTGATCGAGTCAATACCTTTAGCTTGAATAATTGCAGCTCTTAGATTTGTACCAGATGGAATCTTGGTGATCAACGTAGTCTTTGCTGATGGAGTTTCAGAGACGACGGTACTAGCAGCAGAGCTTGTAGATATTGCACTTGAAAATCCACTACTTGTACCAGTTGCGGTATCATTGTTATCCGGATAAATATCGTTTTGTTGTTGAACGAAGAACCCCCATTTATGTAATTCACCTTCTTCTTGCTCTTGTTCTTTACCATGTACCAAAGTTGATGAATTAGCTCTAAACAAAACCGGTTTACCTGTCAATACATCAACGGTTCTACCAGAATCAGTAGCCATCAAATGAGGTCTAGACAATGTTTCAATTTCAGGGGTCTCCGAAGGAGTATTAGTTGCTTCCTCATCAACTGTTTCAGTCGATGGTTCGAAATGTCTATTGGTTGGCTTTAGATCTTGTTCCTTAGATCCCATCAGCATGTTAAATTCAGGAATTTGGTTACATAGTTCTAAAATATTTGAAAAATTTTTCTCTAACAACAATAATCTTACTAAATTTTCTTTCTCCTTGAGACTTAATGTGTTAGTACGCCTTCTTTCAAACATAGTGTCAATCTTCTTTTGCACATCATTATGAACATGTTGCATTTTTTCGAAATACTTTTTCAATAAATATTTCTTTGTAGAATCAAATTGAGGTTTACCTTCACCCGGCATGACATTTTTCAATCTATTTAATTTCTCGAAGACTTGCTCTGCGGTATCAGATAACAATGAACCATCGAATAACAAATCATCCTGCATGGTCAATTCATCTGTCTCTTCGATAGATCCCATTGCTTTGTTCATATTTGACACCAAACTTAATGCGATTCTGGATTGTATCTCCTCAGGGACAGCATCATAATTAATATCCAAATTAACCAAATTTGGCGATTGCCTTACCAATGCATACAATATAGCCCAACAATTATTTCTAGCGAAGTTATTGACCTTATCATGTCCAGTTTGGGGAGTATTTTGCATAATGGAAATATGTCTTAATGTTGTACATTTCGTCAAAATGTTAACCAATACTGATAATTCCTTATACAGAACATCGTTACCATCCACATGGATTCTCTTTAAAGATTTAAATCTTGGTAAATATTTATGCAAATATGGTAACACATCTGGAAACATTTGTGGACAGTTACTCAAATCCAAAAATTTCAAATTTGGTAACCTAGACAAATACTTGATAATTAACGCAACATCATAAGCGTTTGAAATATTTGAACTATTCAAAGTGTAATATTCCAAATTAGTGTAATCCAATGCCGATAGTCTATTTACAACTGTTTTGACATATTGTGACATATCATTAAAGGAGGTATCGACACCTTGAACGTAGAATGCTTTACTCATTGCAGAATTCTTGGTAGTGGACATCCAGTTTAGCAAGTATCTTACAAAAGTTAGGGACAAATCCGAAGAAGCTAGACCTAGTCTTAATGCGAATGATGGTTGATCCCTAATGGAGTTCTTCTGTTGACTAAATGAGTTCAAAACATTTTGGAAAGTGCCAGAATCAACATGTTTACTGAACTTTATACCATTTAAGAGTAATTCTTCAATTGGACGGCCCTTACGGACATTTAAAACTGTAGCAAATAAGTTCCAATCTAGGTTATGTCTCAAGAATTCATTGTCTGATGGAATTTCTGCGTTTTTATCTTTTGAGATGAATTTTGTGTTAGTTTGAGATATATCCAGTTTAGTGATCGATCTATTGCTTAACAAAAATTTACAAAATAATGTCCAATTTTCATTATCAATCAATACATTTTTCATAGTTAATTTATCCAAATTATGACAATTGGCTAACGAACGTATTACTATCTTAAACATTTCCTGGGTAAGATTGACATTATCAAATACAACGGTATTTATATGCGTAATTGAGACAAAATCACAAAAAGATAAAATGTCAATTAATGTTGGTTTAGCATTTAGAAATTTAAGCACTTGTAATGGTGCAGTCTTATGTTTAACTTGCTTCAAAGTAGATGGAATAGGTAAAATTTCTCTCAAATGACAACATCTGGTGTAGACGATATCCAAAGTCATTTCCTTCTCTTCTGTAACTGTTTCCTCACCAAAATGATGTTCATGAACATGTATTGGCTTATCAATACCTTCTAATTGGTCGGCATGAAATGTCACTGTGTCAGCACTCATATCTTCTTCTGTAATCCTTTGAGCTTTATTATTTTTCGAATCGTTACCTGGTTTGAAAAGAGAAACCTCATACTCAATTCTCTTTGCCGCAAAATGTGCCTCCTTTTGATGCATTTCTGCTTCTTTCAACACTTTCCGTTGAATATCAAGAGCACGTTTGTATTCTATAGAGTCCACGCTATAGGTCTTGGTCAAATCAATTTGACTCGGTGCGCCACTGGTGCGACCTCCTCCACCTGCATCAGATACATTACTTTCACTGGCTTCCTTTTTTGCTTGTGCATTAGGAGAGATACCCATAGAAATTGTAGGTATGTCCCCAATCATATCTTGTGGAATTAAAACATTTCCGATTCTTGGATTCCTCGAAGGAAGTTGCTGTGGGGGATCATCTGTGAATTTGTTCACACTGAAAGTCACACGCTTCAATGAGACCGGTTCTAATTGTGATATTCCCAAATTTTGATGAGGATGTTGTTGTAAGTTTGTGGATGACGATGTTGTGGATGACGATGGGGTAGATAATGGTAATGCTGAGGTAGGTGACTGTGAACCGTCCCTTATAGTAGGTGATACAATATCTGAGACGACTCTATGCGGTGGTTTCCCTTGTGATGTGTTTATAGATGATAAGTTCTTTGTAGGGGTCGATGCTCCTGCAAGTGTCTGTTTCTTACCAAATAACGATCCAAATAAAGATTTCTTCATGGAATCTGACCGCACAGGACCCTTTAATGTATTCGAAGAAGTTGTGCTGGTTGTGGAAGCTGTAGGTTTTGCCAAAAATCCTGCTTTCACACCTGAACTGTTATTCAAGGATTTTGATCTTGAAGGTTTCTTATTCGTCTTAGAATCATCTGTATCTGTGCTAGTCGAATCTTGTAATGTTGCGGACACAACTTTTGTCAGTGGACTTCCTCCAACAGAGGAGCCACTCTTTTGAGGTATACTGCTGATAGGTGTCAACAAAGGTAACCGTTCAATGGTTGCTCCCCTATGATCATTTCCATGGGTTGAATCCTGTGGTTCTTGTTTTGATAACTGTGCATTAGAAACAGAGGTAGATCTTCTTCTCCCCGCATTGTTATTATTTCCAACACTATTACCATTATTATCATTAGCTGTTAGGAGATCAACCTTTGAGCTTTTCTTTTTGGTCCTATGTTTGCCCTTGTATAACCAATCACAAGAGACATCTATATCACTAGTATTAACAGTCATTGCACTCATTTCGCAAGGAAATTACATAAAATACCTTGTACAGCTGGCAGTTCTATGATTATGCTTGGTTAATAGCGATTACAGATAATTTTATCTTAATGCTCTTCCATTTCTATTCTCTTTCTATATATATGAATAGTGACAAATTCACTTATTAGCTCAACCCGACTTGCCCCTCATTGCTATTCCGTTATTATTCAATTTTTATCCGTAAGAAAACCCTGCAGAAATACAAGAAAAATTTTCAGAGAAAAGAAAAGAAACAAGAAATGAGATTTCTAGGAAGATTAGATCATCACCATCACCATTATTAATTGATGAAAGAGCGAAAAATATGCACAAAGCAACGTCAATTTTCTTGAGGGATCGAAACAGGTTATCATATATGTGCAGCTGTTGTTACGCAACGTTCATTCAATCGGTAGTGTTCTTGCTGTAATGAGTTACCACGTACCGCTACTACTTGCGCTGCTGACAAACTTGTGCTATTTTAATTTTGTTTCATTGCAAAATAATGATAATAATAATAATAATAATAATAATAATAATAATAAATATACACATCGATACATAAGACTTGACCACTGCTTCACCTTATTTGGAAGCTTTTATTTTCAATTAGCAGCTCTCATTTCTTTAAAGAAATCAGTAATCGTACTGAACACGATCAACAAGATACCACCACCAGGTCCTAATCTAGCTATCTTTGGAACAAACCCTTTGTACAATGCTCTAAACCCTTCCTCCTGGTAGATCTTTAACACCGATGGAAGTGCCCAATTATATTTCTTCAGTATTGTTCCATCTTCCAACACGGTAATGTTACCATTACTTTGAACACGAGATTTCACCACATCGAAAGGTGTATTCAATACACAACCCATAGTACCACCAATAGTACCTGCAATCAAATCATTACGAATTTTTTCATTATTGTTCTGCACAGGTGGTAATGAGTTACGCACTTGGAAGATAATTCCGAAGTAACCAGCATTCCAGAATGCGTGTCTCCATACTGTAGATTCTAAACCTTGATATATCCCTAATAAACCGTCCTTGCGAATAATATCCTTCAGGACTCCAACAGGAGAGTCAAATTTACAAGTAACATCTTGCATTTGAACCTTGACTAACTCAAAAGGAACGATCACCGAGGCCTCCACAGCACCGGCTGAGGCACCACTGATGATAGCGACGGTTTGTTTACGTTCATTCCCTAGTAAATCAGTGTATATCGTCTTAAATTTCTCGTTAAATGCAAATTTGGTGGCACGCTTAGGAGCCTCCATCAAGAATGGTGAGGAGATACCCTTATATAATTGCTTGAACCCCTCACGTTTCACAATACGGGAGACACAGTCTACCAACCCTTTATACTTCTCCTCGGCAGATACAGTATTCGATTGCAATTGCATTCTAGTCTTGACGACATCCAATGGATACATGACTGCCAATTCTGAAATACCAGCGATCGCACCTGCGACAAACTGGTATGCAAACGGTAGAGGTTCCTCTTTCTTTGCTGGAATCGCAGCTGCTGGTGCTGAAGTAGACATTGTTCTTCAAAAAAATATGTATATATAACAGATAATCTCCGAACTCAAAGACAGATCTCACTTCCTTCTTTCTTATCTGCTAGTATGATCCCTAAAACACGTTACTTGCATATACATCATGGTAATTCTTGTTGTTGTAGTCGTATATATATATGTATATATATATATACACGATGGAATGCAATTTGTTTACAGTTCCTTCTGCCCATCACCAATTCGGCCGCACACTTTCACATTCCCCCATCGGGCCGTGCACAGAAAACCAAATAGTTTGACAAAATCTGAAATTGTTTGGGATCGACCAATGAGGATGCCGGTATCGCACTCTTTGTTGAATATTGCGTGACTCACCATTGGCATTGCCTTAGGAGCACACCGAAGAGGCGAGCTTATCAGTTTGTCTATCCGTCTAATTCGTGGTGATGGTGATGATGCCATTCTTTTTTTTTTTTTTGGTTCTTTCTTCAATTGTCCCTTAAGACAGGTATGAAATTACCCACTATGCAGATCGGAATGTTGTATCGATCTCTACGTATCGTGAAACTGAAACAGCAATTGTGATTCTGTCTACTGGAATCACGGGAGATGAGTGTACAACTAGTCAACACAGCTTTTTGACCCTTATCAAATGCAACCGATCCATATTTCTCCCAGAAATTGACAGCACTATGTTCCCCCATTAACTCATAAATGGCCAGTTTCCCATCACGTAGATCATCCACAGTGACACCAACCAATGACGCAAACTCCTTATTAGCTCTATATATCTCCCCTGTGCGTCGCCATAGACATGCAGGCATACTCATTGACGTAAAGACTCTATCGTAACTTAGTAACATTCTTTCGAAACCTTCTTCTACCAGTACTAAATCAACATCCTTTAAAGATTTGGCAATGCTGCGAAACGCCGGACGAATCGAGTCCAATGGATAGAGGATTCGTTTTTGGGACTCTTCAGACATATTTTTCTTCATATATTCCTGTAACCTTGTATATCCTGCTGCATAGTTGTATGGTTTTAATAAACCTGCTTTTAGTTTAGCATTAATCACCGATTTCAATTTCTCTTCAGGTGTAATCTCTGTGTTTGGATCTGCTGCTGTCAAGAAAAACTGTTCCTTAGCTGTAGGTTTTACAAAAGTAGCTTGTAATGATGTTGGTTGTAAAATCGGTGGACGTGCCGCTAAATGTTCTTGTTCATTTGACAATTGCCTAACGGTACTGTTGTTATCATTAGTACTATTATTGGACAATTGTTGTGATATGGATGGTGGTACATTAGAATATTGACTAGGTGATATAGGTAATGCAGAGCCAGTACCTGATATAAGCATCAAAGGCGGACTTGTAGCCTCCGATTGGAATTGTTGTGTTTGTGGTAAAGGTTGATACGAGACCTCCGCTATAGAGGAACCTACAGTACCACTAGTTACTAGAGGTTCTGATGGTAATTGTAAAGGTTCTTCCAACATCGAAAGAAACTCATTCAAAGAACTAAACTCAGATCCCATATTCTCAGAAACGAATGATTGTGGCCCCAGTAAGTTTGTAATATTTGAACTAGGTAGTATATCATTCGTACTAATAACATTAGCTTTTGTCGTTGTTTGTTTTGTTTTCGTTGTTGACGAGGTTGTATCCATATCAACTGTATCTGAACATAAATGTGCTATATTACGTTTGATACAACGTGCACATGGTCTATGATCATCACAGTTCACATGTGATCTACGACAGAATACACATGACCTTCTCATCACTCTCTTCTTCTTGATACGTGTTTCTGACATACTCCTTTTTCTTTCACGTCACTTTGTTAGTTTAGTCTCCCTTTATCGAGTTTCTATCTCATTAAAATATTAGAATCTCAAAATAATAATAGAGCTAGAAATATATATAAGTACAATAACTAGTTCATTACCATAACTTTTTTTTTGCTTATCTAAAAATTTATATCTGTTAATCAGCAAGTGTTTATCGTTGTCCCTGCATCTATCTATCTGTCAACCCATCCGATACTTGACACATTCAACGATGTCTCAACTGGTAAAATTGATTATCACCTATTCTCATCATCGCCTGTCTTTGTCTCTTAGTCTATCCTTCACTGCTTATGGAATTGACGGAGATTATTTCCGCATTGAAAATTGAAAGCGGTGAAATTAGGTCTCGAGATAATAATAAGAATAATAATGACAACTATATTACAGGGAAGAAACAAACCATAGATGATGAGTGAAACAAAAAAGCAAACAAGAAGAGAGTTAAAGATTGTTCATTTGTCATAATACATCATCTATTTATATTTTTCTTTTACAGACTGCATTGCATTGTTACAAGAATCCATTAGTTTTAGTACATCAAAGAATATATTCACCCCCCCTTAAATTTTTATTATAGAGAAACGATGTTTCATAGCGTACGAACATCTGTGTACAGGTGTAGTAGTGCTTCTATGTTGTTAAGGGTCACTGTTAGAAAGGCTGCAATGAGACCAAACGTATTAATCGGATGTAGTCGTCTGTACTCATCAAAACAATCTGGTGCTTCCAATACTACATCGACAAAAACTAATCAACCCACAATAGATTTTTCGAAGCTCTCCAGGGATGAGATTCGTAAACTACATGAATTAAAGACAGCTGAAAGACTAAAAACTAAAAATAGGTCGATCGCATTATATTTTTCAAGTATTGCTGTTGTGTTTTTAGGGTTAGCATATGCTGCTGTTCCATTATATAGAGCCATTTGTGCACGTACAGGGTTTGGTGGTATTCCAATTACAGATAGAAGGAAATTCACTGATGATAAACTAGTTCCTGTGGATATAGACAAGAGATTAAGGGTTTCCTTCACAAGTGAAGTTTCTCAGATTTTGCCTTGGAAGTTTGTACCACAACAGCGTGAAGTGTACGTATTACCTGGTGAAACAGCATTGGCATTCTACAAAGCTAAGAATAACAGTGATAAAGATATCATTGGGATGGCTACATATAGTATTACTCCAGGTGATGCAGCCCAATATTTTAACAAGATTCAATGTTTCTGTTTTGAAGAACAAAAATTAGCAGCTGGTGAAGAGGTTGATATGCCTGTATTTTTCTTTATCGACCCCGAATTTGCTACAGATCCTTCCATGAGAAATATAGATGATATTGTACTACATTATACATTCTTTAGAGCCCATTATGGTGACGGATCTGCTGTTAGTGAGGCAGCTTCGAAAGGTGAGGCCATTTCTCCAGAAGAACAACAACAGATGTTAGCTAACGCCACCATCCTAAGTCCCAACGACCTTAAAGACGAATAATAGTAACTGCAACCATACTTATCGTGTATATAAAAAAACGAATATATATTTTAATATTGAATTACCCCCTTCCCCCAATTACTGTCCCCAATTATATAATGCTCATTGAGAAAGTAGCAGAGCAAATAAAGAAAACTGAAAAAACATTAAATGAAAAGACATGGGACTGCTAATAGTGGATGTACGGATGGGAATATACATCCTGACACCCACAAATAATTTGAAATAAAAAATTGAAAAATGTTTACTTGTTTTTTGAAAAGTTCTCCTTTTTTTGTTAGGAGAAGACGCGCAGCGGGTTTTCACTCAATTTAATTTTTTTTCGGTTTCTGAAATTCTTTTTCCACAAAATTTGAATCTTTTTCTCTTAATCGAGGAAGAGACAGAGATGCCACTCAACGGTTAGTAGGTTATGCCAAATACTGAAACCAAACGAGAACATCATCAATCAATCAAGCGATGCAACAACAATAATATATTCCAATATATATATTTCATGATAATCATCGCTTACTACATATATATATAACTTAACGATATTTGTAATTATATTTCAGTAATTGTTTTATTATTAAAATTATACTCCTCTATCAACAAGTATAACCAAACTTAACGTAACTAAAAATGGCTTTCACTCCAGTTAAGAACTCTGCTTACTGTTCTCGTTTCCAAACTCCTTTCAGAAGAAGAAGAGAAGGTAAGACCGATTACTACCAAAGAAAGAGACTTGTCGCTCAACACAAGGCCAAGTACAACTCTCCAAAGTACAGATTAGTCGTTAGATTCACCAACAAGGACATCATCTGTCAAATCGTCTCCTCTACCATCACTGGTGACATTGTTCTAGCTGCTGCTTACTCTCACGAACTACCAAGATACGGTATTACCCACGGTCTAACCAACTGGTCTGCCGCTTACGCTACTGGTTTGTTGATCGCTAGAAGAGCTCTACAAAAGCTAGGTCTAGACGAAACCTACAAGGGTGTTGAAGAAGTTGAAGGTGAATACGAATTGACCGAAGCTGTTGAAGATGGTCCACGTCCATTCAAGGTCTTCCTAGATATTGGTCTACAAAGAACCACCACTGGTGCCAGAATCTTCGGTGCTCTAAAGGGTGCTTCTGACGGTGGTCTATACGTTCCTCACTCTGAAAACAGATTCCCAGGTTTCGATTTCGAATCTGAAGAATTAGATGCTGATTTGCTAAGAAACTACATCTTCGGTGGTCACGTTTCTGAATACATGGAAGAATTAGCTGATGATGATGAAGAAAGATTCCAAGAATTATTCAAGGGTTACGTTGCTGACGACATTGAAGCTGATGCCATGGAAGACATCTACCAATCTGCTCACGAAGCTATCAGAGCTGATCCATCCTTCAAGGCTACTGAAAAGAAGTTCACCAAGGAACAATACGCTGCTGAATCCAAGAAGTTCAGACAAGTTAAGTTGACCAGAGAAGAAAGACAAGCTCGTGTTGCTGCCAAGATTGCTGCTCTTACTTCCCAACAATAAATTATCGGTTAGATCGTTTTTATCCTAAGTATCTTGTTACTATAAGGGATATCTTCTTTTCTCTTCTACAAATATATTAATATATACATATATAATCATTGTTATATCTACTTTTTATAAGATAATAATAACCAATAATTAATTACTTTTCATAACTTCTTTAAAGTGAACTAACCTAACAAAAATCGATCCAGCTTAGAGAAGAGGCTTTTACTAAGTAAATGTAATTCATTGAATACCATTTTAGGTAAATTTATTACTTTAGGTTTCCATGCTCAACAATTGTTACACTACGTATACAGCGCCATGCGAATATTAATACCGTTGTAAAAATAAACCTCAAGCCAGAAAAAAAGAATGTCATAATACCTGTAAAAACAGGAAACACATGGAAATTTAAGTATATTTGTTAAGGTTTTGCGTAAGACACAACTATAGTAGGAGTAATAATCACGACATTAGCTCGTTAAGCTTTACTTTCTTTATTATAATTATTACTATCTTTTTTAGTTTCCTTTGGCATCAAAAATAGTTACATATAAAGAGCAAATGGCGCTATAAATTTACGAAACTTGACAATGACCTCCGATAAAATACATACACATAAGAGAAAGAATAGTCATCTATTTAACGAACAAAGTACATCTGGTTCTTCGATTCGAACAGATTACGACATCAGCATGGATAACCTAGAAATGGAAAATATGGGCCCGCCCCCAATTGGGAGAACTACATCAATACCAAGTGTTCCAATTGAACCAAGTTCCGCAATTGATTTAGAAAATCAGGATCGTACTCTAGGAAATTTGGAATCATCAGAATCATGGGATGATTGGTACTTAACAAGAAAATTTGGACAAAATAAAAAACTACGGACAACTATATATTCCATCTTTGGAATTATAATAGCATATATTATTGTATTATTAATTATATCACTCTCATCAAACAAAGGTGCAGACAATGGTAACACTTCAAATGAAGCAAAACCGAATGAACAACAGAATAGTGTTAAACGAGATAAATCTTTTGATATCGAAGATGTCATGAAAGGTAAGTTTTTGATAGATAAAAACAATTTCCATTTCATCGACCCACCTTATAGATTTGATAGTCATGATATGGACCCAGGACTTTATATGACTACAGTAACCAATGATGATGGAACTAGATTTTTGGCAAAACAGTTGTTCAACGAAGAGTTTTTGAGAGATTTGGGTCCTAATAAATTTGAATATCAAGACCATGAATATGTAGTGGATACTATTAAAGTAAACTACGCATTAGATAAGTTAATCTTTGCTACCGACAAAATTGGTGAATTTAGACATTCCTCAAGTGCAAATTATTGGATCAAGGATGTTACGAAGGATACGATTAGACCAATATCACCATATTTTGACTCGGAACAACCGGTCCGTCTATCGTATGTCTACTTTTCTCCAGGTTATAACTTCATTTATTTTGTTATGGATAATAATCTATATTTTCAAGATATAAATGCCGAACATGCTCCTGTAAAAGTGACATCTGACGGCAACGAGAATATCAGAAACGCCAAGACCGACTGGGTATACGAAGAAGAAGTCTTAGCAGATGATAGAGCTATATGGTGGGCGCCAGATGACTCTAAATTTATATTTGCCAAGTTCAACGACACAAATGTTGACAGTTATACATTCCCAAGATATACTACTGACCAACAATACCCTCCGTTAAGTGAGATCAAATATCCAACTCCAAGTAGAGTCAACCCAACTATTGAACTTTTCTTTTATAACATTGGTGGTAACATGATATATAATGTTAACATGGACCAAAAAAACATGAAAGAAATTATTTTATATGACGCTGAATGGATAGGACCTGAAAATTTCCTATTTAAGATAACAGATAGATTTTCAAAAGAGTTATTCGTCAAAGTCTTTAACACCGATAAGGTTGAACTTTTAAATACTAGAAATTACAACACAAAGGAATTTAAGGGCTGGGTTGAAAAGACAAAAAAAGTATTTGTCATCCCACCAAGTGAAAAAGCTAAAAGAATTGACTATGGTTATATTGATATCCATCAGGATAACGAAGGATACAACCATATGTTTTATTATAACTCACCATCTGCAACCAAAGGTCAGCAATTAACGAAGGGTGAGTGGGAAATAACAGGTTCCGGTGTCGTTGGTTATGAACATGAGACAGATACAATTTATTTTACAGCAAATCATTACCATCCTATGTCTCAGAATTTGTTTGCTGTTAGGTTGGAAGGGGACCCTATTAATGAACTAGTTACTCTTCAAGATCCATCTATGGAACACACATTCTATGACTATGAGATAAGTTCGAGTTCAAGGTATGCAGTAATGGAATATCTCGGTCCATCTCTACCTTTTTATGCAGCCGGTACCCTAACAAATTTATTCTCCTTAGAAGCAGCTCAAAGTAACGATGTCTTAGTGTTATCCAACAAAATACATAGAGATAATATTGAGACCAAGTACAATTTGCCAATTACAAGTTTTAAAAGTATGACTTTGGATGATGGTACCTCAGTGAACTATATTGAAATCAAACCGGCCAATATGAATGTGAAAAGAAAACATCCTCTACTAATTAACGTCTACGGTGGACCTGGTTCACAAACCTTCACAGCAAAATCGGGAATTTCATTAGAGCAAGCGGTTGTTTCAGGTTTGGATGCAATTGTCCTACAAATTGAACCAAGAGGTACCGGTGGTAAGGGATGGAAGTTTAGATCCTGGGCATCAGAAGCGCTAGGCTATTGGGAGCCTCGTGACATAACTGAGGTTACCAAGAAATTTATTCACGAAAATGGGCCACATATAGACAGGGATAAAGTGGCCATCTGGGGTTGGTCCTATGGCGGATTTTCAACCCTCAAAACAATTGAATTCGATAAGGGGGAGACTTTTAAATATGCGATTGCTGTCGCGCCAGTTACCAACTGGCTCTATTACGACTCAATCTACACGGAGAGATATATGGGCGATGTTGGTACGAATATCGATAAGTATATCGAAATATCAAGGGTTAGTGATATAAGTGGGTTTGAAAATATGAAACGGTTCATGCTAGTACATGGCACGGCAGACGATAATGTTCATATTCAAAATACATATAAATTTACGGATAGGTTAAATATAGCCGGCATTAGAAACTACGATATGCATATATTCCCCGATTCTGATCATTCCATAAGGTACCACAATGCTCAGAATATTATATACAAAAAGTTATATTACTGGATTGAAGAAGCTTTTAATGGGTTACTGGATAATATAAATCATTGATAGATTTATTGTCTAGAGAATCTGTTTAGTGCTTTAGATTTTCTTTTTTTTTCTATTCTTTCTACTAATCACTATATTAAAAAACAAAAAAGCGAAATTGTATTCAAAATAAAAATAATACATATACGAGGACAAGACCACTCTCACATACAACATTACTTATAGTTCCCCCAACGTTTAGTTATTCTACTTTGTTTTTGCTTTGAAATTAGTACTCGTTGTCGTTTTGCATTTTTTTTTCCCAAAAAAATTTTATATTATTTTGTGTCACAGTAATGGAAATGGCATATATAAGAGAGAAAATAAATTATAGAAAACATAAGAACTATTTATTTTCCTTTTATCTTCAAATGGTTCTTTCTCTTCTTATTTTTTTTATTAATCCTTTTTATAAGTTTTAATTACTTATATACTAGGGTGTAAACAATTAGAAATCTTTTTAAGTCATATTATAAGGTTTACTACTATAAGTTTCAAATTAATTTTTTTTTATTTCAAGTTTAGATATGTGGAAACAACTAACAATTGCTTTAGCAGCAAGTACTTCTGTAATTAATGCTGAAAAGTTTAATGTCGTTTTATCAACTGAGGATGTCGGAGGTGACTCTACTGGCTCTTCTAATGATAAACCAATTACTGTTCATCTAGATAGAAATAACATGTCTCCGGAACTAATTCAAAAGCTTGAAAGATCCTCTAATATTGTTTTTGCTGGTTTGGATGAATTACCTGAATTTGTTAACCAAAAGGATTACTCTGCAATCATCAAGAAGATTTATGAGAGTGGTAAGAATGTATCTCCAAAGAAAGATTACAAGGATGAAGATACCGACAGTGAATACAGTGAAAGTGAAAGTGACGACGAATATAAAAGTGACGATGGGTATAAAAGTGATGAAAGCGACAAAAGCGATGAAAGCGATGATGATGAGAAGGAACATTTGTCTAAGAAGCAAAAATTAAAGAGAAAGTTAGGTATGGGTAAGAAAAAGAGACACAACAAAAAGAAGCATGCTGACGACAAAGAAAAGAAAGATGATGTCAAGAAAGGTAAAAAGGGTCACAAATGTAAACAATTAGCCAAAGACGGTGCTACCGGTAATGATGATGCATGTGTGTCTACTGATGAAGATGATGACTACGAATATATTCCTACTCCATTTGGAAAATATTGGTCCGGTGATGATGGTGAAGATGATGAATATGATTATGATCATGATGGCAACGAAAAGGAAGACCATAAAAAAGATGAATATGAGAATCATGAAGATAGTGAAAAAGAGGAAGAGTATGATGATCACAAGAAAGAAGACGAAGATGACGAGACAGATGATGACGAGAAGGATGACGATCATAGTTGTTCCAAGAAACCAAAAGGGAAAAAATGTAAAGAGAAAAAAACGAAAACTTCACGTTCACTAGAACCCACAAGTACATCTCATGTTACTACCGAATCTTCACGTTCACTAGAACCTACAAGTACATCTCATGTTACTACCGAATCTTCACGTTCTCTAGAGCCAAGAAGTACATCTCGTGTTACTACTGAATCCACTCAATCACCCACCACTGGTGTTAGTAGTCGTTCCGAAGCGGGATCTGAATCAACTACTGTTCTTACTGCTGTTTTAACGAGTAAGGGTGTTAGCACTGTTACGTCCCTTACAACATCCTCCAAATCATCTGCATTAGCTGTCTCTGGTTCTTCTACTGTTGAATCCAATAGAAGAGTGTCTTCAAACATTTTAGAATCTAATCAAACAAGAATTGTTGCCTTATCCTCGAAGTCAACTCAAGCCTCAGGCACAGCTGCAATTCCAGGGAGGGTCAATATCAGTAAAAATAACTTGAACGGAACTATAGGTGAGTTTGAAGCTAAAGCTAACCATTTAGGTGCTATCGGTGGACCGGCAATTGCCTTATCTTTATCTGCAATTTTTGTTCTTGTCTCATTTTAATGAGTGTGACTTAAATAAAGATTGTGAATTGCAAACAATAGTATATAAAAAAGTATAGATAAAATTCGTAAGAAATTTGTAGCACGAACTTAGCTTAATAATTCTAGACATAACAATAAAACAAGCCGAAACTTTAAAAAATAAGTTCAATTATACAATAATTAAAAAATTGTAGGTTTGTTACGTTTTTATAAAAGTCCTTTAAGTCTTCAAACTTAAGCAAAATAGATTATTGTTTATAGCGGCGCGGGTAATTATCACGGCCTTTTCTGCGGCGTTGGAATTGGAATTTATGAAAACTTCGCGAGTTATCTGAGCAATAGTTATCTACTAAAATTAATGAGAAAGTACACAGTAACCACTGGATATTAGTTTATTTTGTTATTGGTATTTTTGTATGATTGCATTGTACTGGATAATTTTTAAATTATATAACCATAAACTGAACATTGGGCTATAAAACTAAAATACTCCATACGATATGGTTGCTGTATGTTGAAATTTTCTAACTTAGAGAGGGGGGGGGAGACTTTTCATTTGCAATTAGATACAAATATCAGAAAGAATCATAATTTGTGTCCTCTACTCTTATTTTTAATCGAAACTTTTGCCATTTGTTACTAACAATTTTGCTCATGTAATAACAAATTATTTTACATGTGGTATATATATCTATGTAGAGTGTTAAGAGAACTATCCGTGTTAAAACGAGTCAACACATCCTTCCAGATGTTCCTCCTGTTGAAAATTTCCCTGTTCGTCAATGGTCCATAGAGATTGTACTATTAGATGAAAATGGAAATGAAGTACCAGCAACAATCTTTGAAAAGGTGATATACCATTTACATCCAACGTTTGCTAATCCTAATAGAACAGTAACCGAAATTCCATTTAGAATTGAAGAACAAGGTTGGGGTGGATTTCCTATGGATATTAGTGTATTTTTCTTAGAGAAAGCAGGTGAAAGAAAGGTTCCACATGATTTAAATTTCCTCAATGACTCCTACGAAACAGATCATGTTGTGCAAGTTCCTTTAAATAAACCATTATTGCTTGCTGAACTAGAGAAAAGTGGTAGTGTTGAAGAAAACCCATCTACAAGTGCAAAGAGAAAAACCTCTGTTACAGGTGCCGCTGAACCTAAACCCAAAAAGGCTAAGACAGCAACAGTATCCACAATGAGAGGTAATGTCGATCTCGAGAAACTTGCTCTTGGATTAACAAAATTGAATGAAGATGATTTAGTTGGTGTAGTTCAAATGATAAGTGATAATAATACACCGGAAATGAATGTAACAAATAATGCTGATGAAGGTGAATTTATTGTAGATTTGTATAGTTTACCCGATGGTTTACTAAAGAGTTTATCAGATTATGTAAAAAAAAATACTGTATAAATATATTACACTTATGAAATGTATAACCTAATAATTTTATCTGACCATTTTATGTAGAGTTACTAATTATATAATGTTAAAGACTAGCGAAATAAAACAACATTATTTAATATTGGCATATTATATATTAATACATTTAAAATAAAGACTTATAAGAAAGTGAAATTTTTAATTAGAAATAAAAAGTGGAACAAAAATAGAAAGCGAACAAAAGAGACAGCTTACTTCCTGATCCATTACTGCTGAATTTAATTCTTTTATATATCACATGCTACTTTCCAAATTTGGATCGAATGATTCTGTATCGTCATTGCCACTGCCAAATAAACCATTAGCCTGGCTAGCCTTTTGAGTCTCGCTATCTTCATTATTATTATCATCGTCATCTCCCTGAGTTAATTGGGTATCCAAAGAAACACCGACATCATTTGTTTCTGAATCTTCTGGAGGAGCAACTGCAGTATCGCCATCAGTCGAAGCAGAAGATGTAGAAGGTTGAGGTTTTGAAGTTGAATCTGAAGGTTTTGTAGTTTTGATTTTTTTGGTTCTTGGAACCTTTGATAAATTACCAGTAACTTTAGTTAAATAATCTGGAAGTGGTTTACCACTTTTCAAATAATGTAATTTCCAGTTTCTTGCTTTATCCTTTAATTGAACTTGAGTTCTATTTTTTAAATCTTCAGAAATTTTACCACCTGGGCCATGTAGATCTAGAATCTTTGACCAAGATGGACCAACATCTAATAAACCTTCTTTTAGAGCATCATTTTCTCTTTGAGACCAAGTTCTCTTTGGTTTCAATTTCTTAATACCACTAGTAGCCGAGGCAGCAATAGCAGCATTTACTAAATTTTGTGTCATTTTCTTAACATTATCATTTATGTTTTGAGTTGTACTACTAAACGAAGCCATAGATGATGCAAAATCAGTCGTAGAACGACTTGGGCCCGATGTAATTTCTTCATCAAGATGTAAACTCATTTCATCATTATTATTTTGAGTATTGCTATTATCCCCATCGCCTTCATTACCATCTGGCGCAACAGCACCACTTGAATATAATACTTGGTTATCAAATTCATTTTTATCAAATGCATATAATGGAGATTTTCCACGACCTTTTCTACCCCAAATAATAAGACCCATATTTCTATTACAATAATCAAGAATTTCTTTAATGAAATGATTCCAATCATGAGATTCCATTAAATCGTCAAATTTAGTGAATTTTGATAAATTTTCTTTACGACGTTCACATCTTTCAATAAAATCTTCTTCTGATGGTGTCATTGTATCATTTTCATTAATTTCATTTGAACCAGTTCTTCTTGAAATTAATTGGTTAGCTAAATTATTTGGGAAAATTTCTTGTAATAATTCTAATTTCTTATCATCTGGGATATCATTAGAATCACCTTTACAATCCCTAAGACCTGCAATAAAAGCTTGAGTCTTTAAATCTAAATATAGTATAGCTTGAGATTTTAAAAATTTTCCAATTTGATCAGTTGAATCTGTACCTGTAAACATAGTGTTTGGACAAAATATATCTAGGAAAGATGATTGTAATAATTCAAATCCATAAGAGAAACAACCTAAAGTTGTCAATATAAATGTCAATAAATTAGCTTTACGTATAGCAGTAATAATATAAGCTTCGTGACCTTTTAATAAAGAAGGTGGAGGGGAATTTGGAAACCAAAGACCTGGTGCAACATCATGAACTTGTAATAAAGGTGATCTAGTGTTATAGATTAAACGAACTTGTCTAAATAATTTGAATAACGTTTGAAAAATTTCAGTTTCACCTGAACTTAAATAAGTACCATGTTCAGTATATAAAGCAATAACTTGTGGTGAATTAGAATTAAAGATTAAAAATCTTAATAATTGAGTGGATATATTATCTAATAAACATAATGAAGAAATAGTTAGTTTTGTTCTAATTGGTAAATTTTGGACAATACCATTAAATCTATTTAGATTTTCAGAATCAATTTCAGTTTCAACAGCAGACATAATTAATAATAAATAGTAGTGATTTGAATTGTTTCTTTATTTAGTGTCACTGTCTTTTATCTATTAAAGGGTTTCGATAGGGTTTACCAAAAGGAAAAATAAAAAAAAAGGAAAAGTTAGGTTTAAAAAGTATTTACTAATGCCCTTGATTAGACCTAAATTTGATTTCTACCGTATTAACAGTGTATACTTATATCAAACACGCCAGTTTCTAATATTTTCTAAATATATATGTTACAACGGAACTGACACACTATTTAGAAAGGACTGCGATCTATGACAAATTACTTATCCTTTAAGCAAAGATCAGTTTTATCTATATTACATATAGGTTTAGGTCTTGCAAAATTAGGACGTAAACCTCTTTTTTCTTAGGTCTTTTTCTTAAAAAAAAAATTGAAAAAAAAAATTTCTTTCCATTTTCCCGCACCTTTTAAGCCTATTACCCTCATTTCCTCTATTGAAAGGGTAAAACTGTCATTCTTTACTGTGCTGGACATTAAACATGGGCTTATAGAGTGTCAGGTTTGCTCGAATAGAAGTGTATATCTTAATACTAAATATATTACTAATTTAAGGAACAGGAGGTGGTATTACCTGGTACAGCCATGATACAGATGTGGCATTACCCATCCAGATAATATATCAATCTAATATATATCTTTGGATGAAATAGTACTGTGTATAGTAACAACTCTCAAATATATAAGTATCCCGGGGTACACAATTAATATAGAGCAGTGATGATTATATGTTTTAAAATTACCAATGAATTCATATGATTGATAATAGTTATCACTCAACACGAGGCGTAAGTAGTTTATAATTTGTTTTTAATTCCGGGTAATATTTACTGAATTAGTAAATATAGACGCGACGCGAAATGTTATTTACTTATTTTTATTAGTTTAAATGAATATAATATTATAATACAACTGCCTCATATACATAGATATATACTTCTCTGGATCTAATCTTGTATATAGGTTAATGGAAAGTAAGCAAGGTAACAACTCTCAAATATACATACATATGAAAATGTTGAGTTGGTATCAGAGAGCAGCTAACAGCAGACTAAAAATGTAACAAACCAGTAAAACATAATGATAATAATAATAATAATAATAATAATAATAATAATAAAACAAATACGATGAAAGAACCGTTACATACCGTTATACACATACAATTATTTTCTTTTTTTTTCTTTTTTTTTTCATATTTTTTGCTTGAATATAATTAAACATACACTTATTCCCTCTTCGTAAAGAAAGTAATAAATAATACTAAAAAAAGAAAACAGTGAAATAAAACATTAGAAATAATAAACAACTTTTCTTTTCTTCTTCTTATTTTTTGCATGTGTATACTTGTATGTATTATTAATAACATGTTGAATAGTAGAAAGGAAATAATAAAAAAAAAAGAGTTAAAAAAAGGGTACACACACAAAAAAAAAACCAAAAGATACCTTTGTGCATTAGTAGTTATAACCAAATAGTAGTAAATAGGGAGTAAAAGAATAAAATAAAAAAAAAGACAGACAACTTAATAGAAAAAATTAGTAAAAATTATAATTTTTATCAAATTTAAGCACCGACAGCAGTCTTACCCTTCTTTAAAACCTTAATAATACCAGATGGACCCTTTGGTTGAGCTAGATCACCAGATTCAACAGCTTTTCTAATAGCAGCATTAAATAAATGATCGAAATTCTTTACGGTATTCAATTTCTTTGAATATTCATCTCTCATATGCTTCTTAACAGCTAAACGACTTGAACCTTTACCATCATTGATTGACAGTATACTCTTAATAATCATTTCTTTATAAGTTAAAGAACTTGAAGTAGTAGATTTAGCCTTTGACTTAGTTACAGTAGTCTTGGCCTTTGGCTTAGTGACTTTTTTAGTGGTAGTAGTGGCAGTAGTAGTGGTCTTAGCCTTTGGTTTAGTAACTTTTTTAGCAGTTGGAGTTGGAGTAACAGTTTTCTTGACAATCTTTAAAGTACCGGATGGGCCCTTTGGTTGTTCGAAATCACCAGTTTCAACACCCTTCTTGATAGCAGCATTGAAATAATGGTCAAAATTAGTAGCACTACCAACAGAAGGATATTTTTCCTTAATAAATTTCTTTAAAGCTGGACGACTGACACCTTTACGTGATTTCAAAGCTACAGCAGCTTCAGTAATTAATTCTTTGTAACTTTTTGAAGGAGAAGCTGAAGAAGAAGATTTGGTGACTTTCTTGGAGACAGGTTTTGTAGTTTTTTTTGGAGCCATTTTTATATATGATCGATTGTTTGATTGATTGTTTTGTGTTGATATGTATTTAAAGTAAAATTAAAATTAAGTTAAAATAGAGAAAAAAATGTATTTAAGTATGAGGAACAAACAAGAGAAAGAGAAAACAAATAAAAAGTACTAATAAATATATAACAACAAGCCTTTATTTATTTATGTTAATTTGTTTTTTTCAAAACAACAACAACAGCAAAGGAAAAAAATCAGATAAAAAAAACATAAAATCAACAAACATCAAAAGGAATAAACAAAAAAAAGAGCCCAGCAGAACCTCTGATCCAAGGAGCAGAAGATCCAATAAAATGAATATATCGAAACTGTTTTCTTCTTTGTGAGTATGTGATTGCAAATGATTATTCACTTTAAAGGATTCTTCGTCTTTCACTTTATTATGATTATTATTGTTGTTATTTGTGTATCTCAATAGAATTTTAATTTTTTGGTTCTTTTGGTTTTTTCGCGTCTCTTTCTTTAACAGCTATTCCTTCTCTGTTTGAAGCACACAGAGGAANGGGGGAGGTGACGGAGGGAACCGAGTGGGTGGCCGTTAGAGAGTGTGTGTGCACCCTAGGGTGTGCTGTTGGGGTTGGTTAGGGTTTGGGAGCTGGGTTCCCTTTTTAATAGTAGCAGTGTATATATAACTATATAAAGTAGCTTTCTTTTGATTCTATTCTATTTTATGTTATGTTATGTTATTTTATTTTATAGATTTATGTAGTTATGCGACACACTCATGTGTGTGTTGTTGTTGTTGCTGTTGTTTTTGTATATATGGGTGTGACAGAGAGATAGTGAGTGTTCTTGTTTTGCGTATGTGGTACGGTTGAAATACCACTCGGTTTTTTGGCAACACTAATCATAAATATCTAACGTTCGTTCGTTCGTTCGTTTGGCTTCCAAATGAGAACATATCTTGAGAAGAAGTAAGTATGGTACAAATGTGAGTAGGGGACAATGTGTGATTCTTATTGCATAGTTAACAGGTTATCCCATTTATTATGCTTCTTAATCTCTCTTTTCTAGAGGATTGTATCTTAAAAACTTTTCGATAAGATCGACATGAGTAAGAATCATTCTTCTACAACAATATCTTTTTAATCCTAATTTAGTTAAAGCAGTACCTTCGTCTAATTCATCTTCTTGTAGCATGTTTAAATAACTTTCCCATTTATCACCAACAACTTTACCACAGGAAAAACATCTAACTGGAACAATCATCTTTCTCTTTTCTTTTCGTTGCTGTTTATGTATTTAGAGTAGTGGCTATAATTAAAGAAGAATAAAACACACACTCCTTTTCTATTCACTTGTTAAAATAATAACTTTACAAGTAATATCAAAGCTCATCGCTTTATTATTATTATTGTATGGTTTTTACAAATTTACTTTATTATTTCTTACTAAGTAAAAATTTGAAAAAAAAATATTTTTTTTTTTCATTTTTCTTCGCAAAATTTGTTAAGTTTTCAGTGAGGGTAATAACCAAATACATATCATTATATACGGAAGCCCTACCTTTTTATGTCGAAGGAGCTGTTATCCAGCCCTAATCACGTTCGACGGCTGGAAAAATTTTTTTTTTTTGCTTAAGGTATGTCAAATCGATGAGATGGGCTTTAGGTACAATGAAAATTGTTTTATAGTATAGAGCAGTCCGTATTTTAATAGTGTAATTTAGTCGGTTTTCATATATATATATATGGAATGGTTTTTTTGATTAGTTTCCAATAATTTAGAAAATACGGTTAACTCTTAAAGGTAGATATATTGAAGAACAAATAGACAGGTATGACACAAATGTCTAGTATTACTCAGAAATATCAGCTATCTGTAGTGTCAGGTGGGAGACCTATCTTACCAGGTATCAATAATGCTACCTCCTGTCAAAAGAATATCTCTGTATTGGTCCATGATCAACAAGGTATAATAGTTCCATTTAATAATCAAATTAGAATATATTCTCTCGAGACTAGACAATGTATCAAGACACTGAAATATGCTAATAGTCCCGTCTTATCGACTATCTTTGATAACAAAAAATTGAGTCAAAAGATTTATATTGTTGGCATTATGTTAGGTGATATTACTGTAAAGGATGAAAATTTAAGACAAAAGGAAAAATTAATTACTATTTTCACAAATTTTGGTCAAGTTATTGTACTAAATTATAAAGGTAAATTAATTGATTCTCCAAAATTATATCAATTAGAATTAGATTCAGAAAAGGATGAATCTTTATTGAAAGTATTTGATAATGGTAAAGAATTAAAAATTATGACAACTTTATCTAGTAACGGATCTTTATTTGATTATAAATTATCAAGTTTAAAATTTCCTGAAATTTCTACTTCTTCATTGACTGAGACTGTTAAATTAACCGAATCAGAAATTTTTACTAATATTGTATTATCTGCTTGGTCGAAGGATGAAAATGTTTTCACTTTACTTTACAAAGATATTAATGATAATAATCAAAGACATATTCTTGTTCAATCTATTTTCAGTAAATCAATGAAAAAAGATATTGCATTAGAATCCGTTTTACATGTATCTCAAAATACAAAAAATAATCAAAATGTTAACTCAAGATTTGTTTCCACTATGGCTATAGATAATTCTGCATCTCAATTAGCATTAGGATTTGCATCAGGTGTTATTAGTATTATAAATTTATCAGATTTACAAAATAGATTACTTAAATGGCATATTGATTCTGTTTTATCTTTATGTTTCACAGATGATGGTTCCTATTTATTATCTGGTGGTTGGGAAAAAGTTTTATTATTTTGGCAATTATCTACAAATACTCAACAATTTTTACCACGTTTAAATGGTGTTGTTGTTGATATTCAAAATGAAGGAAAATTTTATACTTTATCTTTACAAATGACAGAAAATCAATCTAGTTCTGATTATGAATTAATTGTATTAAATTCAGCTGATTTAACTTCAAAATTATCAGTGACAGGTCCTTTACCAATATTTAATTCTCCAATAAGAGATACTACACATCCAACTTCAGTTATTAAATCAAATACTCAAATTAATGTCTCAAAGAAGAAACATAAGAGAAAGTTATTAAAATCTGCAAGACAAGATTTTACCACTATTATTGAAATGAATCCTCAAACAAAACAATTATACATCCCACATTTATCTACATTACAAACATTTGATTTCTATAAGAATGAACAAACATGTTTACAATTCTTAACTGATGGTATGAATAATACAATGGGTAAAGTTAGAGAAGAATTAAGTATCCGTGACCCTGAAGTTCAAAATATCAAAATTACTAATGATGGTAATTGGTTAATTAGTTATGAAGTTGATTTCCCACCAGAGGATTTAATGTCATCCAAGGATATCTCTCATATCTTAAAATTCTGGACTCACGATGAAACTGATCCAAATCAATGGGTCCTAAGGACAAAAGTATTAAATCCACATGGTCGCAGTACTCCAATTACAAACATCAAAGTAGCACCAATATCTGTTGATAATGGTGTCGGTTGCATAACTACAGATAATAATGGTGGTATGAAATATTGGGCATTTGATTCAATGGAAAAGAATTGGTGCTTAAAGAAATTATTGATACCAAATTTCACTAATTTTAGTAATTCTGTATCATTAGGTTGGTCAAGAGATGGTAGCTTAATTTTCCATGGATTTGATGATAAATTACAAATTATTGATTTTGATAATTTCAAAAGAGTAGATTTAAATATTAATGATACTGATAACAATGATTTAACTATGACAGGTGAATTTACAATGGATTCTGAAATTCAAGCAGTTAAGATGATCGGTGAAAAGAATTTAATAATAGCTACTAAGACAAGTCTAAATGTGATAGATTTATTATTAGGAAAGATTATTAATGGATTTGATTTATACCCTTACGTTAATGGTGTGTATAAGAATGGTCATTTGGATAGATTGATCAGTTGTGACGATAAGAGTGAAAAGATGGCTATTGTGATCAATGAACAAGTTAAAGATACCAATGGAAAGAATACATTAGATTATAAATCACATATTATTATATTCAATTCTGATTTAACACAACAATTGGATGCTTTTACACATGACGAATACATTTCATGGATCAGTTGGAATCATGATACAGATTTCATCTTTGTTGATATTCAATCTAGATTTGGTATTGTAGGTACTACAGTGAACACAGAGATGGCTGATGAAGCTAACAGAGAAGATATATTGGACGGAATAGCGAATAATAATATCAACAATACCAATAGCATCAATAATAATAATACTAATAACAATTCAAGTATTATCGAACCATCATCTGAACAAACCACATCAACTTCAGACTCATATTTGAATAAATTAAAAGAATTATCACGCAAGAAGACTAATATAAATATAAACGGGGAACCAAAGTCCAGCGAATTAAACGGCGATGCTATGGAAATCGAAGAAGAAATTATTAGTGGGAACCGTAAGAGTGATAAAGGTATCAATATGAACAGTTTCACAAACATGTTTGAGAACATCCAGAATGTTCCAATGGAGACCCTATTCGATAGTGTCATGAAAGCATTATCATAGGATATATGTGCTTACCTTTGTTCCCATAGGTCATAATATATACATAAATATATCTGTACATTTTTAAAGAGAAAAAAAATAAATAAATACGTAATTTCGCATATCAGAAACTCAGCGATTTGTGGCAGATACTTTCACCATCCCTTCTCGAAAGAGGCTCGATTACATAATAATGACCTCCAAATTAAGACTGGTATTTCTTTCGTAAATACCATTAGAGGAAAAGAGAGAGGGATCCCTCTGATGTGAGTAGCCTTCTCTTCTCCTTATGCTCATTTATGAAATACTGTTTACCTGATAGAGAGAATAGGCTTTCTCTCTGTCTGCCTGTCTGTCTGCCGGTCTCTCTTTGGTGTTCTGTAGGCCTGCGGTCCCGCCTGTGGGTGTCTCTCTGTGTTTCCGTGGCTGCTGGGCGTTGAGAGGCGAACGGAACAACTTCTGAAAGGAAGACAAAGAGAGAGCTTACATGAGCAACTAACTTCAAGCAAAGCAAAAAAAAAAATATCAGACAATCTTTAAAGTTAAATTGAGTGAAGAAATGTTGTTTTGTATCACTAGTGCTAAGAATCGTCTCTTTTTATATTTAATTTGCTCCTTTCAACATCTAGTGATATATATATTGAGTTGTATTAATAGTATTGGAAGCAAAGGTAGATTTGAGCTTTTCCCTCCTGGTAAGAATTAATACATACATAATACTAGCTCATACGTTTCCTCAGAACACCCAACATTTAATCTATTAACTCTCTCTCTCCACACACTCACACACTCACAAGCAATAATATTACAATGCCAGAACAAGTGATTACATCCTTTTTGGATACTGACATGTATAAATTGACAATGCATGCAGCTGTCTTTTTAAATTTCCCAGATGCCAAAGTTACCTATAAGTATACTAATAGATCTAGTCAATTATCATTTAATGAAGCTGCCATTGAATGGTTGAAAAATCAACTGAATTTATTAAGCAATATTAGATTCACCACAGATGAGATTGCTTACTTAAAGAGAGAGATTCCATACCTTCCAAAGGAATATATCGATTTCATTAGTAATTCTGATTTCAAATTAAAACCAGATGAGCATATCACATTCAATACAGAATCCTTTGCTCAAAATGGTGAAACTAGATATAATATCGATTTACTCATCAGTGGTTTATGGACGGATACCATTCTATACGAAATCCCATTATTAGCATTAGTCTCAGAGGCTTATTTCAAATTCGTCGATACCGATTGGGATTACGAAAATCAAGTTGAAAAGGCTAAACAAAAAGCATTGGACCTAATGGAAAATGGGTTAAAGTTTAGTGAATTTGGTACTAGACGCCGTAGATCTTATCATACACAACAATTGGTGCTCCAAGGGATTATGGATGCTGTCGCTACAAATGAAGACAAATATAAAGATATACTATTAGGTACTTCCAATGTTCTTTTTGCTAAAAATTTTAATATTAAACCTATTGGTACCGTAGCTCATGAATGGATTATGGGTATTGCAGCATTAACTGACGATTATATTAATGCTAATAAGAACTCCATGAAATATTGGGTGGATACATTTGGTTCTGAAAATGCAGGTCTTGCTTTAACTGATACATTCGGTACAGATGACTTTTTGAAATCATTTTTACCACCTTATTCCGATTATTACATTGGTGTTAGACAAGATTCTGGTGATCCAGCTAAGTATACTGAAAAGATTGCACATCATTACCATGAAGTTTTAAAATTACCTAAATTCTCTAAAGTTTTGTGTTACTCAGATTCTTTGAATGTCGAAAAAGCCATTACATATGGTAAAGTTGCCAAAGAGAATGGTATGATTGCTACATTTGGTATTGGTACAAATTTCACCAATGATTTCCAATTAAAATCTGATAATAACATAAAGAGTGAACCACTGAATATTGTCATTAAATTGTTAAATGTCAATGGTAATCATGCGATTAAGATCTCCGATAATTTAGGTAAAAATATGGGTGATCCATCAATTGTTAAAAGGGTCAAGGAGGAACTTGGTTACGTCGAACGCAAATGGAGTGGTGATAATGAAGCTCATCGCTGGAGCGCTTAATGAAAAAATACACACAAATAAATCAACTACAATATTAATGTATAAGTATATATCAGTATATCTATATATCTATATATCTATATATCTATATATCTATATATCTATATATCTATATATCTATATATCTATATATCTATATATCTATATATATATATATATATATGGGTGAATAACACAATAATCACAATTAGCAGATTACTAAAGTTATTATTCTCCCTTTCCGATATACGCTTGTTTGTTTCAACAAATCTATCAGACAATCAGAGAGAGAGAGAGAGAGAGAGCGAAAAAACATTCTATTGTTCGACAACGCTATTTAAAGACCTTCATAATGGTTCAAACTATAATTGGCAACTGCAAAACAAAAACTCATGTGTATGTTCTTAATAAGCTTGGGTTTGTTATTGAAAAGATCCAATTAATCGATTATATATTGCAAGTTTCTTATTACTACCCCCTCTCCTACCGAGAAAGCGGCGCACAACGAAACGAGATGGCAGAAAGAGGGTTCTACCGGTAAGAAAGTGAATGAGAAAGAAAGCGAATTTGGGAAAAGGTAAAAGATTTTTATGTAATAATAATAAGGAAAGGAAGTAAATCTTCAATGAATCTTATTGTTTAGAGCAAAGGAAAGGGTTTAACTTTCAAGAAGGGTACCGTTAACTAATATAATAGATACACGTTTATAAGTAGTGAAAATTAACTATTATATAATTAATAAAGGTAAATTAAACTACAATATTAATTGGCAACAAATTTAAAATTAAAAAATTTAAACAGGTAGTACTATATCTCATAATATATCTATTCCTAGCAAGATGTCTATTTCAAATAGCGCTGCAAGTTTAACCGAGTTGAATGTAATAGATACGCTGGAACATGCCAGTAATCCTCAGCATGCAGGTTCTCAAGTTCAACGTTTGGCAGAAGAACAACTCAAAGAATGGAGTGTTATTCCAGGTTTCCATTATATCTTACAATCCATTTATTTGGATTTATCAAATTCCTTACAAATTAGATGGCTAGCAGTCATTCAATTCAAGAACGGGGTTGAAAAATACTGGAGATCAACAAGGATTAATGCCATATCAAAAGAAGAAAAAGCATCTATTAGAGGCAGATTGTTTGATTTAATCGATGAACAAAACAATCAATTATGCATACAAAATGCTCAAGCTGCATCCAGAATAGCTAGACTAGATTTTCCAACTGAATGGCCAACGCTATTTGAGAATATTGAACAACTATTAGAAAATGAGCATATTAATAGAGATGATATTAAACTTTTTAATATATTGGTACATGTAAACCAAATTGTCAAAATTCTAGGAACAGCAAGAATCGGAAGATGTAAACCTGCAATGCAAAGTAAGATACCACTTATTTTCCCCCTCATTGTAAGAATATATTTGCATTCCTTTGACCACTGGACCTCGAGGTATACTCAAAATAATGTAGCGAGAGAATCTGATGAATTGACGAAATTACAAGTTTCTTACCTTGCATTAAAGGTACTAAGAAGAATTGTATGTGAGGGCTATGAGAGACCACATAAAGATGAATCCGTATGCGAGTTTATTAAATTGACCATATCACATTTTGAACTCTTAATTGGAAATCAAGAAAATCTAGGAAAATTGCATGTTTACGAGAAATTTATAAAATGTTATGGTAAATTATACTACAACACTGTCACCGATTCACCAGCAAATTTCATTTTATTACCATCTTCTACTCAGATTTTAATTGTATACACCAAACTCTTATTTGAAAGAGCACCAGTGGTATACACAGAGAATTCTGATACAACCGGTGATTTTTGGGAACAGACCGTAATTAAAGGTATCCTATTGTTGAAAAAAGTAATCAATTTTGTTTGCAAGAAAAACGTCATAACTTTACGTGCAAGAAGTGATAAGATTAGTGTAGAAGAAGCTATTGAGAAAATTAGTAGAGAATTTTTAAATGAAGATCTAATTAAAAAACTAGTAGACGTTTTAATGAATTGGTATTTGAAATTACGTCCTGCAGAGTTAGAGAATTGGTTCATAGATCCAGAAGAATGGATTAATGAGCAGATGATGACAAGTTATGAATATCAGATTCGTCCATGTGCAGAAAATTTCTTTCAGGATCTAATAAACAACTTCTCAGAGTTATTAGTGCCATATTTATTGTACAAAATTGAAAATGAAGCTGCTACTTTGACTAATTCCTCAGATGATTTTTTGAAGAAAGATGCCATATACGCTAGTTTCCAATTGAGTAGTAACGTCGTCGGAGATAATGTCGATTTTGATAATTTATTAACCACTGTCTTTTTACCTGAAGCGTCTAATACAAATGTTAATCCAGACCAATTAAAATTAATTAGAAGAAGAGTAGCACTAATTATTAATGAATGGTCCACCGTGAAATGTTCTGAAGCCAGTAAGAGTCTTTGTTACAAATTTTTTGGTGAATTGTTAATAACTGAAAAGGACAAAGTAGTACTGTTGACTGTAGTTCAAGCTTTGAGAACAATGATTGATGACTGGAATTTTGATAAGGATACTTTCGAACCTTATCTTAACGACATCATTACCGTTCTGTTGAGAGAAATTCTTCCATCAGTATCCTTAACAGAGACAAGATTATACGTTCTAAACACATTGACAGATATCATTATTCAAACGAAACCACTATTAAATAAAGATTTGTTAATCGAAATCATGCAACGTGTGCCTAGTTTATGGGAAGTCTCTACTAATAATGCATCAGAGACAATTTTGTCTAATGCGTTATTGAGATTACTAAAGCATTTGGTGTCATCATTGGGCTCATATTCATACTTGACATGGGAAATATCTATCCCATTAATTAGATACGCGTGTGATCCATCCTCAAGTCAATACCAGTTGTTAAATGAAGACGGGTTTGAATTATGGAGTGCATCGTTACAACATTACTCAATGAAAGAACATAATACCTTTGACCCTGAGTTTATTGAACTATTGCCATTTTTAGAGTTTGCTGTCAACGCTAGAACTGAAATTTTACCAACTTTATTGGAAATTGTTAAGAGTTATGCCTTGATTTTAAGCCAAACTGACTTTCTTTCTTCGGATTCCATGATGAAAATCTTCGAAGATATGGCTAAATATTTTTTGACATTAAGAGAAGATTCTTTCCAAATTATCTTGCAAATTTGGGAATTATTAATTCTTACAAACGAGTATGATGGAGAGAATCTGTTGTTTACAAAGTTTTATGAAACTGGTGTGACAAGGGCAATGTTTGATGCCATTTTCTTAGAAGAATCATTATCTTCGTATCAGTGTGGACAAATATTCCAAATTATTGGTAGATTAGGATATTTAAATCCAGATGCTTTGCTTGAATCATTAGCCCAATATCATCGTTCGTTACCTACAATGAATGACAATGCGCACCTTCCATTGAAAAATAAGAAAAGCATTTTCAGTGATAGTTCATTTGAAATTGTTGTTCAACGATTCTTATCTCAATGGGTTGTTTGTTACAAAGAAATTTATGACCCTAAATTCAAGAAAATACATATCATGGGTATGTCTAGTCTCTTGAGAACCAAAATGATCGCCATTATTGGTGATGTGGGGTTGATAATGTCATTATGGATCGATATGATGGAGGAAATAAATGAAAATTCCAATGGTGATTGTGAAAAGTATCACTTGAATGATATTGTAACTGAACAATCTCTTTCTTATTATCCTTTGACGAATGAACAATTAAGACAACATGAATTGGAAGAAAAAAACGACTTTGTACATCATATCAGTTTTAAGGATTTTATTACCCAAATTTTGAAATTCTTGGAACAGACATTAGGTATTCAAGGATATAATGAATTATTAGGTACAGTTAACCCATCTTTATTAGAAAACTTACAGTTATTCTTATCAGTCAGACCTCAACAATGAAGAAATAAATGTTCTCCATACATGATGACAACAAAACCTTCAAGAAGTTTTATTGTTGTTGTTATTTTTAATTTCTTGTTTTAAAGACAAGACCTGCATTACGCATATATAGGTGTAAACTACATCTTATAACATTCTCATTATCAATAATAAAAATTATTAACTTTTAAACAAAAACTAAACTCTATAAAATGCATATATAATATTGAGAAATGAATCGATTAACTGGTTTACAGATATTTTCATTTTCTATTAAAAAGAATTATTCTTTTATCTCATTTTTACTCTTTTGAATAGAAAAATATTTTAACATCGACTCATAACATGAAATATATTGGGTTAAATTTTGAACCATTGAAATACGTTGTTTCCTTAATTCATTAATAACAATGAAAATAAGATCTTGATCCATGTTCCATACATCAATCTTGTTATTTTTATCCTTCCCAGCGGTGAGAATATTAACAAGGAAATCTAGGGTAATAAATACACCTGTTCTACCACAACCAGCTGAACAATGGACCAAAAGAGGCACATTGTTATGAGTATTCTTAGAAATTGAGGCCCTTCTATAATTACTACAATTTTTCTGTAGTGTGGTTAAATCTGATATCATATCAAGGGATATATCTAACTTGGATAGGAATTTAATTGGAGAACTAATTAAGTGGTTTTTAATCCTAAATAATTTTTGTAAGTCTCCCATATCGGCACTGCACGAATCTAACCATTTAGAGTATTGTAATTGATAAACAACGCAATATTCTGATGGTGTTATATTATTTCTAACTACTTGGAAGACTCTTAAAGTGCATCCATCTAGATTATAAACATTGTCTATTGCCTTCACAATATTAACGGTAAATCGTTGAGTGGTTCTATTATATTTCGTACCCCAATAAATATCCCATTTTTTATGTTGTAACTCATCATCAGAATTCAATGATACGATAACTTTAACTTTATTAGACATAATAACTTTCCAAAAATCGTCAATTGTTGAAGGTAAAGGGGCCTGAGTAGCTATGTATTCGTAATCTGAATTGATTTGAGGTAACGAAAGATAATTCGCATTGATATAATCATTAAATCCTTTTTGATTATTTTCATCTAAGGAAGATTTTTTTACATTTACTGTATGTAAAGTTTGATCATCAAAATTCTTTAATGAACTTGAGGTATCTATTATTGCAGCAGGTGACCCATCTCTGCTATCTAATAAACTCTGCGGTTCCATTAGTTTTTCTTTCGATGAGTCATTATCTTCAGATGCAATATATACTAATGGTGAAGCTGAGTACGAAGATAACGACGAAGTTGGTGAGACAGCATCTCTTGGTGCAATTAAGTTTTGATTGAATTGTGGGATGTTATTTAGTGCAAAATAAGATGAGGAATTTTTTCTTTTCCTATTAGAATTTGAATTTGACCGTGAACGTGATGAGGATGAATTAGAAGGTGTGGTATGTACAATATGAACTGGGATGTTATCTTCATTTAAATGAGAGGATGAATGAATATTATTACTGTAATTATTATTCGTTGTATTGTTGTTACTTGTACTTTTAAAGTCAGTATTATTATTATTATTATTATTTATTAGTGGGGAATATTGAAGTTTAACTCTGGAATGTTCATATGGTAAAATGTTGGAATATCTATTTTTATTAAAGGATTCTATACCTTGAGATACTTCGTAATGAACTAATGGGGTCATTAATGTATCACTATTACTACTATTTAGAATATTTTCAGATAAATCAGAAGTAGCATTGTTAGAGAAAGTTCTCGATCTTGGTCGTGGTAATGATGTTGGTGAAGGTTCTTGTTGATTATCATCTGTAATGATTAACGGTGGTAATTGTAAACCTTTTGTTTTAGATTCTGTAGTTCCATTTATAATTGTTGTTTGCGTGGTATCTGGTCTTGGATTAGATTTTCTATGTAATGATGGAGCTCTTGATATTTTATTTGTTGATTTTCTTTTCAACAAATCTCTCTTTTGTTTCTTGAATTGATTTTGTAAATGTGTTAGTGAATATATCTTATGATATGAACTTGATGATTGTAAATCTGTAGAGTTACTTGTAGCAGGGGTATTTGTTGTAATTGATGTTGACGATGATGAAATATCTTGTTCATCATCGTCCATTTCATTGGCCATAAGGGTATTATTTTGAATTTTATAATTTTCATTATAATTACCAGTGAAATTCTTCCTATCATCAATACAATCAGCTAATCTTTTAACTTCCATATCTTCTAATAAATCAAATTTTTTTAATAAGATTAATAAAATATCATCTTTCTGTTTTTTATCAGTGAAAGGGAATAACCATTTAGGTAAAATAGAGTCATTTAAATGAATATCATTTGGAATATTAAATGTAAAATATTTTTTTAATGACATCGGTGAATAATGAATTGAGTCTTTCTTAATCGAATGGACAAACATTCCATTTGTTGAATTTTTTGGAATTTTTATAGTTAAATTAAAATTTTGTAAAGCAGGTCTATCTTTCATTCTTTTTGTTGCGTTTAAATTATTAATAAATTTGTTATTTGTTATTTGTGAACTCATAAAATCTGTTGAAGTTGGTATTATATTTGATTCCCTTGATTGAGTACATAATTCTTTATCTAATGATAATAAAATTAATTTAGAATTATCATCCGATTTATTAATCGATTTTAAAAATTTAATAAATTTTGTTATTAAAGAAAATGTTTGAAATGAACAGTTTGATAAAGTTGAAAATTTATCAAAAAATACAAAAACGTCACAACTATCAATTAATTTTAATAAATTTTTCCTCTTTTCATCATTAAATGTAATTTGTAAAAGATTTTCAAATTTAAAATTTTTCCTTTTCAATAGTGTACTTGGTAAGTTTAAATGAAATTTAAAAAAATTCTGTCTTGATAAAGATAATGAAGATTTATTATGATCAAATAATAAAGTTGATAATGATGATGCAGGTGAAGATGCTGTAAAAAGTGAAGGTATTGCAGATTCATTTGGTGAAAGATCAAATATCAATACATTACTTCGTTGATCAGAAGTATCTTGTGATCGTGACGCCACTAAATTTGTAGATTGTTGAGATAATAAAAAATCGTCAATTAAAGATGTTACCGTTGAACAATATTTCAATCCATTAATATGGTACTCATTAGAATTCAAATCAACAAAATTTTTAATATTATTGTTACTTCCCGTTCTCGGCAGCGAAGGTGGACTAGTTGTCTCTATCCTATTAGTAGTATTTCTTTTCTTATCATTACTTATCATTGAATGTTTCTTATTATATGGATCTAGTGTATGTGGTGACGTAGGAGAATTATTCGAACCTTCCCTCAATATTTTACACATAATGAGAGACACTTTCACCTTCTCTCTATTTTTTTATTTTTTTATTTTTTTAACTTTTTGGCAAAATAAACGTTCAAATGGCAAAGAATAAATGATCTTAACTTATATTCTACTCATAGACAGAACTAAGGAGTTAAAAGTCTTGTTTCACCTTTTCAAAAGTCTTTTCAAACACACTATATGGAAAGAAAAGAAAGAAAAAAAAAAAAAAGGGGAAACGTTATGTCACAGATTAATGCTTTACCGTCAACGTTATAATAAAAAGTGATCCTGTAATAGTAAAATAAAATTGAAATATTATTGTGAATATTGCAACAAAGGATATCTATCGAGAATCTCCTTCCACTAAATAGAGTTCCTTTTTCCAAACGTCACTTCCATTTTCTATCTTTTAATTTTGCCTCATGTGTGTTTTGATTTAAGATGGTCTGTCTATAAATAATATTTCACTCTTCGCCAGAAGGAAAACAAAAAAGATCAACTCACTTTGCCACTTTCCCACCAAATTTGTGCGCAAAAACCCTTTTTTTGATCTATTATTAAGTTGTGTACGGGGCCTTCTGAGTGCCTTTTTCATGAAATAATGCCGAAATTGTTTTTTGGAAATTTTTTGGGCGGAGAGCGGCACGTCTGCAAACCCTGGGCTGGGGCTTAGGGTTTCACCAATTTTCAGAATTTTTTTTTTTTTGATTTTTGAGGTAAACAAAAGAAGAAGAACTCGAACGAAAACACGAAAATGGGTATTTGAGCAGAGAGGATCAGAAGTGACTTTAGTGCATGGATCTGAGGAGGGCGAAGCAAGGTGGTGATGGATCGCAGCATGCATGGTGAACAGGATGGCAGCTCTTCTAATGTCAGGGACTTCTTTAAGAGGCCCGAGAACGAAGATACTTTGCATTATTTGAAACGTCAACATCAGGAACAAATGAAGAGAATGGATGAATTGGAGGCAAGCAGTTCTGTGGTCTCGCCGTTGAAACCTACAACAAATATATATGGGGGGTCAAATAAGCCAAGTGGTGCTGCTGGTGCTGCTGCTACTGTCAAGACTGCTAATGCTGGGGGTACAAGGCCGACGGTACAAGAACGACAACAATCAGCTGGAATAATGCCGATGCCTATAACATCGGCATCGACACATGGACAGTCGGATTTACTTCGACAGCAATTAAGGGGTGAACTTCCTTTACCGTCGTCAGCAATGTCTTCTTCAACTTCGAATGGATTTTCTAATAGAAGATCAGATAATACTTATAATTATGCACTTTATAATAATGAAACGCGTTTACCACAACAATTTATTGAAAAAGATTTTAATTCCAATTCGATGTATATGAAATCAATTCAAAGAGAAACAGAATCATTGAGAGATATTGTTTATCAACAACAACGGGACATGCATACATTAAATATGTTATTAGACGATGAACGAACTAAAAATATTAATCTTTATGATCGATTGAGTTATTTAGAAAAAAAGATACAAATGATTGAATTAAATACTCAAATTCCTATTCAACGTCGTACAGTATCTTCTTCTTCTTCTTCAGCTGCATCTTCTTATGGTGGTAGGCCATTTGGTTATAATAATGGATATCCACCAAGTAGTCAAGATACAGATAATAACAATATTAATGCTAGCAGGATATACAGTAATACTAATTCTAATGAAAGAGCTCATCAATATAGAAATCAAGAATTTATATCGTCTCCAACAACAAATCATCCGTTTTCAATTGTTGACGATAAGACTACGAATCTTCTATTCTCTAGAAAAACTACTCAATGAAAAAGAAAGAGAGAAAAAAAATAATAATATTCTATATAAATTTTAATAGATAAATGTAGAAAGTTGTAATATTATATCCTAAATGTAACAGATATTGTTTTGCTTATAATTCCGATTTTGTTTTTTCATCATATTGAAATGAATTTCAAGCGTAGTACATATTTAAAGTCATCTTCGTCATTTTTGATTATGGATATTGTCCCTTTCTTAGTATTTTTCGGGATATCAGAACTACCCCATAGATATGAATTCGAATATCCAATAAATCCCGTTTCAGAATCATATTCAAATTGAGAAGCTTGTTGAATATTCTTATAATGACATGCCAATTCATTATTTGTAGTAATTTGACAATATCCAAGTCTACTCCTTAAATTATAATTACCAAAAGGTGACTTGATTAATTGATAGTTGGCGGGAGATCCCTTCGACATCCAATGGCCATCTTTAATAACGATACCAATTGAGTTACCTGTGTTTTTATTGATTATTCTTAAGACACCTCTTTGGCCTCTTTTATCGCCATCTGGAATTTGACCCTTTGGAAAATAACCCTTTGGATAATACTTAATACCTTCTTCACGACAACGTGAAGATGGCATTTTTTTACCCAATTCATTTACTGATAATGGTTGGAAATCTTCATTCAACATGGATCCTTTTAATAGATGGTAGTACCATATCTCATTAATTACATTATTTCTATCACAATTAATAAATACTTTTTTTCCACCAAAACTTTCCTGTAATGCATTTTCTATTTCACTTTTAGTATATGTCTTATCCTCACTCGGAACTATATTATGTTGTTTCAAAGCACTATAAGTATCTAATTTTTTGAAAAGATTGACAGTAACATTGAAATAATCAATGACACCTCTTTCCTTCCATAATTTTTCTTCTTTTTCATCGTTCTCATTCCATCTTTCATAACATTGAGAATATAAATTCTTAATGCAACTACCATGTTTATTGAATTCATGAATCCATAATGATTCATCTCCTCCAACAATATTACTCTTCCATAGGAGATCTAAATCATCATAAAGATCCTTTGTATTCGGGAAATTACCGTTATGCATGATATAATAGACATCATCAATGAAAAGATCCCTTCTACAAAATTGTTCATATGAGCCGTCACAATTATCTGGCCACAAACCATGTATAGTAAATGAATCCATGGGACCTAACTCTTTCACAATTTCACTTTCATTCATTCCAATTTTACTAGTCTTATAATTCCAAAACTGGGATTGAAGAAACACTCCGCCAGGGTATTCAAAACAACAACTGTCCGTTATTTCAGTAGCATTTCTGCAAGTGTTTGGGAGATCGATGGGGCAATAACTATTTTCTGCTTCACTAGTTAAAACAGAAAAAATATTTTTAAATAGTAGTATATCTTTTGGTATTCTCATTTTTTATTGGTGATTTTAGTCAAATATATATATGTGTGTGTGTAATTATAATATACCTTATTTTAGTACTCTTTTGTCATTCAATTTTCAACTTAGCAAACATCCCTTAATTTTAATCGTTAATCAGCCTTTCTATCTTTAATCATAAAGGAAAAAAAAATGTTGGCGAAAGCGACTAGAAGAAAAGAAATGCATAAAACCATAAACCAATTATAATGAAAATAAAAGTAATCCATTTGCAACTCAATACAATTGCTATGTGTAGAGAACTAGTAACTACGAATTGTAGAAAATTTTAATTTAATATACAACTCTCTCACTATAAATTTTCCTTGTTTGGATTAAAACATTAACAATAGATATTAGAATTAGATAAAATTATAGAATACTAAAAATAAAAATTGGAAAAGAGATATGAAAATACAAATTGGATACGGTCTCTTTATTAATAGCAAGTAAAATGAATAGTAAAAGTAAATTGATTAATCAAAGAAAAAAAAGGTCATGAGAAATGATGAGAGTATTCATAACCAACAACCTAAACCATTTTTCTGTAGAATGGTTCACCTTCCTTCTTGATATGATCGGTTTCAATTGAGATATCCCTTTTGCTAAATGGGACCCAATTGCTTGACTTCCATGGTGAAACGCCTTCTAGCCACATTTCATTAACTTCTTCCAATGAAAGGCCTTTTGTCTCTGGAACAAAGAAAAAGACGTAGAACCAAGCAAAGATCAAACAACCCATAAAGACATAACCATAGTAAAAGTTGATAGCACCTGTTATAAATGGGGTGAAGAAGCTTAATAAGAAGTTCCAGAACCAATTAGAAGCTACAGAAATGGACATACCTTTAGCCTTAATTCTCAATGGGAAAGTTTCAGCAACGATAACGTATGGGATTGGAGCCCATGTGGTAGCAAAACTGAAGATAAAGAAACATGTAAAGACGATCATTGTATTTCCTGCACTCTTAGAAGAAGCATTGTTCATACCGTTTGGATACAATTTGGTGACACCAACAGAAGCATAGACAACAAAACAGGCACACATAGCAGCAGCACCCCATAATAGGCATTTTCGTCTACCATACCTTTCAACGAAGTAGATACCGACAAAAGTGGAAGCAAAATTTACAACACCAATAATTATCGAGGTTTCAAAAGAATCTTCCAAACCAATTGATTTAAAGATACTAGTCCCGTAGTAGAAAAAGTAATTTGCACCAGTCAATTGTTGTAGACTTTGAATCATAACACCTAGAATTACTCTTGGTAATATCTTCCCTTCAGCGGAAAATAATTCAAGCCAAGAGGCTTCACCGGCAGCAATTTCGGTTTGAATACCAGAGTTTAATAATTCAAGCTCGGCTTGTACAGCAGGATCATCAACAGATACTCTGTTGGAAGTTGCAATTGACCTTCTAGCTTCATCGATTTTACCGATCTTGATTAAGTAACGTGGTGATTCTGGAACCATTAGCATAGCAACAATCATAAATAGGGCCCATGCAAAACCTAAGCCTAATGGAACTCTCCATTGAACAGAGTTAGAATAACTTTTTGTTCCATAGTTAGTACAGTAACCTAAGAAAATACCTAATGTAATCATCAATTGGAAACAAGAGACTAAGGTACCTCTTAGATGTTTTGGAGAAACTTCAGAAATCAATAATGGTGAATAAACAGAAATTCCTCCAACACCCATACCAGAGAATATTCTACCAATAAGATATTGGTACCATTTATCAACAGACGAAATTGAAATCAAAATACCAATAACATAGACAACAGTAACAATGACTAAAGCAATTCTTCTACCATAGGTGTCACCCAATTTAGAAAATAGTAGCCCACCAATGGCACATCCAATACAGAAAATGGAAACAATTAAACCAGTTCTAACCCTTGAAAGAGAAAATGTCCCATCACCATTAGCTGTTCCAAATCTTCTGATGAAATCAGTCTGTTGAACGAATCCAGAAATGGTCCCTGTATCCCAGCCAAAGATGAACCCCCCAAATGACACCATTAGACAAATCAATGATACAGTGATATAAGCAGAGGCTGGCTTCTTTGGCATCTCATACACTTCTACAGTGTTATCTTCAATCACACTTCCCTTGCCTCCATCGTCATTTACTTGTTGATTGACTGGAGTTGAAAGAGCAGAATCAGTGCTAGATGGTTCATTAGCTGTTTGAACTGCATTGTTTTTTGTAGTAGAATCCTCAGACTCAACAACAGGAGCTGTTGCGGGATCAGGTTGAGACATTATTAATAATTAAAGTCTTAGCTTAATGTTACAACTTGAATTTGTATTATAATTATCTTTTTTTTACTGAAATTAAAAGGTAAATCAAAAAAGAAGCAGTACGCAATGAAATATCTTCCCAAACAAAACAAAAGTCTCAGTTGCTATTCACTTAAATACTTACAATTTTTGAGTATTTGAACGTGGGTAAATTTGGGTTTTACAATACCTTCTTTTAGAACAAAACCTTTAGCAGTAAATGAAGCCAATAAATGGTAGAACGATATCTTTTTAATACCTCTGTGACGTTTTACAACATTGTTGAATTATTGTTGTTGTGGTAGTAATTTAACGTGCCAGCCTAATTTGTGACGTATTTTCGGACTTTTTTAGTGAACAATATTAAAAAAAAATTACCCACATTTTTTTCATTTAAGAAAATATCGTACAAGTATGCTTCTTTTGTTATATACAGATTATATGGGAAAAAGCTGAGAGGCGGACATAAGGTAGCTAACTACCAAAAGAAATTATTAGTATAGCGAAAATAGTGATCTTAAGAGCAAACTAGCGTTAAATCGAACTATTTTAACGTTATATCCAACAGAAATAGCATAAATTAATTCTATACTTATGTTACGTGGTGTGAAATTGTCTTCCTTAGCTTTTCCTCGTTTAATCGACTAGTTTTATAGAGGATGTCAGATATTATTTGTTAGCCATCAGTACTCACAAATAAGATCCAGCAAGTTGTGTGAATGTGGGGTAATAGCTTTTAGGAGACACATTACTGCCTATTAAGGGATTTGTTATTGATTAGTAAGAAACTTTAAATCCAGGTACATGGGGCAATTATGTCTGCTTGGTTTACTGAGTATGTTTCTACCACAAATAAGAGGTGATATTATTTATTGTTCTCCCCCATTATATTGAAATGTACCCCACATTGATAATCTATGAGATAATCCCCTTTTCTCCCTCTTTTACACCTCTTACCATTCCTTCGTAGAATAAATGACAAAAACTCATCGTACTTCCAAATTAACAATGATTTAGAATTAAAAATAGATTCTACAAGCAGGTAAATATTATGATATGAAGTTTGTAGAGTAATCTCATCGGATAGTGGCATAGGATAAACCCCATTGATGTTTCAATACTATATTACGAGTGTGTTTACTTATTTAATATTCCAGAAAATTGAACAAGATCTAGACATTCGATTTCTTTACATGTTATATGGCCTGTAATTATCTTAATCTTAGTAAATGTATATTCAGTTTAACAGGTATTTTTTGCTGGTATGTTGGAACATTTTGCGTAGCTTATTTTGTGAGGAGAGGAGGAAATTTTGCTTTCTAAAATAATTCCATCACACAATATGTTGTATGAAATTTTATAAAATTCAAGTTTATTTTTTTTCTCAGAACAAAAACTATTACATTGTGATAGTTGTGCCAAGAAAAAAGAGATTGAGTCCATATGAAGGAGGTTAAATCTTTTAACTTAGTAAAGTACTAATATTTCTTACATCGCTTGTCTAGGGAATGGGTAATTATTTCCTATTCTTGGAAGTATTTCTTTGCTGTTTTGTACAATTGAATTCACGTTTAAATTAATTTATTCAATTAATCAAATAGTGAGACTCGGTTGTCTTAGGGCTATGAAAAACTAGAATTTATTAATTCTAGTTTATTTAAGCATAAAGCGGAGAACAAAAACTCATGCTGTAACTTTTCTATACATTACTGCTTTGAGAAATATAAAATACAAAAGAAGGATGCACTTGTATGACAGAGTATGATAATAAAATTCCAGAATTGGTAAAAACCACAGAAAGAACATCTTTTCTGAGGTTATAATGAAGTCAAAAACAAAAACTTTTATAAGTCATCATGTGTGAAGTTTTGGTAAAAATAAAGTGATTGGAATATTGTAGTAATAACAAAGATTTTATAATAAAAATATTATGACAAATGTAAAGAATATATTAACACTCATACCTGAAATAGCATCATTACTATTTATTACCAGATTGGCAGTGGGGGCACCACCATGAGTGACTGCTGTTAAAGGAGCTCTCGACGAAAGTACAGCGATGCCACTTTTACTAACTCCACTATCAATAGACCTGATACCTTCATTTGCAGTAGTAATTTTTCCAAACACAGTTATTTTACTGTTGCTCTTGTCACCATTATTGTTTTCAATCCCTTTTGTAGCTTCATTTCCAGGTAAAAAACTTGTTCTGCTACCTCCTTCACCTCTATTTGAAACAACAGTTGTAGTAGTTGATTCGATAAAGTTAGTTTCTTCGGCTACTCTGGTAGAAGAAGCAACAAAAACATGTTCTTCAGATGCCCCGGTAGAAGATGGCACATTGCTATGTCCTTCTGATGTTACTATAGGATAATTTATAATACTCTTTTCGTCAGATTCTGTGATGGGAAACAACGTGGTTTTAGAATAAATAGTTTTGATTACAGTTGAGTATTGAGTGTTAATACTTGAGCTGTTCATGTACTGGATATTCTCGGTACCTACAATTGTCTCGGTAAGAAATGACGTAAATGTAGTAGCGACGTCTTGGCTAGTATAGTTTACCGGTTCTGATGTAGCAGCGGTGACTGAACTTTCTGGTTCTAAAGTTATAACATCTGCCAGTGTAGTAGATTGCCCATCTAGTGTAACAATATCGGTTACTGTTAATAAACTAGTTACTGTTGGAACTTGAATTGTCTCGGTTATTTGGATGGTTGATGCCTCGGCCGAGAAAGTAATTGTTTCGGTAATTGTGACACCTTGAGTTTGATTTAGTGAAGTAACTACCTCTGTGGTAGTCACTGTTGATGCATCCTGTGACACGGTGAATGTTGCTGTCACTGTTTCAACTTGGGTAACTGCCGTGGACTCAGATGGTTCAATTGGTTGTGGTGGAATATAGGTATCGTCGTCAAACACAGGGCAAATTACATTGTTGTAGTATTTTGCATATCCAGTGAAATCTTTATGCACTACTCCTTCTGGGTCAATGAAGCTAATGGTTTGGATAGCAACTGCGTCCCTGTTGAAAAATACAATACGGAAGGGATATGATTCACCAGCGATCATGTCCATGGTAGCAGTTTGAACATCAGTATTGTCATAATATTGAATAGAATATAATGTGAAATTTTGTGTTTCAGTATCTGAACAGCAAAAATAGTCAGTACTACCAAACATCTGAAATAATGATCCGTCATCTGTTTGCCCAATTTGAAATGTGTATATACCAGATGTCTTTGGAACAAACCAACCACTATATTCAACAGAAAAATTAGAAATAGTCAAGCTGAAACCATTGATTTCACCCTCAGTAATAGCACCGCTTATGGTTCCATAGAAATAGAAAAAGTTTGTGTCATAAACACCACCAACTTCTCCTAAGTATCTGTTACCCATGTAATATTCATGGTCTAAAAAATTTTCATCTAAAATATTTGGAGTATCTTCAGCATAGACATATCTGTAAAATCTTGCCTTTAAACCATCTCTCGGCTCCTCAAGTTGGGCTGAACAAAGACTCAACCCATTGGTCTCCGATGGGTCTATTTGTTGTAAAGACCTTAGGTCAAATCCATGTGGATTTTCTTCAGCAAGACAAATAGATAGAAAAGAATAGGCCCAAAAGAAAACAATTGAAAGTAAGTTTATGTTCAACATCGAGCCACTTATACTATCCTGATGATCTAAATGGTAGGATAAAAAATGTGAAGCAAAAAGTGAGAAATATTAGTGAATTTTTTTTATTGAATATTCGAGAAAGATGAAGATATGATCACATCATTGAAAGATACAACTATACCTCTTTATATACCACAGAAATTACAACTATAATTTGTTCTTGTTTTCATAATTGAACAAGAAAATGTTTTTTTTTGGGCCCTATTGTTCTCTGAACATACATTTACGTTCAGTTATAATTCAATTTTAATCCAAGAAAACAAATTTACAAATCATCTATGTCAAAAATGTCAAACAGTAAAATTAGTGCACAATATTTGCTCAGAAATAATAAATAATTAGGTTAATTTGGAGTCAATAATTATGCAAACAACTCTCCGTAGCAATAGCAATATTTTGAATAATAGTTTTGTGATTAATAAATAATAGTTCTCCCGAAAAGTTTATTTACAGTTATTTTAAGGCACCATGATGGAAACAAGTCATAACTTTGTTTCCATATCCTCAAATTATGGCTATAACGTTTTAACATTTCATGTAATTTGATAAAGGTTCGAGGAAACGGATGGAAACCATTTAAACAACCACACGAAGGAGTTAACCCTAAAATTTTGACAATAGCTACTTTATTACTTTTGTAAAGTTGATAGACATCTACTTAAGCTAACCGATATTTGAAACACATTATTAATAGCTCTATTGTTGAATTCCGCTGTCATATTGGTTCTCCGTCGCAATGTTTCATGGCCTATTGTGTGATTTCTGTTTAACGCGATAGCATATTATTATTGGTGGAAGAGAGGGGACGGGATGAACAAAGAGGAGTGTTATTGTTCTTTAAATTCTTTCGAGAATGTTCTTGAATTCTAAGTTAATTCACCGTGTGACCACAAAAGTTTTGTGCCTTAGAAAAGAACATTATTAACGAACTATGTTGAACCAAAAATGTTTCTTTTTACCGGTACTCTGCCTTTTTAGTAAACGTGGTATTATGGTCTTGATTACAGAAAATTAGTGAATTTACCACTAAAATTATTAATTTTTTAAAACAGGGGTTTTTTTGGGTAAGAGATCACTATTATTATTCTTGTTTCTAGTGAGGGTTTTTTAATGCTTGCAAATGTTTTAACAAATTTGATACTAAGGTCCAATTAAAATGGTTTTCGTGGAGTTAAATCCCCCAGAACAATTGATTTTGTAAGATAACTTCTCTCAAAACTTCTCTCCTTAAAGTATCATAACTGTTGTGCTGTATGTTCTGATAATTAAATATTTTACCGGAACACATTTATAATGTTTTAATTGACATCACTTTTCGGTTGGTATTTCAAGGAACAAAACCTACCCCTTGATTAAAACTCAACCTCAGATTCTCTACAAAAATAATTTGCAATTCAGGTTTAGTATCATTTAAAATGAATTGAAAATGGTACATTCAATATTTTACTCCTCCTTTGATCTTTGTAGCTTAACAACCAAGGGAATACTCCTTGGATATTAAGTTATATATAACCGTCAATAAATGGTATGTGTCCCTTGTTCCCGAATTTACCAGAATTAGTATATTAGGTAACATCAGATGCCTTGTATTGTGGCAAATAATCAACATAAATGATAACATCTCTCTAAGAAATGTATTACAAGTAAGTTGTAATATTCACATGAATTATATTTTTCTTTTTTTAACTATATGTAATATAATAGATATACAAAATGGAAGAACATATTGTTCATGTTGGATATTTGAATTATTAGAGGAATCCATTTCTTTAATATGGTACAAAATTTAATTTATTAGAAATCAACGTATAGTCGTCTGATTTCTTTAGTATACAAATTATAAATAATATACAAAATAGTCAGGGAAATAAAATATTCCAATGTATGAAATATTGTTCCCTTTATATACCTTTGGATTTGGTTACATTTCGTGATTATAAATCTCCAATACTAGCATTGTAGAAATTATGCATGATTTCCAAATGCGTCTTTTTATTATCTTTTCTCATTTTGGATTGTTAAATATTGAACATTATCAAATATGACAATCTTTATCATTCTTTTATTCTTATATTTTATATTCTTGACGTCATTCTTCTATCATGTAAATTCCGACAGTTCAATAACTAGCCATTTTGTTATGATGCAATTTTGTATAAGCCAGAGGACATTTTTTGATATGATGTTTGATCAGTTATTTTAAATTATATAGTCTTCATATTATAAAATAAAATATTTTTTATTTTACAATAATGGCTTTATATATACCCTTAATTTTTCTTGAACAACTCACCTGAATATATTGCTGGTTTGTTTTTATTTTACTCTTTGTGCTGGTTTAAATATTTTTGGTGGTCTTTTTTTAATATTGCTAATTATTTCTTTACAATCTCTTTGGACGAAGTGTGACAATAAGTTACCCTTAGTTTCTGACAAATTAACATAGTACTTACTATTAACACATTTACTTGTTACCGAACAGACCGACCACCGTATCGATTTTCTTATGTTTCTTATAAATCCATTATATAAAAGAGATACTAATAATCTGAGATAGGCTCTCTTTATATATGTTATAGATTTACATACGCAATACAGTTAAACTCTATAACTCTTCTAATTTTGTGGTATACCTGCACCTTGTTTTATGTTTCTTAGTCATCATAATCCATTCCTTTTTAGTTCATTATTAGGTTTTAGATATCCATTATCATGATTAATTAATTAATTAATTAGTTAAAGTCTCAATTCTTTATCACGTGACATAGTGTCACTTAAATTTTAGCCTATTTCAAATACAATTTAAACTCGTCTTTTAATAGCGCCGTGGCGCAGTGGAAGCGCGCAGGGCTCATAACCCTGATGTCCTCGGATCGAAACCGAGCGGCGCTAATATTTTTTCTTCATTTTTTGAAGAGAGAAATTCGGGCCGAAATATTTCTGGCTGAAATTTCCACGAATCTTTTTCGAACTGAATTTCTTTTTTTCCACCGGAACTTTCCTGTTATGTAATGGTCTGCTCGAGTGTGAACTGAAAAATAAACAAAACCGATGACTCTCACTTTCTTTCTCATCTCATGGTTATCAGAATAATAATATTATATATATATTTGGCGAATATCTTTGTTCTCTGTTTTTTGTTTATTTCCAATAATAAACACTCAGAAGTGAAATTATTCTTACTTAAGTCAGGAAGTTAAGATAAAAGAAGACTAATTCTACAACATTAATTTTACCAAATTTTAATATGGCAACTTCCACTAGTAACTTTGTCCCACTAGAGTCTCGAAGCAGTACCGCAGTTCCATCATTATTGAAGGACCAATATGTTGTTGAAGGAGATGATGACGATATTACAGCCAGAGAACAATCTGAAACTCCATTACCAATTCAAAATAACAAACAAATAAAATTAAAGGTAAGAAACATTGATATTATTAAATATTTAATTGGAACAATCGCCGGAAAAGATAAAATTGCTAAATTTTTAAAGTGTATACTAGATATCATCAAGAAAGTAAGCTTATTGTTTCCAATGAAATTTTACAATGTCGATACAAGGAGTTTAGCAACCATCGCAAGCCAATTGTCTTTATTCAGAGCAATTATGAGATTTGGGTCAGCTCCTTTTACTATTGGTTCATTAATAAACATGATATCACACAATAAAAATTTATTGAAAACCCCTTCAGTTGTATTTAACCCTTCAATTTTGGAAAGTATTATTAACGTGTACTTTACTATATTTGATGAGTTATCACTGTTAAGCAAATTGAATATAATCAAAAATAAAAACCTTCGTGAAAGAATTTCAAGAAATGACACTTTAGCTACAGAGATTGATTCGATATTTAGCTTACAAAAAGCTTGTATATCCTATAGGAAAAATAGAATTCAAAGGAATAAGAAAAACGATATAATGGCCAAGATCGATATTGCTCGTTTCACAATGGAACTGATCTCAAACACCCCAGATTTACTTCTAATCAGATCACCTCGCATTGAAAGAATAGTTTCATTATTTTCGTCTATTTGTTCTACAATTTCGGCTATTTTAAATTTAGTGAGGTTATGGATTCTTGCTAAGGATCAACTTTCTGTTAAATTGTGAGTTTAAGTTTAACAGCCATATACATATAATTATTCGTATGCTAGAATAAATAAATATAATCATATAGCCAGACAATTATTTAGCTGTGATAAATAGCTAGTTCCCATCTTCAACAACTTCTATTTAACTATTTAATAACCTCCATGATCATGATTTGTTCTGAAATTGGTTTGTTTTTGATTTTTTTTTTTGTCGCAGTCATCCTAAGGCTGGCTGAACCACAGATCTGTACACACACACTTTTTTTTTCTGAGTTGGAATGGTAGACGTGCAATCTTTGTGACTAACAGACGAAGATGCAACAACAGAATCGAACATGCATGATCACATCGATAATTGTAAGATAAGTATTCAATTTATAAGATATGCACCTTTGAAATTTTTCTGAGAAAATATATATATATATATATAGTGTCCGTTGGCATCTCAATTACACCTTTTTTTAGCAAAGGGATATTCTAACCTAATAAACCCTATTCAGAAGTGAACTTATCATATTACGTTAAAAACTATGACTGTCAACTCAATGTCCAAAGTAATCATTCCTTATAAATATCAAATAGAGTTAGATGACGAACTGCCATTATGGCATGAGTTGGAAAGCAAGCATTCAGTTCATTTTCTCAAATATCATATGGGTACTCCCGAAGAATTCATACAATATATCAATGAAGAACAAATAAACTGCATCTGGATAACAGAAGATTTTTTTACCTATTTAGGTGGCCCAGCACCTTACTGGGACCATTTCCCAGATTCTTTAAAGGCAATTGTAGTTCCATGGGTTGGTTGTGACTTCATTGACGGGAAGAGATTATGGGAAGAAAAAGGAATTGTACTTTGTAATGTTGGTCCAAACGCTGCATCAAATGTAAGTGAATTGTGTCTTTATTTGGTTTTAAGTTGTTTCAGAATGACAAGTTTTTCTGAATATTGTTTTAAATTCATTGATACTGGTGATGTTGATGCTTGCAAAGATCATATTGGTAGTAAGAAAAGTGACGTCATTACACATACTTTGACTAATAATGAAGGAAAATCGTTTGAATATAAGTATCCAAAGAAGAAAACAAGAGGTGAAGTTCCAATTAATATTGTGCAAAATTATAATTTTGGAGGTAAGCATATTGTTTCACCATCTAATAAGAATGCATTAATTTTAGGATTTGGCTCTATTGGACAAATGATAGGTAAAAAGTTAAACTCTGCGTTTAATATGAAAATTCATTATTATAAAAGAACAGGTCCAGTACCAAAGGATATTTTAGGTTATGAAGCTACATATGTCAATTCTTTGGATGACTCAAAAGTTTGGTGTGACATCGACGTTATTATACTATCTTTACCAAGCAATCCAGAGTCCGACAATATTATTAACAAAAAAACATTAGCTATGTGCAAAGATGGTGTAAGAGTTGTTAATGTGGGTCGTGGGTCATGTATTAATGAAGATGATCTTTTGGATGCATTAGATTCTGGGAAAGTTAATAGTTGTGGTTTAGATGTTTATAAAAATGAGGAGACTAAAGTCAATGAAAATTTATTATCAAGATGGGATGTCACTGCATTGCCACATATGGGGAGTGCTGAATATGATATCGTACTTTTGGAAACCCAGATTACCTTGGAAAATATTGAAGATATATTTGTTAAGGGAGGTCATGGTATATACACAGTTAACAGATAAAAAGTCCTAGAAAATGTGATAATATAAGAATATTTCGCCCTCATATTACCACTAATTCAAAAGGAATTATGTAGCTTTAAGTCATAGCTTATTTACATGTATATATTACAAGTTTATTCCCATAATGTTTTTAAAATTTTCTTTATGTTTTTTTATTAGAATTTATATTTATATATATATGATTATTTTTTTTTTTTTTGAAAGTAAACATTTTTATAACCAAGCAACAAAAACAATAAACATGTTCAAACCCATTCTGCTTCAACTTGAGCTTTCTGGAAAGTATAATCCTTATGATCTATTGTTACAACACCGTCCTTCAAAGAACATTTCCACCTAGCTTTCGTTCTCGTCACTTTATCATATAAACACAACATTAAGTTTTCATCTGGACCGTCATCTTCACCTTCTGAAATTAAGTAATCGTCATCAGAATCATCAAGTTCAGAACCAACTTCATCAGTATCTAGCAATGCACTTCTCTTGGCTTTCTTAGCTTGTAATCGTACTTGGTTTGCTGCATTACCGTTAGGGTCATCGATTTCCAATTCTATTTCAGTTGATTTATTCGTTTGCTCTGTGTCTTTATCTTGTGAATCTGAGTTATTTATATCGTCTTGGTCATCATCATCATCATCATTATTATTATTATTATTATTATTATTATTATTACTTTCTGTTGTCAATGGTGGTGGTAGAGTCTTTTCTGTTCCATTATTCTCATTGTCATCATTTTCTTCTTTAACGACAGGTTGATTATTATTTCCTTCAAATAATGGCATTGTAAGTTCTTGTTCATTTCCATTTTCAGATTTAACCGTAGTTGGTTCTGTTGCCTTAGCAGTAGTAGTACTGACATTGTCATTACTATTATTATTATTATTACTATTATTTTCTTCAGATGTTACTCCTTCCGCTGATGTTGTGTTTGTATTTGTTAAAGTCAATGGTTCAGATGCTACGGGTGCTACTGTTGGTTGATTTGCATTATCTCTATCATTATATGCTGAATCCCAAGTAAATTCTGTTACTTTTGTCTCCGATAATTTAATTTGCCAATTTCTTTTCAAATCTTGTAATGTTTGTTCATCTATACCTGCACTTTCAAAATCTTCTCTAACTTCATTAATGACAGCTTCCACTATAGCTTCATATGTTCTACTGGCTTCAGTGTTAGACATATTATTATTGTATATTTTCTCTTTTTTTTTTCTATAGAATATAATAAGGTAAAAAGAAATCCTTTAAAATGCAAAAAATGACTTATAATAATTAATAATTGCTTCTTATATGAACGATTAAAATAGTTATAATATTTTATTTGTTCCAATTTAGTATGTGGGTGGGTGTTTTTTTAATTCCTCTCTCGAATAAAATTGATTAACAAACCGGTCAAAAACTAAATAAATAAATAAAAATAAGGTAAAGCCTATGCTACTTCCACACCTGGGTCAATATTTCCAGATATCCTTGTTTAACTTCGCTGAAAGAGATCAACTTATAACCAATACGTGTTAAATATCACTATTACTACCCCAGGAAGTATGTAGTTGAATGTGTATCTCAACTATAATTATCCAACCACATGAGATTTCCATCATCTTCCTTTACTAATAATTTTCAATGGTCAAAATTTCGTTGTTTTTCCTCGCGAAACTTCAAAATTTTTTTTTTCAGCAAAAAAAAAAAATAGAAGCCGTAGGGTAACCCGTACACACTAAATTTCAATAAATTTGTCCAATAAGAACTGGGGAAGTGGTTCAGCGGTTAAATAGATACATATTTTTGCATTTATATCGAATTAATGGGTGAATATAAATGAATCATCAACTAGTGTTTCTATTCGGATGTGTTGGGTTATATTTGTCGTACTTGTTATTCCGTTTTACGATAATAAATGAAGTTGATATGGCACAATATGGGTGTATTCAAAGACATGACTGATTTTTATGTCCGATAGCACATCAACGGTTCCCACTCACGTAGAATCAACAATCAAAACGGCAATGATGCATACAGCTGCAAATGTACCTTTGTTGATAAAAATACTGCATGTTCGATTCATGGATTACACATTCACAGATATATTAATAGCAGTACTCGGCATAGAAGTGAAGTGAATTCGCAATATTTAACTAAAATCTCTTTTAATTTTGCTTCTTTCCCTCTCTTTCTCTGTGCGAGTTTTACGCCGCGTAAAGAAATTTATATTGACAATTCAAATAGACTCTGAGTAAAAAAGGGATCTTAAACAGATTTCCAAAACCTTATGGATAGGTTAGATTAGTGGAAAACGTTAGAAAGAGAAGATTTTACTTTTAGTTGCAACAAATTTGTATTACTTATTGTCACTGACTGTTCACCTGTGTGTAATTATGCTAATGCAGCGATGTTTTAGTCGGTCGTTTTCAACTATACTTCCAAGAGCACCATTATCTAAACAAATATTGAAATCTGAACCTACAGCGGAATTGCTCGAGAGATTATGCTTCTTTAAGAAGACTCAAAGTGGTATCTTCCATATGTTACCAGCTGGGATGAAAACGATTGACAAATTTACTTCAATTATTCATAATAAACTACAAAAAAATAATGATGCTTCTTTGGTTTCATTGAGTTCCTTATCTCCCAAATCTTTATGGGATGCCACTGATCGTTGGAATAACTCAGAGTTATTTAAACTAAAAGATAGTAAAAAAAATGAATATTGTCTTGTTGCAACTTGTGAAGAAGATATTACTGAATTAATGAAAAATTATATTACAAGTTATAAAGATATGCCAGCATTAGTATATCAAGTTGGTAAAAAATACAGAGATGAACTAAGACCTCGTTCAGGTTTATTAAGAGCTAGAGAATTTATTATGATGGATGCATATTCTTTTGCTAGTGATGAAAAGGATGCCACTAAGATGTTTGAAGATGTTAATAAAACATTTCTTGAAATTTTTCAAGAATTGAAAATTCCAGTTGTGAGAGCCTCTGCAGATAGTGGTGATATTGGTGGCGATCAAAGTATTGAATATCATTTACCATTAGTTGGCGGAGAGAGTACCATTTTATCTTGTAATCATAATGGTTGTAATCATGTGGCAACAGATGAAAAAGCTTTATCGTACCCTGTTGAAGAAGGTCAATATACTGGAGATGTGTCTGTTAAGTATGGATTAAGTGAAGACCATACTACATTAATATGCTATTATTTTCCCAAGGAAAGACAAATCAATTGGAATTTAGCCAAATTATCTGTAGATGATGATATTGATTGTTCATTACGTGATTCTTCAAATCAAGAAATTATTGACTTATTTCAAAATGAAAATGAAGATATGATGTTTACAAAAGTTTTAAGAGTAATGGATAGTAGAATTAATTCACGTTCAAATTTCCCAGATTTCCCTTTGAAAAATTATTTAAAGAATAATTTTGGCCAAATTGATGGTGTCTCTATAGTGACAGCCATTGGCGGAGAAATATGCGGTCAATGTAACGAAGGCAATTTGGAAAGTACCAAAAGCATTGAAGTAGCTCATACATTTAATTTGGGAACTAAATATTCAAACCCATTAGCTTTGAAATTTATGGATCAAGATAATAATTCAGATCGTCTTGTAAAGATGGGCTGTTATGGTATTGGTGTCACAAGAGTCATTGCCTCCATAGCAGAATTAACAAGAGATGCTCATGGATTAAGGTGGCCTGTATCAATTGCTCCTTGGGGTATATCTATTGTCTCTATGCCACAAGGTAAGAACTCCGAAACAGATAAAAATTATAGTAAAGTTGTATCATTATTTAAAGGTACGGATTCAAAATTGAATATTGATGTCATGACCAATATTAATAAAACAGCAAGCTTGGGTACTAATATATCGTTATCCCATTCAATGGGGATCCCCTTAACGATAATTGTAGGAAATAAATCATGGCCAAATGTCGAAATTGAAGTAAGAGGTGAAAGATGGGGTAATGTTGATAACTGTAAATGGGAAGAAATGTACCCTCAGTTAAAGGAAGCATATCAATGGGAAGTGAAAAAGGCATCACCCACTGATCCGTACCAAGAGAAGCATATCGTTTCACATGAACATGTGACCCATGTCGTCAACCTATTACTGCAAGACCTTTAACTAATACATATCCCAATACATATATATACATATACAAACATATTCACACTCTGTACATAGATAGATAGACTCTAGTCAAAAGAAACGCATCGTTAAGTATTTCACGAATACATATCGCAAGTATAACCGGTCAAAATTGACAGACTTCTTCCCCTATTCTCTTCTTCTCTTCTTGATACACATTAGTATTTGACGCGTTCGGTTGTTACAAATATTAAATATCTGTTTCTGCTTCCGCATGCATATTTCCTTTTGCTGCCTCTCGCGATTTATGGGAAATGGAATTAAACAATTTTTTGACAATGAACAAAGAGAGGTTGGGTTATATCTGTTTACCAAGGAACTTAAGTTGTGTTTGATCAAATAGCTATATTAGAGTCTGTAATAGAGGAGTATTGTGCAATACATCTGCTCAATAAGAAGTCGTAACATTTATTACATTCCAATTGTAATTAAAGATCCATTTTTTTATATGGATTCAAACAAGAAAAAAGAATAATTATACGAACTTCCCATTCCTACATTTACTGTTTATAACTGAACACATTGTAATTATTAAACCAAATTAAACAAGTTTATGAACAATTAGAAAATATTATTGCAAATAAACATAAAGCCAATATTTCTAATTCATTTGATCTGTCAACAATATATATATATACATTACTGCAAACCAGATTTTAATAACACTTGAAACTATCACCTTTTTTGTTTGATTATCATATTATTTTTATCAGATGACAACAAAGGCTGGAACTAGTGCTACATTAGATCTTTTAGCACAATATAATAATCATATACAGGAAAGAGATAAAGTTAATGATGATATTGAAGGAAAACCAGAATTAGATGATAATAGACCTTCCTATGATGATTTATTTAAAGAAAATGTGAAATTGAAACTTGAATTAAAACAACGAAAAAAGGAAATTGTATCTTTAAAGAAAGTTATTAATTTAATGCAACATGATAAAAATACATCCGTTGAGGATTTGATATCACAAGCAACATCAGATGAATCAAGCTCCAATGAAAAGAAAAAAGAAATCGTGTTACCTCCAAGGTCAACGGAAAGAAGTGGATTACCAAAAGATAGTGGATCTCTTGTTTCTTCCCCTGTGATTATTGAGAGACCTGAATTAATTACTTCTAAGAGCAGTCCATCCAATCCCTTTTCGGATAAATATACGAAGTTGGAACAAGTTCAAAATGATAATGAAGATAATGAGATTGAGGACAATATGACTAATAGTATTGAGACTGCTCATGTTGGTAAAATACATGACGGTGCGGATACAACCTCTACAAACAATACAGTACAGAACTTATCTAATATGCAAACTCATCATTTAATTCCTTCTCAAACCCCTTCATTGACTAGTCCTGCTACGTCAGTTACATATACAACGTCAAGAATTACAATAAAATCACCTAATCGTAGAGCAAAATCGCCAGCTCAAGAGAGACTTAACTCACCTCAATCTATTAATAGGGTTACCTCTGTTATCAATAACCATTTACATTCCCCATTAAAAGCTGATTATAATGAAAGAGATGTAAATATGGCAGAACAATCTTCTCAATATTCTCAAATTGATTCCAGTTTCGATAATGATAGTGGTCTTAATAAAAGCCCCACGAAAATGGCAACAATGGAGTTGGATTTCTCACCAAATGCTAAGGCTAAATTAAATAACTTTTCTCAGTTATTAGCAGATTCATTTGGAGAGGATGATAAATTATCATCACCTTATGCAGCAGAAAACCAGGAATCACGAAATATGGCAGATAAATCACGCCCATTACCTCCTGTTCCTCCTAAATTTTTCTCACCTAGTAATCCAAATATTCCTACAACACCTGCAGGTGTTTCTTTGGGGTCGCCAGTGATTTTGAATCGTGCAAAGGATAAAAATGCAGTTAATAATTCTTTATTAAATGGACAATCTATAACGACATCCTCGTCTAGCATGAATAAGAGAAATGAAGGTAATAGCATAAATGGTAACGATTCGTTGAGAGTTCCATCCGCTACAGATTCGGTAGATTCAGAGAGAAAACCCTTACCAAATACCGTATCCTCAAACACTTCGCAGAATCAGAATTTGTTAAAAGTTGAAAATAGTAAAAATAGAGTTCGTACAAACAGCACAGGCACAGTGGCCTCTAGTACCAATAGTGCACTTACATCGGATATACCGTTGTTTGTGCAACCAAACGATTTGCATACGATACAAATGGATATATTAAGTACATTATATTTTGATCCTAAATCAAATTCTGGAGAGAACTTAATTTTATTTGGTGTCATAGATAAATCCTCTGGGAAAGAAATGTTTAAATTCTCAAAATCCATTCAAAAAATAAGGGAATTAGATGTATATTTAAAATCACATGTGTCATCATTATCTTTACCCAGTCTGCCTGAAAGGACTTTGTTTCAAACAACTGTACCAACAAGGGTAGATTATAGAAGAGAACATCTTAAAAATTATTTCAATAGTATAGCTGCTATTCCAGAGTTACCAGGTAATGTGTCATTAAAAATCTCACAATTTTTAAGTACGGATACACTAATGTCACCATTCTTGTTAGAAGATACACAAAAGGAGGGATCTCTATTGATGAGACGTCCAAAGAAAGCACTTGGTGGGAATGTATCCTGGAGAGTAAGGTATGGTATAATGAATGGTGAATATTTGCAATTATTTGAAGGTAATGATATGATGGAAACTATTAGATTAAAACAGGCTTCCCTTGAATTACTTCCAAACATGCCAGATGATAAATATGGAACTAAGAATGGATTCTTAATACTAGAACAAAAGAAAGTTGGTTTATCTTCATCATCTAAATACTACATTTGTGCGGAATCACCAAAAGAACGGGAATCCTGGATTGCAGCTCTTAGTGAGTTTATTGACACTGCAAAGTTATCAGTTTCATCACCTACTGGGGACAGTATTGGAACTTTCAGTACCACAACTAGTAATTCCTTAAATGACAGTACAGACCAGACATATGTTACTGATTTAACCCAGCCAGATAATGGTGTATCTTCCCAGAGTTCACAGGCCAACAATGCTGATAATTTCCAAGCGACATCATATGATCAATTTGCAAATACAGGGCCAGATGATGATAAGGACAATAAGAGGAATAAAATGAGAAGTTTATTCCCATTTAAGAAGTTTAGTAATATGACTAATAATACACTACATCCAACTGGTCATAATATGGGTCATCAAAATACGAACAACAGTAGACCAGTATCTACCAATGATGAAAGTGATAAATCAATGACTATGGAAAATGACTATAGTATGAGATCTGATTCAAGTATGGTAAGGACTTCGCCAAACTATCGAACTAAACAAATGTCTCAAGGTGCTGTATTTGGTACTTCTGTGGAGACATGTTTAAAATTAAGCTCGCATTCATATCAAGGAATCTATGAAATTCCAAGTGTTGTCTATAGATGTTTGGAATATCTATATAAGAATCGTGGTATCCAAGAGGAAGGTATTTTCAGATTAAGTGGTTCAAGTACTATGATCAAGACTTTACAAGAAGATTTTGATAGAGATTATGATATTGATCTTTGTAACTATAAACATTCCGATGATAATCCAAGCAATGTAATTAGTGTGAATACGATAAGTGGATTGCTAAAACTTTATTTGAGAAATCTACCACATTTAATTGTTGGTGATGAACAATTTTTATTATTTAAGAAAGCTGTTGATGATCATCATGATGATCCTTCTGCGATTGCAATTGAATTTAGAAAAATTATACGTGAAAAACAAGTACCACATGCAAATATTTCATTAATGTATGCATTATTTGAATTATTGACTAGAATTAATGAGAATAATAAGATTAATAAAATGAATTTGAGAAATTTATGTATTGTATTTTCACAAACTTTGAATATTCCAATTACAATGTTACAACCATTTATTGAAGATTTTAATTGTATCTTTAAGGATGGAGAACCAATTCGTAATGAAAATAGAGAAGAATTAGATATTCACATTCCTGGTGTTTAAATAGGTTGTATGCAAGACCATTAAAGTGACAATGAATTTTATTCGATATCATAGACAATTATTATACGTAGGGAAGATATATTATAGGTAAAAACGGAAAAGTAAAGATATTCACTTTAGTTATATATATATATATATATATATTTGTAATAATTATAATAATGACTTTTATATTTACATTTAATGTCTTTCGAAAGAAAATTACAGAAATTCTATATTAAACAGATGAGACGGAACAAAACAAATGATGATGATTATGATGAAGTGCCTTCAATATTGATATAATAATGCTATGTTTATAATTATGCTGAAAGAAAATAGATGGAATGGAGAAGTATTTGTTTGCGGTTTATTTTTACCATCTGCCACCACTTCTAGTTGAATGTTTCATTGTGGATACATGTGACATCATAGAGATATCACTATCATCATAATTTTGTGTATGATGCTGATGATGATGATTTTGTTGACTTGATGATAAAATACGATTATTATTATCACGTTTTAAGTTACTAGTAGTTTTATCTGAAGGAATCTTATACATTCCATTACTACTTTGAAGACGACGCGAGGAGGAACGTTTTGATTTATCTTTATTATCTTCCTCGTTGGTATCATCATCTTGTTGAATTAATTCTAAAGTTTCTAAATGTCTTGAAATATCATCAATAGTAATATCTTCGACGGTACGATTAAAAGTTTTATTTAATTCTTCATCATATTCATAATCTTCATCTTCATTTTCATCTTCATCGGATAAATTCATTTGCATGAATGGTACATTTTCTTTCTTAATGTTATCATGTTTCTTATATTCACGTTCTTTTGCATAAGCTCTGGTGACTCTTTGAGAAATAGTTGCAGTGACTAAACTTTCATTAAATTTCCCATCATTAGTTAAAGCTGCATGTTGTTCTTGTTTATGTTTTAATAATTTTTCCTTTGATTTAAAAATAACGTCATCAAATTCAGGGATCATTGATCTACCTAATCTAATAACTTCTTCTGCCCAAATCCTAATAACATCATTTTTTTTCTTTGTCTTATAAGGTTTCCAATTTGGTTTACAACCACGAACAATTTCTTTTACTACTTGTTCTGACCCCCATTCATTAATCCAGTCTTGATTTTGTAAACCAATTAAATGGGCAAAGACACCTGAGCAAATTGCTTGATCTGAATAACCACCTTCCATAATGGATAAAACTTTCCCTTTACAATGCATCTGTGATAATTTAAGTGCGTCTTTAGTAAAAGTTGTATAAAATTCTGTTGGGACATTAACTTTATGTCTTTGCATACTTGTTTGTTCAAATTCTGAAGCATCGAACCCTGCACTAATAATAACTAAACCTTTAAATGGTTTGTTTTCATTTTCATTTGAATTTGATTCCATTTCAAATTTAGCAGTTTTAAAAAATTCATCCGCTTTAGCGAATAAAGTTCTATATTTTGATCTATATAATTTTTGAAATTCTTCATCAGTGGACCAATTTGATAAATGAATATTCCAAATATTCAAATCATGTGAATTCATAATACAAGTTGAAGCATTTTTAATATGTTCATTTGTTGCAAAATCTGTCTCTGTTGGGAATGAATTAATATCATGCATTGAAAAATATCCGACTTTTGGAAATTTTGCATTACGTTTATTAAAATCATTATATTTATTATCTTCTTGTTCTTCTTCTTCTGTATCATCATCTGGTTTAAAACCTGCTCTTTTCCAGCAAATATCCTGAGTACCATCCCCGTGATGTAAATCAAAATCTAATACCGCTACATGAGTGACATTATAATGATCGAAAGCATATTCAATTGCTACATGAACATTGTTTAGAAGACAAAATCCAGAAGGCATCGAAACATGACAATGATGACCTGGTGGTCGTATTACCACAAATGCTCTATTACTAATATGATCTGGGGATGGACCATTAAATATTGAATCTACACCTGTTTCGATTGCACCCAACGAACCTTTTAAAGCTAATAAAGTATTTGAACTTAAATAAATATCACCTGAATTCCAATTATTTGGTACTTCAATTTTACCATTTTTCAATTTATTATCTGCTTCTTTACATAGTTTAATTAAAGTTTGTGGCCATTTAGTGCCATGAACTTTTAAAACATGTGGACTATTTAAAGAGCTCAATTTATTATTTGATGATTTTAAATTAAATAATGCAGGATACATTGTTATTGCAGCGGCAATCCCCATTGAAGCAGCCAATAATCTTTCGGGTCTTTCCACTATAGTCTTTCTATATGCTTTTGATACCCATTCACGCGGGAATACATGGTATAGTGAATACGGTGATAGGATTATGATAGCTTTAGCAGATTCAGGTATTTGTGAAGCTGCTCTTGCTGCCGAAATCACATTTGGATTATTTTCAACAAATTTTTGAAATTGCAAATAAAAGTTTTCCAAAGGATCAGCTTGCATATGTGTGTGTGTGTATGTGTGTACGTGCTATGTTGTTGTTATGTGTATACTAGTCCAAAACATACATATACATACATATATATATATATATATGTATGGTAAAGCTGTGTCTATATATATATAAATAACCACGAATATGTATATATATATAAATAAATAAACAAACAAACAAACAAACAGTAGCAATGATACCACTTCATTGTTTGTCAATCCCCCCTACTTTCGTGCCACGCTGTGACGAACAATGAAAAAAAAGCGAACAGCGCAAAGCGCAAAGCGAACTGTAAACAAAGCACACAGCTACGTGCTGTTGTCACTGCACACGGCGCGGAGCACCCGCGCACACTACTGATAGCGGCTAAATCGACGAATTCGCAGCTCCTCGCTCCCTTCCGCCGGTCGTTCATAGTGATGGGTGAGTTCCCTGCAGCGTGTTCTCCGCAGGGAACATGTTGAGCACAACAGAGTGTGTGCAAATGGGGAGTAACAAACAGCGTGCACACACACACACACACTTTGTCTGTCTGTGTGCTCTGCCACTGCCACTGCCACTGCCACTGCAACAGCAACAGATCATAACCGGCGGTGGAGCTGCGGCATGCCCCGATTGTGTTATGGCAGAGTGGTGTTAGTGTGGTGTTAGCATAGTAATCATACTGTGTATGGTCTTAACAGAATATACAGTTGCACATAGCATAGCATAGCATAGTGTAGTGTAGTGTAGTGTAGTGTAGTGTAGTGTAGTGTGTTATAGCATAGCTTGGTATTACTGTATTTGCTATTTATCCGCTGTTATCGGAATTGTGTGTACTGTGTGTGCCGTCGTTTAATATTTTCACTCTTCGCTCCTTCGCACACTCATCTTGTGCTGCGTCTTTTATCGTTCGAGAATTTATTCAATATATCTACATATTTATATATATAAGGATGATGAGGAGAGAGAGATGTACACAAGATGACAAAGAATTTAACAAGCATATATATATATATATAGATAGATATATCTATAGCGTGGATCGGGAAAGGAGAACACTACTACACTAAGAATGTCTGAGTATTATAAATTGGTGGAAAATCTAACAGAAAATGAAATTCTAATTAAATTTCCTGATGTCATACCACTGGATACAAGACCAAATTCACGTTCATCAAACAACTCAAACTTGACAAATAAAGATAAAAATGCATTCAATGGACATAATGAAACACAGATTCAACTGATGAATGAAAACTGTATCGTGATTGATTGGAATGATAATATTGTGGGTTCAGCAACTAAAAAGACTTGTCATTTAATGGATAATATTGAACGTGGTCTGTTACATCGTGCATTTTCTTGTTTCATATTTAACGAGAAAAATGAACTGTTACTACAACAACGTGCGAAGGAAAAAATTACGTTCCCTTTATTGTGGACAAATACTTGTTGTTCTCATCCGTTATCGATTGATAATGAAATTGGTATTAAAAACCCAGGGAATTTAATCGAAAATATTAATGGTATTAAAAACGCTTGTATTAGAAAATTAGAACATGAATTAGGTATACCAACTTCAGAAACTTTAAATAATGGGAAATTCCATTTCTTAAATAGAATTCATTATATGGCTCCATGTAATGATCCAAAAAATGTTTGGGGTGAACATGAAATCGATTATATTTTATTCTTTAAAGTTAATAAAGGTTTTGATTTAACAGTTAAACCAAATATTAATGAAGTCGAAGATTTTAAATGGGTAGATTGTAACACCTTCAAAAAACTTTTAAATGATACAGAAAATTATAGTTTTACTCCTTGGTTTAAAATCATTTGTGAAAATTACTTATTTAATTGGTGGGATCAATTAGATGATCTTTCAAATGTTGAAAATGATAAAAATATTTACAGAATGTTATAAATAAATTATCCCTCTTTTGTGCTTTTATATTTGTTTTTCTTTCATATTCGAATAATAATAAACTTATTTATTTATTTATGTATGTACATGTTGTTGTTTAATTATATATATATATATATATATATATTAATTGATGCTCATATTTCTCAGACGTTCTACTAAATCACTTGCTTTTTCACTTGCATCTTGTCCTTGTATATGTTGTTGCTGTTGCTGTTGTAATTGTTGTTGTTGTTGTTGTCGTTGCTGCTGTTGCATTAAACGACTGCTACTGTAACCATACCCTGTCCCACGATTCATTGCAATGTTACCATTTGCTTTAATTTGAACATGACCACGATTATTTAATGATATGTGTTCAATACGGAATGGATATACAGACTCCCTAATAAAATCACCTTTATTATAACTATTTCTCTTATTTTCATAACCAGATACATTCGCAACAAATCCACCAATTGTTGCAGTATTCATTTCTTGTTTACCATGATTTGTTAATCTCCCTGGTACGATACTCTTTTGTATTATACCATTTGGTGAATTTCTTAATCTACCCTTTAATGAATAACTTAATCCACCTGTACCAATAAATTTATGAGAATTTTTTAATTTAGTATTTTCATTATTCATATTAAATCGTTCATTAAGATATTTACGTGCTATACTCTTTAATTCATCCGAGTTAAATTTTTTATGATAAAGTTCTTCAATATTTTTCTTCATTGCCCATTTTTTAAAATCTTTGCGATTTTCTTTAATTATTGAAAGTTTCTTTCTTAATATATTATTTTTAGTATTTTCATTAACTCCTAATTGATTACATAATTCTCTTAATTGATCATCACCAATATTGTCACTTGTACCATAATTATTTTGATAATTACTACTAGTCGACATCCTATCTTCTTTAATTACTTCAGGAAATGCAAATAATGGATTGTTACGACCTTGTTGAAATTCTGGTGCAATACCCATTTCTTGAAATCTTAATCGAGTCCATTGCGTACCTCCAATAGGTTCAAACTCTGCCATTCTTTCTAAAGTATCTAATTCATCAAGAATAATATATTTGGATTTAACTTTATTTGGTATGTTACTCTTTAAACCCCATTCTTGTTTCGATAACATCGAAGGCTTTGTCTCGATAATTTGATGCGTTGGTGAATATTTAACTCGAAATTGATCAGAATTTAATTTAACTCGAGATTTAGCTAGTTGAGCCACTCGTGAATTTTTAAGTAAGTTAGACACACTCGACATGATCACTCGTGTGTTGTTTCCTTCACTTTTTTTTAAAACGTCTAGTTACAGAGGTGTAACAAATGATACAATAAGTTGCTTACTTTTATATGTATATATGTATATATGTACTAATGTTGTCAATGTCTAACTTATCTCCCAATCCCTTTTTCTCTTTTTCTCTCTCTCTCTCTCTCTCTCGCTTTCATTTTTTCGGTGTTGTTGATAGCTTTTAATTTGTTTTTTTTTATTTTTTTTATTTTTTTGAGTATCTCTGTTTGGCTCGTTTTAAATTATTTCATGCATAATGCTAGCGTTTGTGCCCTGGTTTTAGGGTTCATTTGAATATTACTACTATGATGCCCAATTTAATCAGTCACATTCAACAGTGAGGAAGACGTTGATGCAGTCTGTAAATGTGCAGATGAATATGCTAATAACCATTTCACATTCGTTAACAAACATTTCATCCCTGTAGTCCATTGAATAGTTGGTTCAGAGCCATATAATTTAATTGATATTCCATTTATATTTCCTTGAGACATCTCATATGGTAATTCTTTACCATTATTGGTTGTAGAGCTTCTACTGACTGATCCGGTGGCTGTGTAATTCTCAGAAAGGTTGTCAGTAGGAGCGCCATTGTCCCCACCTGTATGTGATAATACTGCAGTAGTGGTGGTGGTGGTAGTTTGATTTACAACCATTGTGGTGACTTGTTGAATTATATCAATAAGACAAACTAATGCCTTGTCAAAATTAGTCTCCTTTCTAAATAATTTACTAAATTTAAAATTATCATTATTATATGTTTCATATTCCATCCATTCATTTGTTTCATTATCAAATTTGGAAATTTTTGATAATGAACCTAATGGTTTCAATTTATAACCTTTAACTTTAATTTTTAACCGTGTTGTTATTGTAGCTAATAATAATACAATTTGTCCTAATGCTGCATTTATTTCGTTCCAAGATACAGAATATCCAGAATAACTTCCAAGTCGTAAATCATTAATAGTTCCAAATGGTCCTTGATGTGATATTTTAAATGTTTCATTATATATATTGGTCTTTCTTAATTGATCTAAATTATTCAATGTCGAATTGTATTGATTTTCTAATAATTGCATTTCTTTTAAAAATTCAATATTATTTAAATCTGTAATATTTTCTTCTTGAATGAAATCATCATGTATTTGTTTTTGATTTTGTAATTTTTCCTGTAATTCAAGTATTTCTTGATCTAATTCATCATTTTCATCTTCTAATTTTATTAATTCGTTTAAAAGTTGATTCTTTTCTTGTTCCATATCTATCTCATGAGAATTCTTATCATCATCATTTTCATCTTCAGATGTATTTGAAATAGGGTGATGACTCTCTAATTTATTGAGAAAATCTCTATATAATTCCTTCTGTTTTAAAGCATTATTATAATCTGTTTTCAATTTAGAGATTAATATTTTACAACAATCTTCACATACAGGATAATCTATATAGCTTCTGGCAGATAAGATATTAAATACATTAGTTAATGTGGTTATTTGATTCGATAATGTCTTTTCAGTGGTATATTCATTATCCTGTTGTGAATTATTTTCCAAAGAATCAGCTTCGATGTCTTCATTTTCATTATCTATCCTAGTTGATAATGTTCCTTGTATTGTATGACTCCTTGAATCAGTTTTCTTCTTCTTTGATGATTGGATTTGTGGATCAACAATGGTTGTATTTGATTTTTTCAATTGTTCATTGATCTTACTAATAGGTTGGATCCTACTAATTTGATCTAATTTCTCATGTGATGTATAAAATTTAGTGTTTTCTTCTATTAAAGTATTATCAAACTTTGAATTATTCATTAATAAATTTCTTTGAGATAAACTTAAATCAAGTAATGAAGAATCTATTTGTAAAGGGAGATGGCAATTCTGACATTTTAGTTGTTTCTTAGATTTCATTATTATATGAATAACCGTTTTTCAGATGGAATGTTGTATTCTTGACTACTTGTATTGATGGTTTTAGTCTCTCTTTAAAATTATCAATAATATTTAATGACTATTAGATCTTGTTCATATCATTTTAATATGATGGAAAGGCAAAACTCACTTTAAGAAAAAGAATTACATTACCGAAAGGCGAATTCCATTATTTACAAACTAAATATAAAAAAGGCTATGAAACTTAATATAATATAAGAAAATTACCTCAAAATTTTCTTTTGTCTAAATTATAAAATTGTAGTCATTATTTTAAAGTTTGAGGTGATAGTTGGTCGTGAAGTTTTAAAATTTTCATTTAACTTGCATCTCGTGAAAAGTTAATAATAATACTTTTAGCCGCCGATAAAAATATTGAAGAAGTGCTCAATAATATAACATCCTATTTGAATAACTGTTACTCCTATAGTTACCTCACATTTTTATATAATATTTATCAATTGAAGGATTTGAGAATGGATAACGATACTACACTTGTTGAAACATCACCCACACCAAAAATTGAAAAGTGTCCAATGAAGAGTTCATTCAAGAGTCCATTCCGTAGCGGTATAACAAAACTTCAGAATAGAGGAGAGGTCAGTTTAAAAACATGTAACACTACATATACCCGTCTATTAAATGAGAAGCAATTATCCTTACAAAATAGAGTCATATACAACGATTTAACTAGAAAAATCAGTTTCTACAGAAAAGAAATAACGAATTTATCTGAAGCTATTAATATAATGAAGAAATATGACAAAGAATTAAAACTCGATGAACTAATTATGAAATGGCGTAATGTTTGCCAAAGTTCAATGTCCTATTTGTTCAACGCAACTTTATTTAAAATTGACAAACTAGGAGGGTACGAAGAATTTATAAGAAAAGAGATTGAGGCTGAAAAAGCTAAACTGGAGTATCAACTGGATGATAGTGTGGAAGAAGAAATATCTGGCATCTTAGAGTCTGATGAATTCCAAGCATTACCTCCTGATGATCAAGAAGAATATAAAATTAAATTTGAAGAGAAGAGAGAAGAGGTGGAGAAAGTGAAACAAAATGCCTTAAAAGTTCTAGATGATAAATTGATACTAGCTCAAAATAAAGAAATCACGATGGAAGAATTAACAAAACGATTAAAGGTTGATTACAACTTGGTTTACCCTTCTTCAAGTTTATAACTTTATAAGATGAAAAAAAGTGACGTTTTCTCCCTAAATCGTCTTTCATTTTTCTTTTTTTTTCACATTGAAAGTTCCCAGGCAAAAAAAAAAATAACTAAAACCTTGATTATCTGGAAGTTTCAAGATTAATTACAATGCATTTTTTAACAATGCTAAAGGAATTCTTTTCAGAAAGATTATCATCTGTAGTCAGACAAAAAGCGTAAGGTCTTTCGTTTGTGTATCTCTTTCATTATATCAAGTCAGTGATGAGTTCTGATCCTCTAAAACACTCGGTTAACCAGTACCTAGAAGAACTTCCGCAACCTGTCCAAACAAGACTTTACGAATCACCGGCAACATGTCTGGCGATCTATAGATTATTACCGGAGCTAGCGAAATATTTTATGATGTCAATGGTATTCAATGAGAACTTTATTTTATTACGTGATCTTGATAGATGGGTGAAACCTAATGGGAAAATACAATTTCAAGAGGCCATTAAGTCCTTAAAATCTTTACATTTAATTATGCCTAAAAAAAATGAAAAGGGGGCATTGATGATAGGTTTGAATCCTACATTCAGAGAAAGTTTTAAAAATGCATTGACTGGGGGTAAAGTTCACAATTCTTTTGGTATTGTCATAGAAGATAATAGTATTTCGATGGATATTCTGAATGAGTATTCAGCATCGAAATGGGAGACAATTCTTCACTTCATGGTTGGTACACCTATTTCCACTATCCCATCTGCAAATGTCTTAAATTTATTGAAAAGTAGTAGGTTGATGGAGGAAACTGAAACTACAGCAGAATTTAAAATCACAAATGAAGGTTTCCAATTCCTTCTACAAGAGGCAAATGCACAAATATGGACTTTATTGTTACAGTATCTAAAAATGGCTGAAAGTTTTCAAATGGATCCTGTTGATATTTTAAATTTCATCTTTATGTTAGGTTCCTTAGAAGTAGGGAAAGCATACAGTACAAACGGCTTAAGCGATACTCAAAAAAATATGTTAAAAGATATGAGAGATTATGGTTTAATATTTCAAAAGAACTCGGAGGCGGCTGTGTTTTATCCAACGAATCTTTCTATTGTACTTACTTCAGATAATAAAAATGCAATCAGAAGTGCATCTGGTGCATTAGATAGTGTGGTTCAAAAAAATAAAGAAGGAGCAGGAAGTATTGATACAACAGGCGCACTCAATAATGATGACCAAATCGGGTTACAAGGTCAGCAAACACCAGAAGGTGCATTAATTGTGGAAACAAATTTCAAACTATATTCATACTCTAACTCACCTTTACAAATTGCTATTTTAAGTTTATTTCTACATTTAAAGACTAGATTTGCAAATATGGTGACTGGTCAAATTACAAGAGAGTCAATTAGAACTGCGTTAACCAACGGTATCACAGCAGAGCAAATCATCGCATATTTAGAAACTCATGCCCATCCTCAAATGAGAAGACTTGCTGAGGAAACCTTATTGAAAAAATTAGACTTAGATCCCAACAGTAAGGATACGTTGCAAATTCTTCCACCGACAGTTGTTGATCAAATTAGATTGTGGCAATTAGAACTTGACAGAGTCATATGTTATGATGGTTCTTTGTATTCGGACTTTGAAACAAGTACAGAGTACAATTTATTATCGAAATATGCTCAGGATATTGGTGTATTACTTTGGAGGGACGATAAGAAGAGAAAATTTTTCGTTTCTAAGGAAGGCAATTCTCAAGTTCTTGATTACGCCAAAAGAAAACTAAATAATAAATAGCTTATGTTCTCTAATGATTGTTTAATTAACCAGAATAAAAAAAATTGCATTTTGATTTACTTAGTATTTAATTCAATAAATAAAAAAGAGGATAATCGATTAGTTAATTCACAATGAATCTTTTGTTAAAAAATATATGTTGACCAGAATCTAAAAAATTGCGCAAGCCCGGAATCGAACCGGGGGCCCAACGATGGCAACGTTGGATTTTACCACTAAACCACTTGCGCGTCAAATTTTATACTTTTGGTTAAACATTTTAGTTCCATTATTTAATCGTATTTATTTAATTAAAATTTGTTTTTAGATATTTTGTATCATATATATGTAACTAAATGATATAATTGTCATAATATATATGCAAACGTAAGTTGGATATCGAGAAGGTACGATTATTGTTTGGGTTTGTAGTGTTGGACATAGAGATATATTTTCAAATGTATTCTTGTATTGCAAGGTTCCAAACTTTTAGGATAATAAATATAATGAAGATGTTATACCACTGTTATCTTTCGGTTTTATTTCTATGGTTATGTTGGAAATTATATAACAGTGTGACACACAGTGATCTTCGTACAATGCGATATTGCTGTGAAAATTTCTGTATATAAAGGAACCCGTTTTCCAAATTATATAGAATTATATATTACACTTTCTCACATCTCTCTCTGATAGGAGGGGGAGGAGCTCTGCTGCTGGCAACGGACACCTAGTCCTGACCTACAGTAAATATATATACTATTATTATTCTCTAATTCCC